TCTTTGTACATGTGAGCGTGCTGGGGTTGTTTTATTACACTCTTCGCGCTTATTGGGCAGCTTTATCTATACACCTTACGACCGACCACGAGCACCCTGGGGCATGGTAATCACCGCAGTCGATTAGATAGAGATATAGTAGCAACCCTATGGGACCCTCCCTACCCTAGTAAACCGGGGCTATCAATGTGGGAAACCTGATAATCAATCAGCACACCTAAAGACCAAAAAAAAAATCCAATTTAAATTCCAAAAAGAAAAGCCGGGGCTCGGAAAGACACGAATGGAGAATGGAGTATAGAAAATCACTGTGCGGCCGCTGATTAGCTGCGGGGTGACCGCCCGCCAAAATCCTAGCAACTTCCACTGGGTGGATTCCCCCTCTACACTTTTTTAATCCTCATTCTTTCCCTCTCTTGGACCCTCGTCCTTGGCCCCTTGCTCCTCTCTCCGCTCATCATCGGTACCGACCCGTATCTCTCGGGGGTTCCTTGTTTGGAGTTTTTTTTTTTTCTTTCTGTGATTTTTTGGCGCTGGGGTGCCCCAGGTGTTGCGAAGATGGACGTCACAGCTCTTCGAGACCGCATCCAGACTACACTGGATCCGAATACGAGTATTCGCCAGCAAGCGGAGCTGGATCTAAAATATGTGCGTCACGTTGTTGAACGAACGTGGGACTGTGAGACTGATAGCGGGGGGTGACCACCCCCATTTTCTAGGCCGAATCTCAGCCCGGTTTCATCAATGCGCTGTTGGATATTCTTCAGGGCGAGCAGAACAACGCTGTTCAACTCTCTGGTGAGCATCCCACTCCGTCCTGTGGTTTCCACTCTCCAATTTCTTCGTCCCTAACCACTCTCCGTCCCGCCAGCCGGTGTCTACCTCAAGAACCGTATCAACAGAGGTTGGGCGCCTATCGACGACAACCCGCAGCGTGCCCCCGTTCCCGAAGCTGAGAAGCCCGCTTTCCGTGAGCGACTGATCCCTGCCCTGGCCTCGACCCCACCCAATGTCCGCGCCCAGCTCGTCCCTCTTCTCCAGAAGATCCTGCAGAACGATTTTCCTGAGAAGTGGCCCGGATTCCTCGATCTGACCCTTCAGCTCCTCGGTACCAATGACGCGAATACTGTATATGCTGGATTGCAGTGCCTTCTGGCCGTCTGTCGCGTTTATCGCTACAAGGCCGGAGAGAAGCGGGAGGAGTTCGATAAGATTGTGGAGCACTCGTTCCCACAGTTGCTTGGTATCGGTCAGAGACTAGTTGATGAGGAGAGTCTAGAGGCTGCTGAGATGCTTCGGATCATCGTCAAGTCTTATAAACATGCCATTTATGTGGGTGACCAAGTCTCTCTATATCCTAGGACTTGCAGGGGAACTAACTCGCATTGCTTTCTAGTTCGAGCTTTCACCGGCCCTTCAGACCCACCAGGCCACTGTGGACTGGTGTACGTTGTTCCTGCGAATCATCTCCAAGACGCCCCCCGCAAGCTCCATGGGAGACTCGAAGGAGGAGCGCGAATTGAACCACTGGTGGAAGTGTAAGAAGTGGGCGTATGCCAACTTGAACCGTCTCTTCATCAGGTAAGACCTCAGTCTTTTCGGGCTCTATTTTGAGACTCCCGGTTTAACATACCATTTTACCCCTCCAGATACGGTAACCCCTCCACGATGACCAAGTCCTCTACGCCCGACTACACCCAGTACGCGAAGACCTTCATCACCACTTTTGCGCCGGAAATCCTCAAGGGATACCTCCAGGAGATCGACAAGTGGGTGTCAAAGGCCCAATGGCTCAGCAACCCTGCTCTCTCCTACACTCTGATCTTCATGGAGGAGTGTGTCAAGCCCAAAGCGATGTGGGATCACTTGAAGCCGCATATGGACAACCTGATCGCGCATTTCGTCTTCCCTACTCTGTGCCAATCGGATGAGGATATCGAATTGTTCGAGGAGGACCCTTCAGAATACCTTCACCGCAAGCTGAACTACTATGAGGAGGTTTCAGCTCCTGATATCGCTGCGACAAACTTCCTTGTTGCCCTCACCAAGAACCGCAAGAAGCAGACATTCGCGATCCTTACATTCGTCAACAGCGTCGTCAGCAAGTACGAGGCTGCCCCCGATGACCAGAAGCTTCCCCGGGAGAAGGAGGGTGCTTTGCGTATGATTGGCTCTCTTTCTTCGGTTATTTTGGGCAAGAAGAGCCCTATCGCGGATCAGGTCGAATACTTCTTCGTCAGACACGTTTTCCCTGAATTCCGCAGTCCTCATGGATTCCTGCGTGCCCGGGCTTGCGACACTCTCGAGAAGTTTGAACAGCTTGACTTCAAGGACCCCAACAACCTCATGGTTATCTACCGCAATATCCTGGAGTCGATGACTGATTCCGAATTGCCCGTCCGTGTGGAAGCTGCCCTTGCCCTGCAGCCGCTGATCCGCCACGATGTCATCCGTACATCGATGCAGCAAAACATCCCGCAGATTATGCAGCAGCTTCTTAAGCTGGCCAACGAGGTTGATGTTGATGCTCTGGCCAACGTCATGGAGGACTTTGTTGAGGTCTTCTCCGCGGAACTGACTCCTTTCGCCGTGGCCTTGAGTGAGCAGCTGCGCGACACCTACATGCGCATTGTTGGTGAGGTTCTTGAGCGAAATGCCACCAAGGGTGATGAGGAGGGCTTTGGTGACTTTTTGGACGACAAGAGTATCACCGCATTGGGTGTTCTACAGACCATCGGAACCCTCATTCTGACCCTTGAGAGCACTCCTGACGTTCTCTTGCATCTCGAGACCATTCTGATGCCAGTTATTAGCATCACATTGGAGAACAAGCTCTACGATTTGTACAACGAAATCTTTGAGATCATTGACAGCTGCACATTTTCATCCAAAAATATTTCGCCCACCATGTGGCAAGCATTTGAGCTGATCCACAAGACCTTCAAGGGCGGCGCTGAGCTCTACCTGGAGGATATGCTCCCTGCACTTGATAATTATGTTTCCTATGGATCTGACATGCTGGTTCAAAACCCAGCTTACATTGGTGCCCTCGCTGGAATGGTGGAGGATATATTCCGGAATGAGAGTATCGGTGGTGTTGATCGCATCAGTGCTGCCAAGCTCGCCGAGGCTCTCATGCTCAACCTTCGCGGGAGCATCGACCAGTACATTCCTCTTTTCATCGAGTTGTCCATGAGCATCCTTGACCCTGCCGATGTGAAGGCCAAGACCTACCGCATCCACCTGATGGAGATGACCATCAATGCCATCTACTACAACCCCGTTCTCAGTCTCCAGGTCCTGGAGGCTAAGGGCTGGACTAACAAGTTCTTCAGCCTTTGGTTCTCCAACATTGACAACTTCCGTCGTGTTCACGATAAGAAGCTGTCTATTGCCGCCATCAGCTCGCTTCTTACCATGAAGGCGGGTGATGTTCCCGTCAGCGTCCAACAGGGCTGGCCGAGGTTGCTGCAGGGTGTGACAAGACTCTTCCAGACTCTGCCTGCTGCTCTTAAGCGTATGTACTCCTGGGTCTACCCGACTTGATATCTGATTACTAACATTCTATTTTAGAACGCGACGAAACTACCAAGGAGTCCGACTTCACTCTCGATGACGACTTTGACGATGAGGATGAGGACAATGACTGGGATGGTGAAGTTGAATGGAACGAGGAAGAGGGCGAGACTACTGCTGCTCTTGACGGTGACGTTGCAGATGAGAGTGCTGCCTACCTCGAATTCCTCAACCAGGAGGCTCAGAAATTCGGCTCGTTCGCCGATGACGAGTTTGAAGATGAGATGGACGAGGAGAGTCTACTTGAGACCCCATTGGACAAGCTTGAGCCGTATGGCATGTTCAAGAATGTATTCCTGAGTACGTTGCCTTATATGCTCACCTGTCTACCATTTTGCATTCACTAACGATCTCTATAGACCTTCAGTCAGAGCAACCCCAGCTGTATGACAGCCTGATCAAGGTCCTTGGCCCCGACGAGCAGCAGATTATCCAGGCCGTCTTCCACGAGGCCGACGCCAAGGCAATGGTCGCTGCTGCCAACGCCGAAGCCGACGCTGCAGCGGGTATGCAGTCCAACGGCAACCAATAGAGCAGCGGTGCTTCACAGAGTTCAATACCATGCTGTTCACTGCCTCAATGTCTGGTTTTGTTTTTAGGATCTCTCTCGCATCCTTTCTCACGAGACATATGCCAATTTCATGTCATCTTCCCACTGTTTAGATCACGTCTTGCTCCCCCGTTTATATGTGCTTATGTTTCCTCTTTTTTCTTCCTCTCATGTCCCGCTGATGTGCTCTCAAAAAGTCGCTACCCCCCTGCCTTTTCTAATCCGCCTCCCTGCACAGATTCCCCCAAGAACAACCCCCTCATGATATAGTACATCAGCTTCAACACAAATATCGAGTTCAAAATTTATTTCGAAACGTAGATCTTTAAAATTTCTCCTTTTGACTACTGGTTTGGATTGTTTATCAAAACGTCTCTGTCATGTTCTGTATGTTCGCGTCGCGCGTGATGAGTATACAATGATGTCACTAATGGGCCTCGATCCAATTGAATCTCCAACCCGACAAGTAGGAAACAGTGGTAAACCCGTAAGTTTCAATTTGCTGGGAGAACCTGTTGCACTCCGCTCCCCGCGAGCGGCGGCACATTGCAACGTCATAATGATGGAAAATCCAGAATGACTGGTTTAGGTGATCACGTTTGTTGGAGATAAATGGCAACTTAAATGGGCTCAATTCTAGATTTCCAACACATCATTTAATTCAGTCCAACTGAACGATTGTACCTATACCATCTACCCCGAATTCAGAAATAAGAGGTGAGTAGAGAGTAAGGTCGATGAGCTGGACCGGGGACTATCTAGACACCTCACCAGACTTAGTCGCCACCTACATCTTCTCCGCACAAATCTAACATGTCGTCGACGCAGAAACTATCTAAACTCGTTTTCACCTATTCCACCAATCCTCTACGCCATGTCTTCGCAATTGCCCGGTCGCCAGTCCCCAGAACCATCCAATTTGACCGGTGCCCAACAGCACGACGTCCCAGGCAGTGGCAAGATAGGCTCCACAATGGGCAACGCACGACCAGCACCGGAATTTTCCCAGGACAAGTCAGAGCAGCAGAAGCGGAGCAGCTTGGAAAGCAACCCCGAACACCCATTGGAGAAAATTGAGGCTGCGAAGTATGCGAAATAGGGCGTTTTCTTTCTGCTTCTTGATGATTTACGAGGGGTATTATTAGCATACCTCGAAACCGAAACCCAATTCAATGTTTATGGATAACTTTACTTAAGACTATTTATGGCATGACGTGTCCGGACGATGTTTTACTTAAAGTCTTCCACCCGCGTATAAGAGCTTAACTACGGAAACGACCTTAACTACGGAAACATGGCAGGTGGGAGTAGACAAGAAAGAGGGGGGGGATATTCTTATTATTCATATCTGCTTATTTGCATCATAACGACCATGGAAACAAACACATTGCAATCGTAAATTCGTCCCGGAAAAGAAGCCATTATGAACGAGACATGGTAGACACAGAGGCAAAGTCGATATCAACACGACCCTAAGAAATCACGCCAGTAAAGGAAAGGTATCACTAGCCGACCGAATCACTCTAAGCCTTAGGCTCAGCAGGGGGCACCGCGCCAGCAGGCTCAGAAGCAGGAACAACAGTCGGGGCAACGGCGGCAGCCTCAGCGGGCGCAGCAGGGGCGACAGCAGAGGAATCAGCAGTAGTAGCAGTAGCATCACCCTCAGCGCCACCCTTACCAAGCTTCAGATCAGCGAGACGACGAGCCTCATTGTGAATATCACGGACCTGCTTATCAGTCTGGACGTAGAACTCGCGCAGCTTCTGGCCGTGGGGATGCTCAAGGGCCTTCTCGAAGTAATGATTTAGACCGCGCCAGCCCGTAGCCGCCTTCTCAGAGATCTTGTAGTTCTCATCGAGACCCTTCGCGCGGCCGGTAGCATTGAACTTGTTGTCGAAGTTGCTCAGTGCGTTAGTGAAACGGCTTGAGAAGCCATGCTTTTGGTCCAGGGAAATCGCCTTTTCAATTGCGCCGTCGCTGACGACGTAGCCGTGTGCTAGGTACTCGGCCAGAATGCGCGAGCGAGGCTTATCCTCCTGTGCGATTTCGTGCTCGTCGTCGGTCTTTTCGCCTGCGCCGGTGGCTTGGGCTCCGGCGAGATCGTTGATGTTGGAAGTTGATTCGACGTGGACGGGGGCTCCGCCCAATTGGGTCTGGTCGAGGAGGAGGGCGGTTTTGGCGGCGCTGGATAAGGTGAGATTTTGTTAGGTTGGTGAAGGAGAGGTGGCGCCATTTGGATACTGTGAAACGCGGTGCGGGGTAGCTTACGCTTCCTTCTCAAATGTCACACTGGCGGACTTGACAGAATCGGCGTCAGATGAGACGGGAGTGATGGACAGAGTCACAATCTTGCCACTATTGGGAGGAGATTTGGTTAGCAATGTGAAATATAGTATGACGTCTGCCTGTTGTAGGAGCTGTTATATACCAGAAGCTGAAGAAGTCGCGAACATCTTTCTCAGAGGTTGCAGGCGAGATGCCGGAAACCTGAACAGTAGCGTGGGTAGACATGGTTATCGTAGGGTATCTTGTAAAAAGCTGAAATGAAATGGGAAAGAAGAGCGAAAGGGACTCAGGAGGGGCACGCAAACAGGACTAAATACTCCAGAGAGATGATGCTGTCAGTCACAGGCTAAACCACGTAGGTACGCCACAGGTGACGTAGCGGTGGGCTGCACCGCCTCAGGCTACTGCATATTAAATCTAAATTCATCAAGGCTCCAGTGCTTGTGCTAGTACTAGTAACTAGTAACTAGTACGGGTTCGCTGATTAGTGGTTACTATCTATATTAGTGGGGACAGTACGGTTACGGTGCTCCATGGCAATCGATGTGTTACTAGAAGGTACTGTACAGAAATCAAAGATAATAATAAGATAAAAGAACGCTTCCTTAATTTGTGTCTGCCTGCAGTGTCCAGAAATGTAATCGAAAGGTGCAACGCTCCGGGCTATGCGTCAAGAAGAAATGAACTAAAACTAAATCTCCAAGTCCGTTCCTGTCGGTCCCTCAGAATGTCCCTCCTTCAGGGTTTTTAACGTACTCTCCAGCTCCCGCACCCGTCTCCGAAGCATGTCATTCTCTCGTCTGACGATATCAAACTCTGATTTGTGGAATGCAACTTCCTCGCTTCGTGACATGGGTGTACCGGAGTGACCAAGGTGGGTTTGCGACACCGAGTTCCGGTGAGGATAAATGGTAGGACTGCTACCGTAGGTTTCACCGTGGGGGTATTGCGAATAAGACGATAAGGATCCGACTGAGGGCCGGCGAGATGTCAGAGATGCCTCACGACTGCGAACCGGGCGAGTTGGCGCTTCGCGAGAGGGAGCAATCCCCGTCACGCTTGCAGTTTGAGGAACTGGGGCTGACGGGGTGTGGGCGCTGAGACTGGATGAGGATCGATGTCGACGGGAAGACTGCGAGCGAGTCGAGCTTCCCAGATTCGGGGATGTGTAGAGCCCATCCGTAGAATCATTGAAATTGGAGGTGGAGGAAGCTGTCGATGCTGTGGATGCGGTTTGTTGACGGAGGAGGGAAAGTTCGCGGGTCAACCGATTCACCTAGATCAGAAAATTGTGTTAGATACTAAGTATTCGGTGTATTGAAAATAGCCGCTCTGTTCAAGTTGAACTCACCATCGCCTCCTGCTCCTTCTCCAAGGCCATATGGAGATCCGATGGGGTGAGGGGTTTGGGATGCCGCAGTGGCCCTGGCGAACCAGTCAGTTCCAAGGTTTCCAAATGATCATCCGATAACAGAAACGAGTGGTGGGCGAAGCTTACCTTGAGCTGTACTAGTTATACCATACTCACTTGATCCTAGCGGTGGGCTCCCTGAGTGCTGGGTAGGAGCCGCATAGGAGGGTGTCACCATGGCTGGTAGCACCGAGGTAGCGGCGCGGGGTCGACGGGGAGTGGAATCCAGGCCACTGAGATCGGGGGCCATGATGCCAGATCTTAGCAAATAGCAGGGATGCTATGGGTTTCTGGGTATCAATGGTTGAGCTCCTCTGAACCTGCAGAAGGCATAAAGAAACTTGAACAAAGAGCAGCTGGCCAGCGAACTATAAACCTTGGACAGAGTGCAGTGTTTTAGCGTCGGGCAGCGAAGGCGTGGCAGAGCTGATCAAAACAGCAGCCCCTTGATCGGAATTCCCCAGTGAACTTGAAACATTCCAGAGTGTGGGTGATGATGATCATCTGATGAAGGTCGGTGCAGGGAGGTGATTACTTATAAGTTATGACAGGGGAAGCCCCTCCCAACACCCTAGTGACCAGTGACCACCTGGGCATACTATCCTGGACACTCACAGCACCAGTTGCAGGTGATCAATCGACTGGCCATTATTTGCCAGGGTACTAGCGCGATAGCCTCGGAATCCGTAGTCTATAGTAGCACTAGAATTTAGGAACTTGAATGCATACTATACAATTCCAGTCCACCTGGTGTACAAAGTATGAACCACTGGCACTTTCGCTGATCTACGACGAGATATATACCTCAAGCTCAACTTGAAATCTCTCAACTGGTCGATCGACCACATCTTTGGGCATCACTGCACGTCATCATCCTAGCCTGAAGATAGACAAGCTGAGAAACTCCTCGCAGCTCCCAAACAATACTAGAGTACCCTCCCTGTAGTAACTACTAACTAGTAAGCTCCACGGTTGATCTGCATGACTAAGCATCCCAAATCGGCAAAACAACAACGAAAGTGTCGACATATCTTTGTTGTCTGTGGAGTTCCAATAATCAATCTGACTCGATACATACCTACTGTACCTGCTAGCTACTGGGTACGAGGCACTTAGCCGTGGCAACTCCTACCAATGACACCATGACCCGACCCAACGACCCCCCCTACCCACATTCCACCCTTCGTGAAACCGCTCGCTCCTTACATCAAGCCCCGACAAGAGGCTCTCCGCATTCGACAAGCCCTGACGTTGTACCTGCGCTCCTTTATCGTCTACACCGAAGATGTCGACCCGAATATCGCCCAATCACACCTCGCACTATGCGCGCCGACCGATGCCGTCGCCGACGTGAAGCGCATCCCTGCTGATCTCCCGGGACTACGAAAGGAATACCTGAAGGCCCTGCAGGCCAATGTCGCTGCTAGGAAGGGGCTGCAGGCTGTGTCAGAGGATGTAGCCTCGCTGAGACGTCAACGGGCAACCAGGCACCGCCCTGCTGACCCTGTCGATCCCCAGGAACCTGGGGCGGAGCTGCGAGATTATCTCCTGCTGCTGCGCGATCGACGTCGTCATGCCAAACTGAAGGTCTTCGAGCATTATCTTGCTGAGCTCCAAGCGAATGGATCTGCAGATCGGGCAGAGAATCTCGATGCCCGGGAGAGCCCTGATCAGGGCCTGCTACTATCGGAGGGTCTAGAGGCCGAGGGACCCGGTCGTGGCAATTCTCACACAGACCTCGAAGGTTTGGTTCATAACCTTGAACGAGCGGTGGTTCGTGCCCGGGCGCAGTTGGATCGGGAAAAGCAGCTGTTCGAGAGGGTAAAGTCGCGACATGAGTCGAGAGAAGGTACACCTCCACGCGAACCTACGCCCGCCGTCAAACTCCAAGCCTTACGACGGACCCGTGATGAGTTAGTACAATGGGTCGAGGAACGTCTCATCAGCGAAGGAGACCCCGACGAGAGTATGGTACAAGAATTGCCGCCGGAGGAGATTGAAGAGACCCAACATCTCATCGAAGAACAAAAGGCCAATATTAGCGAGCAATATGCCGCCTACCTCAAGGCTCGACGGGAATTACTCGATGTCGCATCCAAGGCCTGTCAACCTGTGATCGTGACGACTAAGCCTGCGCCCCGGCCAAGCCAACGACCTGAGATCCCTACTGAAGAAATACCAGCACCCGACCCGCTAGATGCGTTGGTCTTCGCGACGGAGAACCTCGTTCCACTATCCAAGAGCCAGAAGACAATGGCACTCCAAAAAACCTATTTAACCGGGCTCCTCGCGAAAGAAAAATCCACCACTCTCCGGGCTCTGCACCGTCTCCGAGACGAAAGTCATCTCCTCCCCGAATACCCTATTCTAGCCCGACAACCACGCTTCAAACATGCCGTTGCCGCCCTCAATTCTCGCAACCAAGTCCAGAATGCTCGTACTGATACCAAACCGCCCGATGAGTTGGTCACGCTCGCCGAAGCGTGGTCATTCGCCTCGAACGCAGCGGGTACACAGGGGCGAGAATATGTACAGCAGAAGATCGCATTGGGGACAGAGGTCACGCAAGATGCCCGCAAGACACTCGGCGAAGTGTACGATCTACTTAATCAAGATCTAGATGAGGTCATGCGTGAGGGTGTGGAGCAGGACTCGGAAGCGTCAGATATATGGGCCTCCGAAGCTCGCACAGGACGAGGGGCAAGTGGGTCTCGACAGGAAAAACGTGCCAAGGGGCCCTGGGGAGGGTTGAATGGGCGAGTGGGAATTGAATGAGGAAATTCCAGTCAGTCGCATTACTGGTACAGTAATTGCAGACGAGGCGGATTGTTATGCGTCAATCGATATTGCCCTCAATTGGGAGGAGCTACGATGTACAGTATTTCGACTACATGAAGGGGAAACGAGTTGCTAGGCATGTACATGGACTATGTAATTTTCCTCGTTCGTCATACTCGTATGTAAGTGCTAGCAGATCCTTAAGGCTAGAGATAAATTTTCTCGTAAGATGATAAGACGAAGGAGTGCCGGCCCGGGCTGGCGAAGCGTCGATCCTGCACAGATAAGAATTGCCAGTAAGGGTGGCCCAGGATGGCCCTAGTTTGTCCGGCATCGGCGCACCCCAACAACTTACATGCCCAGGTGAGATGTTATTATATTTTAGTCAAAGTACGGACTGAATTCAATTAAGATGGAATTCTCTGTATGCCATGTATGGAGCCCTTTGTGCATCTGATTTAGAATCCTCTATATACCCACTACCTTAGAAAATAATTTAACACTCGTGACGCAGCGTCATGAGGAGCCCCAGGATATCCACAGTCACCGTCGACTATTGACTCATTCAGCCGGAAATTGCTGAAAAAATTGTCAAGATCGTGCAAATCCACCGCTTACAACTGGAATTAATTCGAATCAATCCAGTCTATTCAGTCAATCCAGTATTTTATTCTATCCTGACACTCTAGAATAATTAGCTTTTCTATCTTCTGTGCAATTGACTTCGACAGCCTTTTTCTTTTCGTTGGAGGAAAAAGGAGTGGAGCACGTACGGTGAGGGAGCAGCCAATTAGCGAAGCGGTGGGGGAAAAAAAAGACCTCCGCAGCATCGAGGACTCATCTTCTACAACCACTTCAAGTTCCCACCTTCGAGCCATTGAACTGCTGTCTCCGACGCTTTCGCGCCGCCATGGTTCTTGCAGCTCGTTGTGGGCAGGCTGCCACCCTCCTGCGCCAGCGATGCCTCGTTGAGGCTCGCCCGGCCTTGTCTCTCCGCACTTTCACCTCCCAGACCTCCGTTCGCTCCACGGCATCGGCCCTGCGCCTGCAGAAGCTTCCCTCGGCGGCTCGCTCCCAGCAGCTGCGCTCCTTCTCCAGCTCGCTCCGTCGCCTGGCGGAGGCCCAGCAGACCCCCACCGCCGAGTCTTACCTCAACAGCGGTGCCGTCAAGACTGGCAGCAACCTTGTTGACGTGAAGAAGGTTTTGGTCATTGGTTCCGGTGGTCTGAGCATTGGTCAGGCTGGTGAATTCGATTACTCCGGTATGTTCAATGCGTCAAATGGAATTGGGGTGATGCACGAGCGTGATATCTCCTCGCCGGAGTGAATGCGAGGGAGCTCGCGTGCTCTCCTTCTCTCCCGCGGAGAATCACATGGAGCGTCGTTACGCCATCTCCACAATATTTCCCCAGCTGCTTCCTCTTCACGGCAGTGACTAATACTCTGCTTTGCTTCATATAGGCTCCCAGGCTCTCAAGGCCCTCAAGGAGGCTGGTGTCCAGTCCGTCCTGATTAACCCCAACATCGCGACTATCCAGACCGACCACAAGCTGGCCGATGAGGTCTACTACCTCCCCGTTACTCCCGAATATGTCACCCACGTCATTGAGCGCGAGCGCCCCGATGGCATCCTGCTCACCTTCGGTGGTCAGACTGGTCTGAACCTGGGTGTTCAGATGAACCGCATGGGTATCTTCGAGCGCTATGGCGTCAAGGTCCTGGGAACCAGCATTAAGACTCTCGAGACCAGTGAGGATCGTGAACTTTTCTCTCAGGCCCTGAACGAGATCAACATCCCCATTGCCGAGTCCGTTGCTGTCGAGACCGTTGATGATGCTCTGAAGGCCGCCGAGCAGGTTGGCTACCCCATCATCGTTCGTTCCGCCTACGCCCTGGGTGGTCTGGGTTCTGGCTTCGCTGCCAACGCCGATGAGTTGCGTGATCTGTCTTCTCGCTCTCTGTCTCTCTCCCCCCAGATTCTGGTTGAGAAGTCCTTGAAGGGCTGGAAGGAGGTCGAGTATGAGGTTGTCCGTGACGCTGCTAACAACTGCATCACTGTTTGCAACATGGAGAACTTCGACCCGCTCGGCGTTCACACTGGTGATTCTATCGTCGTTGCCCCCAGTCAGACTTTGTCCGACGAGGAGTACCACATGCTGCGTACTGCTGCCATCAAGATCGTCCGCCACCTGGGCGTCGTTGGTGAGTGTAACGTGCAGTACGCTCTGCAGCCCGATGGACTCGACTACCGTGTCATTGAGGTTAACGCCCGTCTGTCTCGCTCGTCTGCTCTGGCTTCCAAGGCTACCGGCTACCCCCTGGCCTACACTGCCGCCAAGATTGGTCTCGGCCACACTCTTCCCGAGCTTCCCAATGCCGTCACCAAGACCACCACTGCCAACTTCGAGCCCAGTCTGGACTACATCGTTACCAAGATCCCCCGTTGGGATCTGAGCAAGTTCCAGCACGTTAACCGTGACATCGGCAGTGCTATGAAGTCTGTCGGTGAGGTTATGGCTATTGGCCGTACCTTTGAGGAGTCCCTCCAGAAGGCTATCCGCCAGGTCGACCCTAAGTACCTTGGTCTCCAGGGTGACCACTTCGAGAACCTTGATGATGTTCTCGCGAACCCCCACTGACCGCCGCTGGTTGGCCGTTGGCCAGGCTATGCTCCACGAGGGCTACACCGTTGACCGGGTTCACGAGCTCAGCAAGATTGACAAGTGGTTCTTGTACAAGATCCAGAACATTGTTGACTGCAACAACGAGCTGAAGGAGATTGGCAGCCTCTTCGGCCTCAAGCCCGAGATGATGATGAAGTCCAAGAAGCTCGGCTTCTCTGACAAGCAGATCTCCCTCCTGGTTGGTGCCTCTGAGGATGATGTCCGTGCTCGCCGTAAGTCCTTCGGTATCACTCCTTGGGTTAAGAAGATTGATACCCTGGCTGCTGAGTTCCCTGCCGACACCAACTACCTGTACACTACCTACAACGCTACTTCCCACGATGTTACCTTCGATGACCATGGAATCATCATCCTGGGTAGCGGTGTTTACCGTATTGGTAGCTCCGTTGAGTTCGATTGGTGTGCTGTTAACGCTACCCTGTCTCTCCGCAACATGGGCAAGAAGACTGTCATGATCAACTACAACCCCGAGACCTACTCCACTGACTTCGATACCGCTGATAAGCTGTACTTCGAGGAGCTGAGCTACGAGCGTGTTATGGATATCTACGAGCTCGAGAACTCCAGTGGTGTCGTTGTGTCTGTCGGTGGCCAGCTTCCTCAGAACATTGCTCTGCGTCTCCAGGAGACTGGTAACGCCACTGTTCTTGGTACGAACCCCGAGGATATTGACAAGGCTGAAGACCGTCACAAGTTCTCCCAGATCCTGGACAGCATTGGTGTTGACCAGCCCGCCTGGAAGGAGCTGAGCTCCGTGTCCGAGGCCGAGAAGTTCGCCGATTCCGTCGGCTACCCCGTCCTTGTCCGTCCCTCTTACGTTCTGTCTGGTGCCGCCATGAACGTCATCTACAGTGTCGATGAGCTCAAGGAGAAGCTTCTCAACGCCGCCGCCGTCTCCCCCGACCACCCCGTTGTCATCACCAAGTTCATCGAGGGTGCTGAGGAGATCGATGTTGACGCTGTCGCCTCCAACGGTAACCTCATCGTCCACGCCGTCAGTGAGCACGTTGAGCCCGCTGGTGTCCACTCTGGTGATGCCACTCTGGTCCTGCCCCCTGCCAACCTCGACGCCTCCATCATGAGCCGTGTCAAGGAGATCGCCGAGAAGGTCGCCAAGGCCTGGAACATCACCGGTCCCTTCAACATGCAAATCATCAAGGCTGACGCCGAGGGTGCTGAGCCCCAGCTGAAGGTCATCGAGTGCAACCTGCGTGCCTCTCGCTCTTTCCCCTTCGTCAGCAAGGTCCTGGGTACCAACTTCATTGACGTCGCCACCAAGGCTCTCGTCGGCCGTGATGTCCCTGAGCCCGTTGACCTGATGGCCGAGAAGCGTGACTACCTGGCCACTAAGGTTCCCCAGTTCTCCTGGACCCGTCTGGCTGGTGCCGACCCCTTCCTGGGCGTCGAGATGTCCTCCACTGGTGAGATTGCTTGCTTCGGTAAGGACCTGGTCGAGGCCTACTGGGCCTCTCTCCAGTCCACCATGAACTTCCGCATGCCTGAGTCTGGCGAAGGTATCCTGCTTGGTGGTGATGTCACCCAGCCTTACCTGGCCAAGATCGTCGACTACCTGAACCCTCTGGGCTACAAGTTCTATGCTGCCAACCCTGAGGTCAAGGCTCACATCGAGAATACCTGCAAGGACAACGCCTCCGTCCAGGTCATTGAATTCCCCAAGAAGGATAAGCGTGCCCTCCGTGAGGTCTTCGAGAAGTACGACATCCGTGGTTGCTTCAACCTGGCCAAGACCCGCGGCAAGACCCAGCTGGATGAGGACTACGTGATGCGCCGTAACGCTGTCGACTTCAGCGTTCCCCTCTTCATGGAGCCCAAGGTAAGCTCTAACATCTCCTACGCTCACATTATTGCTACATTTATACTAACTTCTTCCCAGACTGCCCAACTCTTCGCTCAGTGCATGAACGAGAAGCTGCCCCGCCAGGAGGGTATCCCCTCCGAGGTCCGCAGCTGGTCCGAGTTCGTCGGCGGCAAGCTGCTGTAAATTGATAATTTAAACCCTTGCACAAAATGACAGAAAGAGCCCTCTCCCCAAATGCGCCACAATACAACACAACACAACCAGGCGGGCCTGTCTAACACCCCTTGTCATACCTTTTCAAGGCGGTGTAGCAGGCTATAGGGTATCTTGTTGATAGACGGCGTGCATTTTTCCTTTTTCTCTCTTTTTCCCGCTCTATATTCGGTTTCTTTTTTTGGATGGTACTTGAGGTTTTCCTTTTTTCCCCTGTGGCGAAATGAAATGTGGTTGGAATTCAGAGTTACATTAAACCCATTTTCCTCCGTCTCCCAAATGATCTATATCTTGCCTAACGAATTGGGTCTGCTTCTTACCTGTTTTTTTGCCGGAATTTGTTTGTAGTCGATTGGTTTTGTGTTTCAGCGACAAAAGAACTTTTCTATATTATTCTTGCTCTTCCCGGTAGACAAATGTAGTATTTGTGTAGTATTCTGCATACCTATGTAGTCCGAATTTCCCCAATCGCCAGGACAGAATGATCTGCTTCTCTTGAACAAATTGGAATAGTCTAGGGTAGCTACCAGGCGTGGACCAAATACCAAGCCTGAGGTTCAAAATGCACATGACTAAGCCAGGTCAGCATCTTCCCGCGTATATCAGAGAGCGATATTGGCGGTGGAATGCACATCACAAATATCCTGAAAATGTCATCTCGGAGTCCTCTACCATCTGTCAGTACCAAAACAGAGCCCCGTTCCTCTGGGGGCATGGGAAACGGCCTATTTGCCACCTCGGATATAAAGGTCGGTGAAGATGTGTTGCACGCCAAAGTGCCGTTTGTGGCCGTTCTTGATACGTCGCGCCTGGAAGATACCTGCTCCGGCTGCTTTGGGAAAAGGCAGATGGAAAATAGTGCAGAGCTAAAGGCTTGTACGGGGTGTCGGGTGGTTAAATACTGCGATCGGGTGAGTTTAAGCTCCATGGATATTATGTTTGTTTCGTCTCTTCTCTTCTTATGCGGGCGATTGATTCGTGTGGCGGGACTGCCAGCATCTGTATATCGATTTTGATGATTGATTTTGCTTCGAGAGAATCTTCTAATAAACCTTGGAAAACTCTAGACTTGTCAATCTAAAGATTGGAAATTCGCCCACGCCGGGGAATGTCCTATTTACCAGAAGGTGAAGCCTAATGTCCTGCCCAACAACGCGCGCGCTATCATGCGCATGGTTGTTCGCACTGGTCGCGGGAAATACAGTTCTCAGGAGCTGGATACTCTTTCCAAGCTCGAGACGCATATGAACGAGATTCAGGAGCTTCAAGCCAACCTCGACCGCATTATCACGACCTCGAAAGCTGTCAAAAATTACTCCGAGACAGATATGACCGAGAATGTTATCATGACTTACGCAGCTCAGGTAAGAAGCAGTTGACAATTTGACACTGTCGAATGAAGATACCCCTTAAAGGATTTCCGTTAATCGATATCCTAGCTTGAGCTCAACTCATTCAATCTGACAACCGCCCTTTACGACCGAGTCGGGTTATACATGCATCCCTACGCCGCTCTGATCAACCATAGCTGCGAGTATAACTCGACCGTCGGGTTTGACGGAGAGGAGCTATTCGTCAAAGCTATTCGTCCAATCAAGAAAGACGAGGAAATCTTCATATCCTACATCGACACAACGACCCCGAAACAAGTCCGCCGCAAAGAACTATCCGAAAGATATTTCTTCGACTGCAAATGTCCGAAATGCGCCGACACCCAAGAGGAAAAGTTAAACTTCAAGGAATACTCCTCCACAGAAGAAAAAGCAGAGAAAACCGCCCTCGAAGAAGCCGAGCGAAAAGCACTAGAACTAATGCAAACCGCCAGTGCATCAAGCACAACACCGATCGAAACGATCAAAAACCTCGAAATGGCCCTCCACACCCTAAAAGCAGCATCTTCCTGGCCTTTAACCCGTCAACCATACGCTTCGCTCCGCGACGACCTGATCGTGGCCCTCCTCTCAGCCAACAGCTTCAGCAAGACATTCATCCACGCTGCAATTCGATACCTTCGCGTCGACCCGATATTGTACAGCCCCGCACACCCGGTCCGACACGTGCACGCGTGGATCCTGGCGAAGTTGGCCATCTTCTTGTCTCAAGGATACGAGCCTGACCCGGCAGATCCTATCCAATTGCACGACTTCGGAATCAACTTTCACTATATACTGTGGTATATCCTTGCTGATTTGGCTAGTAAGCAGATGGAGAGTTGTACCGTGCCTGGATTCAAGAAATTGGTCGCGGCCAATTTCCAGCAGGTTCATACTGAGTTCAAGGCTAATGGTATTGATCCGAGTACGGCGAAGCCTCTTGTTAGTGCCGAGTGGATGAAGCTTGAGAAGTTGGTTCAGTTTGCTTTGGATAGGGAATGATCCATCGTATGGAACCATGACAGGAATCAAAGTGCTTGTATGCTTCTACTAGTATTACTATCTTTCCATGGCGTAAAAACTTCAAGTTGAAGAGATGATGTGATGTCTATGTCGATGATACGATCATTTTACTATAGAGCCCTGGAGGAAGAGGTCTGGGGAGCCAAAGTTCACGTTGTAAACCTTGGATATGTGTAATTTCGACTTCCAAAGCAATGCACGATTTGGGGGGTGTTCATGCCGAATCAATAAATACAAGAAAGAGCCGGAATACCGGGGAGTAAACATCAAATATGCAAGTGTATATATACAATGTACAGAAAGTCCTCTCTTGAGCAGGATGGATAAGAAGGTAGTAGTAGTAACCGATAGCCCAGCTCACATCAGACTCGATCGACCTCCAATCTCATTGGTAGCCTCGCCATTTGGCATTTTACCATCGCGGCCATCGATAAACTCCCGATAAATACCCTCGAGACGTCTGCGCTCAGTAGAGCTCAGAGAAGAACGAGTGGTAGCAAGAGAACGCTCAACGTGCTCCCATCGCACGATGATTTCGTCCCGCATTTCATCTGCAGAGGCATCGGCACCGGCGCCATTGGTGGCCGGAGCAGCTGCAGGACCATTGTTGGCTGTTCCATTCTCAATCTGGCGCTGACGACGACGCGAGTTCTTAATCGCCTCTAGTTTTGCCGCGACCACAGCTGGCGACGGCAGAGAAGAAGAACCGGTCGCTTCCTCTTGAGAAGAGTAGAGGAATTGAATGAACGACCTGTTGGAAGCACTTGTCGAAGCATTCTTCGTAGCATTTGATTTTGCGCCGGGCTTTTCATCACTGGTGCGATCTCCAAGTGCGTCATGGACGGCTTCCAGGTGTGCGTTGTATACAACGGCTTGTAGATCGGCTCCAGAAAGACCCTCCGTCCTTGAAGCGATCTCGTCCAGACGGCCAGCCACCTCCTCACTCATCTTCAATTTCGAGCTAACAGCGCTGATGATGTCGACGCGATCGGCTTGAGAGGGCATGTCACACAGGAGAGACTTGTCGAGACGACCGGGACGGAGAAGAGCAGGGTCAATCAAATCGGGGCGGGATGTGGCGGCTAGAACGTAGACGCCCGAGAGACCTTCAGCACCGTCCATCTGAGTAAGAAGTTGATTGACAACGCGATCAGTGACACCGGTGGAGTCGTGGCCACGTTTTGGAGCGATACTGTCAAACTCATCAAAGAAGAGAATACAGGGACGTGCGGCCTGAGCTCTTTCGAAGAGATCGCGAACGCTCTTTTCACTAGCACCGATATACTTGTTCAGGATCTCGGGACCCTTCACACTGATGAAGTTCAAGCCACATTCACCTGCCACAGCGCTGGCCAGGAGTGTTTTACCGCAACCAGGAAAGCCGTACAACAGCAGACCGGACCGTAAACGAAGGGGACATTGTGCGAAGATGGGTGCATACTTTGTAGGGTACTGCAATGTCTCGAGTAAGGTCTTGCGGGTTTCGAATAGACCACCGATCGCTGAGAACGTGGTTGTCGAGGAGGTGAGAGTAACATTGCGGAGAGACGCTGGAGTAAATCCCTTCAAGGCACTGTCAAAATCCGCGGAACCGAGAGTAATCATCTTGCTTTCGGATGACAGATCCTGAACGGAGCGAATGAGAGCCTCGTTACGAGCACGAGCAACCAACAGGACAAGATCACCAGGCATGTAACCATCGGTCTTACCTGCCAGCTCAAGGAAGTCCACATCACGATCTAAGACGAATCCATCGCCACCGGACGAGCTTGGGCGGCTTCCAGGGTTCGAAGGATCCAGCCATGAGTCCTGAGTCGAGGAACTTGTGGTACGCGCATGACCATTGAGGGATTCCGTCGGTTTGTCCTGGCTAGTCAGCTTCTCTAGAACCTTTCGACGCCCGTCCTTGTCGGGGGCACGCATGTTGATGATCTCGCGGACCACATGGCCTCCGATGATCACGTTGTTCAGAGATTCCTTGTCTTGAGCAGTGGCCATCAGAACAACAGAAGAGTTCATTGAGCAATATTCGCGAACCATTGAACAGATAACTTCACTGTTCTGGCGACTGCGACCATTGTCATTTCCGACTTGCATTTCCGTTTCCGCGGGGCACAGTTTATCAAGATCGTCGAGAATCACTACTGCACGCCCACCAAGACGAGCACACCACGAAGCAGACATAAAAAGGCGGTTCAGAACTTCCTTGATGTTGGATATTCTGGTCTCGTCCGTGACAAGCTTGCGGCAAGAAAAATATTTTACATTGAACAGATGCTCTTTCCGCAGGCGACTAGCCAGGAGATGCGTAAGTGCGGTCTTTCCAGCTCCGAGACCTCCAGTCAGCAGGATTGACGAGGACTTGGTCATATTGGCGAGTGACTGAGAGATGATCGAATCAATGCCAACCATTAAAGGAATCTCAGTTGGAATAGGATCATCTGAAGGCAGAGAAGATGAGTTGATATCAAGTGGCTTGGCAATTTCAGCTTGAACCTCAAGGTTGAGCTTCGCTTCGGAACCGAGAAGCCACCCAAACATAGTCTTAGTCTCATCGGGGCCGCCCTTCAAGGGAGGATCGAATCGAAGTATGGCGCCGTCGAAGGATGATACCGACGGGTGGTTCTCAACCTTTGGAAGAATCATCCCATCCGTCAGAGGCCCTGAAAACAGTCCAACATCCGATCCTGTGCTTCCGTAGATAACCTTCAATCGCTCCGCAAGAGCATCACGGGAAGCCGCGGTGTCAGCACCAAACTTCAGCCCGTCCTTCTTCTTCGATGGGTCAGCAATGAATGGATATAGCTTGAGCGTCTTGACAGCAGAGCGATGCAGTTGTGGTGGGGCAGCTTCCACTCGAACAATACCCCCAACTAGATTCTCCGCACCCAGGGCCGTGCACAAAAGAGTCGACATCGCAACATGACTGTTATCTGGAGCATCCTCCCAAGGAAGAAGCTTGGCTACCAACTTCGTTGTTGGAGCTCCCGCTTCGTTGTTCTTTTGCTCTTGTTGAGCTAGTTGCTGCTGTGGATCCACCGGAGGCTTCAGACCGGATGGCTGGACAATGGATACGCATGCCCAGTTTGCGCCTCGGAGTTCATGGGATACCAAAAGCTCCGGATCAACCCAGACACGAAGACCTTCATCTTCGTCCTCTTCAACTTCCGGCTCGAACATCTCAGACGCCGTGAGGCGATCAACGCCTCTGAGGTATAGAGAACCTCTACTGCTGGATTCAGAGCGGCTGCTCTTGGGACGAACAGTGCTACTAGCACTTCGGCCACCCGCGCTCCTTCTGCTGCTCCCAGCCGTACTTCGGCTTTCGCCGCGCGGCGACTTAGAGGTCTTTGAACGGACCTTCGGGGCAACTATCACCTCGGCATCGGGGGCGATCTTCGCAAATGGCGATGTGGTTGATGGGGCCGGAGTCAAGGATGTAACGATAATGTTTGCGGTCGAAGTGGGGGAAAGGTGAAGCGCCAATGGGTGCATGTGTTCCTCCCCTGCGGCGGCAGCATCATAGGAAGGGTTGGGAAGGGCTCGGATCTGCGACAGGAGATTGAGCTCTAGGAAGGTGGCGTGAAGTTCAATGACTACAACACAACAAGGTCAGCGGTAGGACCTGAGAATAGCACCTAATACGCAAACATACTCTCCCAGTCCTCTGGAGTCAATGGCTCGATATTGATCGTGTGGGCGACGGGTGGGTCAAGATGTACGAGGAGGCCGACCTGCAAGGAGTTAATTACCCCACACATGATTTTTGAGTTGGTATACCGGAGGTAAATACCTTCTGCCCTTCAGTAAGACCTAGCAGTCTTCCGAAGGTTGTGTCGATCTCGACAGTGGATATCTCTTGTTCTCGAGAGAAGCCGCCATCTCGAGCAACGACTGGCGCAAGCTTACGCTTGCTCGGCATGCCTGTCCACCCCAGGAAGCATGATCGCTGCGGCGGTGCCCCAGCCCCATTGGCCTTACCACTGGCGGACTTGAATTGAAATTCGATGATCACATTTTGAGCAGGCTACAATGGCGGAGGATTAGCCGGGAATGCGGCATTGACCGAGGGAAGTAACTAACCGTATTGGCATTAACCAGCAAGGAGACGAGTGACGGCGGAAGGTTGACGAGACAATTCTTCAGTGGAACAAGAGCAACTTCGGCAGTGGTGGAGGGCTTCTTGGGCGCCATGATCAAGGCGCAAAGCTATTGTCGCAAACAGAAGAAGGAGAGAGTGAGGAGTAGAACATCCCCGGACATCCCACTCCACACTCGATTAGCCTCGGCCCGTGACCATAGATGCTATCAGGTGACTTATCCACGGCAGACACCGATCTGAGTCAGCAAGCCTTAGTCAGCTACATACCAGAGCGCGTCGAAACGCGTCCTTTTCGCGCGCCTGCCTCACCCACGCGTCTCAGGCAAGGTTGCCGCCCGCCCGCTAGGGGCTGAGAGAGCTGAGGCTTTCCTTCTCGGAAACCCACTTTGCACCACTTTGCGTCTTCACTACTCCAACCTGACTTCGGAGCATCCCACCCCCACCATACATCATGGCTTTGCTCCAGTACCAGGCGCCGGTCGACTACGCCGCCCAATTGGACGGCTTCAAGGATTTTCTTCAGCATTTCAAGACCCTCCAGTCATCCTCGGAAGCTGCTGCGACCGAGGCCCTGGAGGATCTTAACATTGACGGAAATCGCACCAGTGACGAATACGATTTTATGGATGATGCTGATGATGGAGAGGGAGCCCAGACCCGTGGTGCGAGGAGGCGTCGTGAGCCGAAGCTCAAGTACATGCAGATTCTGCAGGATATCTCTAACCGCGACGTTACAAACATCGTGATTGAGCTTGATGATCTGGATATTGTGAGTTCCAGCCCTTCCATCTGTACCTCTACATCTGTCGCTTGGTCAATTAACCCTCCACTTCTGTAGTACGAGAAATCCCTCCCCGATGAGCAGCAGTCATTGAACCTTGTCGGGTCAATCCAGAAAAACACAAAGCGCTATATCGATGTTTTTTCACAGGCAGTGGACTCGGTCATGCCGAAGGAGACCAAGGATGTCACGTATGTGCATGCGCCGTGGAACTCCAATGAAGTCACACAGTGGGCTAATTTTCTATAGATTCAAGGATGATGTCTTGGATGTCATCATGTCGCAACGTGATAAGCGCAACGAGACGATGGAGATGGCGCAGGAGGCCGATATGGATACTGCTGACCCTGCCGCCTTGTTCCCCGCTGAACTCACCCGCCGATACACCCTCAACTTCAAGCCTCTTACTCCCTCCGGCTCCAGTGATGATCGGGCCGGCAAGGCCCTCGCTGTCCGAAATGTGCGCGGCGAGCACCTGGGTAGTCTGATCACTGTGCGCGGTATCACCACTCGTGTCTCCGATGTCAAGCCCGCCGTTGAAATCAATGCCTATACCTGTGACCGCTGCGGCTGTGAAGTTTTCCAGCCTGTCAACACGAAGCAGTTCCTTCCTCTCTCTGAGTGCTTGTCCAACGAGTGTAAGACGAACAACTCCAAGGGTCAACTGTTTCTTTCCACCCGAGCCTCCAAGTTTGTTCCCTTCCAGGAGGTCAAGATCCAGGAGATGGCAGACCAGGTGCCTGTTGGCCATATTCCCCGCTCCCTTACTATTCACTGCCACGGTGCCCAGACTCGGCAATTGAACCCAGGTGATGTCGTTGACATTGCTGGCATCTTCCTGCCTACACCCTACACTGGCTTCCGCGCCATTCGTGCCGGTCTTCTGACGGACACCTACTTGGAGGCCCAGCACATCACCCAACACAAGAAGTCTTACAGCGACATGGGCATGGACAGCCGAACCTTGCGCAAGATTGAACAACACATGAAGTCCGGCCAGATGTACGAATACCTGTCGCGATCTATCGCTCCCGAGATTTTTGGACACCTCGACGTGAAGAAAGCACTGCTCTTGCTCCTGATCGGCGGTGTCAGCAAGGAGATGGGTGATGGTATGCACATTCGTGGTGACATTAATATCTGCCTGATGGGTGACCCCGGTGTGGCCAAATCCCAATTGCTCCGTTACATCACGAAGGTTGCTCCTCGCGGCGTGTATACTACTGGTCGTGGTAGCAGTGGTGTCGGTCTCACTGCCGCCGTGATGAGGGACCCTGTCACGGACGAAATGATGCTAGAGGGAGGTGCTCTGGTTCTTGCAGACAACGGTATCTGCTGTATTGATGAGTTCGATAAGATGGAGGACTCCGATCGTACCGCCATTCATGAAGTGATGGAACAACAGACCATTTCGATCTCGAAGGCTGGCATCAACACCACACTGAACGCTCGCACATCGATCTTGGCCGCGGCTAACCCCCTCTATGGCCGTTATAACCCTCGTATCTCGCCTGTTGAGAACATCAATCTCCCCGCTGCTCTCCTCTCTCGTTTCGATGTGATGTTCCTGCTTTTGGACACCCCTACCCCGGAGGGTGACGAAGAGCTTGCTAGCCACGTTACCTACGTCCACATGCACAACAAGCACCCCGAAAACGAAGACGCTGGGGTGATGTTTACCCCCCCACGAGGTCCGACAGTATATCGCCAAGGCACGTAGCTACCGACCTGTTGTGCCTTCCAGCGTCTCTGACTACATGGTCGGCGCATATGTGGCCATGCGCAAGAGACAAAAGAAGGATGAAGCAAACAAGAAGCAATTCTCTCACGTTACCCCTCGTACTCTCCTGGGTATCGTCCGTCTCTCGCAAGCACTGGCTCGTCTTCGCTTCAACGAAGAGGTTGTTCGCGAGGATGTTGACGAGGCTCTCCGTCTCATCGAGGTTAGCAAGGCCTCTCTGTCCAACGATGGCGAATCCGGTGCCGACTACACTCCCAGCAGCAAGATCTACAAGTTGATCGGTAGCCTGCGGGAGAGCGGTGCCGCTGCAATGGGAGATGGTGATGACAGTGAGATGAGTGTCAGACGTATTCGTGAGCGTGTGTTGGCCAAGGGCTTTACCGATGACCAACTTACCACCACCCTCCACGAATATGCCGAACTGGGCGTAAGTCTTTGTCCCTTTCTTTCTATGTCCCGAAACGTTACTAATAATGGGTTTATAGGTCTGGCTTATCACCGGCGAGGGCTCGCGTCTCATGTTTGTCGAGGGCGAAGACGAGATGGTCGCCTAATGAAGATTTCCTTTCACATTATTTTCTTTCTGTCTTCTCCGGTGTTTTATTGCGTGTCTTTAGATGCATCAGTGGAACCGGTTGAGTCTTGGGCGATGGGTGTTCAGGTGTCTTTAAGGGGTCGGGAACCGGTTTTTGTACTATGTCTAGTCGATCAAAAGATAATCAAATCCAAATTTAATCTCATTTATCTTTCTTTAATTCGTCTCCTCGTAATTCTCACATAAAAATAATAGTTGACATAAGGAGTGGTGTGCCATATTTCACTTCAGCTTGGCTGCAAACATCAACCTCACCGGGGCATCCTTTCAAGTCCTGGACTACCACTCAAGTAGGGTCACCAACTTGAATCCTATACCCTAGGCATTAAACCTTTCCCTCACTACCCCCTTCTCTGAACTCCAAGGTTCTCCACGTCCCAACTTAGTTGACTCGGGGCCTAAACCTTGCACTGGTTATACAGGTGGACCTCCTTGCACAGGTCGCCCGGAGCGGAGTATGGGTTGTCACACAAGGTGTTACACTTGGTATTCTCAGGCACGAAGACCAGGAACTCGTAATTCGGCATCGGCAGGCGGAATTGCGAGTGGATATCGTTATTGTTCTTGGAAGCCTTGTAACCGGCACGGCAGGCACAGTGGAAGGTGCTTCCTGTATTGATGCACGAGGTGGTGATGTCGCAGCTGTTTTGGCCCGAAATGGGATTGCAAGTACCACATTTCGGGGGAGGATGAGCTGGATTCGCCAATGCCAAAGTGGTCAAGGTGACCAGCAGGGTAATAAAGGAGAGCTGCATAGCGAACGTGGGTTGATTGATTATCAAGCAAAGACTGGGGTTTTGTTTTATTCTGGAAGGAATTGATTGTTGGAGGCAAATTTTGTGTTGGGGGTTTCTTGCTCCTCTTTATACCCGTTTAATTCTCCTTTGCTACTCAGGGCAGAGTCGAGGAGTCAGTTGCAGGATTCATAGATGCATAGCCTACCCTGTCCGGTCGCCGCCAGGATATCACGAGGTCAGCAGCCTTGGTCTCACTGTGAAAGAAAATGCACAGATACTGTTAGGTAAAATATCTCATACGATTTCTCTCCCCTCCAGATCTACGGTTCTTCTTGACGATCGGATAGGTCGGGGATGTAGAGCCACAACAGCCGACACTGGGTGCGGCGCGAATACGAGGTCTGGAACAAGGTCCACCCAGACACCGCCAACGCTTATCGACCAGGGCTGGGGGAATGGCTTGCCAGCGCAGAATCAGGGTCTTCCTGGGCTGAGACTTTGCCAGCTTCGAGTGGCAGCCACTTGAGTACCTGGTTGCTGTTCGCGGGGCTGCATGTCTTAGTTGGATAGCCCTAATCCGAGTTGGATCGAGGTTTTTACTTTTACCCCGGGCTATGTTTAGTCCAGTATGCGGGGAAAGAACTTGACATGTCGCCGTGGCAATTTCACGCTATTGAAAGCCTTCCAGTTGTTAGGATTTGGCTTTCATTTATGACGACCTTTGGATACCGTTCGCGGTGTTCCAGGCATATTTCGCTAAACTATCTGGAATACTATGTTTGTTGAATACGAAAGATGAGTTCTTTTAATAGAATTTAGCAAAAAGCGAACCCTTGGATTCAATAAAACTGAATTTACTCATTTAAAGTTCCAGCTGAAGTCAGTCATCTGCAATCTCGTTATGCGTTTCCAGTTCGGGAATGTCTCTTCAAGTTCGTTCGCGTGGTTGGTCTTGTTTCAAATTCATTGAACTCGATGTCTACAAGTCAATGTACTACTGGTTTTATCGTATGACAGCAACTGGTTCTTTCTTCCGGGGTAATCTTCATAGATATTTGCCTACGTCTCGGCCCTCGGCAATATACTGGGCGCCTGATTCTGGGGTTGCCAACGCTGACCGAGCTTATGTGGGGAACTAGACTTTCGATTCAAGAGACGTCCGTAGCTCATTTCGAACGGGAGGTGGAAGCCTCCGAGAATGCCGCACCTGAATGCATATTTTCTGTCTCTAGTGGGGCGTCTCACTCAGGCTCTTTTCATGCCACCGGATAGATCTTCACCTCAGCGTCATTTCAAGGCCTTTAAATCGAGATGGTGCAACATGCAGGTACAATTGGTGATAACATTGTTCGAACTAAAACCCAGGAAACCTGATGATGTGGTGATCAATCAATAGATTTCATCATTCTCTTCATTTCAGAACATGAGTAGAGGCTGTGAGACATGGACTCGGCGTGAAATCGTATTTACACAACACGAAAAAAACCCCACCCAGTCCTACAGGTCGTGCATAGGAGCCTAGAGATGCGTCTTGGAGCCATCGGGTTCTCCAATCAGCCTCAAGAAGCTGCCATGTACCTCGTCGGTTAGGTCACTGGCTTGCATGCTTCGCCCTTTGAGCTCGAAGGCTTTCCGTGAACATTCGCGGGTGATACTACTTCCTGCCCAAGCAGCCAGAAGTAAAGTAGTTGTCGGGGACATACGCTTGTCCTCGGATTCCAGCTCAGCCTGGACATCTTCTTTACTCTGCGCCTCCTTTTCATTGTCCTTCTCTCCTGAGTCCCACAGCTTATTGTGGTAAGCCGCTCGCCAGGCAAGCATAGTACCCAACGATCCCGTCAGGGTGTCCCCCCTGTCCGCCGCTGCGCTTCAAACCTCCTTCAAGATTGGAAATAATGCTTGTGACCCCGTTGGAGATGACATCGTGGGGTCCTTTTTGGATGATTGTCACTCCACCCAAAGCTTTAGAGAGCTCCTCACAGGCATCTGTCTCCTGGTTGGAGTTATCGCTATTCTCGTTCTTTGAGATATCTGCCTGGCTGGCCACCTTTATCCCTAAGGCCTTTGCCAAGCGACCGAATTCGACCACGTTGGGCGTCAAAATACAGTCCTTGTACCCCTTAATGATATTGGGGTCCTCCGTCACAACGATCAGCCCGTCCGCATCTAGCACGAATGGGATCGATCGTGATCGGGCCTCCTTGATTACTTCTGCAACCACTTGGAGCGTGACTCCATCGCGACCAAGTCCCGGTCCTATGACCAGAGCATTCAGACGAGAGAGCATGCTGATAATAGGACCTGCTAAAGCCGGAGCATCAATCGACTTGGGGTCCTTGACTGTATCCGAGCTGGGCAATATCGGATGCACCATAAGGTTGGGAGAGTAACTCTTGACAACCTGGAAGCAAACATGAGAAGTGAGATCATTCAAGCTGACATGTTGAACATACCGGTGCCGCCGAGCGTTCACACAGAACATGGCTCTAGAAAGTTGTCAGACTCACGAACGCGTGAACTTAACGGTAATTAGCCACATACCATATCACATCCTAAATACGAGTCAGCTATGAAAATCATGGCGAATGAAAGTGCATTTTGAACATACCTAGCTTTGCAGAGGCAATAGCTGAGAAGTACGGAGCCCCGGTATAGCTTTCATTCAAGTTAGAACACGTCCCCCGAGACGGCAAAGACAGGCATACTCAACACAGCCTCCAATGACCGCCACACGCCCAAGTTGCCCTGTCGAGTGATCAGCTATTATCTTCGAATCTCAAAGCCACGAGGCTTTTGCGCTCTGTTTGAATGAATAAAAGTACAAACCTTTGTGGAACTTCTCTAGCATCGGCGGCACGATCTTGCGCACCTTGCTGAAAAGAATCTTCGACGAAGTAGATATATGATGAACAGGTTCCATGATTGACATTTGAAGTTGGTCAGAAAGAAGACAAGAAAGGCGCTGAATGGGGTCCGTATAAAAATGACGGCTCGGGGGTGATGTCACGTCACGCAGAAGGTGGGGCGCGCCGAACGAGATGACCGGTTTGGCCGTGGTAAACCCCCATCCCGGTGACATGAAATGCCCTGTCTGATGAAACGTCCACCAGGTACCTGCACATTCGAGCGCCACCACTCCCAATCCATATATCAAATATTGCCCAAGAGCTGCAGAACTAAAAACGATTTGATATTTTATTCGATGTTCTTATTCAAACCAAGATTACAGATTGTAAAAGTGGCGGATTACAGGACGGCATACGCGACTAGAAAATCCGCTGTTTACTATTATGACTTCTAGATTATCCACGAAATCGTCTGAAGGAGATAGAAAAGCAAAGCTTGCATTATTTCGCCTGCCTAACTACCTATATTGAATTTTAATATCATCATAATTATGATATCTGAGAATATACCAATTTTGGTGGAACTCTTGGCAGCAGAAAGGTACGTAAAACAAAAGTACTCGTAAGGCGAATACAAGGGTAGGGAATAATTATGTAACTTGATATATGAAAAATACTATTTAGTTAGCGCGGCTAAATGGATCAGCCGCCCCACATGTAAGTAGGAGATGGCCTTCTTAATGAAAACATACCTCTAGTGGCTTTTATCAATGAAACTGTGTTTCAACGCGCGTGCCTCCCAGCTCCCGGTTTCCGGAAAACAGGTATTTCCGGAAGTCAAGCGAATCCCACATATACACCTAGGTACTAGTTAAATGTAAGGTATGAATGACGAATCAATGTACTCTGTTCAGAGTCTGGGCGATTGCTAGCTGATGCCATAGGCAACCGAAAATCGTTCCGTCGAGGGTGTGCCATGTAACCTCATATGCTAAGGGCCACTAGTGACTCACTCGCCAAGACGCCAGCCAGCTAGCGAACTCCCGTCGGACAAGATTATATTAAGCGAGGCACCAAGTCCTAGCTGATGCATTTCATTTTCCTGGATAATGGGTATCAGAAAGCATGGACTCGGGCCTCTTCCAAGACGCCTCGTGGACTACACCATGGCAATCACCCGAATTTCCAGCCGAGGAAATTCCCCGTGAGAGGAGGAAGCGATTTCTCGCGAAACCGGGATGGAGATCTGGTTGGAACGATCATATTCCTCGATTTTTTTCAGTTTCACTCCGTGGGGACTGGAGGTTGGCCGTGGGGATACGTCATCTATCGCATAAGTTATGGAACTATATCTGACCAGGACTGGGTGGCCGTTATCGCAAAGATTGATCGGTACTGCAACGCCTCCATGCGTTCCAGTGGATTCGACTATCCATTCCCGCCCCAGCCAAATATTCGTGAACTTGTTTCTGAAGGCTATCGAAATGTGATTGTTGAGGATCCAAGTCTAGAACATGCCCCGGTAGATACCATTCGTAAACGACATATCGAATGGGTTAAGGGACAGGGTTACTCCCGTCATATTGGTAGACCTCGATTTGACTACTGCCTTTTTCTGGATGACCGCTCTATTCGGTCAATTCTGGCAAGTTCAGAGCCAGATGTAGTATCTGGCTCTGGTCTGGTCGGATACATCAATCTGATTGATTGTGATTTTGACCCAAATGACCCTGAAAATGAATGCTCAGAGTTTTATGATGGATTACTCAGAATTTGCCTGCATGACATCTTCTGTTTTGCCCTCTCTTGCGAAGATCTCCAGACCGGAGAACAACAATGGGGAGACTGGGGGATAGAAAGTCCTGGGAACGTCATTTATACGGATGGACATTCTTCACTTATCGAGAAGCAAGATGTGTTTCTCTGTCCGTCCGATTACAATATTTTTTCCCGCTCGTCCGAATCCAAATGGCCAAGAAAACCGACCGTTACGGAGTCTGAGTATCTTGAACGTCAGATTTCCATCAATATGGAAAGTCAAGCCAACTAATTCATATCTCATTTGTACCATAATAAATTAAACAATTTAATGACAAAGCTTTGTATTTCACCTATGAAGCACCCATGAATCTATTGGAACAAACTAAACAGTTTTATATCATTTGCCGTAGAAACCTTTCAAGTCAACTAGTTAACTGAGGTTTTCAAGCTCGAGATCATCCATGTAAATCTCCCCGATGTGGCTCGCTAGCTCTGTAAGGGCATCGCGGACCGCACGAGCCCGTTCATTCCACTCAACACTGGTCTCTGAATTGCGAGACCATCTAGTGCGCATATCGACGGGCGTTAGAAGGCAGGGAGAAGGTACTTAGACACAAGTATCCTGACACGCTCACCAGTATCAGTAACCTTGGCTTCGTGCTTCACAAGCAGGGGAAACATAAAGAGGCGGAAGCGATATATCGACGGGCATTCAAAGAATATAAAGAGCTGCTTAGACGTAAGCATCCTCACACGCTCATTAGTGTCAATAACCTTGGCTTCGTGCTTCACAAGTTGGGGAAATATGAAGAGGCGGAAATTATGCATCGACAGGCGCTAGAAGCTCGAGAGAATGTACTTAGATACGAGCATCCTCACACAATCAATAGTATTAACAACCTTGGCTTAGTACTTGACAGCTAAGGGAAATATAAAGAGGCGGAAGCAATGTACCGGCGGGCACTAGAAAGATATTTAGAGGTACATAGACATAGAATCGCCGAAACGGTGAGTAGTTTCAATATTCTCTAGACTTCCTGCATCAACACGTGCAATGTAAAGAGTCCTCATAATCCCAGACCCATATCCATAGTTTATAGTGTAAAGACAGCATACAGACATAGAGATACGATATTCGTATTAGTAAATTTCCCCTTGGTATTGTAGAGCCTCATAGTTTGATGCGGTCGTGAAGTACATCTACTAACTTACCTCCACCAGAGTTATGTTTCTTAAAGCAGGCTGTGTCCTACTTGCGGACAGGGTCGTGGGGCGGCTGCTCCGTTTAGTAGTCATACTTCAAGTTATATGATTTTCTTTTTCCCTGTATATTCACCGTATCAGTATTTTTGTTTTATATACCTTTCTGCCGCTAAGAATTCCCCCAAAATTGGTATATTGTCAGGTAAGATGATTTTGGTAACATAAAAAATCAAAATAGGTAATTTAGTAGCCTAAATGATGTAATAGCATCTTTTTTATCTATCTCAGCCTTTATTGTGGATGGTCTTGGTGTTATAGTAGTAAAGAGCGGATTTTCCAGTAGTACGTGTCGCCCTGTAATCTTCCACTCTACAATTCGCAATCTTTATTTGAAAAGAGCTGCCAAATAAGAGATCAAATAATCATCGTTTCTGCTACTCTCAAACAATATTTGATGTGTGGATTAGGGGTGACGGTGTTCGAACGTGTAAGTACCTGGTGGTTGTTTCGTCACATAGGGCATTTCATGTCACCGGGATGAGGGATACGTTGTAGTTTGGTGGCCCCGACTTGCACTAGACCACTCTACTCTCAATATCACAAATATGAGTACAGGGTTATGGCACACTCAATTGTTAAGAACCGAAAGCAAGTACTATATTGGTATTTAAAGCACAACGCCCGCTATGGATGATATTCAAAGAAATCCCTTGAGGGGCTTACTTTGAAATCATAGGACTTCCCCTGTCTATCAACACCAGAACAAAAAAAGAAGACAGAAAGAAAGACACAGAATAAGAGAGTGAGAGATAGAGAGTGAGAGACAGGGAAAAGTATAGAACCAGAAAAGAAAACGGGAAGAGAAAGCAGAAAACGCTCATAATGCTCAGCAGAAACCCCCACCTAGCCAACGAATAACAAAAAGTAAGACAATAGGAAACACAGTTATGCAAGTACACCAAATCTATCGTTTGGTTCGAGATGCGAGCGCAGCCAATTTCTGTTGGCGTTCAAATTTCGCCTTCTTCGCGAGCGTCTCCATCCGTAGCTCCTCTTCGTCATCCTTTTGGGCAATCCTAAGAGCAGTATTTTCTTCCAGATTGACAGCATCGAATCCAGCCTCCATATCATCAGACGAGTCAGAATAGTAATTGTCGTAGTCATCAGCACCGTAATCACCCTCCTCCTCCTCTTCATCGGTCCCGAGGTATTCATCCCTACGGCGTTTGCCATGCGGGCGGCGATCGTTGGAGGTTCGATTGGTCGGTAGGTTCGCAGTGCCGCGGTATGAAACTGGCTCTGGGGTTCGCGATGGTTTGGCCGTGCCCTTATATGAAGGTGCATCAGACTCAACCTTTTTCGGTGTAACTTTCCCCTTGGTCGTTGAACTAGGGTCAAATCGTTTGGCCTTGCGCTCCGCCTTCTCCTTCTCTTGAGCCTCCAGAAGTCGTCGCTTGCGCTCCACCTTGCTTAATCTCTCTTTGGGAGCTGCTTGGTTTCGGATGATGCCCACTTGAGTCGGTGCTTTACCTTGCGCAGCCTTGGCTGCTTCCATCAAAGCGGCATATGAACCCTTTGGTGGCGCCTTTGCTGGAGCCGCAGGTTTGGTGGCAACAGCCTTGGCGGGAACGACTTTGGCGGGTGCAGCCCGAGGAGGAGCCGGCTTTGTTGGAACGGGCCTACTCGAGCCCAGAGTACCATTCTTAGAGACTGGGTTGGGCGAGGCAGTCTTAGCCTTAAGACTAGGGGCCGATGCCGATTTAGGAACAGGCGGAGCAGCTTTTGCTGATCCAGACGAAATCACAGGCCGAACAGCAGGTGATTTAGCGGGAGGTTGAATGCTAGGTCTGGAAAGGTGTGGGAGCTGGTCCTCGGCTTTGCGCTTGATTCCTCCGTTGAAATTTCCACTCGTGGTTTCGTTTGATGGTGCTGGTCGAGATGGTGCTGGTCGAGGAAGGTTGGGAAGATTACGGTCTTCCTTCTTTGGAATGGAGGACGGAGCTGGCGGCACAGGTGACTGAGAGAGCGGGGATTGGGGAGGTCTGGTCGTCGGCCCGAGGGACGAGAGAACAGAGTCGAGGAACTGATCAAGATGTCAGAGAAGATGAGAGAAAAACAGAGAGGGCATATACATACACTCATCTTGAATTAGGGTATTGGATGAAAGGAGACAATCTTCGTATTCAAAAGAAACTGTATGAGAAAGAGAAACCGTTTACCGTCGATGGTTGGTTCGACCGGGCAGCTTCATGACTCCGAACGCGATCTCATATAATGGAGCACACTCCGCAGGGTGGCCGGATGGTCGATCGAGGGTGAAGTGATGGGATACGTTGAACAAAGGAAGAGAGTCGTCCGCCAGCAGACTTCAACCGGTGAATCGAGACGAGGTAGGCACGGCTTTGTTGGGCGGGGGGAGTTCATACAAACGCAGCCTCGACCATTGAAGATTGGCAATATATCACGTGATATGAGAGACAGCGCCACAGTATGGCAGTTCGCTTAGTTTTCTGCCGGGCGGTGACACAGCCACAGCGAGCCGCAACGCACTTTTCCCACGATTTTCGACCGCCCGCCGTGTCTTGTTCCTCAACCAACCTTCGAACTCGACGTTGCAGTCTCCGCCCAATTTGCGGTTAAATCGATTGTTTCTCAGGTTCAGTATCAGACAAAACACAGGTGCGTTTTTATATCCCGCTTCTGCATCCCTCGAAATTTCGGTCTCAGGTGCAATAGCAATAGTCATTGCAAATTTTTGAACATCGGCGCTGACGACAACTTTCCCGACAGTCTATTCAAAATGAAGCACCTCGCAGCCTACCTTCTGCTCGCCCTTGCCGGCAACGAGTCCCCCTCCGCCGCCGACATCAAGGCCGTTCTGTCCTCCGTCGGCATTGACGCTGACTCCGAGCGCCTCGACAAGGTCGTCGCTGAGCTCCAGGGCAAGAACATCCAGGAGGTTAGTGCTCATAACCGCGAATGATATATTTTTGATACCTGCAGATACTAACTCAACATGCAGCTGATCGCTGAGGGTTCCTCCAAGCTGGCTTCCGTTCCCTCCGGTGGTGCCGGTGCCGCCGCTGGTGGTGCTGCCGCTGCTGGTGGTGCCGCTGACGCCGCCCCCGCTGAGGAGAAGGAGGAGGAGAAGGAGGAGTCCGATGATGACATGGGATTCGGTCTCTTCGACTAAATGCCTTCTCTTCGGAACCCCCAAAAGTGATGATACGGAGGAACAGACATCTGCATGGTACGACCAGTTCGGGAGACATCTTCGCCGGCTGGTTCCTCAAATGTGCATGGTTCAGGCTGTTCTGACGCAGTTACGACTTTCTCATACATGAGCCGAAAATAGCTCTAGGCAATACAGATTCATCTGTCCTCCACCACCGCTTTCTCTGTAGATCGTAGTTGGTATGCGCGCTTGAACAAATGTTCCCTTGCGAAGGACAAACCGTTCGCGTTTACGAGTAATTAAGCACATTCACAGCCCGAGGACGATTTACTCTCTAACTCAAATCTTTTCTTTCTGATGGTATCTTTTGATATCTCATGCAATAACGAGGCCTCCCTAAACCTAGCAGGGTACGAGTAGTATGTAGAAATCATGGATAAGAATGGCCATTCCGATCCAATGGATGGATCTTCCCTTTGGTATCATAAATACTTGAATAAATTTCAAGGGACAAGGAGTCTACCATATTAAACTGTGGAGAATGCTGTATCTTCAAACTTTATTAATGGATCGTGACAATACAGTGACAATACGGTACCGCCATAGTTAATTCTTCCCAAAGCAGGATAGCGTATTAGGGCTTGACCTACCCGTCGCTTAGGCGAGCCCTTGCCCACCTTGCCAGAACTGGCGTGCTAGCCGATCCGCCCAGCGACACGACAACTTCCGACAACTAATATCCTTCGCTTTTCGAGGACTGTCGAAAAGCGAGCTCCAAGGAAACCACCGCAAAAATGGCTGACAGCGAATACGTGAGTTCCGCACACTGATCCCATATCGCCCAACTGTTGATACTAACGATGTTTCTCTTCAGAACGCCGAGGAGGCTGCCGGTACGTCTTGAATCCAACACACTTTTCCCTGCATATACCCCGCCCGCCGATGAGAGTCAAGCCACTGGAGTTATTCGATATGAGAGTTGGATGGGACGACAAAATGAGGGGGGGGGGGGATCACAGGCGATACATTGAAGTGGCTTCGACGAAGGGGGACATGGACGCACACACACCGACCGAATGAGAACGCCAGCCCGCTGACAGACCGTCCGTTTTACAGAGATCAAGAAGAGAAGACAGTTCCGCAAGTTTTCTTACCGCGGCATTGACCTCGACCAGTACGTTCACCCACCGACCCCTCCGCCCTGTCAGATCTTTCGCAACATACGACCGTCACCCATGGGGATCAAAGGAAATCTGTCGACAGCATCTCGTCTTGGATTGAAATATCCTTGAGTCCTTGAGTCCTCATGGGTTTCTAATTGTTATGCTGCTGAGATCCCAGGGTCTTGATCTTTTTTAAGCAGTGTCAATCATACTAACCGAGTTCAACTAGGCTCCTGGACCTTTCCTCCGAGCAGCTCCGTGATGTCGTTCACGCTCGTGCCCGCAGACGTTTCAACCGCGGTCTGAAGCGCAAGCCCATGGGTCTCATTAAGAAGCTCCGCAAGGCCAAGCAGGAGGCCAAGCCTAACGAGAAGCCCGACCTCGTCAAGACCCACCTCCGTGACATGATCGTCGTCCCCGAGATGATCGGTTCCGTCATCGGTATCTACTCCGGAAAGGAGTTCAACAACGTTGAGATCAAGCCTGAGATGGTTGGCCACTACCTGGCCGAGTTCTCTATCTCCTACAAGCCCGTCAAGCACGGTCGTCCCGGTATCGGTGCCACCCACTCTTCCCGTTTCATCCCCCTGAAGTAAACGACCTCAACGATTCCCCTTGGTGGTGGCGCGTGGTGGAGAAAGGTTCTGGGAAACGAAAAATGGAAGCCAGTCCTGTTCTGTTTTGGGTTCCTTATTCAGCTTGTATTTCCAGATCGGATCAGCTGTTTCCATTTCAATAAAGATCTTGTCGGCATGAAAAACAAAAAAGTTTATCTGAATGTTTGCAAAGTCGTACGCTATTAGGCTATCAATCGTTCATAGCCGGACTCGTAGTACTAGTAGTCCCATGAAATGTTGTCTGTTAACCCTTTCAAGATGAGTACCAAGCATATTGCAATTCTGGGGTCGGAGCACGCTAGTATAGTATGTACTAGTGAACTACTACTACTAGTCTAGAGGTCTCCATGAATGTCGAGGCCTTTGTATCCAACAAGATACCGCTTGTACTATTAAGTACTATAATCGTAATCTATACGTGCAAGACATTAGTGCTGGCATCAACCATTATGCTATACCTACTAATGCACCTATGGTCGACGTTGGCACAACGGGGATCATCAGAACCTTGGAATAGGTGTAACTTGCAATGCAGTCGTTCCTTCTATCTGATCATAATGCAAATATACTTTATGGAATGAGACAAGTGAAATGCCTGCACTCGAATCCAATGCATTCCAAGTTCATCAATTACTAAACCCGCGCACTTACACCATCACGCATCTCCCAGGACTAACCTTGGAAATACTAGTCCTCGAGGCCAGTGGGCCTGGCATTATATTTAGGTTTATTCAAGAAGGCAGTGATATTGTTGAGATTCAAAATGTAATACTTTTCTAGTAACAGAGACATGCTGATTGGCTTTAAGAACCGTTTATCTGGATACTGCCCAGGTGGACCTCTGTACTGACCGGAGATATATTTCACTGATTGAACTTGAAGTCCTCACCGACCACCCAGTTGAATACTAGAGTGATACTAGAGAATGACTCACCAAATTTCTGCAGTGAAGACTTTTTTTTGGATATAATAACTTCCCCCCAAATCCGACAGAACTATTGTGCCAGCCATTCACTATCGGAGAAATCAAACGGAGTAATCAGCGTAGTTCATGCACCGCCCTGCAGATCAACGGTGCGAACGCCGAGAGCGCCGAGAGCTCCTCCAACATCTTCATACATTGCCGATCTTTGAAAGGAACTTTCCACCGAAAAGAACCGAACCAGATTAAACTAGCGAAGAACACAGTAGAAACTAGACCAAACGCCCACAAATCCGTAAGCTCCGGGGCAAGTGGAGGCCGATTCGGGTATTGGTCAGTCCCAACAATAGAGGATGTAACGATGGACCGAGGCAACCCGCACCCCCCCCCCCTCAGTACCGAAACTGCGGAGAAGGAACTCTCTTCCTTTTATTCCTTCTCCGCATCTTTTAATCCTCTTCATACTCGTATATTTGACATTTTGTGCACCTGACACACACGGCTTGCCGAATCTCTGCCTTTCCCTCCTATCCCCTCCCCTCCGTCCTTTTGAAAGCTCTCGGATCGGCGCTTAGCTTTCTCTTCCCCGCAATATGCCCGTTGCGTCCTACTACCCCAAGGTCGACATCCCTAATGTCGACCTTTGGTCGTTTCTGTTCGAGCGCAAGGACAGGCCCTTCCCAGAAGACAAGAGTGAGTCACCCAGCCCTGAACTACGCAGTCACTCCACATACCGACAGAGCCGTTACGCTAACCGCCAGCTCCACAGTCCTCTACCAGGATGCCGAAACCCAGCGACACTACACCTACCAGACTCTGAGAGAGTCATCTCTGGAGTTTGGCAAAGGTCTGAAGGCGACATTTGACTGGCGCAAGGGCGATGTGTTAGCCCTTTTCACTCCTAACAGCATTGACACCCCAGTGCTAATGTGGGGGACGCTTTGGGCTGGTGGAATCGTTTCCCCGGCTAACCCTGCTTACACTGTTGATGAATTGGCCTTCCAGCTGAAGAATTCCGGGGCCAAGGCTCTCGCGACACAAGCCGCTGTTCTTCCTGTGGCTAAGGCTGCGGCTAAGAAAGTTGGCATCCCGGAAGATCACATCATTCTCATTGGCGACGAGCGGGACCCCGAGGCTCGAATTAAGCACTTCACTTCCGTCAGAAATATCTCCCGTGCCACTCGGTATCGAAAGCAGAAAATCACACCCGAGAGTGACCTTGCGTTCTTGGTCTACTCTTCTGGTACAACTGGTGTGCCGAAGGGCGTGATGTTGTCGCACAGGAATATTGTCGCGAACATTATACAGCAGGTCACCGGTGAAGGTGGTAATTTGAAGTGGAATGGAGGTCCTGATGGTAAAGGCGACAAAGTGTTGGCCTTTTTGCCATTTTATCACATTTATGGTAAGACTCATCCGGAAAATTTGGTAATCTGGGTTGCCCTTATCCTCCCTTTTTCTAATGATGGTGTTTAGGATTGACTTGCCTGATCACCCAGGCTTTGTACAAGGGGTACCACCTTATCGTCATGACAAAGTTCGATATTGAGAGATGGTGCGCACACGTGCAGAATTACCGCGTAACCTTCAGTTATATTGTACCTCCTGTGGTACTTCTCCTGGGCAAGCACCCGGCGGTCGACAAGTATGACTTGTCCAGCTTGCGCATGATGAACTCCGGAGCCGCACCACTCACGCAAGAGCTCGTGGAATCCGTGTACTCTCGCATCAAGGTCGGAATCAAGCAGGGCTATGGTCTGAGTGAGACTAGCCCGACCACACACTCGCAACGATGGGAGGACTGGCGTGAGTTCATTGGCTCTGTTGGCCGATTGATGCCCAACATGGAAGCCAAGTACATGACCATGCCCGAGGATGGATCGGAGTCCAGCGAGGTCGCAACTGGCGAGGTTGGCGAGCTGTATCTGCGCGGCCCTAATGTCTTCCTTGGATATCACCAAAACCCGGCTGCCACCAGGGAATGCCTCTCTGAGGATGGTTGGTTCCGAACTGGCGATGTTGGTTACCAAGATGCCAAGGGTAACTTTTTCATCACGGATCGTGTGAAGGAGCTTATCAAATATAAGGGATTCCAAGTCCCCCCTGCTGAGTTGGAAGGTCTTTTGGTCGATAATGACGCTATTGACGACGTCGCTGTGATTGGAATTGAGAGCGAGGCACATGGCTCTGAGGTACCCTTGGCCTGCATTGTTCGCAGTGCCAAGAGCAAGTCCTCCGGTGCGAGTGCAGAAGAGGAGGGAGCTAAGATTGTCAAGTGGCTGGATAGCAAGGTTGCACACCACAAGCGCCTGCGTGGTGGCGTGCGCTTTGTCGATGAGATCCCCAAGAACCCGAGCGGCAAGATCTTGCGACGCGTGCTGAAGCAGAAGTTCAAGGCCGAGCTCGCGGGACCCAAGGCCAAGCTGTAAATTTCCTCCTTATTATGACGAAATAAATAAAGGTTTACATAGACTGCAATATTGAAAAAGCGTCAATTTGTTCGTATAAAAATGGTGTCCCGAAATAATTTTAAATCTTCACGTTAAATACGTTCAGTCTCTGATGCCGAAATACTTTTAGAGACGCTGAAGAAAGTTGCTTTTGCTCAAGGAAAGAATCTCTTCACCATACCCTCAACGTCCTCACCTTCAACAGCGTCAATCTTCTCACTGGCGACCTTCTCAACAGCATCCTCGACCGGAACATCACCATTAACCAGATCAATCCAGCCCTCAGTATCGTCCCGCGCGAGCAACTGATCCGCAACGATAGCCACATCTTCGCGAGAAACACTACCACGGCCCTTGAGCGTCTTACCAAGCTCGACCTTCCGGGTAGCGGGCTCATCGGTCAAGGTTCCAGGGCGCAAATTGATTGCCTGGAAAGGGCCTACGGGGTTCTGTTTGCGGACCGCCGCCAGGGCAGTCATGTACTCGTCGGCCTCTTGCTTAGCCTTCACGTAGGTAGGGAGGATCTCAGTCTGAGTGCGCACAATACCCGCCCACTGGTCATCCGGCATCCAATGAGGTTGCTTCTTGCGACTACCCAGGTAAGAGACCATCAAGAATTTTGACACGCTGGAGGTCGCGAAGGAGGCGGTCATGAAGTGCTTTGCTGCTTCTTGGTCAATGGCAATTGTGCTGGCAGGTCCGCCCTTGCCGCCGGCGCCTGTTTAATCCGTGATATTTGTTAGCGGATCATAGTCTTCCCGCCAAGACAAGCAAAGTAAAGCAAGGTGGTGAGGGTTGAGGTAGAAGTAGAAGATTTTTGGAACGGGACGGCGCCACCTAGCGCGCGAAGTGGGGGAGGGGCACGAGCGTACCAGCCGACCAGACGACGTAGTCTGGGGTAACAGCATCCAGGATCTTCTGGGCATCTGCTACGTTCTTGACATCTTCCAGACTGGAGACAAGAACATTCACCTTGCCCTTGCGGCCCTTGCCGAGTGCAAGAATCTCGCTCTCATGATCGGGGTTGCGCACAACGCTGGTGACATTCCAGGCGCGATTGAGGAGGAGTGGCGTGAGTTTGAGGGCAATCTTGCCATGACCACCGAGAAGAAGGACTTGCATTATGAAATGAGGAGCTGGAGGAAGGTGTGTGAAGTGTCCGTAGATGAAGAAGTCGATATGTGCAACGCATGTCTCCGTTGATGCTGGGGACCTTTGGGAGCTGCCAGTCGATGACGGTGGGAGCTGTCAGCCGATGACGTCATCGGCTGCGGCCTCGCATTGGAAGGCACGATGGACTGCGTAGAAGGGTTAACAAACGACAACAAACGAAATAAAAAGGGAAAGTGCGAAGAGTCACAGATAACATGAATGCTCTGGACTCATTTCGACCCTTCGACCTGGAAAAAGCAAAAAAGGTAATCCAGGTAGGCCAAGCGTTTCAAATAATCAACCTCGTTGTTACTCTTTCCCCCGGATGGGTAGGACCAAGACGCCTAGATCATTCGGAGCTACGTGATAAGGGGGACTGGTTTTATATTCCTAGCCAACTGCTTTGCCCAAAAATTCCCTCTCCTCTCTACGGCGCTCCATAAGCGCAGGGTGGTCAATCGTTGTATATAGAGGTAATTTACAGTGGTGTTGCAAAAGTTTCCAACCTCCTATTGACCACTATTTTTGATCGCCTTCTAATGGCAGATTAGCTACTCTATTCCATCTTAAGTGGCTACTAGTCTGCCATTAGAAGATGGCGAATGATGGATGGTAGACAATTAGGGGCTAGAAACTTTTGTGGTACTGCTGTAGTTTTGTCCAAATTTGTATAGGGAACACTAGTGATTACAGACTCAGAAGTTACAGGCAGTGAGGTAAAATACCCCTATATACAACTACTACTGACCACCCTGCGCTTATGGAGCGCCATACTTTCCCCTCCAAACCCGCCAGCCAATATCAAGAACCCCTCGCATATGTCCCCGCTATTTGGTTTGGATGAGAAGAAAATAAAGTCACCATGGAAGTATTACTAGTAGACATTGGCAAAACAAAGATATTTTCCTGTGCGTATACTAACTTTGGCGACTTGGCTTACTTTTCCAATAAGAATTAGCCTGACTACTTGGTACGAGATAGAGTTATGTACAGATCCTCCTCAAGGTTATATTGTCTTGGACTAGGAACAGGATCAAGGATCAGTCAAGGAAGTCCGGTCCGATCCGGCCCTCGCCGGTGATTGAAGCTTGGAAGCACCTAGCAAGAAGCACCAGAAGGCACATTCTCACAGTCATCGCTGCTCTCACCACCGCTGACGCTGACACCCGACCAAGTCCAGTCCGAGCAGCTGCCGTCACCACACATGATGTAGATGGGGGTAGCGTCACTCTCAACAGTACCAGCCACGCGTTGCACAGTCAGGTCAGTGATAGGGATGCCAGTGGTCGGGTTTCCCTCATCATCGTAGTCCTGTTGAATGACAACACCGTAGTCGGTAATGCCAGAGAGTTGGATGTTGCTGAAAGTAACGCCCGAGACGGAGCCGGTCTCGCCAGACTTGGCCTTGATGCGAATACCATTCTGCGAGTTGGAAACGGTCGAGTGGGAGATAGTAACGTTCTTCACGGAGTTGTTGTCACGGCCACCGACGGATCCGATGGAAAGACCGTGACCACCAGAGCAGGTACCGCCAGTAAAGACAATGTTCTAAGTTGAACTGTTAGTTGAATGATATCGCTGATGAGATCAAGGACACTTACGGAGCCAGAGTTGACGGCCAAGCAGTCATCCTGGTTCTTAACAGTTGCACTACGGATGGTGACGCCGTTGCTCTCGCTGACATCAAAAGCATCGGTGTTGTGGCCGCCATTGTCATCGCCGTCAGAGTTGTCAATGTTGATGTTGCTGAGAACGATGTTGTCGGACTGGACGCTGAAAGCTTGGATGGGGGTGTTCTTGACATTCAAGCCGGTGATAGTTGAATCATCCAGGCCATGGGCGTAGAAAAACTTGGGCTTGGTCTTGCCACCGTTAGAACCTTCGCTGTCCCACCATCTCTCTCCACCACCGTTGATGGTGTGGTTGGACGTTCCAGAAACGGCAATGTTGGATCCAGAGACACGAATAAGCGGACCATCCCACTCCTTGTAACCGAAGGTCGTCTCGCCGCTGAAGATAAGCTAAGTAGAGAGTCAGTCACTGAGTCAATATTCGGCTCCCCTGAAGGGCTGGTTTCTTACCTTGGCGCCATCTTGAAGATCTTCCAGGTCCAGGGTCTCGCCAGCAGGAACTGCGATGTTATCCAAAACAATAGTAGAGCACGAAGAGGCACTTGCGCTAGCACTAGCAGCGGAATTAAAAGTGCAGGATGTCGAAGAAGAGGATGAACGGGTCGCCATCGCCCATTTGGCTCGCTTGGTCATGGAGGAAGGTGCCGCGGACGCAGCCGCGCACAGCGCGAGTACAGAGACGACAGCAGTGCGCATTTTCGTGTTAAAAGAAAGACAATGTCTGGTCAACAGACAAAAGGATTGTAAAATATAGAGACTAGCTCTTGAAATTGAAAATGAAAAGAAAGACGGTAGAAAAAAAACGATAGTGAGAGATGGGAAAAACCAATGTCTGTCTCGAGCAGCCTCACTATAAGTACATAGATTTCTACATCTAATATCGACCTTGAAACGGTGGAACAACAATAAACGCCCCTCGATCAAGACCCCTGTCACTGCCCCTGGAGACTGATCTATGAAAAAGGCACTGATTATCGCCGGTAAGCCAACAGAAGTACCGCGTGGCATCTAGAGATTCCCCACCTTGTCCATCATGGCCGTGTTGGGATATGAAGACATGCTCTCCTGTTTTAGAATGTCCCAGGTTTATCCACCCATCGCCAATCGGCATTCTACGGCATGGAAACTCTCCGAGCTTAAAAGGAACAAGCCCTTCCAAGACCTCAGAAAACGCTCGTTGGAGAACTTGATTCGGTCGCACTCCCTACGTCTCAGGTGTGAATTGGGAGGACGACGATCCAAGCCTTGCTTGGCAACTAGGGCCAAACATGGCTTTAGACAGTGTGGGGCTCATTTGTCTCAGTTTGATCTTGACTCGTGTTGATATTTATCCAGTTTAATTTGCTTGATAATCATGATTAGTGATGACAAAGTGACACGATGCGATGCGATGTCTTGAACTGTTTTTGTCTATCAATAGTGAAGGTACAGAGCCTTGGAATGAGTTGGAGTGGCCATCGAAATGGAGTCTGATCAAATGGTATGACATTGGGTGCAGGGTGCGGCTTATCGGTGGATAAATACGCATCCAGTCGGTCTCACACAAGTTCTGAAAAGGAGAAGCAAATGGAATAATCAAAATGATTGTTAAGTATCGGCAATAGAGCGAGAGAAATAAAATGAACATGGCTAGATTGGAACTTGAACTTTAAGACATTTCCCTCGAGAAAAATTCCATCATGTTCGCAGGAACATAGCTCACAGTATTGAAATGCTTAGTTCTGAATACAATCATAGCTCTCTGAGATGTCAGGTCTCGTCAAGTCTCGCAATTTTGCTGTCTTGGGCCAGGGGCAGAGTTTGCGTGTTCGCGATGAACCATCTGGAGGATTCGACGACTGGATCCAGGATGGGAATGTGTCATTCTCAACCCACGCCAGAAGTGCTTCATTGATGTGATATGTCGCAGGCACTGACGGATAGGTCTCAGCCGCGCCACAGTGACCACCGCCTAGAGAATTCATTTCAGCACTTTCTAGAATTATTGATGCGAAATTTGAAACTTACCGGGTACCATGTACAGGTTGAAGAATTCCGCAACTGATCCATGCTGACTCGCTTTCTCGAGCTGTTTAAGATGCTCAATCGGCCAAGTTGGAGCATTGAATGGATCGGTCCAACCTAGAAAGTGTCAAATCTTTTGAGATTGTCCAATGTGCTGCACAGTTCCTCACTTACCCTGAGTCACAATCAATTTCCCCCCACGCAACCGGAAAGCATCGAGATCAGATGCAATTTCATCGATAAGAGGGCTTGCTAAACTATTCACTCTTGCAACATCCTTGTCGAAATCGAAAGTGTCAACTTCATACGAAAGGTTGTGGAACACCAAGTTTTGCAAGAGCGGTGCGGCATAGGCTAGATACAAAGATGTTTCCTGTAGCATCAATTCCCGCTCCGAGCCGAATTCAAATCCAGGATAAATGATTGCATCTGTTCTGGGATTTCTCGGCCCGGCGTATATAGCCTTTAGGGAATGGATTTGTTTCAGACTCAGACATGTCTGGTTATGACTAGCCACACTCGTCGCAGATGAACAAGCTAATGTATTGAGGTCAAAATGACAGCGGAGTGGGTTTTCAATCAAACCATCCTTAACGCCATCTATTTCATCGCAAGCATCTATAATTTTCTTCGTTGTGGCGTTGAGCGTGGCTTGATCAAGGAATGCATCGCCCTATGTTCTGGTCAGCCAACTAGTCTACTTTCCAGCCTATCTCGTTTTGATACATACCTTTGTGCGCTCCCTATTCCATAAAAATGATAGCATCAAGTGGGAATACCAGTTACCTGGTGAACCGGCATATATTCCGTCGAAGAGGTGAGGATGGTATTGAGCAAGCGCAAACCCTTGCGCGCCGCCTGTCGAGCAACCGTTATAATAACTGTGCCTCGGAGAGCTACCATAGAACTTGGAAGTGATATATCGTGTTGGTTCAGTTATAATGGCAATGGAGTCGTGTATCCATGCCTTTGTCTGCTCGGCATCATTCAAGAACGGAATATACTGCCCAGATGTTGTCGTTCCATTTCCATTGTTAGCTTCTAGATGGCCCGAATCACCTCTGATAAAATTGTCAGCAACATAGTATCTTGGAGCAAAAACAGTAGGGGCTTGGTATACCCTGCCACAGCAAACCCTTGTTCCAGTTGCTTTTGCATACTGGCCGTATCAATTATTCCGGCAAACCCGCCATTGCCTAGTCATTAAATGAATTAACCATCGCGGGAAATGGATTAAATAGAGACCATGTAAGAGCTTAGAGCCTACCCACGACCATAAAGCGTTTGTTATAAGATTTCTGCTCAGGTAGCCAGAGTTCAAACCTCACAGAATTGTCACGCTCGCCATATGCCACAGACCCAGAGACTCGACAGTACGCGATTCCATCAGCCGATGAGCTGAGCTGTGTAAGCTCGGCATTTTCTATTGTGGTTCCATTCAAGACCTGGTATCCTCGTAGATCCGAGCAGCTTTTAGCTAGGGCGTGATGGGTCCAACTGAGGGCTACTGCGGCGCATAAGGGGAAGACTTTCATGGCGAAATCTGGGCAATTCAGCACCTATAATTCTTACACCGGGTCAAGGAAGTCCGCTATCTTAAATAGCTGCAAAAGAGGTATTAAGGTTTCTCCGCTCTTTACTCCGCACAATTCTTGAATAATTGACTACGGTCGTCGGGGCCGTCTGCCGACGGGGCATGGTCTTCTCCATGTCTCCACAAACTATGGTCTGCCTCGGCAATCATGGGAATGGAGAAAAGATCCATGAGTTAATGAAAAAGGGGTACTTTGAAGCAAGAACGGTGGTTATTAAACGTAAAAGTTTTGTGTTCCCTTTTTGCGCCAGCAAGATATCATAGTATGAACAGGAGGGGAGCCGATGTGAGGACCAGTCGATCAAGGGCTGTCACAGATAGCCCCAAAAATATTGACATCTGCAGGATTCATATTCCTCTTCTCAATAAGTGCATTTCTCACTCGGAATGTTTTCTTGTCTTAAAAAGCAATGGCATCCTTGCCATTTTGAAACCTGCAAAATCTCCTAGAGTAAAACTTCCTCCAATTTAAATCCCGGGAATTTTTCAATCAAAGTCATCTAGACTGCCACAACTGGAATACAAGACCTATCATCTTCTGGTAGTGCACCACTTACGTGCGATATACTTGGTGGCATACATCCAAGACTCTCCTCCACCTCTTTGTTACTAGTAATCCATGAGGTAACACAATCTCAATTTGTTTATAGGGAAACAAGGTTATGATATTTCCTAATCATTGTAGACATTTTGTTCAAGATATCGGTCATAATAGAAAAGTTTCCGGGTGGAAACTGGTACCTTCCAAGGGAACATGGTGATCTATGGATATACGATCGTATTAGACTCCCAAATCTTGACCATCTTGTCCATGCGTGAGCAGTTGCCTGAATCGGATTGCTTGGATAGAGTTGGCCTTGACGAAAATATAACGAGACGTTTCGAAAAAGGTAGGAATATTCCGAATGCAGTGTAAATGAGCCAATAATTAAGCCAGAGATCTTGTAGCTCAATATTGGTGCGAGACGGTGTCGCAACAAGCGTTGCCGGAAAAGTCCGTCTTTAATTGAAGGATGCGTCAATCTACTTATTTAGGACGTGGACCTAAAAGTAATTCCTAGACACTGGACGAGTGAGATGTCAAATTCGAGTCTTATACTGGGCGTTTACTCCTTTGGCTCTTTTCGGAAAACTCCTCGTTGCTACAATTCAAGACCGTTGTAGCCTCGATATCCGGTGAGAGATGCTGTTGCGCATATTTGCTAGTATTTGCCGAAATTTCAAGAGGTTTCAGACCGTCCCTTATTTGAGTCTACCGCAATAAGTTTCACCTAGACATCAACACGGCAAGAAATGAGTAGATTATCTCCTTTGTATAGAATACGGAGGCTCGCAGAAGTGGGAGATGATGATCGCAATCTCGCCGGATACTGTATAGTATTACCGAGTAGTAGAATCTCTCTCTACTCGCAGCAGTGCAAGCAGAAAAGGCTCGGCCGGTCTTTCTCTTCAAGGGCCACGCCAAATTAAATTTATATTAACCATGACGGGCATGCAATTAATCTAGTATTAGGGCGATCTGAAAGCCGGCAATGAAGTCATGAATACCGAGACCGAAAAAATTATTAAAAGTATTCTCGCCGGTCCAGCCCAGCTGGTTATTGTTGGGGATGTTCTAAATTTCCACACGACGTGTGAGATAAATTACAGACATGGGACTTGCAGCGCTCGGGAGAGGCGTAGCCGACTGGACGCTGGACCCCCTCCTCTCGCTCCTCGCTCCTCGTCCAGCCAAATTAAACAGAATACGAGAGGCGATTCAAGCGTTGGGGTCCCACCTGCGGGCCCCAGAGACCGTTGTCGCACATCGATGCGCTCGGAATTTCGCCCACCAATTCTCTAGTGGGATGGACCGTGAGCTGCTAAAGTGGAATCGGGCAGAAATCCGGCATAAACGGTCGAGAAGCGAAACGATCTCTCAAACTCAAAGCTTTCAAACCCAAATAATTTAACGAATGGGGGATGGGGAAGTTTCGTTCTCAATACCCCACCGAGGAAACTTAATAAACATATACCGACTCAGAGTGGAAGGTCCGGATGTTCGAACGATCAGCCTTAGAAAAATCTAGGGCTATGATGAAACGACGGCCTTGATGGTGCGGAATTCCGAGCTGAAATGGCTGATCCGGGCGAGAGTCCCATGAACAGGGATGATCTTTGGCCCCGAAGATCTTGTGTGTAAGCCGTCCATTCTCGACCCCCCTCCCCGATCGATTCCGGGTCTTCGAGTCGATTCAATGCAAGTGTGGCCGGATCGTGGGTGGGTTAATCTGCTACTCCGATCTCTACCGTGGTAATGAAGATGTTAAATGGCTAGGGCTTGCATGCCCAGATATTTAGCGACTGAGATACTGCATTCATTGGTGGTGAGTTTAATAGATTAACTGCACACACCAATGTGCCTGAGGGCCGTGATCCAGACGAGGGGCGATAGATCGAAAGGAAATGGGGCATTTCCAACCGCCATCAGTCACCAGACCAAATTGGTCTCCAAATTTGTTCCCTTTGTTAATGAGCTGTCCAGAGGGGCTGAGTGGATCTGTCCACATACCGGCTACTCCACTTTTCAGGTCGTGGATTTTGTCGATTGTGGTAAATCAGAAGCATGGATGTATCTCAAATACTAGTAGTACAATATTGAGATATCTTGATATATCAACGAGGTCACGGTGAGTGATCAGCCCCTCCAGAATGTACTTACATGGGTATTATTAGTATATTGTGTGCCACCACCATTAGTACGAGAATATATTACCAAGCCTGGTCCAGATGGCAACGGTCAATACCACTGCAGACAACTGCGCCTGGTTCGGACTAGTCAGGGGCACCAGTTGGCCCCTTGACCAATCAGCAGCCCCGGGGAACTCATCACGGGTTTTAGGTGGGTTTTACCTCAACACACCCCCCCCATCCTGATAATTCAACCCGCTTCTTGTTCCAGTGGACTCTCAAGCGAGGGCCTCGGTTCCATTTGGAGGGCCCATTCTTTGCCCGACGGAGCTGGTCGTCCGCCCATCCGCACAAAGAGCTAAAAAGTTCTGGGCTCAAGGAAGCTTTGCAGTGCTTTGCCCACACTGGGTCCGCCAACAACGGCTGTCAAGCCTCACCGGCCAACAACGAGACCCAGAATATGCGCTAGCCCATGTTTGCTTTTCTGCCCCCCCCTTCCCTTCCCCTCGCCCTTTTGGGTCTCGCGTCCGCGCGCTCCAGTTGATGCCTGCCCTGAATTTCACAACCTGGAACATACGGTAGGGTTTTTAGGTCTGTGCTGTATGATCTCATGGTCCCACAGCTTAAGATGAGGATCCGGATTTCCATCTCTCAATGATGCAACACGCTCGGTCGCTCCGCCTTTTGAAATGAACTGCGAACTGTGATGTTCGGTGGGAACTCTTGGACGGGCGCGCTCCGTTCACGAGTTTTTGGTTCTCTTCGGATAGATCCACCAGGAGCCGACCACAAAAAATCAGAAAAAAATAAACAAACAGAAGACAAAGGAATTGACAACAGAGAAGAAGAGAATGGTCATTAATAATGACTTTCGAGTGATTCCGAAAAATAGAAGGTGGAAGGTGGGACGGCATGTGTTGATAGCCTCAACCAGACTTACATCCGCAGATTGTGCTACTCGTATGCTATGCTGTTCCTGTTCCTATCCCTACGCAGCACACCAAGATCAGATCAGATCAGATCCGATCAGAACCTGGCAACCTGTGTGTGTACATATGTACTATGTCCCACACCTGGACCTGGATTGTGCTGCACGACGCAGGAGGCGGCCGGAGAAATAGTCATGGCCATTCAATGCATTCAATGCACAGCCGACAGCATGGCTGAGGGGTGGGCTGCAGCTCCGTCGAGCACACGAGCGCGGCTATTGGCTATTCGGCGAATTTAGAAGGAAACATTGCATTGTCCGGGGCTCTACTCCGTAGCTGCAGTAACCTTGGATATCGCCTCCTGCACGACGCAGGAGAGACATCTGGAGCAGCTGATGCAGGTTCCCCGTACGCAAGGAGTATCATGATTTCTAATAATACGCGCCTCAGATCAGATGGTGTGGCAGTGGCAGTGGCAGTGGCAGTGACAGTGGCATGGAAGGAATGGGAAGAATCCGAATTAGAAACCGATCGGCCAAATCTAGGTCCAATTCAAGTTCGTTCAAGTGTTCGCGCGAATTGGGGGTTCCCGCGTCCAGACCCTCGGAACGACTAGCGTTCAACTCTTTGCTTGGGAAAGTTCTTAATGACGCCTACACATTGTGTACATAGTATATGGAGTATGTACTCCGTACAGTATACAGTATACAAGTATACCTATCGTGATCATCTTGGACGCGTCAAGCCCCGCGCTGGTATCTCATCAATTAACGAGGAGTCCAAAGGTGCAAAGCCTCCGCAGTTGTCGCGGTGGCGTTCAGCCCCGGGTCCCACATCGCAGGGAAATTATAGGATGTGATGGATGCCCCATACTGTATTTTACCTGCAAGGGACCATACCCGCGGTATCAGAAGTACCACCACCACCATGGATACTGGCCCGTCAGGGAAGACTGCACCATGGATACACCTTCGGGAGCTGTTGTTTACCAGGTACCAGGTACGAGTTAATTATAGGAAGAAGTATAGAGACTCGGTATACTGTATCCTCATGCAGAGAGTGTGCCCAGGTGTGTAGAAAGAAATCACAAAATTACCAAATAATTAATCTGACTACATGATCGCCTGAACGGTGGGCTCGACGGGGACGATCCGGATCCAGATCCCTTTTTTTTTTTTTTTTTTTTTTTTGCTTTTCTTTTCCTAGTGGTGTTTCTAGCCCGATACTTACGATACTTTTTAGTACGGGAGGACTCAGTCCATATTATTCATTACTCCGTACCCGCGGAACACTTCCCTCCTCCCCCATTCCCATTCTCTCATTCCCGGATCGCATTCTTCAAGACTCTCACTCTTTCGTCTTGTCGCTCTTTTAACCAGCCTTTTGTCGCGCATGCGAATTCGATCTTGCCGTCCTGTCGTACCAGATCCCTCCAATTCATTGCGCCCCATCCAATCTGCCTCGTGTGATCTGTCGAGCAACCTCAAACCCGCTGCTCACTATTGTCTGTGATTGGCGCTCGACCCCTGGACATTCCAGCGACACACGGTACGCGAATAGACCAAATCGCGGGGGCCATTCATTACGCGCAATCTTTTGCCCGCCCCTAAAGAGAGACGCACTCTGCTTCTGCTGTCGACATCGTCTTGCGCTCGATGGTCATGCCGCTCATTTCATTCTCCACATAATCATTTACCCAGTAAGCGGAGGGAAACCTGCCCGATTGGAGACGTGCCATTCTAGAATTGGGGGAAATTGAACGAGACTGACACCCAGGCGATAGTCACTCACTCTCTTACTATACCGTCCGCACCTCATACCCGAGGATTCTCCTCGTCGGTAGTTGCCCTCCTACCCCAACAACCCGGAACGCTTCGAGCCCACAATGAATCGATTTCGCAAGAACAAGAAGGTCAAGGAGGTGAAGGATACTTTGGGTGAGCTGGAGGGTGGCTCATCAAGTTCCTCCCCCTTTAGCTTGAAACCGTCTAAGAAGAAGGATGCCCCCGAATCGACACCACAGCTAGATTTTACCGCAGCCCTCCCGCCGACAGATGATTTTCGAACCAGCCTACTAATGCCGAAGCTGTCGGCCCGGTTCAGCATGCTGAGAGAGCAGGACGACCCGGAATCCAAGATAGGCAAGGCTAGTGATGACAGTGTTCTGTTTCCCAAGCGTGCCTCTCGACTGAACCTCTTTGGACACAACCCCAACATGCTCACCGATATCGACGAAGTATCCTCCAATGATGGCAGCTGCCGACCTTCGATGGCCCTGGGACGTACCGACTCTTATGCTTCCGGTGATTTAGGATATGGCACAGACGATGATCGTTCCCAAAGTGGTAGCATGATGAGCAGAGCTCGACGAGCGGATGGCAACAACCTATTCGGAGGCCGACAAAAGGTGTATCGGATCCCTGTACGCCCTGGCGGAGTCCCATCGCCCGTTTCGCCTGGCGCGGCGGCTAGTGGGATGGGCAGGGCAGTGTACGAGCATGACCTAAACCTGTCCGCTTTCCAAAAGATGAGACGCAAGGAGAAGGAGGAAAGAATGGCCGCAGATGAAGCCGCACGCGACTCCATCTCCCACGAATTTGAAGACGCCAATTCGACTAGTTCGTCACACAACCGCACAACTTACTCCTCCACAGCATCTGGACCTACCGTCGACCCTCGCACATCAACTGCAGCCACCTCGATCGATGAGAGTCAATTTGGTTCATCTCAGTCACAGCCACCTTACACAGGAGCGCCAGAAGGTCCCCTCGAGGCTCGGCCACCCTCCGCTATGTCTGCCCCACGAAATGGATCTGTCCGAACCCGTCGTCTCTATGGCCAGGGCTTAACACAGGCCGCACAGAGCCAGCAGAATTCGACCTTGAATCGTCTTGAAAGTCTGAGTCGCCAGCGTTCCGGAACACCAGATTCGACTTTGAATCGTAATTACTCCCGGAGTGCCGTCAACCTACGTGATCGACTGCAAAAACTTGCCATTGCGGAGCCAGCTACGACGTCTCGACCAACCAGCCCGCCTTCATCCGCCACATCGCCGAAGCAAGCGCCAGTCCTCGAGCCGCTCTCCAAAGATCGTATCTCACCTACTGCTGCTACCTTTGGAAACGCCCCTCCCCTGAGCCCCCCGTCTAGTGAAACTGGCGATGGTGCTTCCTTGTTAGCTGCAGCATTAAACCCGGAGGACCACGGCAAAGCAACCGCCATGGGTCTCTTCAACAGACCTGCCACTGGCTTCGATGAGCAGGCATTCTCGCGCCGTCAATTAGCGATGCACCAAGGTCGGGCCACTCCACCACGCCGATCCTCGCCCCCACGTCAGGCTCCTCGGTATGAACCTGGAGGTCGCTCGCGAGGCATGTCTAAGTCAAGCTATCGGTCTAGAGCCGAGTCAGGTTCCTCGCACTATAGCAGCGATGCTCACCATGGCATGGATCAGTCCCGGGATGCATCGCCTTCGCGACCTGGAGTGAGAACCTTCTACGCTAACTCGACTGCAAGCGAGTCTGGAGATGAAGGCGATGAGCGCCCGTCTTACGAGGTCTCTTCTGTTACATCGGAATATGGACAATCCCTACGCAATTCAAGCATCGCCTCCAAACCACCTACGCCAAATGGTGAGCATCTCGAGACTCTTCCCGAGGTCCGCTATTCGGATCTCGGCGACCTTAAGCCCATTGAAGAGAATTCGATGCTGGAGGCCACTGTGTTCAATGAGGATAGCAACGATCTACCTCAAAGACCCGACTCGTCAGTCCTTCAAGCTGGATTCGGCCTCAAAGGAATCAGTTCTCATCTTCGCCAGGAGAGTGACGTATCCTCCATCTATCCTCCTCCTTCCCCTCGGCTGCCACAATACGAGCAGGGTATCCAAGAAGCCGCTATTCCCGAGAAGCACATCTCTCCCGCCGAGGAGATTCCCCAGGAGGACGCCACTCGGCCATCCACCGAGCAGCCAGAGACATCGAGCCCTCGGGCATCCTCTCGACACTCTTCTGAGACGACAGTGAACCGTTCCAGCGAGGACTCCTCAGATAACGGGACCTACGAAAAGGATCCGTCGTGGAAAGAAGAGCTCAACTACCATCACCGCAGGGATGGCAGCACTGAGACCCAGAGGGAACGAGAAGAATTTGCCATCGAGCTCGCGGAGCGGCGCAAGAAGGTCCAAGAGAAACTACGCAGCGTAGCCGAGGGCGAGAGTCGCCCTGGAAGCCCTACGACTGGTCGTTCAACTCCGGATCTGACTGGACCCAAAGCCGGCAATGCTTTCTCTCTTTTGAAGCACAAGTCAAGCAAACCGGGCTTCCAGAGACCCGATCAGAATGGCTTGTACGGCTTTAACAGTTCCTCTACTCCCGCGTTGATAGAGGAGACTTGGCGCCACGATGAACGGCCCCAGACGAACTTTGGCCGCAACGCCAGTACCCCCCATGGTTCCAACCGAACGATCATTCCGATCTCGAATGCCGACCATGACCCGCAGGAGTAATGAAGAGTCCCGCGAGTCAAGCCGCAGCCGTGGTCCCTCGCCGCAACCCGGTTTCCGATCTCAGAGAGACCGCTCGGGATCTGAGGGCTCAAGCCGATCCAAGAGCCGCACTAGACACCGCGATCGCGATGATTTGCAAACTGTCGAGGAAGGAACGGTCATTGCCCACGACAATTTTGTGATGCCGGACAACTTCGAGCCCCCTGTACCCGCCTCGGTTCCCGGCTCGCGGCGCCAATCGTCGGAATTCAATGAGCCTCACGCTGGCATGTATGACCGCTCCCCTTCTGCTGCGTCGGGCAGATTTCGCAGCGCAAGCCGTTCTGGTACCCCCAGCTTCCATTATGAACGACCTTTCCAATTCCCGCAGGCTGCTCACCCTCCCTCAATCATTGGTGCAACTCCACGACCATCTCCCGCGACCCCGGCCTACTCGGCTAATGCAACCCCTCCGCTGAACGATGTTCCCTCCGACCAGTCTTCGACATCTCTGGCAGCAGCAGCTAGCAGTGCGAGCACCCTGCCCCAGCGTGCTCCCGGCCACGCCATGCTCCAAAAGCGCCCTATCAACAAGAAGCTGATTTCGGAGCCGACCTTCCTCTCATCGACATCGAACGTCCCTACTGTTGGCCTCCCTCCAGGTGGTGCTTCTCCGCCAAACGGTGCACCCCCTCTCCCTCCGATGAATCCGCGTCGTCGCCGTGGGACCCAAACAATTCTCGGTGCCTTCCGCACTGATAAACACGACCCATCTCGGTCTGGATCCCCGGCTCCCAGCTTCTCAGATGAACGTAGCTCCTTCGTGGATGATGAGAAGCGTCCCCAATCTCGCAACCGTCTCCGCAAGACATCCAGTGCGGGTGGTAGCTTGAGCGCCCGGGCACGCCAGGAGGCAATGGCCAGCCCTGCCCCTGCTGTCCCTCAATACCCCCCGCCCGCCATCCCCGTTGACGGTGGCATGTTCTAATGAAGTGACTCTTTTTGAGTAACTTTGTGCGATATTCTTTGAGCACATTTCTTGTCTCTGTTTTGGCGTCTAGCCAAATATCCACTCCTGGAGCCTCTTTTCTTTTCTCTCTCTCTCTCTCTCTCTTTCCCTCCCTCTCTCTTTCTCTCTCTGTTCGTTTTCATTTTTGCTGTTTTACTCATACTCTTCACGACCATATACCACCTGGGGCATTTTTGAGCGTCTGTCGTCTACTCTACCAAAGATACATTTTCCTTTTTGTTCTCTTACCTCATTTGTTTGGCAATCCAAACAACATCATACAACCAATTTCTTTTTTTTTGGACAAATATTTTCGAGCAAAGGTGTAACCGGGTGTAATTTTAAGTAATAAAAAGAATACATAGTTCTCTTTTAAATTTGCAAGTCTACTTGATACGTACTACGTAGTTTGGCGTGGAAGATGTGGGCGGGGTGATTTTTGCCAGACACGTGATCAAATTAGCCCTTGGAAGTTTATGTGAGTTCAAGTTTATTTGAAGAGTCTACAATACTAAAATGTTGATTCTCTCCATTAAATGGTAGAGTATTGAATATCTAAATGCAATGGAGAGAAGAGGGCTTGTAGTTCGCAGTCCAAAGATGGGCAACTACTAGTACGTCACAAATGGCAGGGCCTGGAGCAGACGCACCTTCCTCAACTGTAAGTAATTAGCGCACCTTCCAACTTGGAAGTTGGCTTCTTGTTGCTCCTTCCCGTTTGCAATGCTGACAATCCGTTGCAAGTAAAAGCCCGGCTTCCACACTTTCGATTGATGCTTTGTCAACCCTCCCCATCTTCAACTCAACTTCCAGCATCTACTTATTTCATCTCCTACGTGTTTCACAAACAGTCTAGAGATCATCAAGCTTTCCTGTCTTTACTCAAAGGGAGCATCTGGACTGCTGAGGCAGATTGGCCCCGCCCGCAATACCGACTTGCCATTACAAGAACTACGACTTTTGAAGTCCTAGTGGACTCCGGCTTCCGGCTTCCAGCTATCCTGAGAATTGAATCACTACTGTTTACTCTGCCGCTCACCCTTTGTTTTATCGCCTTTTGCTTTGTCTCCGAATCCCGCAAAAATGTACTCCCAGGACAAGCAACATTACTCTCGCACCGTTTCTCGCATTGCCGCTGGTGAATATGACGCCTATCAAGAGCCACTTTCGGCCGAGAGTCTGGGATGTTTACTGTCGGATCATGTTCAGCAGAACCTTGCTCAGGAACGGATACGGGAGATGCATACCTTTCAACGTGTCATGGAGAGAGAGAAGCACTACTTCGAGTTTCGGCACAAAAAGGTTAGGCGTTTCAAATGTGACAATCCTGAAGATAGTGATACCGAGTATGCGCTTTTTCCCACCAACAATAACGAAGTCTGGGGTTCCGGAGTTAACAGTGATATCAGCATCAATACTCCTCCGTATGGAATCCCCTACGACTCCGAACAGCCATTTGGCTCCCCAGACCGTCCCGATGAACGGATGACCTCAACCCCTGTTACCCCTGTTCAAGCTCACAAATATCCCCACCCTGTCCACAAAGCTGTATCCAGTATGTCGGGGGATCTGGGATTGGGCCTGAGTTTGCACAAGGAGGATACTTCCGAGGCAACCTCTATTGCTGAGCAGATCCCGACGGTCGAAATCTCTCCACCGACACCACCTGTCGATGCCGCGATCCCCAAGAAGAAAAAGAAAAAGGCCAAACGCAAGCTCAGACACACGGGGAAGAAAGCCAAAGCTCGGGCTGTCGCCGCCGCTGCTACTGCCGCCGATCATGTCATGTCGTCCGAAAAATCCGATGACAACGAGGATACTGTTGTTCAAGCTGAAAATATCTCGGCTTCATCTGATATCGCCAATAGAATCGAAGCGGAACTCCCAGAGAAACCGGTTACCTTTACACCAAGCTCATCCTCTGTCTCCGATAAGGACTCACTGAATTACCGGCCACCATCTTCAGAGATTGATTTCCTGACTGCTGCTAAGCACGACCTAGCCCAGCATGCTATGGGCATCACCCTGGCCATAAATAGGGAGGGCAATGGGAATCGGACGTCGCAAGCTATGGATAGATTTGACACTTCAGCGGCTGTGGAGATTCCGGAAGAAGCTTGGGAGCTCCACGAAGCTTGCTTTGCTGATGATGAGCAATCCCCCGAGGATATCGCTCCCATGTGGGATGGATATCAATCACTTGTTGAGGAACGACAGACACAGGTTGAACCGGTATATTTTACGCAATGGGATTCTCCATATCCAAACATTGTCTGTCACACCTACTCAATTTGCGCGTGGCAGCCAGCTTGTAGATTTCACCAGCGCAAGGTGGGCTGTGGTTGTTGGCATTGTCCACTGCCTCAGCGAAGTTGTTGTTGTGCCCATGCGCCGGTAGACTGTTATTACCATTCACTGGTGCCAGAAGAGAATCCGAACTACCCCGAACGTGAATACAAGCACGACGGTTCTGTTTGGCGAGGTCCATTCACTTACCGAGAGTACCACACCTCAGTTACATTCACTACACAACGGGAAGTATCAATCCCGTCATCACCTCACCATTCTTCTCTCTCTTTTTTCTTCCCTTCCTCACCCTCCCCTCCCTCACACTTCTTCCGATAGAGATCCTTCTTTAACCTCAACTATTTCTGATTTTGTTGACATTCGCACTATGGCCAGCTCTGCTGCAAAGCAGAAGTTGGCTGGCCGCCCTCAACCAGCGATTCCTCTGTCGTCACCAAGAAGCTCACCATCATCTTCTCTGCCATTTTCTAAACCATCAACACCCGACGATGAACTCACTCCGCCTGTATCTGCCCTCATGGAGTTGAGCCGAAAGTCTCGCTCGGGCTCGAGCTCTCAATCTCCCCAATCTACTGCCGCAAACTCACCCTCCCCCCCTGTTGAGGTTGAGAATTCCATGTCAGCACAGTCCACTGTGATGCCTCCCACACGGGATGAAAACACCCTTGACTCGACCTCCAATACCCCATCAAACGGGACCACCGCTAATACCTCCTCGAACCAAACCATCTCCCAGCTGAATATCCCAACCCAGTCATTCATCGAGCGCAAGTCATGGGCAGACGTTCTTCGCCTGCCGCCCGATTCAGATGTCACCATTGAAAGTGCCATGAAGTCTCCATCTGAATATTTCGATGCCAAACAGAGTCCGAGATCGTCACCTGAGACATCCGGTCCTTCTTCCAAGAAGTCTACTCCACCCAACAACAAGAACCGATTTTCTACCCAGCTCACTGCAGCTCACTTTCGCTCGGAGCCAAACCCCTCCAGCCCCTCTCCACCATGTGCACGAAATAGCTCGACCCACCCCTCGGGTGAGAGTTCTGCTTCGTCGAAATCTTCTGGCAAGATAGCCAAGTTTGCCAAGCTCAGCAAGGGTGTGGTGATCAGCCCGTCTCCTTCCAGCAAGACCCCAAGAGGCAAAAAAGACAACAATTCCTGGAAGAAGCACCAGGTATCGGACCCGCTTCCCTCACCCGACAGCTCGCGCACCGTTTCGCCTGAAAAGCACGACCAAAACGACAAGGCAGAGGATACCAAGCAGATCGAGAAGAGCGAAATTCCATCTAGTCACTCAAGCTCTGTCTCTCAAGAAAAATACCCCGAACCAACATTGCCGCTTGCTGCGGGTAGCCCCAACATCCTTGAGAACCTTCGAGGTCAATTCGGCAATCCAGCCTATTCTGACATTCAAATTCTTGTGGGATCCCAAAAATCCCAACATGCCCAAAACTTCGGACCAGGCTCAAACTACGAGGTCTTTTATGTCCACATGCCCGTGCTGCATCTTAGCCCCTTCATGCGTCAGATTATCGAGGCGAAGGCATACGGACACAATGATGGCCTCCGCTACATTCATGTCATCCTCGGTCCTTCTTTCAATTTGGTTCCGGCTTTCAGTATGGCACTCCAATGCCTGTACAGTACACCTCTCATTACAGTCAAAAATCTATGGGAGGTGGTATTGAGCAGCATAAACCACGGTCTGGTTTATGGCAAGACCGTAGGGGAGTTTCAGCCGGGAATCGCAATGGTCCATTTTTCCCTGTGCTATGCTGTGTCCGGCTTGTTTTTGAACCTACCTGAAGTCATCAAGAGAGGTATGGAGCTTGCACATGGTCTTCTCGCGTGGAACACGGTCGAGCTATTTCTCCGATTCGGAATGGAACCCTCGGCCTACATGATGACCTGCCCCGAACTGTGCGACGATATGATCGGTTCCCCAGCCCTCAACAGCAGCAATACCGGGGAAATATGGCCACCAAAGATCAGCATGAGCCACATGAAGGAGTTTAATGAGAAGTGGCCTGGCGTGACCACCAAAATTGCGTTGCAATTCATCGCAAATGCGATCACACCCGACTTCGCGGTTTATGAACGAGCCCAGTCCAAATTCGCCCCGTCTCGCATTACAGGTCCCCTGTGGACTCTACCCAACTCACAATGCTCGGACCCAAGACTGGAAAGTCTCAAATTCGGAAGTTTTCCATCATACGCAGAGACCGCGCCGACCGACCCGTCTGTCCTCGTCCCTTCCGCGATGCTTCTGACTTTGCCATTTTCAGCATTCGCAAAGCTCCTCATCATCCTGAACGAGCGCGGAACAGCTCGAGTAGACCTGATTTTGGAAGTGGTTCGCTTGCGTGAGGCGCGTCGCTTGCAAGCAGTCAGGCAATACCAGGGTCAGCTCTGGCCCCCCGGTACCATCCACGGGCCAAGCCTGGAAGAGCTCGCATATCGCGAGTTCGTCATATGCGACGACTCACCTGTCAATCCGAGAGGCAAGAACCCACAGGCATGGGTAATGCGTGTATGGGTAGGGCTCTCACATCCAAAGATGGAGGCACTCAAGAGAGCGCACGAGGAGGAGAGGGAGTAGGAGGAGACGGACGGGAAGGAGAAGTGAACAACATGGAAGGAAGTGGTATCGAGGGCAATTTGTCTGATTTTTTTGTGGAAGGTTTGATCGATACCAAATATTTTCCTGTACCATTACCATGGGAGGATTCTTTTTTGTTTGTATCCGACTATTGTCGGATTTTGTGTAGTTTCATCCGTTAATGAGATGAAAATATGGGATAAGAAACTTTAAAATCAGCGCATACCATAGTCAACACGATCATATTAGATGAGTAGTCTCTAATTGTAATTAATTCGGGTTTATCTCCTCCTGTTGGGGTTCGAGTTTGATACCTTGAATAAATTTGAAGATTTATGTACTGGTATCGGCAGTGATATTTTAGAAATTCAAGTCTAAGTTTCCATCTTCTCCTCCGCAGACTTCAATAGGCATGTGGGATCTTTTCCTCTTCCATGTCGCACCCTATCATATACTACTACTACCCACCCATAATGACGAGTAGCTCCCAAGTCAAGGACCCCCCCGTATATAACTACTCTCGGTCCACCCAGACTCTCTCGTTTTTCATTTCTTTCCAACATCGTTGAAAGTGCCCACGACCCAGAATGCCCCTGTTAAAATGGCACAACCCATGGCCTGGTGGTATCCCCTCCTTCATTCGCCGACACGAGAAACCGGTCGAAGATGTGGAATCTGCCACTCGGGCATGGAGGTGTTTTGTTCGTGAGGAGTGGGTCGACGCCGAGGATACCGCCGCAGAGACGAGCCCTAATCGAACAGTGAGCAACAGCGGACCAGTAATTCCGCGATGTAAGTTTTCAGCTCATATATTCCCGAGCTTTATACGAGTGGTGCTCATGTTCTTCTGTCCACTTTGGAATAGAGCTACGAATCACAGGCACTGCCAGATGACGATTCTTGTTTTGAAAATCCTGAAAAGGTAAACCCTCCACCCAATCCATTCTTTGACCTGCAATTCTAACTCGTGTCTAGGACGCTTGTCTCGTTGAGCAGTAAATGTACGATCTAAATGATGTCTACGTCTGTCTTACCGAATGGACACCCGAAAAACAAGCCCTGCTCGCCAAGATTATTATGGCCTTGTTTTAATTTGACGGAAGCTTTGAAAATATGGTAGACTATATCTCGATACTACTACCATTCGAAGATAACAAAGGGGACATTGTGGAAAAATTCAAGTTTCTTCAGAGTGTTGTCCGACCAGACTTTTTGGATATGCACATGGCGCTGGACGGAACGGTACTTTTCGCAGACCGCGCGCCCAACTGATCATCGATGACCGGACTCTGGAGACCGGACTGGCACTTTGGGTTCAGTTTGAGTCAAATGGGACAAAGGAGCGGGTCTACAGGGTTCAAATGCTAATGCAGGAATTTGTGTACATATTATTGATGTCCAGTATAACGCGGACTCATTGGATAATGCACTCGTATACTTGGAGGATGATCTTACTACTGTATAATATCTCCCTTTCTCGGCGTCCCGACACTAGCGGCATTTCCAACTTGAACAACATCACCCCTCTGAAACCCATTATAAGGCCGAGAGTCGATATTCGGTGAACCCGTAAACCTAAATTCATGCCAACATTCCAAAGAACGCTGAGAATTTTGCAGATTTCTTTTCTGTCTCTATATTCTCGGCATTGTAAATATCAAGCGAGGCCTAACTTGAAAGATGGATGTATGGGACCCACACGAGACGAAGGGCGCTAGTGACAGATATAGTTTAGCTTAGATCCTACCATCCAATCATCGTGCCGGCAAGACCGGGGAAATGATGCCGATCGGAGGTATGTTTCGCGGGAGTGTTTTTCCTAAAAGAGCGAGCAACAGGTTAGTGATACCGCCGGCGGATACAAGGTGGAGGATAGTTGGCGTGGGTTGGTTGATCTAGTGAGGCAGTAAGACTGACTTTTTCTCTAGATGCCGAGTCCATGTTTCTTGTCAAGCCCCCCCCAAACCCATGATCGAAGAAGCGAGAATGGAAATGACGAAGAATGTAGAGATAGGTCGAACTTCCAGTCCCACCCTGTTCCTGAAACCTCAGCAGCCTGATTTCCCACGAGCAAACGACTTCCTCGCCCATTTCGACGTTCATAGCATTCAATACCGATGTTTGCCGAGATCATCCTGCAGCCAGTGGACTGGAAGCCATCACGTCCCGATCCCGGCCCCATCGAACTCCCGAACGGCAAGAGGCGATGGAGACGGAATCAAGTCGCCTGTGATACATGTCATGCTCGACGAGTGCGATGCGATATGGTATTCTCAAACCCATGCTCTTGCTGTAAACACAAGGATATGGAATGTGTGATAACTCGTGAGCGAAGAAAGCGCGGACGAAGGGGAAGAGCCGAACGAGCCGATGCGAAACAAATACACGAGACTTTGGGGGTGCACGATACCCCAACAATCCAAGGAGAGGCGAGAAAGACCGAGACGTGCTCCGTCGATGAATCATTGCCAGTCTCATCCCCGACTGCCACAGATCCGACCACACGGCCGAATACACCAGGAATCGACAATATTAAGGTCGGGAATTGTTCAGCTTCGGAAACGCCTGGTTCCTGTTCAGATACAAGCAGTTCTCAAATCCTGGAAGAATTAGGCATGGGCTTTACAGAAGACTGTTTACCAACCGCCCATCTCTTTCGGGGGTTATTCGACTTGAGCGCAGAGCACGATCTCGCTTTCCCATCACTCCCAGATGTCTACACTGCAGATGACATTACTCTAAATCCCCATGCAGCAAGCGAGATACCCTCCGAGTCGTCAACGCTCTCTCCTCGTGCAGTAGATCTGCTTTCTCCGGATTATGAATCAAAATTTCGATCTGATGATATACCATATGGTACTGAAGGGGCCGATACTATCTTGCTGGTGGATTTACTGGAGACCGCCCTGTACGAAGCTAATATGCCAATATCTTGGTCTCCGACGACGAGGATGGGAAGTGAGCTATTTTGTTGAGATCCAAGCTTATATTTTATACCACCCCTCCGAGTCTACTCCAAGTCAATTGGGACATGAAATAATAATAAAATTTCACAGGAAAATCAGTGGTAGAAGAGAGCAAAGTGGAGAATTTGGAACTTTGCGATATCAAGAACCCGTTGAGGACAAGAACCATTCCAGAATTACGAAAGGCATTGTCTAGGCATGGTAGTTATTACGATTTCGTATCCGCTGCATATATCCGTCAGATATCCGTAGTGGACAGTAGTAAATTGCTGCCCAGGTGTTGGATATCTGGAGCAGATAATCGCGGATAACCATTCCAACGGAACAATAGCCGAAGCCTCGACAGTTTACCATAAGACCAGGCTGTTTATGCTACAGATCACAGTCGCCAGCAACATTCATATTCGAATGATGATTGAGTGAGTACTCAGCACCCTGTGATTACAAAGAAGAGCCTTTCACTGTTATGCTTATTGTATGGTGTTTTTTTATTATGTGCAATACTAACTCAATATACAAGCAATGAGCTATTTTCATCCCTCGTGTCTATCATTTCATCAGAAACATTTTTCCAGGCCCAGCCGGAATTTTCCCATCTATGTAGTTCCATTTATATCAGAAATCAAAGTTGTGACCGTGGTAGTCAGAGCTTATCGGGAAAACCGAAGTTCTTGCCGAAGGGAGGGAAGACGAAGCGTTGGAGCTTCTTGTTGGCAGTCAAGTCATCGGAGTACTTCTTGATGGTGGCCAGATCATCGGCGTCCAGGTGGATCAGATCCTTGCGGTTGGCCTCGATGCGAGCGGGGGTGACGGACTTGGCGAGGACGGAAGAGCCACGAGCGACTGGGATTGTTAGTCTATGCTTTTTCTTGCTGTTTTTTGGAGGGTAAATCTGGAAATACTTACTGTGCCAGCTCAGCAGAACTGTAGCAGGGGTGACGCCGCGCTTGTTGGCCACTTCGACGATGGGCGCAGCAGTGAAGAGGGGGCTGCCAGTGCTACCAAGAGGACTATAGGCAGTAACGTGAATGCCCTTCTGCTTGCAGAAGTCAACGATCTCCTGCTGGGGCAGAGAGGGGTGGTTCTCGATCTGGTTGGCGGCAGGGACGGTGGTTGCTTGAGGCAAAAGCTCCTCGAGATACTGAACGCTGTAGTTGGAGACACCGATGGCCTTGGCCTTGGCCTTGCTCAGCTTCTCCATATCCTTCCAGGTAGTGACATGGCTGTGGCTGTGAACAATGTCTCGGCTGCCATCTGCCAGCTTGGGGAAAACATTGTGGTTACCTGTTTTAGTTTCTTGTCAGCCGTGAACTTTTGGATCTAATCATCAACGGACTTGAATGCTCACCCTTGGAGTTCATGGCCAGGGGCCAGTGCATCAGGTAGAGGTCAACATATTCGAGACCCAGGTTCTTCAAGCTGGTCTCGAGACCCTCCTCAACGCGTTCATGGTAAGAGCACCACAGCTTGGTGGTGACGAAGAGATCCTCGCGCTTGACAATTCCGGCGTCAATGGCCTTCTTGATGCCTTGGCCAACCTCGTTCTCGTTACCGTAGCAGAAAGCACCGTCAATGTGACGGTAACCAGCCTGAATAGCGTGATAGACAGCATTGGCGACCTCGCCGGGGGCGGATTGCCAGGTTCCTAGACCAAGGGCAGGGATCTCAGCCCCAGTGTTGAGCTTGAAACGGACGTCTGCGGCAGCCATTGTGTATTAAAAGGGTGTGATTGAGATTGTATTTGAGACTGAGAATTGAGAGAAGTTGAAGAAAGGAAGAGAAAACAAAAACAGAAAGCGCGCAAGAAGAAGTAGCCTCGCGGTTCGAGATAAAGATGGGCCGAAGTCTCCCCCCACGCGGGGGGCATTTGAACCCCGCCATTTCCTATTTTCCGCTTTCCCCCTCGGATATTCCATCAATCACCGTCTCTCGTCCCGATTCCATTCAGTTCGACGTGGGGGAACTCTCTTTGCACTGGGAGAGGTTTCTATTGAAGCTTTTGCTGCGTATACTGAGTATTCTGAGTATACTGAATACCAACTGATGGATTTATGCACGCATCGATTTGGGTCATCATATCGGCAACCGGGCAGATCTCACTTCTACGATCGGAAATTCGTCGGCGAGAATAACCAGGAACGGTACAATAAGGGGAAAGAACGGCCAACCAGCCAGCCAGCGACGAGGAATGGGTCAGCCGGAAACCAGAATCCTCGCGGGGCAGCGTCAGGGCCATCCATGGCATCGCCTGACATCACATCCCCACGAATCCACAAAGGATCCACCTTGATCTCCAATCAGAGACCGTTCTGATGTTGCCTCCAAACAGTCTATCCCGGCCCGGATTCCAGAATCCGTGATATTTGCTCCATGATGCTTGTTCGCCCCAGCCTTCGCTGCAAATCATGGGCAATCCTATGGGGAGACAATCACACACAGGGCAATATTCCCCGGACTGCTGCAGTACCATCGGAATTCAGACGCCATTGTCGATTCTTTATAAAAATGGATCAACTCCAAGGTCATCTCGATTCTTCACACAACCACCTTGTCAAGATCTGAACATACATACACCAGACTTGACCACTCCATTATCTCATCCGACATCACAAATTTTCCATTTAACCTTTCAGCACAAACCTCCTCTGTTCTCTACTCTACCTTGAACATCCCACCCACACCCTCAAAATGGCACCCGTCGCCCTTGAGAACTCACCTGCCCCCGTCATCCCTAATAAGATGCGGGATGGTCAGGCTCTGGAGGAAACTTCCGACGCCGTCGATGAGGTCAACGTTTTGAAGGCCAACATGAAGAAGGAGGTCGAGAGGAAGGAGGCCGAAGAGAAGGGTCTCTTTGACGAGTCCGAATTCGACAAGGAGAAGGACAAGACCAACTTCCGCCAGTACGAGGACGCCTGCGACCGCGTGAAGAACTTCTACAAGGAGCAACACAGCAAGCAAACCGTTGCCTTCAACCTGAAAGCTCGCCACAGCTTCAACAGCAAGACCCGCGCCGAGATGACTGTCTGGGAGGCCATGGAGAAGCTCAACACCCTCATCGACGAGTCCGACCCTGACACCAGTCTTTCTCAGATCGACCATCTACTGCAGTCCGCCGAGGCTATTCGCCGCGATGGCAAGCCCCGCTGGATGCAACTGACCGGTCTCATTCACGATCTTGGCAAGCTGCTCTTCTTCTACGACGCTGAGGGTCAGTGGGATGTTGTTGGAGACACCTTCCCTGTCGGCATCGGCTTCGACGAGCGTATCATCTATGGCCGTGAGTCCTTCAAGGACAACGAGGACCTCAACCACCCTGTCTACGACACAAAGTTCGGCATCTACAGCCCTGGCTGCGGCCTCGACAAGGTCATGCTTTCTTGGGGTCACGATGAGTACCTCTACCACATTTGCAAGGAGCAGTCCACCCTGCCCGCTGAGGCCCTCGCCATGATCCGCTACCACTCCTTCTACCCCTGGCACAGCGCCGGTGCCTACGAGGAACTGATGGATGAGCACGACAAGGACATGCTCCGCGCCGTTAAGGCCTTCAACCCCTACGATCTGTACAGCAAGAGTGACGGCATCCCCAGCGCTGAGGAGCTTAAGCCCTACTACATGGAGCTAATCAACGAATACTTCCCTACCAAGGTTATCAAATGGTAGACGTGGGATTTGGAAAAAATCTCCTGACATGCGCACATTTTCAGTTCTTACTACCCTGTTTAGATTCCCATATTTTGTCTTTGACTTTACCATTATGAAGCGTTTGAAACCATATAGATGACAACGAATGAATTATTTCCTACTGTCCTTTTTAGGACTGTGTACTTCCACACACATCATTTATCTTTCTCCATCTTCTCTGTATTCTCAAAAAAAAAGTAAATATAGTCTTCAGTTAGGCCAAATAATTTATTTGGCCCTGAGAGTGTAAACCAAGGTTATTCCAATCCGAAGTGCAATTCTCGCAGCCGGCTAATTTCAATAACCGGGACCTCGTTCCTATTCCCGATCCAATCCACCATGACGTCGATTACCCGGCATTCAAGGCTCTAAAGGTTCGATATTGAGACGATCACACTGGGCCACTAAAATAGCGATATTAATATCGTAGTACTTCTTTTCCAGACTAAGACCAAAGCAGGCAGTGCTACAGTCCCCTTGTTGACCTGTTCTCGTCTCGGCCTTCTAATCGCGAACAAATAGCTACCTAAGATAGAATAGATTGGCCAATCTGCTCCGTCTTAGGTAGCTACTAGTCTGCCATTATAAGGCGGTCGATAATGGTGGGCAATAGGATGTTTCAAGCTCTTGCAACGCCCCTGTAAATGAAGTAAAAGTGTACGCGACCAATACCATTCATTTCGTTTCTAATATATGTCTGCAATTTAACAATTCTATCTTCAACTTTACATACTAACATGCCAGTACACTTAAAGACGAGAAACCTCAGTCCTGTTCCCCGCCTCATCGAAGAAAATCTTCTGGTTAGAGATCATGGACTCCTGCAGCGCAGCTCCAATCCGCACCGCCTGCACAGCAGCAGTGAGTTCCAAAGGAAGAGGCTTATTATCCAGAACAGCCGCAGTAAACTCATTCGCCTCAGTGACAAATGCGTACTCGAACCGATCATAGTATGTCTGAGGAATCTCGCGACGAATACCAGTCTCATCGTACATGCTGACATGGTTCATGGCTGGCTGGGTATTAACAGCGAGTTTACCCTTCGTGCCAATGATTTCGGTAGTATCTTCCTGTCCCGCGGCCATCATGCGCGAGGCATAGAAATAAGCAATCTTGCCGTCGTAGAACTCAACCAGTCCAACCGCATTGTCGCGGTCGTTGTGCTTGCGTAGATCGGGCTCCACGGCTGTAATTCCTATCGCTGATACAGACTTGACCTTGCTGCCGGCGCCGAAGAACCACAGTGCCAGGTCGATATCGTGTATAGAGCAGTCAACGAAGATACCACCGGAGAATTCCGCGTATGCGACGAAGAATCCGCTCGGATCGAGCTTGTCGCAGGTTTGGCTGCGGAGAACGGAGGGCGCGCCGATGGAACCGGCTTGCATTTTGTTGTAGGCGTCGCGGTAGGACTTGTCGAAGCGTCGAGAGAATCCGCACATCACTTTTAGGTTGGGTTTCTTGTTTGCGGCGTCGACGACGGATTGGGACTGAATTGGGATAAGAATTCATAAGTTAGCGAACGAGATATTCAACAATTGCTGGCGTATCAATTGCAACTGAGATGTTGCAGGTAGAAAACTTACGACTTCGACACTTGTGGACAGCGGCTTCTCACAGAGAACGTGCTTGTCGGCTTCAATTGCCTTGATTGCCTGCTCGGCGTGAACTGCGGTCGCGGATGCAACCACAATAGCCTCCAAGCCCTCATGCTTCAGCATGTCGTCATAGTTCTGGTACAGCGTCACGCCAAAAGGCACCAGGTGTGTCTTGGCCCATTCGAGCTCAGCAGGGTCTGGTGAACTGGCGGCGACGAGTTCAGCGCGAGGAGTACGCTCCAAGAAGTTCAGGGCGTGACGCTTGCCCATGCGGCCGAGACCGGCGCAGCCGATCTTCATTCTTTGGCGGACATGTTGGAGATGGGATGAAGGAGGAGATTAGGCAAGATTCGTACAAATCGTTATACAAATGAAACGAGGGAGAGAAAATGAGGAGTGTTGGAGAGCAAAAAAAAGAGCGGGCGAAGCTACCCCGGCTTCTTAAGATCGGCGGATGCGGAGCTGCGGAGCTGCGGAGGTCTTTCTCCGAGTAATTTTGTGGGGTCGGAAAGTGACTTCCAGCAGTGTAGACAGACAGTAGACTCTCGTGAATTATAGTATGTACAGATTATTCATTCAATCTCGGGCTAAAGGTATTTGGAATCCGAATTCCATGTGTTCGGATTTATGGGTTCTCTGCCTCTGCCTTCTTCGACTCGCGTCGTGCTGCCCGGCGCTTCTCGAGAGCTTCGGGATCGACAAATCCGTCACCTCGCATCCACACCAGCCCCTTGCGCAGACCGCTACCTTGAACAGCGGAAGGATTGGCTTCGAGTAAGCAGCCGATCGCAGCCCACGATGCCACCAAAATCCACATATCTCCGCCACGACGACCCTTCCACAGTCCACGCTTCACACCGGTCTTCCAGGCCGAATCAATCGCAGCGCGGAAGAAGTACAGGAAGATATTGCGGTTGCTGCTAAGGAACATAAATGGCAGTCCACCCAGGGCCCCGCTAAGGAAGAAACGCTTGGTAGATAGTGTCGAACGAGGCAGGGTACTATTCAGCATACAGACACTGCCCCAAGCCACACCAATCGCCACCGACAGAACGGCAGTCATCTTGATGATGCGCTTAGAGATGGAGTCAATAGATGAGATGGGCTGAGTAATAATGCTCTTGATCTTGGGGATGCTCAGTGCTAATGTCACCGCCGTGAGGAAGCGCGCCAGAGGGGGCACGGAGAGCAGGATGTGATGCAAAAAGGCCGTGCTGCAGCTTGGTACACCTGGATGCAGAAGAGCGCAGGAAAGGTGCGTGATCGATGGGTGCGCAGGTCCTGTAATTGGAGAGATGGCCGCCACCGCAGAGGGAAGGGTATTAGGGTCGCCTGGGTGTAGGATAGGAGACACAAACGCCCTTCGTTTTGTTAGTTTTTAACATTTTCGTAGGCGGGCAGCGTTCAAACTTACGGCCAGCGAAGATCCGCAATAGATGCCAGGGAGTCCACGATCTGCTCCTTCTCCGGCCAGGCAATGTTGGCTGGGAGCGACTCCGGTCGGCCGGGGATGTAGCTCGGGGAGAGCTTCATAATGACATTTCCAAACCACTACCGCAATATATTAGGCCAAATTCAAGGCATCAAGGCGCGAAAGTAACAAACAACTTACTTTGGGGGTTGTCTCGCGATCAAACACAAAGGCGTGGAAAAGCTGGGCGCACGACACCGGCATCAGCAGCCAACTGCCGAACCACCACGGGCGCTTATCGAGTAGCCCCTTGGAATCCACGGCATTAAATAAGAACTCCAAGCTTCGCACACTCCAGTAAATGGCCCCGGTTAACCGAAGTTGTTCCTGCGGCATAATACCAACAGCAAGACCGGCCAAACTTGCGCCGACGGCCGGGGCAAAGCGAGAAGTAAGCGCGCGCGAAATACGTGGATTTCGCTCGCGGAATGGCTCGGCATCTTCGGTGCGTAGATTTGCTCGTAGTCGGACTAGGAACCGGTATAGAAGACGGTGGAGCAGAAGTAAAAGGGAAAGGGAAAAGGAAAGACGGAGGGTTGGCGATCGGTGAAGCGCTGTACGAGGCTTTTTTCTAGTCGGTCGCAAAGATCCGTTAGTCAAAGGTTGTAATTCAGAAATCAGAAAATAAAGGAACTTACTCGGCCGCGCCACCTCGAACCCGACTCATGACGGCTTCAAGCAGCTTCAAGACAAGCCCAGAACCCACAAAGAGACGCAGCGAGGCGCGCAGAGCGGCTTCGCTGTGTCGGTTCTTCGACTGGGCCATTACATCGAAGCTGGAAGGCGATATGAGCTTCGCTTTGACGTTGGGCGCACGTTTGGCTGCAATGCCGTGAAGGACCCGGTACTCTTTCGCACTTAGGGTGACGCGCAGGGCATTTTGGAGGATGGGGTGGATGGTTGGGGCCTTCGCGGGGCTATCCCCAGGCACCGCTGGTGTGGCCTCTGAACTCGACATTGCTGATCTTGGTCCAAGATACCCAGGTCAACCTCCCATGGTGGAGTAGGCGTAGGCGTGGGAGTGGCAGTGGGAGTTGGATGTTGAGATGAGAAGGGGGAAATGCGGGAGGAGGTTCTCCGCTCGAGATCGAGATCGAACCTCGGCCAAATTCCCTGGCGTCTTGCAAAGAAACAAGAAACCCCCGACTGTTATGGGGCTACGGTCGCAAGTGATCGATAGTATAAAAGCAAAGGGGGAAAAGATCAAATTTATAGAGAAGAGAGCAGGGCAGAATCGGGTCTATACATGAGTGGCCAAGTGCAGTTTTACCCCGGATTTCCAGTCACATGCAAGGACTGATCCACGTCATCGCAAGTACCAACTAACATGGTGATACTCTGTTATTAGCTTAAAAAAAGAGGCATTTCAATGACTGAGTGTAAAAAGACATACTATGGGAATATCTTTGTGTTTAGTCAACGAAGAGCATCATATCTTGTTTTCTACTGGGATAGTAATGGTACTATTATGATGAAATATAAGGTATTAATTAAGTAAAATGCAGATATGGCAGTATTGACCCGAGTACTATCTAGATGACCACCTCACATTAAATCTCTGATCTGGCACTAATAAGCCCTGTCAAGAATATGTCCCGATCCTTTTCGGTTTTCTCTATATTGACATGGGATACCAATTGGTTTACCTTTTCCTTGAGATTCTCTTTCTCGGTCGTTGAATCCATGTCGAATTGATGTTGGTGCATGTTGTCTAACCAGGACTTCATAGCCGGACCCAGGTGATCCATGAAATGACCAAAGTCACCACCACCACCAAGCAAGTTGGTCATTATGGGACCCGAGAACGCCCATCTCAGTCCTAGACCGGATGTCATGGTTTTGTCTAACAACATGGGATTAGAATCAACTGTGCGAGCTTGGCTGAATGGGGTACCCTTACAAAGATCCTCGGCAGAAACGATGCCTCTGGAGATAAGGCTGTAAGCCTCGGCGCAAACAGCTGCTTGAAGACGATTTGCAATGAAGCCAGAGGTTTCTCTTTTGACAACAATCGGGTCTTTTCCCAGGCTGCGGTAGAACTCGCAAGCAGCGGTTACATGTTCATCGCCTGTCTTCGGATGGGGGACTATCTCCACCAAGGGTATTAAGTGTGGTGGGTTGAAAGGATGCCCAATCAATATCCGAGATGGGCTTCTCTCGCAGTCTGTCACAAACTCTGACGATGGAAGACCGGATGAGGAAGACGCAATCAACACATGTTCAGGTGTTTTCGCATCTAAATGAGCGAAAAGGCGGCGCTTAAAGTCCAATCTCTCCGGTCCGTTCTGGAAATTCGTCAACATCTGCTTAATACCTCCTTCCTGCAATGCCATTTACTCACTTCTTGTATCAGATCAAGCTCTCCCAGGTAAGGATCGATATCTTCGACAAATGTCAAATTTTGCAAGTACTTGTCTGGTGTCGTAATTTTGTTCGGTATCGCCCAACAATTCTTCTTCAAGTATTCATGGAGTTTGGATTCAGCTCCTGGTGCTGGGTCAGTCACGATAACTCGCAGACCTTTTGCGAGAAATAGTGCTGTCCAACTCGCACCAATAACGCCTGTGCCGATCACACCGACTGTTTTGATAGAGGTAGAAGTCATGCTTTCGAAATTGCAGGTTCAAGTTTGTATTGAAAAAAATATGTGAACATAGGAACAGCCTCGACGCTATAAATAAGGAATGAGGCAAATAGTGGTGACCTGCAGCTTTCAGTAGTAAATGTCGGAAGCGCATCTTACCTACTCGAATAGGACCGGATCGGATCCCGGCTCGTTGATATGACCTCGTTCTCACCGACTCAATGTTTCCAGTGCCGGGAGTTCCAGATCTCGGAGATCTCCCGGAATCGACTCGGGAGATAGGCAGCTAAATGTTTGTTTTTACTTTTTTTTCTCTCGGTATGTACCCAAACTGCCAACTGAAGAAGAACTTGAGACTTCGTGTTACACTAAACACTAATTACTATTGCCAGTGGTCAATCTTTGTACTGGTACTACTAGTTTACAACCTTGAAATAAAATATGTACTCGTCCACCTTGGAATGCTTTGCCTTCAAATTCTATTGCATGCAATATCTACCATTGAAAATGAAGATCTCCTATGTCATGTAATCTACCGGGACCCTCGGGATACGCCATATTACCCCTTTTGGGTGATTCCGAATACCTTCCGTCGTCTCGGCTTATCAACTTCCGAGTTGCACAAAATTGAACTCAAAACAAAAGTGGGGAAGATGACGATTGAAGGATCAGCGAAGACTTGGAGTGCAACTATATAATAGCCAGGTTTGCCGGAAAAAGATGACATTTCCTTGGAAATATTACAAGACATCCAGAATCCTTTGACGGCTGTCATAAACCATTTTTTTAAAACATCTACTTAAGCATATCTATTGCTACTAGTACTTTCACCATGGCTCCCTTGCATAAGACTATGCCCGCCGCAGACATATATGGCCCCGGAACCTTTATGGATAAGGAATTTATTCCAGCGCCCCAAGATGCCGAGCGTATCTTTGAATACATCGCCAAAGGTACACCTGGATTTACTCAGGACAAGGAGCTTTGGAGTACGGTCAAATTCAATGGAAGCTCGCTGCCGATAATTCCTGGGCCTACCAAAGCGCCCCTTGTTGCAGCTGCTCTCCATGCTATGTGTGGCGTCGTCGCTCATGAGATCGTCGAAGACCGCGATGGCACCCCAGCCAACACCCAACAAGTTACAGTCAACACCGACCATGCCGCTATCTGGCTTGGAACGATATTTGCAGCATCGGTGGAGGGCAAAGACATGTCCGAGCTTATCAGATCGCAAGAGCTCCCAAGTCTCTTCCAACGGGATTTTGAAGGTGACTTCATGTCCAACTTGATGAGAAAGCGAACCACTGCTCTGTACAAGACCAAGACACCAGGGGTGTGGTATCAACTTCACGGCTCACTTGATGCTGCGCCGGTCCTAAAGTCTATTGGCGTCGATCCGAACTACCCTGCCAAGACATCGGACGAGGCATACGAATATATCAGTCGACACGTTGAGCAATGGACGGCAGATGAGCTGGAGATGCTCAACGTCAAGAATGGATTCTGTGGTAGCATCTGCTTTACTCCGCAAGGATGGTCCGACACATTGATGGGAAAGAGACTGGCTGCCCACCCACTGGTTGGCTATTCGCGACAGTCGCATGCAATTCCGACTCCTCCGATTCCGACTCCCAAAATCTCAAATGACAAGCGTCCCTTGGCAGGTATCAAAGTGGTGGAGTTAGTTCGAATTATTGCTGGGCCAGTGATCGGTTGCACGCTTGCTGCGCTTGGTGCTGATGTGATTCGCGTGAATTGCAGTCGCCTGACAGATCTAAATGTATGCAACCCACAAACATATTTGATGCAACTGAAACTGACATATTATCATACAGGTCCTGCAGCTTAGCCTGAACACGGGCAAGCGAACTATTGACCTTGATCTGACGAAAGAGGAGGATAAGACCCGGCTTCGAGAGCTTATTGAAGGTGCCGACGTGTTTGTTCAAGGTTTCCGGCCAAATGCGATTGCAAGAAGGGGATTTGGAGTCAACGATCTCCTCGAGATGGCAGGCAACCGAGGCAAGGGAATTGTTTATGTCGAAGAGAACTGCTATGGTCCTGACGGGCCATACCACGAGCGCCCTGGATGGCAGCAAATTGGAGACGCGGCTTCAGGATCGTCCTACGTGATGGGTCGCTCTTTGGGCTTCAAGGATGGAACTAGTGTTCTTCCTCCGCTTCCTATCTCGGATATGTCTACTGGTCTTGTGGGTGCTCTGGGGACTTTGCTAGCACTCCGTGACCGGGCCCGACAAGGTGGCTCATACCGGGTAACGAGCTCTTTGGTCAAGGCCGATGCTATTGCCTTGGAGCCGGAGATTGGCCTTTACTCCCCTGAGGTCGTGGAAAAGAGCAATCAGTTGTTCCAGTGGGGCCATATTGGACCTTCTCAGTTCGTCACTGAGATCCTTCTGGTTGTCATGGATGGTTGGAAGAGGGTATTCCCTCAATACTTTAACCAGGACTCAGACTCCTTTATGACCAGTTTTGAGGATGGACCATGGGGACGCATGGAAAATTTGAAGCCAGTGGTCCAGTTGAGCGATGACAGCGTGACGCCTCGTTGGTTGTCATCTGCAGTTCCTCATTGCCATCATCCTCGCACTATCGAATGGCTTTGATCGAATTTAAAGAGGACTGCAAGTACCAGTATTATATGAAGCAATTGAAATAAGCAAAATTTATGGATTGACATATCTATGCCAAATATCAATATAAACACGATCTTCTATACTATAAGGCGATAGTCTCTCATAGTTCAGATTATGTTGGCAGTTCCCACCCTTCAATCGGACTGTTTTTGCCATCCAGTTCCGCAAAAAACACCGGCCAATCATTCCAATCAAAAGTATAGTTTTCAATCATGTCCATGTTATCCGAAAATGGCTGCGACTGTTGTTCTCTCGTAGTTTCATCCTGCACGTATATGTTTTCATGGTCACCTTCCACGGAGGTGGTTTCCATTACCGATCCACGCCGATCAAAACTTTGTTCAATTAATCTCAGGACAGAGCTGCACCTTGAGGCCAGCTTAGAGTGATTTTTGTATTCTGCTAATATATCACGGGCTTTTTGCAACAGTCCTTGTAATCGAGATGCAGAGAAATGCGCTGCGATCTGTGAAGATCCCTTGGCTGCAAGCAGAATTGTAATTGCCATGTATACGTCTAGTCATAGTTAGATCCATATTATTTTCGTCGTATAGGCTTAACTTGCATGAAACTGTATACCAATTTGATGGCAGAATGTATGTTTGCGTCTGCCGGGGCAGGTTTCTGGAAATGAATTCAATCATATCTTCCGCCGCCCGGGCGCAACTTATTCGGCATTGGAAAACAACATGTGGCAGGAGCTGGTCATCTTGATATAGGCTAGCACCTGTAGAATTTCGATTCTCTTCTTGATGAATTTGCGAAAGCAGAGGCCTAAAAAGGAGAAGTCGAACAGATAGATATCTTTCGATTGAAGGCAACTTTGTCAGTGTTAAAAATCCTGTATTATAAGAAGTCTTCTTGACACCAACCGGGCACGTAAAATATTAGCTTCGCGGGTCACATGCTTCGATGGCGTTGTGTCCAAAGTCTCCGATGGCATTCTGAAGAACGGATGAAGATTGGAAGCCCATTTATTGAGCTCCGACTCAATACTGAGCAATCTTGCGATTTTATCAAAGAGAAGACTTTGCGCTGAGTTCGAATTAGTCAAATCATTTTTCAAACTACCATTAGAGATATAAAATGTCTCCAATACTTCACCGATGATGTAATGAAGCTGGCAAAATGAGGCGTAAAAGTTCACTTTCGAGGGAAGATTATCGTCTACGGTGTTCATAGACTCCGTTGTGCTGAGAACTAATGGGCTTAATCCTTCCTTTGCAATGGACTGCGGAACTTTAAGAGCACAACCGAAGGTCATAGCACAGATCCTGTGAGAATAGAATGTCAGGTTGCAGTTCATAAGATGAAGAACAACGGCTCGGTATTCCGTACCTATCCATAAGAACACACCCATTCCAAACACGGCGTGCAAGATCTCGCTCGTGTGAATCGTCCATGGCCTCGGTTGTTGCAGGGATGTGCAGCCCCAACTCCTGCGCAATATGAATAGCCATTCCAATATTTCGGAAACTCTTTTGTGGCGATTTCTGATGTTGGAGATAAACCGCCGTGAGAAGAAGTATTTGAATTATCTCAAAGTTATAAAGGTTCATGAGCTCATAAGACATTAGCTCTTGGGCTCTGTCGAAAAAAACAGTCGAGGATTGGTGTCGAGACAGAGAGGTTTGGCCTTGGAAATCACCGCAAGCAGTTGCGAACATAAGGTTGAGGATACAATGCAGTGCCCTCTCGTTCATTGGTTGCTCTCCTTCTTTGGTCCATAGACTTTCATATGCACGTTCGACCGAGGAGCGATTAAGCCAGGGATAAGCGCTATCCACATAGTCCCAGTAAAGAGCCAGGAGATTATCAGCCACCTTCCTTGGAGGAATCGAAAACTGCATATCAGATGCCTCCTGTCCAGCACCTAGTTTGTCTAATCTGGGAAGTTGCCTGAGAGCCCTGGGAAGAGCCTGAGTTGTGCTTTCTCTTCTGCTCTCAAACGTACTTGGCCGGTTTTTCTCGCTCTCGATCCCATTCAAGATATAAAAGCCACCAGATGCGCCAAATAGACTATTGCTAGAGATAGCGGGGCGATGGGGGCTAGTCGCATCGTCATCGCTGCCCTGAAAAGGGTTGTATGAGTGTTCGCCCACTTTGTTTGGCTGTTCCGGGGCGTTGTTTACAGTGGCCCTGTGGTGTAGTTTAAGCATTTTGCATTCAATAGACTATCAGGAGATAATTATACAGCCATACCATCCATGCACGCTGCATGAGCCAGCTGGTTGTGGTGTAACCGAAACAAAGTGGGCTTCTACTCGGAAAGACTTACGCTGGGGTCAATGGCACGTCAGCTTCACGATACAGACATGGCTGAGAGGTATTTTGGCGTTTTCTCTTTGAGCACGGCCCACAAACTAAATTTCTATCAGCACGATGTAAATTGTCCGGTATCTTGAGCTCGAGCTCCAGCGACGATCACTTACCTGGTCTCGCCCCGTCACACTTTGTCTTCTTAGATTTGCAAACATTACATGCAATGCCAATCTTGGCACGCTTGGGCCTGGGCTCACTAGAATCCATTGCCTGAGTGGAACCGGCTCGAAACGAGAACATCATCATGCCAATGCGAATAAAACGAAAGAGATCCGAAGGTGATTGATAGATCAAGGATACCGAGATCCTTCCGCTTCCGAGATTGGCGGGTGGACGTTGGATTATGTCATCCCAGTTCCGATGTTCATTTTTGGAAGGATCCGATCACGGAAGGCCCAACTGGGTAACTCGGCTCTTGTTGGGAGGCCGTCGATTTATTCGCGCGGACCACAACCTCCAGGGTTGCTGTAAGATTGGATAAACGATATTTTTGGCTCGAAATAGTGGGAAATCATCAACCCGGCTTGAATGTGCCGAGAGCGCGTGGGTACTCAAATGCAACACCCACCTAGACTCCATCATGATGTTAAATTGCATCGACAATATTTAAAGTCTCACCCCCAATTTTAGAGCAAATTATTCGACTACTCGTTCCCAGAATCCTCATTACCCACCCCCAGCCGTCTAAGAAACGTGCCTATTAATAATTTGAACAAGACAAGATCAACGCAATGGCTCCGCCTCCGCCTCCCACTCCTGCGCCTCAAGCCGGGCGGCTCTACTTCCTCGATATCGGGATTTCGACCCCCGAGCTCAATGGCCGAATCCTTACCTGCAAACCAGACGGCTCGGATTTTCACGAACTCATCACTCAAGTCAACATGTTGCCTGACGGCATCGCCATTGATATGGTCCACCGGCATATTTACTGGACCAACATGGGGATGCCTTCAGCCAACGACGGATCTATTCAACGCTGCGACTTATCCGGAAAGAATATCGTGACGATAGTCCCACGAGGAAAGACGCATACGCCAAAACAATTGGTTATCGCACCACTTTCACGAAAGCTTTACTGGTCAGATCGAGAAGGAATGAAGGTGATGCGGGCGAATATGGATGGCAGTGACCTCGAGGTGCTTTACCGGGCTAGTACAGTCGATTCAGACAAACGACTTCAAGACAATTGGTGTGTTGGCATTTCCGTCGATGAAGAATCGAATACAATCTTCTGGTCACAGAAAGGACCATCGAAAGGAAACAAAGGGCGAATCTTCCGGATGGGTCTCGAGATGATCCCCGGAGAATCAGCGGAGCGAAGAACAGACGTCCAATGCATAATCGACAATTTACCTGAACCAATCGATCTTGAGTTCGATAGCGTCTCAGGTACACTATACTGGACTGATCGTGGCGATCCACCCTTTGGAAATACTGTGAATTCGGTTACTTTTGCAGACCTGGCAATGGGCGGCAAAGTGAAGCCAAATATCCTGGTTCGCAAGCTCCACGAAGGAATTGGACTGGCTCTGGATCGAAAAGGCAGTCGCATGTTTTTTGGAGATCTTGGAGGCTCTCTGTACATTTCAAATTTGGATGGGTCCTGTAAGAGCACTCTACTGCCGGATATAGGTGCGATCACCGGTATAGCCTACATTGAAGACTAGGGAAACTCCGTATAGCACTCAAATTTTAAATGCGATAAAATCTATTGATATAATAAGCGCATTCGAGGTGATCAATTGCCTAAGAAACTAAAAAAAATCGTGCCACTGTACAAGCCAAAGAAGATATAGAGAGCTCCCAAGGTCTTCGTTAAGCTCGGCATTATTAGTAGTTGCAATCAAATCTATAGGTGACATCTATTCCTAGCTATCCATAACAAAATTAATAGTACTGTGGCATGGAATGAAAATGAATGTTGAATATATCGTGCTTCATTACTGCTATAAATCAAGAAAAATCTAAAGCAACAACCCAGTCCAGACCTCATTATGGACTCTCGAGCCATGCCAGAAGCAGAAAGTAGACGCCCTCAAAAGAACGAGAAAAAAGCAGATATAGAAACAACAGAAAGAGGGGCTACTGTAGATACAAAAAGAAGAAGGGAATCTGCGAGACATAGCAAAGAAAAACTCATCATAACACATAAACACACAAAGAGGCTATGAAAGCAAGCAAGCATCCAACCGACAGATCCAAAAAAAGAGCTCACCAGAAACTACACCAACCGATCCAGTGCTGGCAGATGTTCTCCACGCTGGTAGCTTGCGCAAGTAGCTTGTCAACCTGGTCGCTAACATTGAGTTCCTCGTAGTGCTTGAAGTCACGCCCGGTCAACTTCTCCTTGACACGGGCAAGAACCTGGAGAGCGCGGGCATTCTGAGCTTCACGGGCTTCAGCCGGCACGCCTTCTTGGGTATCGAGGATACCTCCCTCTAATATGGAAGGACGACGGTGACGAGTGTAGGTATTTGACTGCACGCCGTGCTCAAGGTTGATACCCTCAATGATCGACTGGCGGCGCTCCGCAGTTAGAGACACTCGATCGGGAGATTCTTGAGCACCAAGACGCCAGTTGATCAGTGGGTCATGAATGAACTAAAAAGGATGTTAGCTTTGTGCTCAAAAGAAATATCAGATAGAAGTAGGGAATGGTTAAAACTTACGGCCTCCAAAACCGCCATCAATGAGTCCTTGTTCTCTCGGATAACGCGCATAACGGCCTCACAGGTAATACGGTAGCTTCCCTCGATGTTGCTGACCTCCATGGCGAATGTCAACATACGAGTCAGGCGGAATGGAACTCGCTCGGGGTACTTCTCGCGATGCATAGCCACCTCGAAACAGTCACCGAAATCAATGTGAACAACACGGCCAGTCATGCGATCCAGCAACAAGTTGGAGGGATGACGGTCACCAAGACCGAGAATGTAGCCCACCATCGACATAACACCGAGCGACCTGGTGTAGTTTGTCCGTCGCTCAAGCCAGGCTTCTGAGCTCTTACTCTTGAGCCACAGAACCCGATACAAGTCTTTTCCTGTAGTGTTGTCCATGGCATATCCGAAGACCTCAACCTTCTGCATCAGAGTGAGGCTATCGTAGTCTGGCGCCATCTGGAGCATGATGCGGTGCTCGATATTGAGCAGAATACGACGGCTTTCACGGTACTCCTTGATCAATGCATGCAACGTGTCACTGTTACACACCCATCCCAGGAGACCAGAGCTTTGAGACAAGGGAATAGCAGGGAAACGCTGAACAGAAAGATGACGCTTGAAGCTTTCACTGTCATTGTCAAGGAGAGTGTTGCAAAGGCCGAAGAGTTGCATAACTCGCTCATCTTGACGAATATCTTCATGACCCTTGAGTGCATACATGTAAGAGCATCCGTTGTTACCCTTGAGGGTCATTCGTCGAGGTCGCTTCTTGGTTTGAAGAACGTGCAAGATGGGATCAAAACTCATGATGCAGATGATTGGGCGACCACTCTGGTATGTTCCCGGCACAGCGAGGCCGAGATCCGAGCAGTCCTTGAGACGTGGAGACACATATTTGAGATCAAGGATAGACAGCTGCGGAAGCTGTCGACTGATCTTGCGGAACACCGTGTAGTAGAGATCCCAAGCTTGGTTCAAATCACCAATTTCTTGGGTCTGGCGATAAAGCATGCAGTAATGCTTAGCTTCTGCAAGATCGCGACCAAAGGCTTGTGCGAACGACACTTCACGGAGCGTTTCGGCGCCCTTGTCAAGCATGTCATGGAGAGGTGCCAGCGTTGCGAACATGCCCTCAACGTTGGAATCGCCGAAGTAAAGGCGGGAGGCTTCTTCCAGGCCCTCGTGCCAAAGCTCATGCCACAAGACAGCGACTCGGATCAATTCGTGGCTGACAAGATCTGCTTGCTCAACGAGCCTGGCGCTATGTTGTCGCATGCTTTCCATGATATTAGTAGCAGACTGGGAGCGGCGTGTCACGTTTGACTTCATGGCCACCGTCAATGGATAAACCAGGGCTTGAGGATGCGTTTTGCCAACCTCGGCGAGTAATCGATGGACTGAGCCACGAACCCTGATGTTAGGCTGATTGATTCGAGCAATAAGCTGAGGAGTGACAGCGAGCCAGGTATCAATGTTGATGCTAGTGAACCCCTCGGTGACCACAGTGTTAACTTCGTGATCACCGCCATGGGTAAACCACAGGGTAAGCAATCTCAACGTGTCTTGCAATGAGGAGGTTGAAGACAGTGCAATAGATCGCAGGAAACCACGAATAGCTGGAATGACATGTTCAGTCACGATATGTGCCGGGACTGGCGCAGGCTTGCTATCACGACTGGCTTGGTTGGAGATTGTCGTCACAACTTCGAAGTTGGCAAGAGCCCAGGAATGCCATGCCTTGTAGGAGTCGCGATTGTACTGGGTGGCAGCCGAATAAGCGCTGAGAACCTCACGTACATACTCCGCTCGCCAATCACCCTTTTGAAGGGTAGTCTGCCATTCTCCCAATCTTAGGTAGCTCTTAGAAAGCAGCTTTCTGAATTTGGCCACGTCACCAATTCGTTCACGCAAACCAATGGCTTCGGGGTGACTTGGGTCTGCCATGCCATTTACACCATTCATTCCGTTGTGCTGGTGCTCATTCTGTGAGACCATCAGGGTGTTGTATTTGGAAAGATCATCACTCAAGTCTGCAGTGAACTCCTTGAGCATATCGAGGGCTTCTAATTGGTTTCCATTCGCCCAGCTGAATTTCAATCGGGCGTATGTGACCTCGGGCGGTGATATCGTGCGTGTTCCATTAGCGTCAGAAATAACTGTCTCGAGCGAGGCAAGAGATCTTTCTGCAAGAGCCATGCGGTTTGATTTACGGCAAAGGTTGGCGAATTTGATGGACATGTCAAGGTTCTCCCGCGGGGCGGTAACGAGCGCCCTGACCTTGAACATGCGTTGCCACACTTCGACGTTTTGCTGGCACCCGAGCAGACGTTTGTTCCAAGTTTCGCGCATGGCATCCTGCTTTTCAGGATCACCGACATTCTGTTTGTATGTGATTATCTCTTCCAGCTCAGCAAGCATCTGGACGCGCACCACCACATTGTAGGCTCGGTTGTAACTCTCTCCAAGGAGCGCAGACAATTCAGTGTCAAGTCCATTGCGTGCTTTCTCAATATACATGTTGGCCTCCTCGAATTGATTGCGGTGAATAGCAAGAATGGCGCCGAAGAAGGATCGATCCGGGGACTGCTCCTTCATGACGCCAAGATAGGAGTCCATCAGCTCCCACTGTCCACGACCCCAGGCGGCAGCAGCAGCCAGAGGAGCAATGGCTCGACGGTGCTCGAGAGATGCTTGATTCCATTTCTCTTGAGCCAAATCCGAGAGAACCTTCCACTCTCCCAGGGCGTGCAGACAGCGCATTTTACCCATTGTGATGCCAAAGGAGTCAGGGTCCGTCTTCTCGCGACGCTTGTATGCAGCAAGAGCCTCGTCCCATCGTTGCAGTTTCTCAAACCAGGTTTCCTTGAGCTCCACGTCGCGGTATGCCTGTGCTTTGCGCAAAATACCGATGGCAGCGTCTGATTGCTGCAACTGATTGTTGATCGTAATCAGGGCTTCGACTGCTCCCGAGTTTTGATCCTGCTCGAACTCAAGTTCCTTGTAGTGAAGTGCTTTGGCGAAAGCATGGCATTTTGCGGCATATTTACCCAGCGTGCGGATGTCAATCGGAAGTGCCTTATCGTCGTGTTCCATGAACTCGGCAAGGTTGAGAAGGACCTGGAGGATCTCCGGGGAGATATTCGGAGATGTAAGAGCTTTCTCGATGGAACGAACCAACTCTTCTTGATACTGATCGTACAGCTCGGTCCAGCAAGACACGAAGGCAGCATTGAAGAGATCTTTTGCCAATGGCTGATATATTCCAGCCAAGCTAGCACATGCACGCAGGGCGGGGGATGGGGATTCTTTCAGAAGCTCAACACTCAAACGACGTATCCACTCTTGCCAATCCTCGCGGGTGGACTTTTGTGAAGCATCCCAGGCATTCTTGAGATGCTGTTGATTCACAACAATCTTCTTCTGGCCGATCTCCGCAAAGCTGGTATCGTCGGCGGGGTATGCGTAATTCTCTTCGGGGTTGAGGTCTTGAGGAAGAGGGTCTCCTTTTTGAAGTTTTGTGACCAGAATTTGATAGTTGACATGCGTGATCTGGTGCTGTTTGAGAACCTTGTTGAGGAGATGGATGTAATGTGTAAAGTCTTGACCAAGCTGGAAAATCAGAGCGCAGATACAATCTAGTGCAGCTTGTCGTAGCACACGATCCCCACTAGTAACTACTCTCGATAGAGCGTGCACCATGAGGGATGCGAAGTCAGAAACATTGACTTGACGCGAAAGCTTGGCCAAGCTGTCTATAGCAGACTTGCGAATGCTCTGCGGGTTTTGGGGTCGATCAAAGAGGCGCACAATGGAAGGTATGATCAAATGCATGTATTCCTCGCCGCTAGAGCCAAATATCAGGAAAGCGTGGAGAACCTTCTCCGATGGTGAACGACGTGGCGTTGTGTCCTTTTCCAGTGTGTCGAGCATCAGAGGGATCAGTCGAGCGAGGAATTTCCGGAATTCTCCTTCTAGAGACCTAGCGATAGCCTCGACCAACGACAAGATGGTACCCTGAACTTGATAGGAAGCATCCCAGAACTCGCGAATCACGTCGATGATTTCTGGAAGATATGCGCGGATATGTTGTCGCACGATATTGACGAGAATAGCCATCTGATTGAAGTAGGATTCCAGGCGGCTAGGCGGAGAATTTCTGATGACCGAGATAAACGCCGGGATGATTTGCCCGAGGAATGGAACACACTTGAGGCCGAGGGTCTTGAAGATGGTAACGATAGCATCAATGACGGCAGAGTGGTATTGGACCAAGGAGTTCTCGCGCAAGATGTTTTGCAGCAGGGTATGGATGACCACTGTGGGATAATACTCTTCGTTGGATGGCGTAAGGCCTTGCATGATGAGAGCAACATCAGAGACATTTTGAATCTCATTGATATGGTGAACATCAGGCTCAATGTCGCTGATCTGTTGGTATTTGTAGGGGTCCAAAGCTCCTAGGACACCAACGAGTTTGATAGTTTCCTTCCGAAGATTTCCTGTCGGCTCAGTCTTGATTATGTTGATCAACACATCAAGAAGATGGGGGTATTCAACGTAGGGCTCGATGACATAACCAGAGTTGGCCGCCAATTGTCCAAGAGTCTTGAGTGCAGCTTCACGTTTGGTATGAGAGGAAAGATCCTGGAGCGAGTCTAAAATAATCGGCATGACTTGGTCAAGGTATCGCCTCATCTCTCCGCCACCAACATTCGCAAGTTCACCGACAGCTTTCAGTGTGACCGCGGCGACTCCAGGGTTGGTGTCTGTTGCTTTCGGCAGCAGTGCTGTCACCATAGGGTCCACGTAAGAACGAATCAGTTTAGTTGCATTGGATACAAATAGGCTGATCAGCTGTGCGGTCTCTTCTTTCTGGCGAGCAGTGTTTGCGAACCCCAATCCAGTCAAAAGATTGACGAGTAATTTCCGCAACGGCGGGAAAACGTAGGCAGGGTTCACGCTGGAAAGACGACCGATTATGCAGATGGCGGCTTCTTTCACATCAAAGACTTCGTCGTTAACAGCCAGAAACAGGCATCGGATGTTCTCTGGTCGTGCCAGATGTCGGTCAAATTTGCGGTCCAATGACCACAGAACTGTGCGTCGAATCTCTGGGTCAGGATCACCAATACCGACGGTCAGAAGTTTGTCAATCACTTCGCTGACAACTTGAATGGAGTGGCCGCTAGTTTGATTGATGATCGGGTCGTGGACAAACAGCTGGCAGCAAGTAAGTGCTGATGCCTTGCGGATCTCGGGGTTGTCGTTCTCGACAAAGTTGATGGCAACATCGCGCACAAATTCATTCAGAATGTGGCCCGAGAAATCAAAGCTACCGAGGGTGTGAAGAGCCAAAGCAATTTCGGAGTCGGTATGAGAATCCTGGGCTCCAAAGTCCCTTGCGAATGAGGGCATGGGGGGTAAGCGGTGCTCAGGGCATCCCAGTGGTCGGAATGGTGTGCCACACAGAATGATACTGAGCATATCAAGAAGTTTCTCTTGGATCGCAGATTTGATGGGAGGAATGTAGTGGGCCATATCCACCAAGGCTTGGGTTAATGATTTGCTAAGGCCACAGGCAAAGATGGGATCAAGTAAAGCCTCCATGTATCTGCTGAGGGTTTGTCCAACCGCCAACGACAGCATGCTGATGCACTCGAACATCGGCGCTTCGTTGATACTTGCTCGGCTTCTCGCCTTCATAGCAAGCCCCTCCCGAATGTAGACAATAATTCCATCGAGGTACTGGGCGATAGCGGGACCGACTGCATTTGCAATCTTGCCGATAGCAATGAATGCCGAGTTTCGTTCCTTGTCCTTCTTAAGTTGTGCCTGAAGGTATATCATGAACCTATGTAAGTAGATCTCGGTGAAGTCGGTAGGGGCGTAGGATGCAAGGATAGGGATGGTGAGGACGACTTGAGTACGGATCTTGGGATCTCGGTGGTCCTTGAGGCGGAGGACAATCTCACAGGCGTTGCGATAGTGCTCTTTCATGAACATGGTACCCTTCAGAATCAACTCCTTCAAGATAAGAAGAGATCCATGGATCCAATCCATATTATGGGATTTCAGACCCAGCAGTGCTTCGTCATATATTCTGGCAAACCAGGATTGTCGGACTTGGGCATCACGCGCGACGATGATCTCGAAACACTCGCCTACGGCCTCTGCGGCAGTCTCTCGGATCAGGACTTTGGGGTCTCGAAGCGCGACCCAAACGAGCTCGAAGATCTGAGGCACGAAGCCATAGAGGAGTGTCGGGGATCCTTTCGCAAGCTCCCTAATGACAAGCACCGCCGCGAACCGTCGACTTTCCTGTCGCTCCGATTGAAGCCATTCCAGGGCCGATTGAATCTCGCTTTCTACCAGCTCCGCAGTGAGAGCTCCGCCTGGCTTTGCCAGACGTCCCAGCGACCTGGCTGCATAAACGAGCACGACATTATCATTATTTCGAAGGGCGCTCCGTAGCCAACCCGCAAATCGTGTTGTTTTCTGGGCCGCATCGACGCCATCAAAATCGATCAGTCGGTCGAGCGCCAAGAGTCCACCGATTCGCTCATTCGCATCGCTGCCCGTCACCACCAGTCCGGCGATTCGTGTGCTGACGGCGTTGTAGAACTCCACAAACTTCTCCGAGGGCCAGTCTATCAGAGGAAGTGATTAGCATAGCTCTAAGCCCATAGGTAGAAGGGGAGTTTCCTTGATCCTGTCCATACCTCGTGACACCGAAAGAACGTTGTCATAGAGCTCATAGGCAGCTCTGGCTTTGGTCTCGTCGCTCTTCGACCTCAACTCCGTAAACAATCTCTGAGTGACATCGGTCATAGGGCCTGCTTGCGCCATGATTGCAAGACGCGCCCCCGGGTGGACATTTGAAGCCAACCTCTTAGGAAAGCTTAGGTCGCAGGTCGCATGGACTTTGGATGAGGGAGGGTGTCGGGCGTGGAGGCTCAGGCTCAGGTTGGAGTACCGCGGTGCACGGACCACCGACGTTCACCGCGCGGCCGGGGGGTTGCAATCCCTCAGGCGACAGCAAACTTGAGTAGAATGTGAAAGACTACGGGGGCTACATAGGGGAAACTCCGGTTTTGGCTGACTCATTTACTTTGACAAGTTAATTTCATATTTATGTTCAACTGATCTGTCTGGGTGAGGGAGGGAACTAGCAACTAGATAGATTACCCCTGACTCTAACCATTGCCCTTCCAAATATTTACAATCCATGATATGTCAAATTGGGGACAACATTATCTATGGAAGACTGTTTGTACTCAATTTACTTGGATGTAATGATTGATTGATCTGCGGGCAGAGTCAGAGCCCTGGAAAGGATCTAGACCAGGGGAGCGAGCATGCGTACTAGGGTAGGGGGAGGCAATGATTAGATAGTAGGAATATGCGGTCAGTAATAGGGTAGCACCCATACTGCACTTATGTATACTTCCAGAGTCCCGTGATATAGGTTTCTTTAAGGTTCTTGCGTAGAATACTAGTACTATGTGCTTCGACTTACTCCAATTAGGCCGTGTCCTATTGAATCGCAGTAGCATCGACGTCATCTTTCTGCAAAGCTGGTTGTACACCTAGGAAGCATACTAGTATACCAGTATACCTATCTCATATGACTAGGCTCGGAAGATGTTTGTGTTGGTAAATGATTTTTAGCGTTAAAAGCACAGCAGTAAAGCGTTCAAGTTCCCATAGCTGCCAATCCATGAATTGAATGCTACTACTAGTACTCATAGTAGGTACCGAAATATATGCTCCGACCTGATCGACCTCGGGCTGCATGCTGACATGATTTCAACTTGAAAAAGGGTCGGCAATTCGGAGATACGCGGGGCTATGGGATACTAAATCTCATTTTGAGTTTCAAAATGGAAAGATACCTTCGCTTCGTGCTTCCAAGGTTATTTGTAATCGACTCTGTATGCATGGTGGGGAACGATGACGGGATCGAGGGGTACCGGAGCCATAAAAGCCAGAAGAGTCCTCGAATACAGAAACCCTCCAAACTCAACTGATCTCATTGAAAATCCAACTATTAATTCTCGTATTCATAGACAACATGGTCAAGGTACTTCTTACAGGTCGGTCGCCTCCGAATAGTCTCGATTGGAGAGCACGTCATAGATCTGACTGGTTGCAATAGGTGGCAGTGGCTTCATTGCTGCTCATATTGTCGACATTCTTCTGGAACATGGGTGAGTTTTTCTTGACAAGACTAGCTGATTAAATAATTGACCACTTGAACCCCCAGCTTTGACACAGTAGTGACTGTCCGGTCGGAAGAAAAGGGCAAACGAATTCTCGAGGCCCATGCCAATACACCCAAGGAGAAACTATCCTACGTGGTTGTCAAGGATGTTGCCCAAGTGGGAGCATTTGATGAGGTTAGTAGGATGCATCAAAATTCATGAAGAAGCTACAAATATTGACTAGAGTCATTGGAGTAGGCTGTTAAATCTAGTCCTCCTTTTGATTATGTTCTTCATACTGCCTCGCCGTTCCATTTCAATGTTCAAGATCCAGTGAAAGACTTCTTGGACCCTGCAATTAAAGGAACCACCGGGATACTCAAGGCCATTAAATCCTATGCCCCATCAGTCAAACGAGTTGTCATTACATCTTCCTTCGCTGCAATTGTAAATGCAGACAAGCATCCAAAGGTGTACAGCGAAGAGAATTGGAACCCAGTTACCTGGGAGGAAGCTGTGGACCACTCAAAAGTTTATCGGGCAAGCAAGGTAAAGCACTGTTTATCATGAATTCTAAAGTTCCTCACTAACGATGCTGAAATAGACCTTTGCCGAGAAGGCCGCGTGGGACTTTGTTGCGAAGGAAAAGCCAAACTTCGACATTGCAACCATCAACCCACCCCTGGTGTTTGGACCAGTTGTTCACTACTTGAACTCTCTGGACGCTATCAACACATCCAACCAGCGGGTACGCAATATCATCCAAGGACAAATGAAGGCGGAGATTGCTCCATCGGGTACATACCTTTGGGTTGATGTTCGAGATGTTGCACTTGCGCATGTTCGAGCCATCGAAGTCGAAAAGGCAGGTGGCCAGAGGTTTTTCGTCACCGCTGGCTATTTCTCTAATAAGGATATCGTCGAAAACATCCGCCAGAGTCACCCTGAGTTAGAGTCAAAGCTTCCTCCAAGCGACTCACCTAGTGACCTCCCAGAAAACATCTATAAGATCGACAACACGCGTTCGCAGGAAGTCCTGGGTCTGAAATATCGGCCGTTGAAGGAGACAATATCGGATACTGTTGAATCTCTGTTAGCTGTGGGGGCTTAGATTATAGAACTAAGAATGGATATTTGATTTGATTTTTGGTCATTTTTTGGGGAATTCTTGAAGGTTATTACACAATGTAGGCCACCCGGCAGAATGTCCGGGGAACTGCACCTTGGGTAGTTGTGGTCCGCTGTATCCACTCTCGGTCAACTTTTCTTGCGCGCATCCATCTAGCTCCTATCCATCGTGAATTGAGCAAGATGGCGACCGCTAGGGTATCGCCAACGGCGAATCTTCTGCGGAAGTCTCGACTATTTGCCCTTCCTCAGGCTTTGCAAACTCCCCGAGCCCCGCCATCATCTAGGATCGTGAACGAATCTAACAGCGCGACACTTCCTCACCCTACCCGGGCATCGATCGTAACGCCGCAGTCTTCGCTGGCTCGGGGCGATTGGGGCCTGAAGCGACCTCTCCCATCCAAGTCGACATCGGAGAAGTCTTCGAGGCCAGTTGTCCGCATGAATGCCCTCGATACCTACGAACATGTCACCGATTTCGAGTCCGCAGCCGATCATACCATGACCCTGGAGAAGTTCCAAGAACTGCACATGCCCATGTCGCTGCCCTCGAAGGTCAATTATGCCACGAGCATGACCCCAAGACACCAAAGTCCCTTCGAAACATTCGTCGACAACACCGAAACCAGCAAGACACTCGGAGAGGCGGGAGCCAAACAATTCCGACACACCGGACCTTGGCTTGCTGGACAGACCGAGGCGGAGTTCGCGGGTTATCTGAAGCAGATTGGGCGCCAAAAGCCCGAACTGCTCCAGAAGATGCGTGAGCGGTTTGACTCCAAGCGCTACGCTGAAGCCCGGAAGCTGGCCCAGGACAACGGCGAGGACCTGGAAAAGGTTCAGCCCCCCCAAGATCACTGACGCGGAGTTCAACACATATCTCAAGTCTCTCCGTGAAGATCCCTTTGCCCTGGGCCCCGTTGTCTTCGAGTTGCTTGACCTTCCTTCCGCTCCTACCGTCCCCAGCGAGCGCATTGGCCGCAAGTACTACCAATCCCCAGGAACCAAGCTGTCCGCCCCCGAGTACGCCGTGACCGGCCCCCCCGAAGACACACCCGTCCGCTGGTCTTTCATACGCCCGATCGCACGCCTCGGTTTACAACCACCCCCAACATGGTCCTCAAGCTTACCAGAAGCCCGTCGAGGCCCGTATTCTGCGCCCTAAGGGTAGATTTAAGGGACGTGTGTCGAAGGCTATTGCTGGTGTCGGTGGCATTGCCGTGGAGGACTTGAACGCCATGACATTCATTGACCAAGGCACACCTCCTGGATTGACTGCCTTCGATGCGACCATCCCCGGTGGTGCCAAATACTGGGTTTCGCCTATCCGAGCCGCTGTCGATTCCGATGGCAGAATTGGCCTTTCTTCCTACCGCGCTGGATCTACCGCCAAGGCTCCATATGGTATTAAGGATTATAAGAAGCCTAACGCGATGAGCATCACCGAGGCAGCTCGTCAGGGAGCTCACGTGGTCCCACGAATGGACAGCCACCGTCCCAACAGCCCCCGCTTCAGGGCCGGTGCGGAGAACGCCCCAAGAAAGTCTATGCGGGGAACCGAAGTTATTGCTCGCAGCCTGATGGAGAACCTCAATGCGCCCAAGAAAGACTAAACGTCTGGAGGAGTGCGCAATGGTCCGAACATCCTTGACTTGTGATATTTGCAAAGAATTGTACGATTAGAATTGTTGCTTGTGTAAAGCTGCTCTCACTCCCATTACCCTTTCAAACATGTTGTATAAACCCGCTGCATCAATTTCAATTTCAAACTCAAACTACTCTTTCAAGTTCAAGAAGGAATCTAAGTAGCTGGCACTCCGTAGTATAGCTATCAACACACTACATTGTCTGTCACCGCCCGGCAGAAATATAACATAATCAAACCTTAAGAACAAGGCATCAGTAGCCCAAGATATGATCACGTGAGTCATTAGGGCTTGATTAGGGCAAGGACCCGCAGCACACAAGCGAGCGGAGGGTGTCAACTCCATCCCAGCCGCCCGTTACTGAGGTTTCTCGTCTTGAACATCCGTCCACTTCCAGCCAACACCAAACGTCAAAATGGGTCGCGTCCGTACTAAGACCGTCAAGCGGTCCGCCAAGGTCATCATTGAGCGTAAGGAATCCCTGCCGCTGAACAAAAACCACCGAATCGGGATTTTTGCTAACTTGTGAAAAAGGCTACTACCCCCGCCTCACCCTTGACTTCGACACCAACAAGCGTATCTGCGATGAGATCGCCATCATTGCCTCCAAGCGCCTGCGCAACAAGGTACGAAATCACATCTATACCGCGCAACATTCGCGAACATGAAATTCTGACTTGTCTCTTCTTCACAGATCGCTGGTTACACCACCCACCTGATGAAGCGTATCCAGCGTGGCCCCGTCCGCGGTATCTCCTTCAAGCTCCAGGAGGAGGAGCGTGAGCGTAAGGACCAGTACGTCCCCGAGGTCTCCGCTCTCGATGTCTCCCAGACCGAGTCCGGCCAGCTCGATGTCGACACCGACACCAAGGACCTCCTCAAGTCCCTCGGCTTCGACAACCTCAAGGTCAACGTCGTCCAGGTCAGCCAGCAGCAGCAGGCCGAGCGTCCCCGCCGCTTCGGACCCCGCTAAATGCAGCGCCCCGAATAATCCTCTCGGAATATTCAAAAAAGTTCTTTGTCTACGGCCGACTCTTGGCGTTTCCCATGACGACACTTATTCTGGCTGGCTCCTGTTCCCGGCTATTATGGTTTTAGCTTAGATGGACCCTCTCCATGGATGAGGAATGAAAACATGATTCCCCGTTGACAAAGGTGTCGCCGATTCCCTGTTATGGGGATGACGCTTGATTGCCAATACATTGTCCTTCGTTTTTTTGGCCTGTGAGGGTTCACGCCCCCAGGCTTAATTACGTAGAGGAGATCTTGAACCTCTGGTTAAAGATCCTCCTGTGACCTCGATCGTGGCTACGCACATGTTCTCCGCAACTTGCTGCCTGATCACTTCACATGGTCATTTCGTATATTCCTTTGTAGTATGCTATTTTTGCCCTCCGGGGTATTAATTGTAGAACGCCTGCCAACACCAAACTGCCAGAATGCCAGGGCCTTTGGGCCCTTGATCAGAGTTGATCGAGTATGTCTCTGTCCTTAAGAGTATTGGACGACTCTTCGAGATGTTCTTGGGGAATATATCCTTCAATAGACCCTCCCATTTCATCACCAGGCCCCAGTCGTGGAGCGGTAGGAGTTGATTGCGATGAAGGCTCCTTCTCTATGAGTTGGACGTCAACACGACCGTTTCGAAGGGATAAGCCGGTATCGCCACGTTCCAGAGCAAGCTCCTGAGATCGTCCAGCTTCCTGGATCTTCAAATCCCTCAGCCCAGCCGTTATATCCGACTCGCTACCTTGAGGGTCCGCCGAAACTGACTTTGAACTGCCAGCTTCCAGCTTTTGCTTCTGCTTCTGCTTCTGCCTTTGCCGTCTCTCCCTCGATTCCTCGAGAAGCTCGATTCTGATATCCTCAGTTTCATCCGCCCGTCTCTCCCAAACAGGCTGCTCTGAAAGCTGCACGCGAATGAACAGAGCTCGCTCCGCGCATTCGTCCGAGCACCACTTTTCCAAATTCTCCCTTGGAACAATATCCACCGCGCGACCACGACCACCTGGACCGCTTCCCTTTGCGCCGTATTTGAAGTGAAACGTTGAACCCGTCGCGCCGACCTGTTTGCGATTCTTGCGGGGGCAAAGACCGTATCCGCACAAATCCTCGTAGTTTCGCTCCATGATCAAATTATCGTAATCGCCAGGTCGGAACAGTTGCAAGGCGGTTTTAAATAACTGTACATCTTCTGAGGAGGGAGTGATAGGGTCGGCGGAAGGGGAGGTCGGAATCTCAAGGAGCTCGATCGTGCGATCTAGAATCATGCCCTCGGCATCTTTCTGGGATTGGATCTGTTGAGCATGTTGGAGAGCGATGCCTAAGTGGCGGGCGGTTGCGCCTGGGCGAGCTTGGAGGTATTTATCTTGCTCTTCTTGGGTTGGATGTGCGTATGAGGATTCTTCGACGACGGAGGCGAAGGCGGTTGGGAGAGAGGTTCTTAAGGCGGAGTTGGGGGAAGAAGCCTGCCGTGTCGACATGTTGTATGCTCGAGTTCAGCAAGAAAATCAGGAGAGGTGGGTGTAGGTTGTGCGTCAGTTGTGCAATGATACTGAGGAAGGTTGGAGATTGGAAATCTCAAAATTTTGGATCAGGTGGTTTAAGGCAGTTCCGCGCAAACTGCCAGTGGAAGCCAATGAGAAGAAAGCCGACACTTCCCCCCCCTCCAAAAAAGGCTCTGACGTCGCCTTGGGGGTTTGGGCAGAAGCTGGCAGATCTTATACATCCTAGTAAGCTAGTATATTTATTCTCATTGTTCATACATAATTGTACCTGTTACCCGTATATATACCTCTTTTTATTCCGGTGTACCTCTTACCCTCTTACCTACTATTACTACTCGTACTCCCCCCGTGATACAACTCTGACCCAGTTTATAGTCGACGGTGCTGCAGGTGGCTTCGCCCCCTTCAGTAACATCACTCCAAATAGGATCAAACACCTCGGGGTTTCAAGAATTTCACACCAAATCTTCACCTTGACCACATCTCCAAGATACTTCTTCCTCTTGAGCTTCCCCCAGTTGTGTACCCTGGTTCTTGTTCTTGGTAGCCGCCGATCGTCAGTGTGGAGCCTCCCAGAGTTCAAGTTGTCCATCCCGCCAAGTGACGACCACCTCGCTGCTTCAAGTTCATCTTCACCCCGACTCTCCCCCCTCCTAACCCGAGCCCGCAATCCCTGGCTGGATTTCTTTTTTTTTCTCCCTCCATTTTCATATCGACCCATTCCTGTCTCCGGTCAGGGTATTTGGTCTCGTTCTACATAGTGAGTGCTTCCCAATATTCTCCCCTCCGATTTCCCCCCTCTCCTCTCCCCTCCTCCACCCCAATCTCCGGCTCCTAGGCACCAACTCATCCACACCTTCGTCATCCGAAGCTGACCGACTGTTGTTGCTACCACAGAAATTGTCCCACGCCACTTTCAGTACCCCTGCATGCTGGAGGTATCGAAACTGGTGCTTACCTCTGTACAGTCCTTGACCTGATTGTCGTCACCGCCCTCTTGTATCTTAGCGTCCTCTTTACCTCCCCCCAGTTCCTCTGAACTTGGTCGATTTGCCAGATGTCCAACCCGCCTTTTACGGTTCGAGCGGTCTTCGAGTACGCTTCGGGCCACGATGATGACCTCAGCTTTTCCATAGGCCAAGTCATTACCGTCACGGATGTGGAAGATGCCGAATGGTATAGCGGCGGATACACCGATGGCTCCGGTGGCAAGCAGGAGGGTATGTTTCCTAGGAACTTCGTGGAGCGCTATGAACCTCCGGCCCCTCCACGCCCAGCGCGCCCGAATAGAGCGAAGAAGGAGCCGGAGCCAGCACCAGCGCCGGTTGAACCCCCCCGCGGTGATCGAGAGTCAAGCGCCCGCGGAACCTGAAGTTGCCGAGCAACTACCGGCGGATGAACCTGAGCCAATTTCCCAACAGCCTCCTGCATTGGCGCTTCAGTCTCCTCCTCTGGTATCAAGTCCTCCAGTCGAAGAACCTACCTCGCCTGCCCAGCTCGCACATCCAGTCCCAGCACCTTTCGCACCGGCAGCCGACCCCGCGCCTCCCGTTGTCAAGGCTTCCAAGCCGCCCCCACCTGCTGTTGCTGAGAAGCCCTCCTCGTTCAAGGATCGCATTGCTGCCTTCAACAAGTCCGCCGCGACCCCAATTACCCCTTTCGCACCTGGTGGCCAGAAGCCAGGCTCTTTCGTCAAGAAGCAATTCGTCGCCCCTCCCCCAAAGTAAGGATTCCTATGTGGCACCTCCACGAGAGCCTGCTCCCAAGGTATACAAGAGGGAGGAGGATCCGGACGTGCAAGAGCAGATTGCCCGCGAGCCTCCCGTATCAGAAAGCCGCCCTCCCCCTCCTCCACCCCAGACTCTTCCGCAAGAAACCGAAGAGGGGGTAGAGGATCAGCCTAAACCCACCAGCTTGAAAGACAGAATCGCACTCCTTCAGAAGCAGCAATTAGAACAGGCAGCGCGCCATGCCGAGGCTGCTCAAAAGAAGGAAAAGCCTAAGCCTCCTAAGAAGCCGGTCGAACAACCCATCGAGGCCACGGAACCTTTTGAAGATACCGAGGCGTCGCCGGTAACTGCACCCACTGCCGCTCGGGATCCTAGCGTTGATACAGTGCGATCCAAACCCCCACCGCCCCAGCCTCCTACTCCATTGGTTGCACCTGAGGAAATTACTAGCGATGCAAACGACGCGGATTATTCTGCAGCTGCCGATTCCGAGGATGCAGGAGAGACCTCAACCAGCAAGGATGATGAAGATGAGCGTCCACGCCAATTGTCGACCCATACTATCGAACCAAAGGCCGAAGAGGCTGACGTCGAAGAGGGAACAGAGGAGGAGGAAGAGGAGATGGACCCTGAAACCAGACGCCGGATGGAGCTTCGCGAGAGAATGGCGAAGATGAGCGGCGGTACGGGCATGATGGGTCTCTTTGGCCCTCCAGGTGGTATGCCAGGCATGTCTGCTCATGGAACTCGCAAGCCTAAGACCCCCGGCGAGTCCGAGAAAAGACTTGGTGAGCCTGAGCCAACCTCTCCGGGCAATGCTCCTCCCGTCCCCATGATTCCTATGCCTGGAATGAACCTCAACACTAAGCCTGCCCCTCCTGATGTCGAGAAGGAGGACGAGGAACCCCTGGCAACTCCTGTCTCTGAGCAACACCCATCACGAGAGGTACCAGATGTGGAAGAAGTTGTTCATGAGGGCTCCCTGCCGCGTCGTTCTACTGACCGGGTTCCTCCTGCCCCACCCGCGCATGGTATGTTACCATACTCATTCTAATATGAAATAAGAAATCTGTTGAACTAACCATGCCATGATGTTTAGCTCCCGCACCGCCTTCCAGAGAACCCCGACCCGTTCCTCCTCCCCCTGTGACGACAGAAGAACTGGGCTCGCCTCCACCCGTTCCTGGAAGTAAGTAATAAACTCAAACTTTATCCTCAAGTTCTTATTCTGACGATCTCAACCAGGTCGACCGGCTCCTCCTCTTCATAGAGCTTCCGAGGCTGGAAACGAGTCCGATGATGAATTGTCTGTTCACGCAGGAAGACTGTCTTTGGACTCTGGCGCCCGAGATCAGCCTCGAGCCGTCCCACCTCCAGTCCCTGGCCAGGCAGTTCCTGACAGCATTGAATCTCGTCGCTCCTCAACCTACGACTCGACACCTACAACTCCAGCAGCCGAAAAGAGAGCGAGCCGCGTTCCTCCGCCAGTCCCATCAAACCCGCCTATGCCACCGACACAGGGCCGCGCTCCCCCTCCCCCCTCCTCCCACCGCACCCCGTCGGCGTTCTACCGCTGACAGCCGCACAAGTGCTGTCTCTCCTCCCCGACAGGCTGGAGAGGACGTCGAGGGCGAAGTTACCGAATATGATGGAGATTATGATACTGACATTGCGTCGGGGGCTAAATTCAAGGACGCCCTGCGATCTCATGAACGCGACTCCAGCTTTGACGAGGGCACCATAACTGATGATTATCCTCCTCAATCCCCACGCAGCCCCCAGGAAAGTCGCCAGCCTCCTCCTCTTCCCCCAACCGCTGCTCCACGGGCGGTTCCACCTCTCCCGCCTAATCAACCTCCTCGAAACGCACGGGCTTCAATTGATACGCCCCGAGGACCTCCTCCGCCACCGCCTGGCAAGGAGCCGCCGCCCGGTGGAGATGATGATGAGTACGACCCATTTAACTACACTACTCCATCACATGGTCTGCCGCCAATTTCCCCCGGTGGGCGCCCTGCTGCTCCTCCACCCCCTCCTCCGCAGCCAGTGACCGAGTACGATGATATGTATGACGCTTCTCCTGTTGAGAGCCACGCAACCGACGCCTATCCTATAGCGCAACATGAGAAGCGACCTTCTCTTGCGCCGCCGCCGCCTCCCAGCCAGGCTCCTTCACTCCCATCTCCATCCGTTGGTCGAAGTGGACGGGCTTCCATGGATATGCTGAGAAACCAACCCAATGTCCGTCGTTCTATGGATGTTTCTCGCCCATCTGTTGATCAGGGATTTATTGCGACCGAAGTCGATCTGGCAGAGAGTACTACTTGGTGGACTCAGCCTAACGCTACACCTCCTGTCTTCCAAGGCCGCAAAGATATTCTCTTCGAAGTTGAAGAGTCATCTTCGTCGAAGCGTGGTGGTAAAACAACCATTTCGAAGGATATTTACGTCTTGTTCATGGATTATTCCCAGACTGTTGTGACAGTCCAATTCGATGCTAAAAACCCTGCGGATGCTGTACTCGAGCAACGCCATGAAGCTACTCCTCTCCAGCCTCGACAGGACCAGTTAGAACAGGCTCACCTGCAGCTGGGAACCCGCATTTTCGAAGCAGTGAACTCCGTTCAGAATTCAACGATTGGCGATGGTACTCCGTTCGGACTGGTCCAGCATCTTCTGAACCCACTGGCAGATGCGCTGCTTCCTGTTGGTACTCGAGCCTATGGTGCACTGGTCTACTCAAACCTGGCCAATGCCTCGGTCTCACAGAATGACGAGATCAGGGCAGGTGACATCGTGAGCTTCCGAAACGCTCGCTTCCAAGGTCACCGTGGTACCATGCACCAGAAGTATAGTGCCGAGGTGGGCAAGCCCGACCATGTGGGTGTTGTTGTCGATTGGGACGGCACAAAGAAGAAGATTCGAGCCTGGGAGCAAGGCCGCGAAAGCAAAAAGGTGAAGATGGAGAGCTTCAAGCTGAATGACCTGCGCAGTGGTGAATGCAAGGTCTGGCGAGTGATGCCGCGCAGCTGGGTCGGCTGGGAGCCCTCGAAATAATGGACGAGGTAACAACTCTGCCTTGATGTGGGAATGATGGTTTCCTTTTGTCTTTTTTTCTTATCTAGATTGGCGGGCTCGTGTATGATCCATATGTCGACTCTTTCCTGTCCTCCCCCTCCCCCCTCCCCCTGCCCTATATCTTGTCCTTCTATTTTTCTTCTTTCTACTGATCATCATGCTTATGTGGTAATGAGACAGCCTGGATGATTGTTTTCGATGGAGAATTGAGCGAGCGTGCACCCCTTTGCCTTCTTTTCTTGTGGTAAATTCTGCATGATGAATACTTTCCGCTCCGCCATGTTTTTCCATACTCTCCATTACCTGTATCTATTTGCAATGCATCCATTTCAATTCCGAATACAAAGTTTTTACTCTTATTCAAGTTGGTTCTAAGTACTGTTTCAATCAAGTTCTGGTATAGAGGGTATCCAAAGTCTGGGCACACAACTATACGGTAGATGGGATCCGAGTCACGTGCGTGTATATGCCTCAGGCGCAAACCTTAGTGGCCATTTCCTTATCGGGTCTCCAACTCCAACCTTGTCTTTTTTTCTCACCTCCAAACTTCCCTCACAGTTGCCAACATGGGTGGTGGTGATCTGAACTTGAAGAAGTAAGTAACAAATTGCCATCCATTTCCATGACCCAGCTTTCTCTCCAAGCCATTGATTAGACAGCAAATTGCTAACCATAACCCAGATCATGGCATCCGTCACTAGTCAAGAACCAAGAGCGCGTATGGCAGCAAGAAAAGCGCGCGCTGGACGAGCGCAAGCGCATCGACCAAGTGAAACGCGAACGCGAAGAAGAGCGACAAATCCAAGAGCTCCAGCGCCTCCAAGAAGCTTCCGGCAAGCCTAAGCAGCATAATCGAGTCGATTGGATGTACCAAGCGCCCTCCAGTGCCACCGGACATTACTCTGAGGAGATGGAGGGGTATCTGCTGGGAAAGCGACGAATCGACGGTATCCTGCTCAAGAATGACACCGATAATCAGAAACTCGAGAAGGGCGCGGATGTGGTTGGGGCGCATGCTGCCGCGGCGGCGGGTCCGTCTATCGGGTCGCAACGTGATACAATGTCGAAAGTCATGGCGGACCCGTTGTTGGAAATTAGGAAGAGAGAGCAGGCGGCTCAGGAAGCTGCTATGAAGGAGGCGATTCGCCGCAAGGAGCGGGAAGAGAAGCGTGGGGCTCGCGATGGTGATCGAGACAGAGACCGTCGCCATCGTGGTGATCGTGATCGTGATCATGACTCTAAGCGCCGGAGATATAGTGATGATGTGGAGGATGACCGGCGGCACCGGAGTCATAGGAGTTCTCGTCGTCACCGGTCTAGATCGCCTTATTCACCTGAGCGATCCTCTCGCCGACACCGCAGTGAACGAGACCGTGACGATGATCGCGAGCGCCGACACGACGATAACGGAACCAGATCGCGCAACGATGACCGTACTCGTAACCGCAGCCGGGATCGTCATGATCGTGAAAAGGATTCTCACAATGATCGCCGCCGAGATAGAGACGATAGACGTGATCGGGTCCGAGACCATGATCGTTCCTCAGGTCGACCTCGTGAGCGCGAGCGAGACAGATCTCCACGACGAACGTCTGACCAACAACCCTCATCTGAGGACCGCAATGGCCATGCCCCTCGAGAGAACGACCGCCGCGGACGCGACTTCAACAATCAACGAAACGGCTCGTACGGTCGAGACCGAGCTCCTCCTCCGTCTCGCCCAGCGCAGAACAAACCAGACCCCAAGGAGCTGGAGGAAGAGCGCCAACGTAAGCTGGCCGAGATGCAGTCCAACGCCAATACTCTGGAAACAGATCGACGTCAGCGCATTACTGAAATCGATACCCAGGAGGAAGAGCAACGGGAGGCTGATGACAAGCAACGCTCAGACCGTGGTAGATTTATGTCTCAAGTGCACAAACGTGTTGGTGAGGACAGTTTGGATGAACGTATTCGACGCAGCCGTGGTGGTCTTTCCAAGATGGATGAGGAATGAATGGGCTAAGTCTACAGTCGTTTATATCTGTCTCCTATTCTGCGGACGGTCATGAAACTCGTTCTCCATGTATTTTTTTTAATTGTGATCTCAGCGATGATTCCCAACGTTCACCAAATCAATCATATCTAGTTGCGAACACTCCCTAGGGCTGTTGTAGTACTTGATCAAGAATCTAGTAGTTACTAGTAGTTCTAGTAAATGGGTTTGTCGTGGGTGGCCCAGGGTGGTCCCATATGTAGAAATCACTAAAAGATAGGGCAAGTGAAAGCGATAGCCACAGACGATACTGACCGCTACGTCCCAAACTAAGTACCTACGTAGGTAGCAATCTAAAAAGAGTCTGATCATTCTTGCTTCTTCAGAACCTGAAGGTTCAAGTCCCTCGGGTGCCCAGCTCCTCAACATCCAATGACTGTGCTTTGGATAGGAAGCGTATTGAACTACTAGTAGTTCTCCAATTACTGTACATGTTACTAGTCTTGCTTAGAGTCAATCATTCCAATATGCAACGAGGAGAGAATGCTCAGTGCATATGAAGAGTGATCAATCGAGTTGAACACATCTGTCGCCTCGATACCGATGGCTTTTTGCAGTGTTTCCTGACCCCCCGGATGATCAAACAGGAAAGTTGTGATATCGTAAACACGACCAGAAATGCTAACCAAGCATCTTCCAGTAAGACACATCTGCTTATAGTCTTCCCAGGTAATGAAAGGAGACTTGTGATGTTCTGGAACTCCAGACCCAATAAACCCACCTCCCTGCGTCTGTCTTTTTGCTAGCTCAATATCCGATTTCGACGTGCGAATGAGCTTTGAAGCAAGTCCTAACTTCTCGCATAGCGAAATAAACCATTTGCTGCTATCCATGTCGAACCAGCGAATACCATTGCGATAGTCTGATGGAAATCGATGGTGAAAGTTATGATATGCCTCACCCGCCGTGAAGAGCCCAAGAATAGGGGAAGTATTTCTGGCAGTGATCTTTTCGGTATATGGTTGACTGCCAGACCAGTGCGACCAGGAATTAACAAGAGCTGTTATGTGGTAGTTGAATATAATTCTGGCAAAAAAGGCATAGAATAGACCCCCGCGAAAGTCCCGCCAACCGAAATGACAGATTTCTGTTGGGATAACAATCGACATTATCGCAAATAGAGGGTAATAATATCTTCTCTGCCACCTTGCCACGGGATCTCGCTCAATATCACAGATTTCGACTTCTCCCCAGCTATCAGGGTTATAGGCGATTAGCCAGCCAACATGTGCATGGAAGAAGCCTTGTTTTATATTATATGGATCTTTTTCAGTGTCCACGTAGCGGTGATGTGATCTGTGATGGCGTGCCCACCAAATTATATCATATTGGAATTGTCCACACGCCAACACGACCAGGAAGTATCTGAGGGCTGTGCAGGCTTCGTATGACTTGTGAGTCCAGAGTCTGTGATATCCTGGAATAATGCGTTAGGGCTCGGAGGTCTCTATGGATTTTAGTCGTCGAAATTTAGTTCTAGTACCAGTAGTACTTGCCTGCAGTGATCCCCAAGGCATATATGTGGTGAAGAGCCAATGTCAATCCGACCGTTTGTGCCCGTGGTGGCATTTGCACTGCATACCATGATATCACCGGGAGCGAAAGTATAACAAGAGTAAAATGAAAAAGACCGAGCTTAAAGTAATGAGGGGCATAATCCTTATCAGTGTTATCATTGGCATGCTTGACGGACGATTTGCTACCAGTGGATTCGTTTGTGCTAGGACCAAGAACGCCCATATTGATGACTGAGATATTTCAACTATAGACTCAAATGACTCCCAGAAGCTTGAAATCTCAGGATATCTCCTGACGAGATGGTCCTATTATAAGTGGGCTGTAAAATAAATCGCCTAGGGTACTATTCTTTTGGGAGACCAAGGGGGTAGGCTCGCCAGCCAGTATTGCGCATCGCTAGCTAAGCGAAGCTCAGCCACTGGATGAAATAAGTAAGCACATGGAACGTATGCAGATGATATTGATATTTCTGTGTAACCCTCATAGAATGATCATCGCAAACATGTCACTTGCCTCTCCATTTTCTTATCGGTTGCCTTTTTTTTGCTTTTGGCATACCCTGATTTCAACACATTCTACCTTGTACTAATTCATGTTATGTGCGAAGATATAGATGATGCATCGGACTTAAAATTCCGTCAGATTCATTTCAAATACGAGTAATGTCACTATGTATCTGGATGTCCGTCTATAAAGATGGAAATATTATGCTACTGGATACCTTGAAAGTATAGACACTCATAGGTTGAGCCTGATATATATATGGGTCATGTGGCGACGCCATGTATGGTTCCTGTTTTCCACTTCAGTCATACTAATTATCCGCCGCGAGATTTAATTGGTCTAGGGTACATGCCAAACCACCACAATAACGTCACTAATTATGGCAAACTGTCAACGAAGCTCTAGATCGCGCAGAGCTCGTAAAATACCCTGTCATCACATTCTAATAAAACCTTGGCATACGACTAACCCCGTGTAGTACTTTTTACCGCATCTCATCAGAGAGCAACCACCAACATATTTTCTCAAATGAAAAGAAAAGAATCCAAGACTCAAGAAAAATGTTCTCCGGAAGACACCGAGGCTTGGATTTTGGGTAGCGGGACCTCATCCTTGGCATCGGCATACTTTCTGATCAAACAAGCCGGAATACCACCCCCGAAGGTGCATATTCTAGAGTCAAGCGATTCGATCCAGCAAGTTTTGCATCGAAATGGTGATGCTACTAGCGGTTACGATCAACTTGCAGGGTGTTTGCCTGTTCCAATTGGTGGACCCTTGAAAGAGATCCTCGCTGACATCCCATCCTCAATTCTAACTCCTGGCCGGGCGCAGAGCTTCCTGCATGATATAGAGTCAGCCGAAGTAAAAAGGAACTTCCGGAAGGAAAGCAGCGGTATTAGCATTTTGATTGAAAAGGATCATGTGCTAAAGAAAATCGCAACTGCGTCGTTGAACTTGGGTTTGAAGCATAGACTGAATCTGATACGCTTTATCGCCAAGCGGGAGAAACGACTAGGGCGCAATCAGATCAAGGACTTTTTGCCAGAAAGCTTTTTCCAAACTTCTTTTTGGGCTATCTGGTCCGCTCAGTAAGTACCTTGAATATTGCTGCTAAAACTTATGAGTACTACTCTGACGAAATCTGCGCTTCTCCTCAGATTCGGTCTCCAGCCCTGGCATAGCGCAACCGAATTTAGGCGTGCTATCCGCCAGTACATTGGAGAGTTCCACGGCCTATCTATTTTGAGCGGTCTTGATATCACAGGCCCCTACCAATACGAATCTATATTTCTTCCAATCTTCATTTTCCTACAAAGCCTCAATGTCGATTTCCAGTTCGATACCAGAGTTACGGGCATTTCAACCACAAAGTCTAACAATGATACCCAAAGAGTTTCGAGGCTTGACGTGATTCAGGATGGATTCAAACGTCGCAACGACCTTGGACCGCACGATGTCGTAATAGCAACAATAGGGTCAACAATGTCTGGAACCGCAATAGGATCAAATGATGAACAACCACTTATCTTATCACACTATCCGAACGAGGAACTTGACGAGAACTGGTCAATCTGGCTCGCACTTTGTTCAAAGGATAAAGAATTCGGCAACCCCTATAGTTTCTGCACTCGCCGGTCCCAATCCATGTTAGAGTCCTTCACAATCACTACTGAAGAGCTCACCCTTTTCAACTACCTGACTTCAGTATCACTATCCACGTCGACAACAGGGGCATTGATCGTCCTTCAAGAAAGCCAGTGGAAGCTAAATCTGTGTATACCTGCGCAGCCAGTTTTTCGAGACCAGCCTCAAAACGTGCGCGTTCTCTGGGGCTTCGCACTCTTCCCAGAGTGTAGAGGGAACTATATTAAGAAACCGATGCTCCAATGCTCGGGGGCAGAGATTCTAGCGGAAGTTCTAAAACATGTGAACTTCCCAACTGAACTGCTCTTTCGACATACTGTGACTATTCCACGTGTTATGCCACGGATGAGTTCCCTCCTGCTGGCGCACTCTTGGGATGAACGCCCTGAGCCTGTTCCTTGTCGCACCTCTAATATCGGACTGGTTGGGCAATTCGTCGAGATTCCGGAATATAGCTGTCTTGACATGAGTTATGGTGTTCGTTCAGCGCAAATAGCGGTATCCCAGCTGCTGGATCTCGCTATACCTTCGGTTAGAATGAGGAGATCACAGTTTAATATTTTCCTTAGGATTCTGCTATGGAGATGATAAATTTGTTGTTGGATCTGCGACTGAATTTACTAGGAGTGGGACGGGACATAAACGATATCTCCTGTGCGCTCTCAGCAGCCTCGACTACTAGTTTTAAGGGAAACAAGAGCGGTTAATTTAATGAATGAAAAATATTATCCGTTCCATGCTTCTTGGACATATATCAACGCTTTCTATCTACAATTACAACCGAATATCAAATAACTTATAGAAGCAGTAGCTCGCCTGTAGCAGCACCACCAGCATATTGCGGCTGGTACCCTTGTTGTTGGTTTTGTGTCACAACAAACTGCGTCTGCGGTGCACCACCACCGCCCGCACCATCGCTACGGCCTCCCAGATCCATCGAGGCCATTTGTTGCGATCCTATCCCATTGAAGTATGAATCTGCTGCACTGATTGCATCGCTGGACGTGTTCGAGGCGGCGGCGGAACCTTGGGCAGGGTTGGGGCCAACAGGGAAATTGGGCGGGGGAGGAGCATTGATTGGACTGATAGGGTTGCCTGTTGTGATGATGGTTGCTAGGCCGCTATTACTTGTTGATGATGCGGCAGCGTTGGCGCTGGGAGGGTTATATTCCAGCATACTGGAAGTGCCATCTTCAACTCGTGGCCTTTGCAAGGCTGGACTCTGCTGAAGACGACGAGGACGTGCGGCACGGAAAACCTGATGGATAGGCTTCAGGTAGACAGTAGCTAGTGTGCCGACATTAAGGCAGAGTTCCTCGAGGGTTCGGGGGTCCAGCTTCTCGCTCTCGGCAGTGATGGGTGGCTTTTGGCCCATCACGACCTGCTTGGCTGTCGCCGGGTCGGTTGACAACAAACGCCAGTACATGTAGCCACGGTCTCTGAGATCGGGATCATCGGTCTCTTCAGTGCACCATTTCAGAACCTGTGGGACAAGTTCTTGACCCTTGGTGGGCCGTTGAATAAAGAGCTTCACAGTAGCCGTGAGCAGGGCCAGCTGCACTTCGACCGTTTCATCATGAAAAGTTGCCAGATAGTCCTGCAAGAGACCATCTGAATTATCGATACGGTCTGCGTACTGACCAATGATCCAAATAATAGCTGCCTTGGCTTCGGGCTCATCGAGGTCATCGATATTGCGGATCACGTGGCTGATAATACTCTCGTACTTGTTGGGGTACTTGCGGAAGATGTTGCGAATAACCACTGTCGCTTCCTGGATAATGTAGGGAATCTTGGCATCGACTAGCTCCAAAAGTGTTTCAATGCATTGCTTTGCGGCGGATTCAATCTTGATGGCCAACTTTCCAATGGCACGAACCGCTTTGCGTACAAAATGAACATCAATTTCAGTTGCATACCTGTAAAAGCGTTAGTTCAAATGAAGAACAATAGCCAGATCTGCAACAAAATTAAAGATACTTACTCTCGAAGTTCTGCCAATACCACAGAGATATTATCCTTCGTGGTCAACATGAACATCAACTCCAACTTTGTCACTTTGACATAGATCGGGTCGTTATAGTTGCAGAAAAATACGCGGATATCATTACGCAAGACTTCCGGCCGTTTCTGTAAAATCAAGATAGCATTTCGCAATGCCAAATATTGTATCTCGGGTGGTTTGGAGAGCAATGTAACGAGAGGTGGTGAAAGCTTGCGGCATAGCGAGGTGATATGCTTTTTGTCGGCAATATAGTTCATGAGATAGAGAATGACCCGACAAGATGTGAGGACAACGGCCGCGTTCGAGTGAGATAGTCGCGGGGCAATTCGCTCCGCCAGCAGAAGCGCCTCGGCTGTGTCCTGCGGCACATAAGACATCAAGGCTTCGAGAATGTAAGATTGGCCCCATCTATAAAAGGAGTTAGTCCGGGTAACCGTCAGGTTTTGGGAATTGGAAAGTCTTACTCAGAGCAGTCGGGTAGAATTGAGACCAGCTTTGAGGCACTGACATAGTCAATGGTTAAGGAAATCGATTCACTACGGCCCCAGATGTCCACCAGTGAAGCCAAAACACTGGAGACAACGGTCGGGTTCTCATCCTTCAACATTCGGTTGAGGCGATCGATCAAATCCGAGTTCTCTACCGTCTTCTTGTCATGCTCATATAGTTTTGCAACGCAAAAAGCGGCGGTCTTTCGGACATATGGGTCGTTGTCTTGCATGAGCCGTTTGAGGGGTTGGAAGGTCGCCTCGACGAACTCGCGCACATGAACGTATGAAATGGTTCGCAAAGCAAGCGCGCGCACAAGTGGGTTGGTGTCTTCCATATCCTACTCAAGAGTTAGGATGCAAGCTCAACATGGAATCCCAGGGGCAATAGGGTAAGGTAAGAACATACATCGACCAAAATCGGCAGCGCTTTCAGCGCAACCTCAGGCTTCATTCGGGAATAATTGACCAAGAACAAGAAGCACCTGGGGCGCATATTAGTAAAAAGGTTCAAGGTGAGGCCCCGCGCTCATCTATTTGTGGCACATACATCTTCTTGATCTCCAAGCTGGGCAGGTTCATGCAGTCGATGACATCGGGGAAGAGCGCAACCATGTCATTGTTGCTCATAGTCATGTTGGCGACGATTTTCTTCAGGGCGATCTTTTTGGCGGAGTAGTTCTTGTCTTTCTTGCCGCCGGAGTTAAGCTCCTGTCGCAACTCGGCGACCTTGCCCTGTCGAGTTCGCGAAAATGGTGAGCTATATGGCGAAGCATAGGGGGGCAAAACCGATAAACATGAGGGGTATATGGCAAAAGAGGCAACGGAACAAAAAGCACAGTGTAGAGAAACAACTTGCGAAAGCCGCCGAGTCATCCCATACGAAGAGGAACCTTATGCATAAGGATGAGGTGCGGGGAAGGTAAAGGGGGGGGGAAAGCCACTATGGGCAGATCAGAGGATCAGACACAAAGACTTACCCTAGCGAAGAGCTTTGCGTCGCCGCCGGAACTCATGGCTGCGGCGTGGACGAATCGCAAGGGTTTCTAAAGCGCGACTTCTTCTCTCAAGCTATCCTGGTCGACTTCTGGTGGCCGAGGATTCCGATCACATGCGATAACAGTATTTGAGGTCCTTGAGCGGATAGAAGATATAGACGAGAGGTGATAAGGTAGGTGCTTGGCGCTGCACAAGACCGAAGGATCCGAATCTGGCGGTTCTGGAGGGAAGAAAGGTTGGTGGAGAAAAGGGCGAGATTGGTAGGTTGCTTTACTGCGCCGCGATTGTGGCCCGGTCGGGAGGGAATCGAAGACAGTCGATATTATTGACTGAACATAGTCAATGGTATTGTAATTCCGGATCGAAGGAGAGTGAATGGAAAGGGAAAGGGAGTGAAGTGAAATGAAGTGAAGCGCGTGAAGGGAAAGGAGAGTCTTGAAGGGTTCAGGGCGGAGTGGAGTGGGCGGAGTGGGCAGCTGCGGAGGAAACCTCCTGTTCTCTTCTCTTCTGCTCTTCTGCTCATCCTCCCACCTCTTCCCGTCTTCCCCCACGCCACCCCTCGACATTCATCCTCCTTCTCTGAGATAATGTCGGCCCTTCCACCTCCACCTCCCCCGCAATGGGTTGTCGCGCTCAACTCCCCGATGCCCCGTCCTTCGAAGGCGGCCAACAGCATCCCGGATCCACCTGGCTTCACGAGCTCGAATACCCGGGGAGGAAAACAGGTGAGCTTGCATAGCCCGACAGAGATGCATCATGGATTTGAATAGGATACTGACATGTATCAGCGTCAGCAACAGGATAAACAACCAGCCACGATGAGACCCGAAGAGACCGACACCCTCAAGCTGAAAAAGGCCTGGGAAATCGCCATGGCGCCATCCAAGCAATTGCCCATGCAAGCCATCATGATGTACATGTCCGGAAACACTCTCCAGATTTTCAGCATCATGATGGTTCTTATGCTATTCAAGGGTCCTATTCAGGGCTTGATCAACACCAACGCCGCCTTCGCCAAATACGAGACCCCGACAACAAAGGCCCGTCTATTCGGAGTGAAGGCTGTCTATGTGTTGATGCAGCTTCTGCTATTCGCCCTTGGAGTTTGGAAAGTAAATGGGATGGGACTATTGCCGTATGTGCCGATAAGCTAATGCCCTTGCTGATACTATATACTAACGTATTCGACAGAACTACAAGATCGGACTGGCTCGCTTGGGAATCGGAGCGCCAGCCTTTGGAACGAGCCTTTTTCGCATTCAACTAATATCCGCCGCGCTAAAGTGATTGTAACATGAAATACAGTTTGTTCTTATGGATAAAAATAGTCATATTACGCCATATCCGACGATATAGCTTCTCTTTATTATGCAAGGGTATCAGTAAAATGCCGTGCGCACATAATCTCATAATAATATAAACGCAGGAGGGACATTGGGGCTGCCATGTTTCGCCAACGATATAACTCTATCAAATCTTCTCGGTCTCGGTCTCAGCACGCGCTTCCCCTGCGAGCTTCTGTGCTTCCTGTTTCTGCCGACGGGCTTCGCGCCAGGCAGGGCCTCGACGCATCTCCCACAAGAGTAGCGGGGAGGTAGCCATCATCACGAGAGCAATGAAGGTGAAACACCAGCCACGACCCATGGCTGAAAGCATGGGATCAATGAGGGCCGTCGCGCCAGCACCGAGCAAGCACCGGACAAAGTTGTTGGCCGCAGTGGCCTTCGCTGCCTGTGTCGGGTACAAGTCCACTAGAAGTGTACTGACAGTGTTAAAGGCGCCTGTCAAAGTGAGGCCCATGAAAAACAAAATGGTCGTCGGTGCAGCAAGATGGACGCCAAAGTTGAGGCACCAGCCAAAGGCTAGGACGCAGAGACTGCCGATAAACAGCATCGGGAGGGCTATCTGAAGACGGGCCTTCTCGATGGGAAAGTTTTTCAGATCTGTGTGTCGATTCTTGACCAAGGGGAAATTCATGCACACCGCAATCCGGCGATAATTGCGGTCCAGGAATTGCCCGTTTAGGATCGACGCTATACTTGCACCAACGCCGAAGGGGATGTAGCACAAGCCAACCTGGAGGTCATCGAGACCGTATTGGGCATTGAAGATCGACGGAATTGTTGCGCTGACGTCGTAGAAGCCAGCGAATAAGATGGCATTGCAGAAGAGAATGATACTGGTGTCCTTCTGGAAGACAATGGCGAGTGTTTCGAACGGGTTAGGAAACTTGAGTTTCTGCTTCGGTGGGGTTGGTAGGGATTCAGCCGCCTCGTGAGGGTTTCGCGATCTCAAATAGTTGATGAGAGGGATGTTCCATTTTTGAGGAGGCAACGACCCATCACCAACAACACCTCGAGCTGTTTCAGGGAAGAAGACGAGAAATGGAATCATAAATGCCCCAGAGAAGATAACAAGGAACCAGAATATCGCTCTCCATCCGAGATACTGAGACAACAGACCACCTATGACCGGTCCTATAGAAGGACCCAAGAGAGAGCCGGCAGTGACAAACCCCATGTAAGATCCCCTCTCAGATGCAGTGGCCACATCGGACACTACTCCCGATGAAAGAGCAATAGTGGTACTACTTCCTGCACTCTGAAGGCATCGAAGAACGAAGAGTGCTGCATATTTGTTTTGCAAAGCGAGTCCGATATTGGCGGCAATGTAGATCGCGAAGCAGACAATGTAAGCAGGTCTTCTTCCAGCTTTATCGGCAAAATCGCCGATGAACATGGGCGAGATTCCTTGGAAGATCTAGCATTTCCAACTTGTCAGTGGTGCTGTCCAGTCAAGTCGAATGATACATTTATTCCACTTGCCATGTAACTCGTGAGAGTCAAATTCATAAGGGAGTTCGAGACATGAAGATCTTGACCCAACGTAATCAACGCTGGGAAGTAGATTTGCGACGAAACCGGCGAGAAGAATCCGGCCCATGAGGCCATGAAGACAATGAATCGTCGCTGGCTGATTGTGAAGATAGAGTAGTCAACATCTGCAAGATCCCCACTTTGATTCCCCGCAGTGCCATTCTCGTGGTCGTTTGTATTTTGAGCAGCTTCTAAGTCTGTTGTAAGCGTTACAGGTGGATTCGGTTTCTCCATGTCTGCTTAGCATATACGGCCGTTTTAGACGAAGTTTAATATCGTCGTGCACAATGGCCGTGGATTTCAAGGAGACTCGGAGAAATTTGCGGAGCAAGGGAGCCAATCTCGCATATGGCGTCTTTTTTGCAGTGTTCAACCCACATCTAGGGTGATGCTTGAGCCAATTATGAGTGGAGAAAATAAGAAGGGTGCCGAGATGCCGAACCTGAATGCATCTCACTGTTATCGGCGGTTAACTCCGACAGCTGCTTCCGAGTTCGGTGTCTGTCCTGGAACGCCGAAAACTTGAATGGGTGCTTACAACTTCCAAGTTTTGAATAAAATCACTGTTCGTCAAATTTAGTCTTTTGGAACTTGACGATATATAAGTGAATAAGGTCTCTAGTCTCATTGGCCAGTCAAGGGTGTGGTAGAAAGAAGGGTGGTGAAAAAGAAGAGAAAAAGAATTGTGCTCTAGGAACCATCCATGATACTAGAGGTAACAACCACGCATTAGTACAAAGTCAGCTGCGGAAACATCTACAATATGAACGTCCACCCGGGCATGTTGGAACTACTACTAGCACTAGGTATTGGAATGATGATATTAGAAACTTTCATTCATTGGATATAGTACATCATCTATTTCGAGCCATTACAATCAAGTTATGGACTTTTGACTGCCTTCTGGCATGCCTCAACGAAGATCTGACAAAAGTGCCACACTTCAGTATAGGTGTTGTACAACGGCGCAGGAGCTACGCGGATAACATCTGGCTTTCGCTCGTCAATAACGACGCCGTTTTCCTCCAAGTGATGGAGGACTTTGTCCAACAACCCGGGCTTAAGCCTCAAACTAAGTTGAGCCCCTCTCTCGGCCGGATTGGATGGTGTGATGAGAGTGAAGGGATTGTTTTCAGGGGAACCATTCGGTGGGCATGCCAGGAGTAGATGCTCCAGATAGCCTGTAATACTGAGTGACTTTTTCCGGATTCCCTCCATGGTCGCCCGGTTAAAGATCTCGAGGGAGGCGATGACAGCATTCATATCCAGAACAGATGGGTTCGATAACTGGAAGCCAGCAGCGCCGGGTTGAGGGACGAATTCTAGATTCGGTCAGTAGGTTTCCGGTAAGTTGTTTAGTGATGCCTACTATTTTCCATGTTGAATCGTGTCTTGATATCTCCACCCCACCACCCCGAGAAGCGAGGACGGAAGGTCTCTTCACTTCCAGGCTGCTTTTCATCGACACGACCGTGACGCTCGTGAACGAATAAGCCTGCCATGCCACCGGGTCCACTGTTGATATACTTGTATGTGCACCAGGCTGCAAAATCAACATTCCAGTCATGCAAACGAAGGTCTACATTTCCAGCGGCGTGTGCACAATCCCAGCCAATTACGATGCCCTTGGAATGGGCATGCGCGGTGATCCGTTCGATATCAAAATATTGCCCGGTATAAAACTGGATCGCTGAAAGAAGGATCAATGCAGTGCTGGACGCATTATCGTCGATCACCTTCAAGATCTGCTCTGTGCTCAAGATAGGACGGGCCGCATCCTTGGGCTCGATTAGGACCATGGCGTCTTGGATATTGAGGTTATGATGTCGGATTTGAGACTCGATGGCATACTAGAGCTTGTCAGCGATTATTATTTCCAAAGTAAAAACAGCTGTGGCGGCATACGTGATCACTGGGGAAGGCTTTGCCTTCTAGAATGATCTTGTATTTCTCTTTCGTTGGTTGGTAGAAGCTCGCCATTAGAAGATGCAAATTAGCAGTCAATGTGCCCATGACAGCCACCTCACTTTGAAAAGCCCCCACAACAGGTGCCATGAGCTTGGCGCCAGCTGTATCTACGTCGACGAAGGGGGGAAGCAACTCGTCCTCGTGAGGAACAAAATGGCCGGTCACGCCTTTTGTTGCCCAAGTCCGCAGATACTGCTCGATATAGTGTCGAGTCTTCCGAGGTTGTACACCTAGCGAATTGCCGCAGAAGTAAATGCATCGGGCATCGGAACTTTCATTGTGGCCTGCATGAACCCATCAGTGACACCGATACTATGGTTACTTCTAAATACATAGTGCTGCGTAGGTCATACATACCTTGCTCGACTGCGAGTTTCTTCCTCTGCAAATCCTTTACAGAAGGAATAATGAATTCCTCTCGGAAATTTCGGAGAGGATCCTGGGCGTCCAGAGCCTGGGCATACTCTAGTTTGGAGGCTTCGATATCATCCTTATATGGTAGCGGGGTCCCGGTTCTCGGGTCACGGGAATGCTGTTGCGACGACCCCATTGTAGCGATTTGGTATGAATATCCACACGAATTGAGGCAAAGAATTTCAATTTAAGAGAAGACTTCCCCCGAATTCCAGTTTCATCAAGAAATGCAACTCTCCCACCTTCACCCCGCCATGCCGGAGCTTTTTATTCTGCCACCGCCCTGCGGTCATCGCTGACCAATCGCGCCACTGCCGAACCTGACTAACGCGATATCATCGGATGGGTAGATGCGACAGACTTAACCTTTGCTGCTTCACACTCCATATCCCCAGCCAAAAATCTGGATACACACCGTCCAAGATGACCAGGTCACTTTTATCCCCCACAGCTGTTCGCCGGCTTTCACACCAACACGCCCGCTTCTTCTCTACGTCTCGGCCCGGCTTGCGCATCTCCGCATCCTCCGTCGGCGAAGTCGCTACTTGTCGGCAAACCACTACAATCACTCCGACTACGTCTCTGTACAAGATTACTGTTCCACGATCCATATCTCGATCTCCATTCCGTCAACATGTCGCTTCTTTCTCCTCCTCGTCCGTCCGCCCGGCTACCAAAGTCATACAAAATCCGAGAACCGGAGATGATGGCGAGACGCTTATGATCGGGATTTCGCCTCGAGCTGTGGAGGTACGTTCTACAATGGTCTTCTGATTTGTTTGGGTATCCCGCGTCGTCTTTGCAAGAACAACCGGTGGTGTCGGTGGCAGTGACGGGAATCGCTCTGGGCTTCATGGGGACGGACCTACATGACAGGCTACTGTTGGTACTTCCAGCCAAACTGGGAGAGAACATACCAACAGTGGCGGCTTAGGTCTGTTCTAGTGGATAGTCTATCACATACGACCATAGGGTGTGGAGAACAGGGCTTCCCGTCCGCTCAGCCGTACTTAAGCCACACGCCGGCAGGTTAGTAGTATGGTGGGTGACCACATGCGAATCCCTGCTGTTGTATGTTTTTTTTTTTTTTTTTTGGGAAATTATTGGTGTTCTTTTTGATGTCTTATTTCGCAGATTTTCCTTTACTGCATCTCCATGACCATTGGCTAATTAGCACAGCGTCTTCGAGAAATTACCGACCCGACCACTTCTCCGTCGGCCACCAAAGAAGAAAATCCATACCACCACCTTCGCATCACCGTGACAAGTGGAGGCTGCCATGGCTTCCAATACATGATGTCTCTTGAGTCCGAATCCAAAATTGACACCGAAGAGGATACCATCTTTGAAGGCAACGCCGACCCTTCCGAAATATCGACTGATGCAAATGGACAAGCAAAGGTTGTGATGGACGAGCCCTCACTGGAGCTTCTGTCCGGGAGCACCGTGGATTATACGACCGAGTTGATTGGTAGTCAATTCAAGATCGTGGATAACCCGCGAGCGTCAAGTAACTGTGGTTGTGGAACCAGCTTTGACGTGATGGATTAAATTTTCGAGGGGGATTGATTGTTCTTAAAAGAACATGAAGCAAAGCAGCACATTGCTTCACTTCCTTACATGTACAGAAACGGAAGTTTGCATATTGAAATATTAGTATAGATTAATTTATTTATACCCCTCTTCTCTCATCTACTCCGGGGTCATACGCTACTAGTACTTCAAGCTCTTTTGAGTGTTGTATATGCATGCAAGTGTAGTAGTTTCGACTACGAGCTGGTAGAATCGAGTAGCACTACGAAAGCCGTATTTAACAGTATCGTTGGTCTATGCATTTCATCAAGTCTCTTTTTTTCTTCTACTTCACACTATACACTCTTGCAGAGTGAATCACCTGCCAAAAGACAGAAACAGCAGACCGGGCAAATGTGAGAATCGTACGCCCTCCAGAGATATCGCGATAACCCGACTTGATTTTGGATCCCTTTGCAGTCCGCACATTGGGGACCGGGACCCAGAAAACCAGAAAGATGGAAATGGAAAAGGAAATAGGGGCAGAAAAAAGCGTATAAAAAGCAGCGAGGAATGGGGGGGGCAATGTTATGAAAATGGAAATGAAAAACACAAGGGGGAAGCGGGATAAGAATGTGAAAGAAAAAATCATCTCGAGTCATGTCCGTTCTTTTCTTGCATGTAAAGCCAATGCTTTACTTTTTGTCCCTCTCCGAGCACCCGCAAAGCATGCCGTGGCGCAACGTTCAAACCACGGGTATCATGCATTTCGTGCTACTTAGTAGACACGAGCAAGGTTGCGCAGGTACCAGTCCACAAGGCGGCGGCCAGCCTTGGTCTCGCTGACGTGGATCAGGTCGTCCTCGAGAGCGTAGTCGAGGTCGTTGGCGATGGCGGAGTCACCCTCAAGCAGGCCACCCTCGACCCAGCGGATCTGGCGGGAACGCTGCTTATTGACGAGCAACCAGGAGCGGAGCTGCTCGGGCTCGACTTCGAGGAAACCAGCCAGCTTCTTGAGATCCATGGTGGTGTAGAGCTTCAGGTATGAGCGGATAGTGGGGTTGAACAGGGTGTTCTTAACCTCATCCATGAAAATAGCGGTGTGGTGGTCGACGGGGTCGACGTTGACGGCGGGGTTGTCGAAGTCGGGGGGAGTGGGGCTGATGAACTTAGGGCAGGAGGAGCGGAACAGCTCCTCGAAGACGGGGAGGGCCTCAGGACCGCCACGCTGCATGCGGTAGAACTGCTCGCCGTACTTCTCGCGGACGGCGGAGTGGATGGTGTCGTCCAGGCGGGTGGGGTGGAGAGCGACACAGATGGCGATCAGGGCGTACATCTGATCGTTCTTCTTGGCAATGGCATCGTAGCCGTTGCCGCCCTTCTGGAAGTTCTTCGTCCGGGAGACGTAGACCAGAATGTGGCTGAACATGCGGATGGCATCGCCGTAGCGGCGCATCATCATGTAGGAGAAACCCACGTAGTAGTAGGTGGTGAAGTGGGCAGCCATAACCCGGGCGAACATGGCCTTCTTGTTCAGCTCAATGTCGTCAAGGGTCTTGAGGGCCAAGCTGAAGTCACCGAGCAGGCAGTGCACGCGCAGCAGACCGATGATGGAGAAATAACCCAGCATCTTGTACAGCGGGCGGTTGCCGTACTCACCAGCGAAGGCAATGGGGTCCTCACCCCGCTTCATAGCTCCCAGCTGCTCGGTAATCTGAGATCGCTGGATGAGGGAGTAGAGGACGTTGAGCACGGAGTAGCAACCCCAGGTGTTGGGGTTCTCACGAAGGAGCTGAGCCTCCTCCTCGTTGGATCCAGTGCGAGCAATGCGGTTGCGATAGCGGCAGAACGACTCGAATTGGTAGATGAACTCGTCAATAACATCCCAGGCCCAGTAGTACTATATGTATGGAAAGAGCAAATTGTTAGTTCCCTTGTTCGTTGTATGTTTGCGGTGGATTTAATCGAATCCTGATGAGTGTCCGGCCACAAATATCTCTTTCATCATCGTCATCTTGGATCGACGGGGTGAATTGAAAAACCTACCGAGGGGGCCTCCAGATCCACGGGGCCTTCGGAGTTCAGGATGTAGTGGAAGAGACTGCAGTAGTTGTCGTAACTGGCGAACTTAGTCTCGAGGGTCGCTTGGTATTCCAGCGGGGTAGCAGCGGCGGTAAGCTGTGCTTGAAGGTCCTGGGCCTGAGAGCCACCGAGGGATGTTGTGCGATCCAGCTCACTCATGCCATCTTCGAAGTTGACCTGCTCGCGGTAGTCGTTGACCAGAGCCTCCTCCTCAACATCGGACTCATCGTTCAGGTTGGGGCGCGCATTGGCGCGGTCCTCGTACGACATTGTGTGCGAACGAGGTAGAATGAGGTATGAGGCGACACGGGTTGGAAATTTCCTCAAGGGACCGGGTTGGTTGGGAGGGGAGGGCGGAAGGAAGAGGGTGGGGGCGTCCGGCGTTCGGCGTGTGGGATTTGCCAAAGAAGTCGAATTTTGAGGGTTTTCGCTTGAGTGTTGTGCTTATCTTATCTGCGCATAACTGAGGGTGATGACTAAGATTGTGCTTGCCTGTGGTTTATGCCAGGGCTTGAGACCTCAGTGCATACAGACTACCAATATTTCACGACTATTTAATAATTTATAACTGGAGTCGGGTTGCACCAATTGACCATACTAGAAGAGAAAATAGACTGCTAGATGAGTACCTCAGTGAGCGGATGGGGTGCAGATATTTCCGAAGATGAAATGTACTAGTTAGTACAACTAATAGTCACTGCAGAGTATGATTGTAAAAACCAGCTCTTGTGCATCGGAATTCAGGTCCTTCCGAGTCATCAGGCGTGATACCATGGTTTAAAATGCAGATCGTGGTACTAGTACATAGTCATAAAATGCTGTCATAGATAGACGCTCGCTCCAAGTGATCAGAATTGTGAGTTCTAGGGTGATCAGTAAAAACTACACCAACGAGTACAGGGAACATTCCTATTATAATCGAGGCCCGAGCAAGCATAGTTAGCGCACTCAAATATCCGCGCAGATGTCCACATGTACAGCAATTGTGCTTTGTCCAAGCTGCATTCTCGCGTCTTGCTTGCTCGTTGTCAGACTGATGGGAACGTTGGCTAGGCGGCTCCTAACACCATCCGCACTTCGTCCTTGCCCTATTCTCCTGCATTCCTCCGAGGCTCTAATCTAGTTTGGCTGGCACTGGTTTTCGATGTGTCACGAACTATATAAGCCAGCCAAGTAGACAACAAGTCTTTCCATATGGTAGGCCCGGTCACCGGTCTGGTCCTCAACGCCCAACCCTGCAATGGCAGACCCCACAACAACAAGCTCATTCCGTTCGCATCGACCATCTTTGTCTACCGGCCTATGTGCGAGGTCTTGACGGTTCTGGGATGCTTATCCTGTTTCACAATCCTTCCTTTTAAACCCTCGGCCTTTCAGCATCGGCACCCCACCGTTATATTATCATATGTGCCTGTATGGATCAGGTACCCACGTCGCCGTTTTCTGGGACTCATTCCGAATCGTTCAAAATCGCGATGGCTTGTTTCGGCAGCATCACCGACCCCCGACTCGATAAGGATTGGATAGTCTGAATAGTTTCAGCGGTTGACTTGAACCTTTGGCCCATCGCAACCCCAAAACGACACAGCTCAATAAATGCCTGCTTTGCTTCACCCAAATCCTCTAGGCGATGGACCAGAACTCGAAGGGCCCCCTGGACGGCATCGGCCACCTGGCTTGGGATGTGCTTAATCCCATAGGACTGGCGGTGGATACGAAGGCACTGTGCCATTTCCTTTACCTGAGCAAGCCAAGTTTCTTGCAGTTGAGAAGTCTTGCTCGATTGATAGTCCCGCTCGACTAGCAGTTCTATGAGATGCATGATCACATGGACGCATTTGATGCTTCCAACATAAAAGGGTCAGCCAAAGGAAGGATCCAATCTTGAAAAGAGGTCTCATTAGATGTTTTTTTACTCACCGCAGAATCAGAATCTGTGAAACAGGCTCTATTCCAATCTGCGACGTGCTCGGCCAAGCTACTAGCCACTCTTGCAGTTGGTGATATGGCACCTCTGCTCTCGCCATCAAGAGATCAAAGTCTGAATTCAGCTCCTTGTCATATCGAAGCTTCTCGATATGCAGCATGATATCTGTTAATTCAGCAAGACCCTGTCTGACTTCAGGCAAGTGTGCTCGTTTCGTGGTATAGGTGATGTGGTTTGACCGCGGATAGGGTATCCAGTCGAAATCATGATCGCCGCCGGTGTCAATTTTAGTTGCAGGTTGTGACAGAGTTGCCACCTTTTTCAACTTCATTGACATTTGCCTGCCAAGGTTGGTTACTCACCTTCTCGTCCATGCGCTGTATTATCATCACTTACCCATTCAAGCTAGAGATGCCCCACGCCGTAATGTTGCGAACGTGTTCCATATCGGGCGTTATATCATATTTGAACATATGTTTTGAATTTGGGGCCTCGGGGAGTATGAGCAAGTCCATATCACGCGCTAATTGGACCGCCTGCTGTAACATCAGCCAGCCGAGATTTGCCTTCCCTTGACATGAAAGCCTGAGAAAAGCGTCAGTCTGATCAAAGCAAGATAAAAGGTCATTTGAACCTGCATAGTCTGACGGAGAACATACACAGAGCACATCAGCAGGAGAGCTTGGATATTCGGCAACGATGGACGGCCCTCCTGGGCTTTCCACAGCCTCTCTGCCTCTGCGAAAAATGTCTCTCCGCGAAAACATTCATTTTCCATATGGGGATAATTATGAGGGCTGTCACAATGGGCCTTCGGGGTGTTAATTGACACACAAAATTTGGGGACGGTATCTCATACGCTTGCCATTGATAGAAGACTGTTGACGAGAAGGGGGGTGCAAAATTCCGATTCAACGTCTCTGCTCTTCATGTGTTCGACGAATATTCCTTGGTCCAAGAACTGTGCACATGGATGATCCCATGTGAAATAGAGAGATACCAGAACTGACACAAGGCTGTCATCGTTGGTTACCTCCGTCCACGGTTTTGCCGGTACTTCATACAACGGGATATTACAGAGACTTTCCAACGAGACCCGTGCATAAGGGTCAAATGTGGCTCCAGGCATCTCGATATGATGGTCTCGTTCCGGTGATGTCGATATCACAGAGATTTCTGATGGTCGCCGAGCTTTGGCCCCAAAATTCTCGCCCATCGGGGACTCTAACACTTGCTCACCCTCTTCTGAGTTGGATAGTTGGCTTGCATTTGATAGGCTTGCTGAGTCCGTAAAATTTGTGACTGGACAACCAACGGCAAACGCAATATCACACATGGAGCCATTGCTTTTTATAACTCCAACGACCTCTCCGATCTTGTCTGGTGTTGCGAGCCGAACTGTTGACAGCAATGATTCTAATAGATCCCGAACGTCGGAGAGCTCCTGAATGGTTCGCTTCACTGCAACCTTGCGCCTCAAATCACGACTTGGGTCGAAGTGGCAATCATTCTCGACATTAGCGCCTACGCAGGCCTTGCACGGGGACGGGGGTCCAGAACACTATATTAAGAAGGCAAATATTAGCCATGGATTTTCAACTTATGCCACCACCCGACGGCTAGCTTGCCTTTCGCTTTGCTGTCTTGCATGCTAGGCAGGCCGTGGAGTTCTTCTTCGGTCGATTGACGGCTATCGATGCCTGTATGGGGAGTATACGCGGCGGCCCTGGGGCCAACGGAAGAAACGGTTTGCTCTTATCCTGTTGTCCCATCTTCGAATCTGGCGGATGAAGCTGTTCATGGATCAGGGGGTTCCAGGATTAGCCTTTGCCAACAAAATTGAGATATATGACACCGGAGTCTTGGTCTCCTAGACCGATGCAGGTGCAAAATTAGCCGCGTGTCTCAGTCACCCGTGAAGGCAGAACAGGAGGAGACCAACTTTCCACAAATTTGCACCGCGTTATGATCGTCGACGATGCTCAGATATCTGGTTACGAGACAATTATTTTCGTGTACCGCAGCTATAACATTCGTAAGAGGGTCATTTCGTGGGATGGTAGGTCGCGGGTCGTGGGTCGTCTCGGCTCGTTCACAGCCTGGGGTGCTTTGTACGTTCGAAGGTTGGGGGTCTATGGAGGCAATTGTGACTCAGAGGATGTCAAGATGAAGAAATTCAGCGGCCGAGGACCAGGGGGACTCACACTTCCAGCAAACAAGCGACCATCTGCAACCGTCGGTAACTGTCACACAACCAGGGTGGCCTGGTAGTCCAGGATTGAACCTCAATATGATTGGAAGGGCGAAAAAGCCAGCGCCACGCAAGTCTAGTGCCCATCAAGATGAGACTAGCCCGAAATCCGGTCAGCGTAAGATTCGCTGTCAAAAACCGGAAACGCTATGCGGAACGTGACGCCAAAAGGCGAGGTGGGGAGACCGCACATAACGCTAAACAAGGGCCGTGAGATCTTCAACAAAGAAAGCAATGGCCCGGGCTCGTTCTGGTGGAATGGACCCACGCAGAAGCTCTTTCAGTCTCGATACCGCCCCACGATATCTACATGCCTAATCATGGAAGACTTTCCTCGAATTTCTATTTGATGAACTCAGACCAATCAATGGATCTTGCTATCGGCATGGACCGCAAAGTACCCCAGGAGGCCAGCTGAATCATACCCAAAATATCTGCATAGATGCGTCTTTGTCCAGGTTCATGTTTGCCTTTCAACCTGACACACTACCTGGTTCATACAGGCAGGATCCGGATTTGCAGCGTCGCATATCTTTGAATCCTCCCCAAGCCATCGGGTCTCCTATTCGAGCTACCCACCAGAGATGACCTATGTACAGTAGGCAGGCGTAAAATTCCCACGTTTAACCCGGTTTTGGTGCGAGGAATCTGATATTACGTCTCCGATGATTGGAATACATAGAGCCGTGGCTCATGCTCAAATCGCTCAGCTGCGGATTGACCGAGCATTCAAGCACTTTTCCCATTACGAACGAAGATCTACTATAGGAAGGTTCTTGACTGTCCACTCATTGGATCTGGGGATCATTTCCAGTGATCACGTTGGAATGGCCAATATTCCCGGCGACTTGGTTGACGGGAACCGACCACGAGTCGCAACGCTACACCAAGATAGCATACATGGCAAACAGCATATTACACCATGTACCAAGTACGCTGTATAACTCTAGTATCCGGATTAGAGAGAAGTGGCCTGGTCCCACGGCACTCTTCTCCAGGACATTTCGCCCCATCTCTCAAATACTAGTACAGTGATCTTAGCCCCAAATCCCTGATCAGCCAGAGCTTGCAGGTCCGATCGGCATCCCCGCAACCGATATTTTGCTCTCCCTTTTCATTACCTGTTTCTGCCCCCTTGAACCTTGGCATGGTTTGGGTCCATTCCGCTTCAATCCTTGCCCATTGGGTGGCTCATTTCCGCCCAATGAGATGTGTGCATGACTCGCCCCTCCCCACCCCTTTTGATTTATCTACTTCTTTACTCTGTAGACGCACCATTCATTTTCGCATTTCTGTTTTCCAGTTTTCCAGTTATACACCCATGCGTCCTTGACCAGGGTAGTCAGTCTATGACTTTGTGGCGAAATTTACCTGAAACCTACGTACGTAAAGAATGATAGGGTGTTCGGCACACTCGGCAGCTTGGCGGGTCATCTTTCCGCTGGTTCTTAAGCACGGATTATATTCAGATACATGCGCTGCGTTCGACTAGTCTAGCGCACTTGGCAACTAAACCCGGCTCCTGCCATTTGTAGAATATGAAGATGACTTTGACCCATCATTGACAGTGGAAGCTTTTTAAGGCGTAACTTAGCGGAATTTATATCCGGGGGTCTTCGTGTTGTATGTATGTACAACCAGATATTCGAAGAGCCTTGCTGGTGACCGGGGACCCTGAGTGGATCTTGTAAATATTATTACTACATACTAATAGTAGTCAATGAGTGCGAAGTACGGATACGGAGTGTACCCCGTCACTTACGAGTACATAGTACTATGTACTCGTACATACAGTATGTAGATCTTTCCATAGCCAGATCACGGACTGACATCATGGCCCATCTCACCTGAAATCCGGAAATAACAACCGGCTAACCAGCGGGCTGCTTTGCCACCCTGCCTGTCGACATGCCTCTTTTACATATGTAGCCAAAATTATTTCCATCGTACTTCTGTTTCTCGAGCTCTCTTACTGGAGTGTGAAAATCTCACGAGACTTTCTTGTCTTTTGACTTCTCGGTTCGTCTTCCCGCCAGGCTACGTCCCTAAACAACTGACCCGCCAAATGCAGCGCAAAGACCTATCTTCAATCTTAGCGCGCTACCTAATCTTAACAACGACACATTGGCCATGCATTTCACGAGAAGTCATTAAATGCCGCCTATACATGGGATGTGCCATTGAAACCCGCAGGGCCGAAACCGCATCGTAAGCCATGTACTCTGTACATCTAGGTACGGATGCTGACTGAGCAGTGTACCAGCACTAGTGCGGCGAGCTATTGTCACTAACACTAGCTATCACACAAAGGTCTGGATATGGCTCACATCTGGTCTCGACTCCAAGGTTGGGACACTTTTCTGCATTGTTAGACATACTAATGTGCAAACATACATATACTACTTTACAGACTACGGGCTAAGGAGTACATAGCCCTGTACCAGGGCCCTTTGAGGGACCAACATTGCTTTGTCGATACTAGTAGACTAGTAGTACCAGCTGATCGTCCCGTTCTAATTGGAATTGTACCCGACATGGTGCCAGATAGGATTCAAGTAAAAGGTTGCCAAAAATAGAGACAGGTCGCGTCAACGCCGCGAATACCTTCTCCTCGCATCTTATTTCCGTTGCGAGATTTTCGGATTGGACGGATTGGACGGGCTCACCTAAATCGTTCTTTTACCCGCCATTCTGAAGCTTTATTATTGGTGGAAGGAGTACTTACTTTGGTGGCTGGTCTGGTTCGCAGGGACGACGCTAGGAAATCTAATTCTGTGAACGTTATCTTGGTACAGCCTTGCGCCCGGTCGACTTCGGCCTCGGCTGTTGGCTGATTCTTGGGGTAAGAAAACAATTTGCTTTTTTTTCTTTGTCTTGCGTTAAGTAATCCGAATTTGAGTACGGGTTTCTGTGGGGCTCTATGTATGTATTTACGAAGCACAGTACTTTGACCAGAAATGATCCAATAATTCCAGCTTCGCAGTTTACTTCTGTCCTCATCACCGTGGTACTTACCTTACAGGTGCCTATATGAGATGTAACCAACTACAGGTGTACATATAATACTAGTATACATTGCTACCAATTATTGGTTCTACGTGCTTGAGTTAGAGCTCGTGAACCTAACGAACTTCATCATCGCTACGACCGCTTACCAAAATTTGAGGTCCCTAAGCTGAGCCCAACTCTACATCCCATATCCTACATTGGAGATTCGGGAGGCGGGTAATTGTCAACTTGAAGGCTTTGAAACGATAGTGTAAATATATGAGGTACGTGAATCCTCAGTTGCCGAGTACAGAAAGTCGCCGAGATAACTCAAAACAGAAACCAAAAACCAACTCGAAATCCGTCTAGTGATCCCACTAGGGTCTCCATCATACTTCCAAAGGGTGAAATCACATATTCTCAGCCAGCTACCTGAACGGCGTAGGAAATGCCAGGACTAGGATTGCATGCACTTTTATACTGTAGGCAGTATTATAACTGTGGGCATTGCGGTGACTGGATGCATTATCAGGACTGTTTGCATTGTACCAAATATCCCCTGCACATCTTGTGACGTCTCCATTCGGATAAATATGGCAGGCTATCGAACGATCATCTCCGTAAATTGTGACACTCACGATTTTAGCTGGATCTTGAGGATTGTGTTGAGATCTGTGAACCACATTACCTCCTATATGACTGATATCAGTAAAGCGATACATGAACTAATAAGCGTAGTCTGAAGCCTTTGTTCGAACTTACTTTATGCAATATCGACTACCAACTAATTGGCCGTATGTCTGCAAAAGGGTATTTTTTAGATGATGACTTGTAAAGGTTAGCGCGAAGTTTCAAGGAAATACCTTTTCAGCCTGTCCAACTTTCTTAACAAGCGACAAAATCGCATTTCTGTATTCCTCAGGAACTTCATCAATAGGTAGACCTTTGCGATATGTATTCCGTTGAGATACCGGGTGGGATGTTGGATTGTTATGCCATCCGATTCCACCGTTCGTTGAATGAGGTTGATTACTTCTGACAGAGCGTTGAGACACAGCACTATATCCTTTTTTCCCATCAGACCGAGCTGGTGTTGCAAAATTGCGGCCTTTGCTCTTCAGATCTGGCTGAAAGCCTCTGGTGGAGCGTAGATCTTCCTGGGAAGGCTGGGTTTTGGCTGGGTCAGAAGTCGGGGTTGACAGTGAAGTTCACACTGAACAAGGATCGGATCCCGGCGGCAACTGCTCTAGAGATCTGCGCCAGTGGTCGTCTGTATAACGTCGTTGTCGACAGCGCCGTGCCGCCTCTTCATTGCCATCGCTAGAACTTTTAAGAGCCGCACTAAATGACCTTTTCCCCAGAGTGGAAGATGACTGTGATGAGTTGGGTGATCTGTCCTTCAAATCTGGCCCAGAATATTTGTTGGACTTCAGATCTGAAGCGGCTCCTCGACACGCTTGTTTTCAGCTGGGGCAGAAGTCTGAGCGACCAATATAGGAGTCGACTCTCCGTTGCTTGCAGTGATCCCTGAAGCAATGTCCACATAGCTAAAAACTTGACTCAGTGGGCTTGGCTTACGACTGGCCGTCCATTTACGACTCGCCATCCATTTTTACGAACTTTTGAGCTTCTTCCTATCTTGCACCAAATAATCTGGATTATCCATCATGCTACCAATCAGTTGAATCAATTGGCTAATTTATTGTTTAATCAGGGCTAAAAAATAAATCAGAGTATCCTGGTTGAAGAGTTTGATTTGGGTTCATTTGATATGGAGTGATCCTTATATAGCATTTCCCCTTGTAATTCCATGCCGCACGATACAATTTCCTATCATCAATTATGAAAAAAATTGATTTACTATTTGAGGGATCGAAGAAAACACCCCAAACCCTAGGATGATAATATTGGCCTTAGAGCAAGTTTGACTTTCTCTGTGACATTTATTTTGGTACATCTCGACAAGGATTCAGGCTACTTAAATTCCTTTCAGTGAAGAGAGATGGGGTTCTCTGTTCAGGTCCAAATGTATTCAAAGGACTTTTCAACTCGAATGTACGATAATAGTACCATTCGGTACATCCAAGTATGCAACCTTGGAGCAAAATTTAGAGAGTCTCAAAGCTCGTAAATTATTGCTGCAATTCCCAGCGATCCCCAGCAATAAATAAATTTGAGAATTGCTTCTGTCTTGTCGTAATGTTGGAAATGAAGAAAGCACAAAAGCAGTCTCGCTCTGACTTTTTCTAGGCGGGCTGTGTCCCCTCAAGTGTCCATGAGCTACGCTGGAGTCTTTGACATGCATGTTATTTGCTGACGAGTTAAGGGATGGACTCTTTCCTCGTGTATCGCGGTGGCTGCAGATCTATTATAACATATTTGGACCTAATGTATCTTTGTAGCACAAATTACGACGACCAACTCTCGCTGCTAGTACAAACCCAGATTGTCGAAACTATTGGCCCACAGTCACGATCTCTTGATACAGTATAGTGCGCCAATAAACTCTGTCAACATCGTCATGCTGGCCATGGCATGCATGCCACGCCCTTGATTTTATACTTCGGCAGTGGAAAACGTGACCGACAAAATCAGTTATGATTTGCCGATATCCTCTGCCATCATCAAATTACAGCCCACGTATTCCTCCCCTGGCATCTTCGTACACCACAACACCGTATCTCCCATCTCTTTTGGAACAGACTCGCTCTATTTGGCAACCCCATCTGCACGGTTACCGTCGGGGTAATAACCAAAAAAGTGGACCCGCTTGATAAAGAGGATCAGCCCCTCCATTTGATCCCGCCCCTTGACTGTCATTCGCAGGGCGTAAGGCGTACGGCACAACAACGCCGCCGCACCCTAGCGTTCGTTGCACGAAAGCCCGGAGTGAGATGGCTACACCTAGTCTGAACATGCGGCTATCTCTATTTGTAGTTGAGGATGGGGAAATCCCGTTCCGCTTTATGCTATTGGTTCGATTGGCCTTTCGATGGCGAAGTTCCAAACTCCATTCCCGCTCGGCGAAAAAATCTTCTTCGGTCCGGTCTGATAGCAGCCAGAGCCGGGGCAAACCGCTAGACATATAATACTCCCCTCGCGTCGGCAGTTTCAAGTCTTTTTTTTTTTTTTCATCTTATTCAATTTATTACTTCACTCTCAATTGCATTATTATTTCACTGGACAATCTTGTTCTCCAATTGACTGCAACTTGGAAAATTGGTTGACCCGCACAGTGACTCACCTTGGACCGAAGAATCTAAATTTCCTTAAATTGGATATATCATCTACTGTTCTTTCACAAAATAAAGCACAGCAACTATCGATCAACATCAAACATGGGCTCCGTTGCACCTCACGTCGCCGAGCTTGACGGCTCCAAGTTCAATATCACTCGCTCCACAAACCTGCGAGATGTTCCCCTGCCTGGTTCGCCTGAGGAGTTGAGCCACTCCTACTGCACTGACCACATGGTCTCCGTGCGATGGACTGCTGCCAATGGCTGGGAGACCCCCGAGGTGAAGCCTTACGGAAACCTCAGCATCCCTCCCACTGCCTCCGTTCTCCACTATGCCACCGAATGCTTTGAGGGCATGAAGGTGTACCGCGGCTACGATGGCAAGATGCGCCTGTTCCGCCCTGACTGCAATGGCGAGCGTCTCAACACTAGTGCTCAGCGCTCCTCTCTACCTGGCTTCAAGTATGATGAGCTCAAGAAGCTTGTTGCCAAGCTAATGCAGATTGATGGTCCTCGTATGTGCCGATTCCCTCCCATTTAATATATGGGAAGCTGTTACTGACTTCCAACAGGCTGGTTGCCCAAGGAGCAACCTGGTTCTTTCCTATATCTTCGCCCTACCGTCATCGGTAACGGCCCTCACCTGGGTGTCCAGATCCCCAAGGAGGCTCTCCTCTTCATCATTGCCGTCCCCTGGCCCGATGTCAGCAAGATGAAGAAGGAAGGCCAAACCGAGCCTTCCAAGGGATTGAAGCTTTTCGGCTCCACCCCCGACACCATCCGCGCCTGGCCCGGTGGTTTCGGCTGGGCCAAGCTCGGTGCTAACTACGGTCCTTCTCTACAGTCCCACGGTAAGGCCCAGGCTATGGGCTTCGACCAGATCCTTTGGCTGTTTGGCGAGGATCGTCAGGTCACTGAGGCCGGTGCCAGCAACTTCTTCATTATCTGGCACAATGGCGACACTGGCAAGCTGGAACTTGTCACCGCTCCTCTCGATAGCCAGCTGATTCTGCCTGGGGTGACTCGTCGCAGTGTCCTCGAGCTTGTCCGTGATCGTCTATCCAAGAACTTTGTTGGTAACCTGGCACCCCTCGAGGCTGTTGAGCGGACCATCACCATTGCAGAGGTCGAGAAGGCTGCCAACGAAGGTCGCATTGTCGAGTCCTTTGTGTCTGGAACTGCCTACTTCATCACCCCCGTTGCTATGATCCGCAACAACGACACCGACATCAGCACCCTCGGCCCCAAGGGCGAACCCGCCGGCTACACTGCCCAGATCAAATCTTGGCTCGAGGTCATCATGTTTGGCAAAGAGGAGCACGAGTGGGCATATGTTGTCGAGGATGAAGAGCAATAGACAACAACTTTTATTTTTAGAGATGCATAAGCAGTTGCGTTCTGATCGGTTTTTATCAGAGAATCTGCATCTTCATGATTTACGGGATTATTTGATGTACATAGAAGAAATCAAACTTTTAGGAATTTTCGGAAGAGTCAACCAAGTACATTGTTAATCATTCACGTAGCCAGTTCCGTATCAACATTGTCGTTATTTGAAAGTTATATTTGAAGAGAGGGAAAAGGAGGCCGGGCCTCTTTCAGTATCTCATGTCATCCAGATCTGACATTTCCCCATCGTCAGAGACGACATCAGACACAGCACTGCTTTCGTCCAGATCAACGATTATAGGAGCATATTCGCCTGTTTCCTCGTATTCGTCATTGTCCTCCATTTCCACCTCAATTTCCTCGCCATCTTCCAATTGTATCGTACCCCGTTTTAAGATGTCCTCATGGGCGAGTTCCCAATCATACTCCTCTTTGACCCAAGCCCCGAGTCTCTCCAGCTCTGTCTTAACCTTTGATTGTGTTCCTTTCTCAACAACCTGGTCCACAGATCGTTTGAGCTTCTTGAGCAGTTCAAGCAAGAACTTTCCACCTTCGTCCCCATCAATCTCAAAAAGGCCTCCCTCAACATCATCACATCGCTGCAGCTGACACAGCAGTAACCGGACAACGTCGCTCATAAAGGTTTCGCGGTCGATGATTGCTTGTCGACAAGTTAATATAAGCCCCAGCAGTCTCTTCCACTGCTGAAGGCACGAGAAATTCATCATGGTAATCACCATAAGGAACGTGAATTGCAATTCTCCGAGCAACTGGATCTCGCCGGTTCTTTCATCGACTGTTATCTCACCCGATACTGAAGTCGAGTTTCGAAGAATCAAATCACCCAGTGCCCAGGACCGATCTTGAGCAGCGTCTGTTCTCTCTCGACCAATGGCACCTTCTCGCCATGTTTGCTTAAGGTCGACAGGGAGAAACCCAAGTTCTTTCTCTTCTTCGGCACGATTTTCTGGCGTTTCTGGGTCTTCAGTTGACTTCTCCTTGGGCTTATCAAGTCCGGGAATATGATCCGCATCACGATCAGCCGTGCCGGCAGACGTCAAATCCCATCGTGGGTGACCATCCACGTCAATTTCAGGGTTGCCAATAATGCGGGTCAGCAGACTAGGCGATATCCAGTCGGTAAGCTGCTGCCAGTCTCTGCGGCCACTTTCCTCGGTCTCCTCGTCGTCTTCCGCCTGCGGCGCACTTTGTGTCGATTCCGTGGCTGAGCCTGGTTGCTTGGAAAGCATAGCTGGTGACACCCGGCTTCGATATCGAAATAGTCCCCCGGTCTGCCAGATCCCACCCAGGTTCGCTTTGAAGCGCATGGCCTCTTGTCGATCAGCATCGTGGTTCTCTCGGAGCGATGAGAGCGATTCCGTTTCCGTATTCCATTTCCAGATGAGGATCTCTGGCCCGGTATTTTGATCTCGTACCACGATCGCGGAGTCATTCTGTCCATGGCCTGCCGTGCTGATGTCACCCACGTAGAACCATGCGCCGCACCGAAGAGAAAGACTCTCCGTGGTTCCGGTGTACAGGAAGTGCCATCCTTTCGGAAGGTCGCGGATACCGTGGAAATTGGCCGTTGAAGTGAAGGTGATCAGATCGATACCGACCAGGGTCTTGGGAGGGAGGTGGGGGAGGAGGATAGTTGGCGACGGTTGGAGCGAGGAAGACATCGCGGCGGTTCAGGTTCGTGGAGGCTTGGGCCTTGTGGAAAAGATATTATTGGATCTGATCAGGTCATTCGCGTGCTGCCCTTGTCCAGCTTGAAAAAAGAAATTGTTTGATGTTGGGATGCTGGGAAACAGGGAACTGCCATCAGTCCCTGGCAGAAAATATGGTCTCAGACTGGTGACATGTTCCAGCGCATATGGCAGAAAAGCTTTATGTAGATCTCCAACACCGTGTAGGTCGCTGCACTTTGGAGGTTGTTCAAGGTTGTGGTGGTGAAGCTCGCCTTTTTTTTATCGGCCCCGCGATAACGTGAAGCTCCCCGCGGTGAGCGGGCCACTTAACGCAATACTTGACTGGTCTCCAAGTCACCAAGTCGCCTACTAGTCATATGATACGAACCATGAGCACGATTGCTCGATTGCCACACTTCACTACTAACAAATACACTACAATTTATATTTACGAGAAGGATCAAGGTAACTCAAACCAGTTCAATTGATTCAGTCGTCTTATCAGACTACCTAGCTCAACAGCGAAAGCTGAGTTCGAACTTTTAGGGCGTGATAGAAGGTGAAGACCAGGCGACATAGGCCGTTCTTCGCGTTTATTCCATCCACAATTGCAGGTAGGGCCTGCAGGTTGTTCCCAATCCAACAACGTAAAGACGTAGTAGGATATGAAAGACATTCCTGCATACCTCTAAAGACGGCGACCACGGCGACCACCCTTGCGACGAGTGCTGTCGGAGGGGGTGGGGGTGACATCCTCGATACGGCCAATGCGCATACCAGCACGGGCAAGAGCACGGAGGGCAGACTGAGCACCGGGACCGGGGGTCTTGGTGCCGTTACCACCAGTGGCACGGATCTTGATGTGCAGAGCGTTGATGCCGAGCTCCTTGCAGCGGGCGGCGACGTCCTGGGCAGCAAGCATGGCAGCGTAGGGGGAGGACTCGTCACGGTCAGCCTTGACCTTCATACCACCAGTGACACGGACGATGGTTTCACGGCCGCTGTAGAACAGAAATGTGTCAGCTAACGTAATCGAGAATTTTTCTTGACGGATATGCAGCTATTTTTTTTCCAGCGCATATAGAGAGGGAGAAACGTACGAAAGATCGGTGACGTGAACGAAGGTGTCGTTGAAGCTGGCGAAGATGCGGGCAACACCGAAAACGAGCTTGCCTGTTCCATGCGAAAATTGAGTCAGCAATCTTGCCAAATATATCACGGAAAAATTGGAATTCACGTACCGTCACCGGCAAGGGGGCCGAGGGAGACGTTCTCCTTAGCCTTGGGGGCAGTCTTGGGGGCCATTGTGGATGGGATTTGTCGTGGATGGAATATGGAGGGAGAGAAGAGAGAAAAGCGGCGGGATTGAGGATGAGAATGAGATTGCAAAAAAAGTGGGTGTGTGCCCTAGCACATCCGACGTCTCTGATTGGTCTACAGAGTCTGCTGGTCCTGGCTCAAGCGACCACGAGTCACGTGGCTCACCGGTCGTGCAGTCGGCCCGGTGGGCGGTGAGTCACCCGAGCTGAGCTTGCCTATTTAAATTTTCTTTCTCTTCCGCAAGACATGACATTTTCTCTGCACTCCAATTGACATCGCGAACTCGTCTGACCCGGTGGAAAAACCGGTGCTTCGATTCAAGCGAATACATACCACTGTTTTACTAACCACAATCGACACCAATACACAGCTGCCAGCAGAATCAGTCAAGTGTGACTCGTTGCCGGAATGGGACGAACCATGGAGGATGCCTCTATTGGCATCATCGGCATGGGTGACATGGGCAAAATGTATGCCCAGCGTCTCAGTGCTGCCGGATGGAGGTAAATTCCCTCCACCTTGTCTTTGTCCTGCTTGTTCGCAAGCATCCAGCAATACTTGAATGGTAAGCTCATCCTGATCTCCTCTGCTCTACCTCTATACACCCCTCCCCCAATTCCAATGATGACTTGAGTGCATTTGGCTCGAGCATGACTCGGTGATAACCGGCAAACCATTCTGGTCCCGGCCAATCGCCGAGTCGTCGGTGATGTAAAATACTCGCTACCTTAATTTTTCTTGTCTGAGAAGCTTCTTGAAGCTGCTTTGTTCTTTTGATTCACTCTGCCATTTATTATCACGACATGATGCTAATTGAATATTTCAAATAGGCTTCTTTTTAAAACAGATCCCATCTGGCCTTCTCTTGCGGGATATACCTGGTTTCAAGAATCTTGATACTAACATAAACTTTGATATTTTTCATTAAAAGGATAAACGCGTGTGATAGACCTGAGAATTATGAATCTTTGACACAAGAGTTCGCTTCTCAAGTACGTCCCCCGCCGGGCCAATACGCCCAGAGGCTCATCGTATATAGCAAAGGATCACCATATTCCCGAATGGACATCTCGTTTCCAGACTTAGCGATTTCATTCTTTACAGCGTAGAGGCTGGTGTCATCGACCGTGTCGTGGCACAGTACGGGCCCTGTATGTCCCCAATTGATTTTTGAACCAATGCCCCCCCCTGCAATGGATCAATCTATCTGACTCGAGGCTTCTACTTCAAGCAACCAAGGTCGGGGCGATCGTTGGTGGTCAGACCTCCTGCAAGGCCCCGGAGCTTGCTGCCTTTGAAAAGCACCTACCGTCCGATGTAGAGATCGTATCATGCCACTCACTGCATGGACCCAAAGTCAATCCGAAGGGTCAGCCTCTGGTAGGGCATCACACCCATGTCCGATTTGATTCCAGCCCGGTTCAACATGAACTAACGCCCCTCCTCTCGTCCAGGTCCTAATTCAGCATCGAGCCTCGGATGAAAGTCTTCAATTCGTCGATCATATCCTGTCCTCCTTTGGATCCAAACATGTCTACATTACCGGCGAGATGCATGATCGAATTACTGCCGATACCCAGGCCGTTACTCATGCCGCCTTCCTGAGCATGGGAACCGCATGGCAGGCCAACAACCAATTCCCTTGGGAAATCAACCGATGGGTGGGTGGCATTGAGAACGTGAAGATCAACATCACTTTGCGCATCTATGCAAACAAGTGGCATGTTTACGCCGGTCTCGCTATCCTCAATCCGGCTGCCAAGCAGCAGATTCGCCAGTATGCCGAGTCAGTCACAGAACTCTATAAACTCATGCTTGGAGGACATCGCGAGGAGCTCAAACAACGAGTTAAGGCGGCCGGAGCTGCCGTGTTCAAGGAGGGCCAGGAGGCACAAGACCTCTTGCTGAAGGACGAAGTCCTAGACCGGTTCTCTCTGTCCAACCGGTCTCGGGAGAAATCGCCTCCCAACAGCCATCTCAGTCTACTCGCCATCGTGGACTGTTGGTCCAAACTTGGCATTGTTCCTTATGATCATATGATCTGTTCGACCCCGGTATGTCTCAGCTGATAAGGGTTGGTTGCCGTCAGTCTCCAATGTGCTAATATTCCCCTAGCTCTTCCGACTATGGCTTGGTGTTACTGAATATCTGTTCCGTAACCCTGAACTTCTCGAGGAAGCTCTGGACACTGCGATTGATGACAATACATTCCGCTCGGATGATCTGGAGTTCACATTTGCCGCTCGGGTCAGTACTGCTAGTCGCATGATAATACTACCCCATTCCGTTCTTTTTGCTAATCATATATCTTTGTCTTTACAGGCCTGGTCGGACTGTGTCTCTTTCGGCGACTTTGAATCCTACCGCGATCGTTTTGAGCGGATTGCCTCATACTTCGCTCCTCGTTTCCCGGAGGCTTCACAGCTTGGTAACGAGATGATGAAGACGATCTTGGAGAAGACAACCAACAATCCCTGAAAAACGGGCGTGGTGATATGACAAGAATATGCGGTCTTTCGGTCTAATATGTGATATGCCTTGTATGATAACAGGCGGGGACTCGAGCATTTCGCGGGGGCGTTTCGGGAGACTTCAGTGTCTAGTAAGGCAACAAATGCCGTGTATCATTCTAACTTTGTTCAGTTCCAGATGATTCTAGTGATGAATTAAGATACACATAATAGCCCCTTTTCTGGAGACACATTGCAGGAAATTTTCACGGGAAGTTGCCCTGTTCAGTCATGGCTTAAAAGAGTAGTATGTATACAACATCGCTAACTAAATAGCAGCAGTACACAAAGCTTATGTAGTACTCCCAGGAGTCGCTGGCTCTGGCCTCGAATTCTCTAATCATTCAACCTCGTAATCTATCATAAAATGCCAACAGATTATTGCTTCGACCATACCAGTAGTCTTCTACTTCACTTCACACAGCTAATCGTTCATGTGGGCGATGCCTTAGTCATCCGTTGTTGGTCGCGATCAGGCTCCCCCCCAAGGTCAACCGAGTGGGACAATCGTCTACCCGTGCAGATCGCTTCTCTGCATGCCGCTCTTTCGCTAAACCCCAGTCCGTGGCCAGTCGTGGTTGCAGCTGTTACTCTCAGATCATCCAGCCTGTAATCCGTGCCCGTGACTGCGGAGTTGCCCACTTCCCTCCGCCCCTACGCTTCGCTTCCCCATACTCGAGCCCTTGCTCCGCGACGTGACCTTTAACCTCCCCGGACCCCAATGCGGCCCTTCGACACTCCGAATACCTGCGACTCGTCATAGACAGCCCCCGTGGCTAGATGGAGCTCCATGGCTTCCGGACACCAATCAGCGTTCTCTGCGTCCACCCAGCACCGCGCCTTAGGTGATGGGCGATCTTCCATGAGCCAAGATGCCGGTTCAGAGAATGGCAGTTGGAACGATGCAGTCCCCAGGTCGGGAAGGAATGGGAGGTCTGGATCTGGAGGTAGCGCTACCACCGGCACTCGAGGGCCTTCGTCGCTGGCCCCGTCGTTTGGCGGGCCCGGTAGCTTCAGCGCGGAGCTCAAGAGCATGACCTCACGGAGTACGACACCGCGAGCCGATGGAACCTACACACGACGAGCCAGTAAATCGATTGGCGAGGAAGACCTCAATACTTCAGACGAGCGCGTGGCGTTTCTTCGAGGAAAGATCGCCAAAGAAACAAAGATCAAGACTGGAACAGAGAATATGCTCGAGGCACTGCTGGCAAAGCCTCCGAAGCAAACGAAAGAACAGCGCCTCAAGGTAGAATCTGAGCTGAGCACATCAAATCGCAAACTGGCCGAGTTACAACACGAGCTTGAAGAAGAGCTGCTACGCGCGCAGGCGCCGGCCACAACTCCCCCACGCAGTCGACTTTCCAGCCTTTTTCGAGGTAGTCCCATGCGCTCACCCTCCCGCAATCATAATGGCGGGGGATCATTGGATGGATACCAAGAGGTCGACGAAGATGGGAACATGGAATCCCCGACATATGTGTTGTCCGAAACCCTTCAGGCATTAGAGATCGAGGGTATGTCGCCTGACTTCTATGTGGAGCGCGCGAACAATCTGGTCGAGTTATTTAAGCGACATCCGGCCCTCAAGTATGACCTTGCATGGCCTGTATTTGGATTGCGTGTTCAAATCATGCTCCTCAGCGACAGCAAAGAAGTGGTCGCCGCGGGCTATCGGTTGACTCGCTATGCCATAGCAGATCGGAAATCCATTCAAACCATTCGCGCTCTCCACACAGATGAACTCGTTATCTTATCTCTCGTCAAAGAGAGCAAATCAAGCATTGAAAGGGAACAAGCTCTCAAATTCGTGAGAGCCTTTCTTGATGTCAAAGATGGCGTGAAGGAGATATCGCGTGCTGTCGTCCGCACAATCGTCTCCGTGGCAGAGCACAACGAGGATCGGCTACGCAACATATCCATCATGACTCTAGCGGAAATGTTGATCAAAGATCCAGAGCTCGTTGCTTCTTCCGGTGGATTCTCTGCTTTACACGATGCATTGGCAGAAGGCACATTTGGTGCTTCGGAGAGTTTGATATCCAGCTTTTTGCATATCCTCGACACCCCACGCAGCCGGAAATACCTGCAAGGAAGCGAACTAGAAGCTGTTTTAACGCCATTCACCGATTCTCTGGCAGACTCTCTTCGCAACGGGCGGTTAAAATCTGCGGCTCGCGCGATCTCTGCCATGCTCAAGACGTGGCCTGGCCTTGTGATTCTCGCTAGGAACAACGCGAAACCATTGCATTCTCTCTTAGAGTCATTGCATTATCCCGACCCTCAGGCCCGTGACCTTATCATGGAACTGCTATTCGATGCACTGCGAATAAAACCCCCGTCGTGGTCATCTTCTTTCCTTGCCGGCAGGCGACTCACAACATACGGTAGAGTTTCGAATCTGCGTTCTGATACCGAATCAAGACACACACCTTCATTCACCGAGAGTACCAGCAACAAATTCGATCTCACGGCGCACTTTTCAACCCTGATACTGGCGGCTTTGATCGAGGCCGGTCTGCCCAAAGTAGGAAAACTCTCAAGGCGAAAGCTACGAAGGATACTAACTCGGTATAGGCCCTTTCGGATCTGATTGAGGATGAGACAGATCCCTCACTCCGACGAAAAGCCACTCTTCTCCTGACTGAAGTGCTCAAGTTGGCCCATCATTCCCTGCCATCGGCAACCAGTGCCAAGCTCCAAGTCCTTCCAAATCTAATCCCTCCCGCCATCCAATTCGATACCGACAACCATGACGTTTCAACATCGACGATTTTCCAGATTGAAAGTATCAATCGGACATTAGCGCGCTCCGGGGCCTATTCAGGCCCAGGTCGTTACAACATGGACGTGGATTTCACGGCCCCTTTGCTACCTGGTGAACAAACAAAAGACAAATTGAGCCCGACCATGGATGAACAAACATTCCGAAATGCCATCATGGAAACTCATGTGTTGAACACCTCCAATTACATCAAGTGGAAGTGGGATCTCATTCACCGTCTCGTCGAGGGTCCGCTCACGAACCCTAAGCGCATGGATGAGGCCATCAAAGGCTCGAAATTCATGAAGCGACTTATTGGATTCTACAGACCTTTCAAATACCGCTTCGCTCTTGTGCCAAACACGAAGCCAAATCAGCGTTACGTTCGGACTGGTTGTGCCTTGATGCGAACCCTTGTCCAGACTCCTGAAGGCACAAAGTATCTCGCCGAGAACAAGTTTTTGCGGCAGGTCGCCGAATGCCTTGCACAATTGGACCGAATGAGCGGGCTAACCTCTGCATCCCCACTTTTCTCACGAGACCAGATGACCAACACGATGAGTGGGGGGTTATTTTGCAATGCTAGGGACGTTGAGCGGTGACGCGAAGGGGCTTCTCATGATGGAGAGGTGGCACATGCTCAATATGTTTTATCATATCATCGAGTTGCAAGGACGCAACGATCTCATCCAGACCCTTCTTGGCAACATGGACTACAGCCGAGATAGCCACCTGCGCGTTATGCTCTCAAAAGCCCTCACGATCGGATCCAAAGAAATCCGCATCTTTGCAACCAAGCTTCTTCGCAAGTATGCTGTCGGCAGTGATACTGTGCCTACGCATGAGGCAATTGGAAATGCGGAATGGGTTGTTAAGCTTCTTGTGACTCAGCTATACGACCCGGACGTCACGGTTTGCCAAATTGCCGTGAAGATTCTCGAAGAAGCATGCAACCAGCGTGACTATCTCGAGTACGTGGTCAAATGTCGGCCTTCTCTTGATCACTTGGGTGAGATTGGTGCACCTTTGCTTCTGCGCTTCTTATCGACTTCAGTCGGCTACCATTACTTGGACGGTCTGGATTACATCACTCAAGAGATGGACGACTGGTTCCTCGGTCGAAACGACTCATACGTGGCCCTCGTGGAAGCGGCTTTGTCAAGAGCCTACGTTGATCAACCACGACGCAGTAGCTATGCACCCGAAGACCTGGTTGATATGCAAGATGTCGGTGTTGTGCCCCCACACTTTTACCGAGAGCTTGCTCGAACTGCCGAGGGCTGTAAGCTTTTGGAGCAATCAGGCCATTTTAGCGAATTCGCATGGACAATCCGAGATTTCAAACTCGAAGAAGAAGATTACGAGGTGCTCCTCAAGGTTAAGGGATGTCTCTGGGCCGTGGGAAATGTCGGGTCGATGGAACTTGGCGCCCCGTTCCTCGAACCAGAGATTGTGCAACGCATTGTAACGATAGCCGAGAGCGCAGGTGTTTTGACGATGCGAGGCACTGCTTTCTTCGTCTTAGGGCTGATCTCCCGCAGCAAACACGGGCTACAGGTATTGCGAGGTCTTGGATGGGACTCTGCCATTGACCAGAATGGACATATTCTAGGCTTCTGCCTACCGACAGACCATCGCAAGCTATTCCTGGTAAGTCCACTTCTGTCGACTAATAGATGCAATAGCTAATCTAGATAGATCTCCTTCCCGGGGTACAAATCGGATGCCAAACGTACATCCCAAAATAAACTCAAGGAGGCAACGACAGACCCGGACGCAACCAATCAGAAGATCCTGAAGTTGATTGTCGATATGGGCAACACCGTTCTTTCGAAGCGAGCAGCCACAGACCTGCATAGGTATCGTCTCTCACCTCCCGATTTCTGCGAGTCACTACTAATCATACATGGCCATAGCATCAAATCCAAACAACCTGAAAAATTCCACCAGGTTCATCTTTTCGGCAAAACCCTATGTATTCTCGAGAGTCATCATTTCCGACTACCAGCTCGGCGCTTCGCCATTGATTTATTCGACAAGACCGTCATGCGCCGAATCGTTCTCGACGAAGATTCATCCGGAACGGATTCTGATTCATCTTCATAGAGATTGACGATAACATCTATATGATAGATCAATTATTTATCTGCCCCCACCCCCCAAATCTACATGACCGAACTACTACCCCTTTCGGAATACCCCTGCACCGCAAAACTGCTCGCAATCACCATGCCGCGTACCCTTTCATCAATTCGAAATATATGGCTTCTGAAGAGTCTTGGATCTGCTGGTGTTATAAGCAAATGACGACGCGCTGGGATCTGTTTTCTATTCTTCTGTTTCACTGTTCTGTGCATTTATTTTACTGGCATGGCGGTGAATTTGGCCTTGGATGAGACATGAAATGACATCAACTGCATGTTCTGCGTACTAGTAGTCTCAATCCCAACACTTAGCAACAGTATGTAATAGTCTGTGTAGTCCATCATCCTTGCCATGTTTGAATTGGCTAAGCATGATCGAGGTAATGGTCAATAATTCGTCTCGAGATCATCCGAAGGTTCTTGGGGGAATTGAAGGATGACAAGAACGTGAGGTTCAAGCTGGCTCCGCGATACATAGGCTGTGATTGGTGACTACTCCAGGGATGAGAAAAGATCGGAACGGAACCTTTTAGCGATCACAGATTCGGTAATTTCGCTGTAGAAATATAACCCAGATACATTAGTCAATCATCGCATCGTCAGCCTTTTCAACCACATACCTTGGAAGCCATTGAGACATGAAATCAGGATTGGGAGGGGTTTCCAGTCGTGGAAATTGCCGAAACATCCGTCAAACTGATCCATAGCTCATACGTCTGAGTGATCAAAGCTTTTGCCATGTCTGGTAGTCCATCCTTTTCCCAGTATTGGACATAATAGGCTTCTTCCTTGCCCGTAGGGTCTGCGAGATCCAGTGGGGGTACCCAATCACTGCTGCAGGTGTTGGCTGGTGGAGGGAGCGGATTGGGCATCACCATGCTTGCAGAAAGGAAGAAGTATTAGTACTACACATTCGATTCCAATTGCTCCAAGTTCTGGGTAGGGCCTTTCTTGGGTTCAATATGCCAGATAATTTGGCCATGTCGACTCACTCAGTATGTGGTCAGTGTACCAAAAACCTTGCAAAGCGCGATCGAAGTATAGCCTGAGTCACCCGATATAGATGGACTCGATCAATTTTGGTAAATGCAAATGAATGGAAATATAAGAGAAGATTCGGATAAATCGGGGGGAATTTCAATTTTCCTACATGCCATCGTATCCCAGTATGTGTAAAAATAACCGAAATATTTGCCTGACAGGCCGCCTGTCCTAGTCTCTATCTAGGTAAGATGGAATATATTGGTATATTGGCTAATCTACTCTATTTTAGGTAGCTACTAGTCTGCTACTAGTATTAGAATATGTCAATAATGGTAGACTCCAATTAGGGTTTAGAAATTTTTGTGGTACTACTGTGGTTTTGTTGAAGATTGTATAGGTAACACTAGTAATTTTAGACCTGGAAGTTACTCCAGACAGCCTTCAAGACGGTCAGGTAAAATACCCCGATTTATACATATACAAGTAACTGACCGCCCCTGCGCTTATGGAGCGCCGTGAGTACGGCAGCAGACAGTAGGAATTGGAGATATTTGGTCAGATTATTGTGGCGGCTACCCTGATTGCCAGCGCAGTGCAGTGAATTGTCCCCGTATGTCCCCGTATATCCCCGTATATTCTCGATTATCTAAAGTTGACCTCGGGACCCACCGATCACCGATCACCCCAACGCCCGGGGAGCTTCGTCCCGATGTCATCCAACACCTGGGGCGCCACCTCCCCCACGTTTTTTCCACTCAGCAACCTTCCATTCAGCAGCCATGGATTCGGCAATGGGTGATGTTGAGTCTGTGTCTATTGAGCCCTCACAGCCTGCCAATGCTGATATCCCGACCGTGGAGAGCTCAGGCGCCTCGGGATCCGAAGCGCGTGCTCCTCGCGAATCAGACCCCGCCCACCTCGTGGTCCGATTGATACAATGCCATCATTGTTCGCGCCCGCTGAATACGCCCCTGCGCCTTCCATGCGGCAACTCCATATGCCGATCATGTCTCCCGCCAGCCAGGCCCCGGACGGGCATCACTTACCCGGGGGCGGAGGGTCGCGAAGAGGGCTTTACGTGCTACTGGGAGGGAACCAGCAAATGTGCCGGAGACCACTGCGTCGGAGATTGCGGGACCGATGTCGTGCTATCCAATATCGCTACCTTGTTCCAAGAAGAGCTCGCATTCCCCGACACAGAAGATGCCGAGGTCCAGGAGGAGAACAATCAAGGCCGGGCTATTCGCTGGACGGTTGATCGCAGAGAGGACGCAAAACCAGAGACTCAAACAGCACAAGTTGGAAAGCTTCCGTGGCTACAAGGGATCTATTTACTAGCCTGGGAAGGCCGATTTCCCTATCACGTTTCCGAGGTGGCCTATGAGGAGAGTAGTACGACGGGGCAAGACCATGGCCAGCAAGATATATTCCGTTTCCAGAAGCTGAGAGACCGGCTTCGCGGGGAACTTGACTGCCAAGTATGCTATTCTCTCATCTTAGACCCTCTAACGACACCCTGCGGTCACACATTCTGTCGGAAATGCGTTGCGCGCGTATTGGACCATACGGATTTATGTCCTGTTTGCCGGCGTAAGGTCGGCATGCCGTCTACTATCCACTCTGAGCCATTGAATCGCACTATGCTTCGTTTAATCGATCACTTTTTCCCGGATCAGGTCGCTGCTCGGCGAGAGGCCCTTGCTCAGGATGAACTCGGAACCAACCACGAGAAAAGTCTACCACTGTTTGTATGCACAATGTCATTTCCTACAATGCCGACGTTCTTACATATCTTTGAACCTCGGTATCGGCTCATGATTCGACGGGTCGTCGAGAATGGAGATGGCAAGTTCGGTATGGTCATGTACAACCGACGAGGCCGACCTCAAGGAGACGAGCTCGGGAGTGTGTCATTTATGCAGTATGGAACGCTGCTGATGGTTGAGCGATACGAGCTCCTTCCAGATGGGCGTAGCCTTGTGATTGCAACTGGTATATCCCGCTTCAGAGTACTTGAGGCTGGTGAATTGGATGGCTACCATATCGCTCGTACAGAGCGTATCGATGATCTCAATCTAGCAGATGAAGAAAGACTTGAAGCAACCGAAACAGCTGCAGCTGCAATTCCAGATCCATCTTTAGGGCCAAATGCGGAACCGCCCCTGGACTCCCTGTCGACCCAGGAGCTCCTTGCGCTGGCACGGGACTTTATTCGCAAACAGCGCCAAGCAGGTGCACCTTGGCTCCACCCACGGGTCATGCTAGCATATGGTCCTGTGCCAACAGATGCAGCTAGGTTCCCGTGGTGGTTTGCCAGTATATTACCCATCTCCGAGGAAGAGAAATACCCTATACTATCTGCTAGGAGTGTCAGGGAGCGACTGAAGATCTCAGCCCGTTGGGCAAGAGAGCTGGAGTCCCGTGATTGGTACGTACAACGCATCAAGGTGCCGTCGAGATTTATCTAACGATCAGTATTAGGTCCGCCCGCTCGTCACTCAATTCTGTCTTATGACTAGCCGTCCCTCTCCTCGTATTTTGCATCATCCCCCTGGCACTGTCATTCAAACCTTTCTACAGTATCTTGATGTCATTGGCTCCGAACGTTCTCACGTCCTTCACGCCATTCACGTTCTCGATATCAGTCTCATTTGGCGGTGCACAGCCTAATTTAGAAAACAACCATCAGATCCACAATCATCATGATCAAACTCACGGTTACGCTGAAGAGAGCAAGGAGACCTATATACCCCAGACTTTAGTCATAGGGACATTCTTGGCGATTTTCCTCGCCCACGTGGGCGTCAATTTCCTCCAGGTTGTGCGGAGGGGACGCCGACGGAGACGAGCGCTCGAGTTGCAATTTCCTCAGCCTTTGCCCCAGCGTGATCGCGGTCTAAATGGCGAGCAATAATGGATCTGTAGATGATGATTCTCAAAATACAGGAGAGGGCACCCGGTTGTATTGGATTGTGGGATCCAATACATTTCAATTCCGGGTGATACATTCTCTTCAATCACCACGCCCCTTCTACATAACGATATGCGTTTGATTTGATTCCCCATGAGCGACTCTTTTTGTTTATTGTTATTGTTACGTTGAAGATACTTGTCATTTGGGAGTTCTAGGTTATTGTCCCGGTGGGTCTGCAAATATTACCGCCAATTTTATTTCAATCTCCAATGTTAGTCCTTGTTTGTAAGCATAGCAGTCAGATGTATTGATGGCTGAAGAAATCCAGGATGCGATGTGCAAATCCTTCAAACGTAGCTCACTTGGCCCGATGGATAGACAGTGGGGGTTGAACTGTACATATGCAATTTGGGCTGAGATTAGACCACGCCATATAGAAACGCCGATTGGGCCGACCACCGATACGGTTCCAGAAGGGTCCGATATACCCGCCCGCTAAGAACGCCCAGAAGTCTTTATATGGAACGTTTCCAGAAAAGTAAGGCACGAGACATCAATTGCGGCCTCCAGTAATCAATCTGTCTACATTTGAACCTTGGAACGGAGCAATTGGTCATATTAAAAGCATAGATGAGGTACTAGTACCTGGGACCCCCCTCGTAATCGTGTTCCTCGTGAATTCTACGGGATTTGGTTAGCTTGGTCAGTTCATAGACTAGTGCTAACTAGCCGCTTGGAGGATCCTTTTACCCACGGAAGTTTTGCGACCAGCGTGGTGCATTGTGAGTACTAGTATTATTGCCAAAAATTTTCTCTATCGTTCACGTTTCATTGTTCCTTAAAAAATTGGACTCCAGATGGTCGCGTGGGGGAGTTCCAAGGTTTGCAAGCACTGCGGGTGTTGAGTCCCAATGTGGGACCAAGGCACACGAGCAACAAAATCTGCGGGAAAATGCCGTTAAAACGCTCTCCAAAAGTCGGGGCGCTTTCAGGTTGGGGCAGTACAGTGGAGGTTGGCCCCGCCAATGGAGCCAATAAAAGGGGTGGTACACTTATTCGTCACTTTATGTAGATCTCTACGTCAGTGACCAACCAATACAGGGGCTCAAGGGTTGAGCATGAAAATTTGTTGATATACCTCAGGATGGTTCTAGAAAGCACCTAAAAAGCCGGCAAGTCTTCCGTTGGTTTTAGTTCGAGCTGTCAATGCTTCAACGAGTTGGTAGTGGTTTGCAATCTCCGTCCAAGGAGCAAGAATGAGCTTTGTTTTAGAGATGTGGGTCTCCAAATATGTCTGACATCCACCTTGCTGAGTTTGAGATTTCGACTATTTCGTGGCCTTTCCCCTGAGTGGAAATGTATGTAATCATCCCTGACCTATGATCATGATTATTGGTCTGATCTTCACTGGAGTTTCACATTTATGGTAATGGGGGTGAATCAGGAGGAGACAGGGCAACAAAGCATTCAAGCCGCCAACATTAAGATCGACACGGTCTGCCTGGTTGGAATGCAAGGGCTACGCCTTTTCATTCTTTGCTTATTCATATGGGTCACGCTTTGCTCACCCTGTTGTTGATGTGCCGTGCTCAAATGCTCTGACTCGCGACGCCAAATCCAACACCACCCAACGGAGCCCAGTCCGATGAGCCGGCTAACCACACGTCGCAAGATGTCAAAACCACCCTTCTGGGCATTTCCCCTTGTCTCGGCATCCACGTGGCTAGGTAAACGGTCTTTGCCTGATCTTGACTTGTAATAAACCAACTAATTTTTCTCCAGTGACGCTCGTCGGACTACTGGGTCATTGGTTCCTCGTCGGCCAACCGAGATATGGCCGAATGGAGTTTGACCAAGCCGTTCCGTAAGTTCATTGCTAGAGAAACTTGTATTATAGGGCAATTTTATTGACAATGGATTGCTAGATTCATTTCTGATTTAGCAGCACAAAAATTATGGCCGTTTTTCTTGATCGGCTGTTTCATCACAACATTGTTCTTTAATATCTCCTTCTACCAATTCGTTCGGAGGAAGGAACACCACAGCAATATCTGCATCTATTTCTCGTTCGTGATCACTATCATTGGAGGTCTCTCATTACTCATGATCGCTGTCTTCGACAATATCGATTTCAAACATCTGCATGATGTTTTTGTCACTGTATTCATGTGAGATGTATTTTGATGAGGTCGTCTTGCCTTCACTGACAATTATTAGAGTTGGGTATTTGATCGGAGCAGCTGCAATCTGCATAGATTATTTTTACTTGATGACCCTGTATGGGGCCGAACGGCGCATACTGTTCGCCAGCTTCTTCATCAAACTTTCCTTCATTATCATTGAACTCGCCTTCATTTTACCATTTCGCATCATGGCGGGGATGCACCATGCAGAAAAGAACGCAGCTGCAGTTCTCGAATGGGGTACGTCATCGCTCAATTGTTTGGTTATCTTTAACTCGGCTAACCGGATATCAGCCACTGCTTTTATATTTACGGGATACATTCTATCATTCGCTGTTGACTTGATGGATGATGAGGATGATTATTACCATTCCTCACACAAGTATCATCAACTCGAGATGGGCACGGCATTCTAGGATCTAAGACCCTCTGGAAGGGCATTGTATATAGACTGATCTTGGTTACGATTTCAACCCAAAATATATTCTCCGTCGTATCGACAATCCATGCTGGCGGGTGTGCTGCGAGTACATATATCAGCTCTTCTTAGTTGTTTGCAACTTGAAGACACCAGTAGCACTGCAGAACTTGAACTTGAACTCATTCCAAATTATTGCGATGAGCTTCCATCCATGTTGTAGCGGTCGAAATTGCATCTGCAATCGAGAACGTCCAACAGTGGGTAGCCCCAACAGATATCCCCTTAAAGGACTCTGTTTTCATAACCTGACATCCAATCTCTCCAAATTCACTATCGTCAAAAGTGATATCTGACACGGTCATCCACTGCCGTGAACCATCAACCGTGGCCACAAAACGGTTCTTTTCCAGCCGCGGCGAATGTCGGTATTCAGCCAAATGGAACGCAGTGCAGGAGTTGAACATAACCCCAAGGAGCATAACCTTCGCCCCGACTTCTTCAAGTCGAGCAAGCGGACTCCGCTCTCCGAGTTGACAATCAAGAGCATGACCCGCCGTGATCTTCTCAGCCAGAGGACCCACTGCAGCGAAAGACGTTTGTGGATGGTCACTGCGCATTGCACCGGGCCAAGTTCGGAGAAGCTCTGGAATCACGCCCATGAGAAATGTCGGGGTTGTGCGCGTATCGTATGCGGGCATCTCTTCGCGAAACTTCTCCCACCACTCTTCTGGTAGAGGCGGGTTTTTCCATCCAGATGGATCGGAGTTGTCTCCTGAATGTGTTGGGACGACTAGTGTTCCCTCGCTGCCTAGGACGTCGAGTAAAGCTGCGATCACGGTGACAGCACCGCCGTTCACCCAACCGATTTTGCTCAGAGAAGAGTGTAAGAGGATACAATCGCCCTTTTTGATACCGGCGTGTTCGAAGTCCTCTATGAGGTTGCTTTTGTTGTACTTTATGGGAGAATTAAAAAACATGGTGTTTCTTTCTTCTGCTGATTTTCTTGGTCAATTCAAATTCTGGTCACCGATCAAATAGTTGGCGGATATTTCAGAAGGCAAGACGCGGAGAGTAGCGAATGTACAACAAGATGGATCTCAGCCAATACTAAAGTACTCAGAACAAATAATAAAGACGGACAAGGGAAATTTAAACTGCGATTCTTTGGACCATATCTCGATGTGAGGCTATCCAAAAAGGGTTCCCGACGTAGCATCCTTCAAGCTAGCGCAAATGTAAGAATCAAGTATTTTTCGTCCTATTGTAGTCTCTCGATAGACCAGCTATAATTGTAGTATCATGATCTTTGATTCCGGCGGTTTCAAGGCCTCTCACTGACTGTTTCAATATCCAAACCATTTTCATTTATCCCTTTTAGGCAAGAGTGCATGCTTAGTAATCACCGCGTTTAGACGCGACGACGAGACGCGGTGACGAACCAACGAACCAAATCAGCAACTCGAGTGCTCCAGCACCTCCAGTGCCTCTCATATGACATATTGCATCGGCAATGACAAGCTTATCAATGTCCCTAGGCCCACCGGCCCTGATCAAACTCCACGATGCCCTCACATGCCTTTCCAAGTTCAGCGACACTGTTGCTATCGAGGCGGAGCATAGTGTGGTATGTTTGAAACGACCTTGCCGAATTGAGGAATGGTATACTGACATAAAGTGGTCTTTATGAAGCTCCGACTCAGTGCTTTGAATAGTACGAAAACGGCATTTGCATCCTTCGTCTGTGAGAAGGATTCTTTCTTCGAGAGCTACTCGTTTCAGGCGCGCGCGGATGGTCGGGCCTCGTATCAGACTCAAAGTCAGGTTTCGGAGCGGTTCTTTTGCCAGATTTTAATTAGGGTGATTTGTTCAAATACACCCAGGCTAGTTGTTCTGCGCCAGTACTAATGCCGGTGTAGGCACTTCTTTCTATCTTCCGTGGCCGAGTCGATCGAAATAAGGACACGGCTGTCGAGCGCTGTGAGATGGAAATCCTCGAAGACTCGAATCAAGCGGAGTGCAGGTTGACTGTTAAGATGATCTGCGGCTTAGGTGAGTTTTTCCAAACCCTTCAAGTCTACGATGAAGACTAAACATTTTAGGTGTAATAAAATCATACAAGCTCACTTACGAGCCGGCGGCGATTCAGCACGCCGTGTTTGACAGAAGCAAGACAACGAATCAGTGGACTGCCGATCCCCGGTTCTTGAAGCAAATCATCGACCACTTCAGCATGTCAGCTGAGCAATTAGATATCTGCGCCGAAGCCGGTAAAGCAACATTCACCAGTTTTACAACGAAGATTACGGAAGGAAAAGGTACGGCCAGCGCTCGCTAATTGTTACCGGGGAGTATATTCACTACCAAGTGCTAATAATCTCATAGAGGTCCTCAAATACCCCGTCCACACATCAGTAACCTGCGACAGGAAAGATTTCGAAGAATTCCTCATCGAAGAGAACATGCACATTGCCATAAACCTCAAAGACTTCAAGGCAGTTGTCGCGCACGCCGAAACGGCTAATGCCACCGTTACAGCACGCTACACTCTCCCCTGCAAGCCAATGCAACTCGCATACGAGTTCGAGGGCATCCGTGCTGAATTCACGGTCATGACTCGCGGCGAAGTAGATGGGGAAGAAGTGTCGTCGGCGAGGGCGGTCGTTCCACAATTATCTCAGCGTCCGACGACGACGGCACCAGCGACTACGCCAGTACCAATTTCTCTCAGAAGGAATGAGACGCCGCGAGTAGCACCGAGCACTGAGATGCCCCCGCCGCCTGCGCGGGCGCGGTCCATTCGTCCGTTGAAGGGGGGGTCAACGCAGGAAAATCTTACGCCTAGGTCGACGATGGATCGGCCTTCGGCTTCTGCGTCGATGGACTTTGACAGTCTTTTTGTGCCGCAGGATGATGATAGGCAGTGGGATGAGATGAATGACGAGGATGAAGAGGAACCTCAGGATATTCTTGGTTGGGATGCATCAGGACAGGAGACGTTTGAGCCTGTTCTGCGAGATATCGAGCCCGATTTCTCGAAGCCGGCTGCTTCTCGTAAGGGAGGTAATAATGATGAAATGGGTCTCCCGCCGACACAGCGCATGTCCCAGGTATGTCTCAATTCGGTGTTTGGGCTCAGACTCGTGCTAACGCTGAATAGGTCCGTGGCTTTGGTCTCTTCGACTGAAGGGTGCTGTTGGTGGAAACAACCAAATTATCCAAATTGTGCCTTGTGGATTGCGGATGAGTTCGCTCTATGATTTGCGCTCACTCCACGATCAACCAACTTGTCGCACAACCAGCGCTAACCCCAACAACTCTCGCACCTGGCACATCATCAGGAAGAGGGATCAAATTATACTTGCCCGCGACATTGCCTCGGGCATCTGTATTCGGTCCACAATTCCCATGCTCGCCCCAACCAAACGTTGCCACCGAGCCATCCTCCAAAAGCGTAAGAACATGCTCACTACCAACGCCAATCTCACTCAGAGGCGGCAAATTCGGCGGCGGAAGTTGGCCACGATCATTGCGACCCCAGGCAATAAGGGAACCCGTAGCGGACGCAGCACTCGCATTCAGCGAATCGGACCCAATATCAAAATCAGAATCATGACCGGAAACATGTACATAAATACCATGCCAACTAGCACCGATATCAAGATACTCTTTTCGGCCACTTCCACTCTCCCCAGAAGAAACCCGTAAAGAATCAGGAATATCCATAATCCCCCACCGATTCCCTTCATCGCCAAGAACAGCAAACTCACCCGCAGCCCTCTTCCCAATAACAACGGTAAACTCGCGTCCACAGACCGCACCAGTAGCAAAGAACGGAACGCCCCCGACCTTAGCAGGACTCCAAACAATCTTCTCTTCCTTAAGCGAAGCACCCAATTGACCCTTCCTTGATCCGCCCCAGCCATAGACCTGACCATTAGAAAGTATAGCCACGGTGTGGCCCATCCCACTCGCTACCGAGACAATCGTCGTACCGGCAGGAGGGAAGTCCGGAATCGTAAGACCCGGTTCAACTAAGACCTGGGTCGGGGCCGTTGCGGCGAGATCTTTGCCTAGACCTAATTCGCCCTTTGGCGTCGAGCCCAAGACAAATACTTTATCTGCCGTGGAGGGAACGAGGATACTTCCCTCCCATGTTGCGGAGATACATTTGAATGTATCAATGTCCTTGGCAGTAACGCGGTCAGTGAGAACCAGCCGGCGGAAACGGAGTATGGTCTCTTCAGTTTGGGAGGTTTCGCGCTCGTTTGGATCGCACGGGCTCTGGGATGGTCCGCATCTCTTGTCGGTATTGCATCCTGTAGTATAGACAAGTCCTGATTCTGTGAGGAGGAGGGTATGGTTTCCCCCCCGCGACGATCTTTGTGATTTTGTCGGTGGGTGCGGGTGTGGTGAAGAGACATTCTGTTGGTGTGGAGACGTCTTCGGTGTGACCGATGGCCAATTGGCCTGATCCGTTGGATCCAAAGGCGAATACCCTCATCTATTTCTCTGCGCCCGCTTTGCTTGGGAATATGTACTTGTACGTAAGGGTTCACGTTTGATAGTTGGCGGGGATGATTATTTGTCTGGATCTATTTTGACCGCCTCGGTGGCCGCCTCGATCACTTGTACGCAGACGCTTGCTCTCAGTGTTAAAACGGATACAGAGGGTGATACAGTGGTATTGCAAAAGTTCGAAACCTCCTATTGCCCACCATTAGAAGACGGTCAATAGTAATGGTGGGCAAAGGGGGGTTTCAATCTTTTGCAACACCACTGTATTAGTTTCGGTTTTGTCTACAATTTGAAGAGATGTATAGGTTAAAGTGAGCCCTCGGAAGATCTTGTAAAGCCGAAGCAATGATCATTCATCCATGTGAATATGTAGGTATCAACATCTAATTACAAGCAGGCGACGACGGCCCGCATCATCATGCAATACATGCAATGTCCAAAACAGAACAGCGACAACGCTCGGTCACTGGGGGAGGATATCCCAAAATTTTTGCAAGTCCCAACCAAAAGAAGCAAAGACCCAACCACGCCCATAAAAAAAAGCAAAACGCCATGCAAATATATCAACCCAATTATTCATTGTTGGGCAGATTTCTCATTCGAGCTGGAGAAGTGCTCCGTCCGCTCGTTAGTCTCCATTCTTCCACCGGAGATATTGTGGCCTTGCTGCTCGGCGAAAGCCTCGTCCGATTCCGCGGCCGGGGTAGAGCGAAGTTGTCGTGCTTGGCTGGCTTCTCCATACCCTTGAACATGGGGCTGGTGCGGTGGAAATATGTGTGGACGTGACCCTCAAGCAGAGAGTCATCGGTGTCATCGAAGTTATCCTCGTTGCCCTTCTCGTTCTCAGCAACCTTCTGGGCCATGAGGGCTTCCCACTCGGCACGGTATTCCTCGACCTTTTGCTGGTAGTCCAGCTCGGCGTCGTAGTAGCGGCCCTTGCGCAGAACGAAACGCTCGTACCAGGACAGATGCTTGGGGTGTACAGCAGCGCCGTGGTAGTCCTCTTCGCGACCTTGGCGGAGGAATTGCCAGCGGCGTTCCTGCTCCTTTAGGTCCAGACCAGTGGTATCGGGCAGGAAAGCCAGGGTCAGAACAACACCAGCCAGGCCGAACCAGGGAACGACGTAGAACTTGGTCTGAGTGTCGATGTAGTTGTAGAGCACGGAAGCCAGGAGGGCGCCACTCTTACCTGCCGCGGCGGAGAGACCGTGGGCAGTGGCACGGATGGGGGTCGGGAAGACCTCGGCGGCAACCAGGAAGGAGACACAGTTGGGACCAAACTGGTTGAAGAAAGAGCTGAGGAAGTACATAGTCTGGAAAGACTTGATGTTCTCAGGCCGGGTGTAGTACTCGTAGTTGAAGCCAGGAATGACGAAGAGAATGAAGCACATCATGAAGCCAACGGTTTGCATCCACTTTCGGCCATACAGCTTGTTGTCGATGAAGAAAGAAGCCATATAATAGCCAACCAGAGAAACACCAACATTGACCAAATTCCACAGCCAAGTTGGCATCACGGAGCTAGAGCCAGGGCTCAGGACTCCGATAAATTCACTCTGGAAGAGCTTGTTTCCGTAGAAGAAGACATCATTGGCGAACCAACCACCGGCAGTGGCCACAAGACGAGGACCGAAGTACTTGAAAGTAAGACGCAGAGAGTCAACATCGTATCCGGTGACAGAGGCCTTCTTCTTAGCAGCAGCGAGTTGCTTGCTAGCGGCCTTCATGTGGTAGGCACGGTAATAGACAAGCCATAGGGTGCCGACGGCGGGCAGAGCGAAGGAGATACGATAAGTCCATTGGGTAGAAACGGGCGAGTATGGGTTGTCGCCACTGCCGTGGTGGAAGCAAAGTAGCAAGATGATCAGGAGGACCTGGTTGAAGAATTGGCCCCAGCCCTGCATGAGGAAAGCGCTGGTAACCTTGCGGCCGCGATGGAGGCGATCGTCCTTTGTTGAGATCTTTCCAGAACCAACAGCGTTTTCCATACCGCTGGTGGCGGTCATGGGGTACTCGCCACCTATGCAATGTTAGCTCAAAGCTCGGGCAAGTGGCTACCTTCTGGAAGGTTATAAAAGAATGGAACGTACCAACGCCGACACTGTAGAAGAAGAGAGACCAGGCATAGCAAATCACCCAACCGTTCTGAGTAACACCCCAGGCAGCGGTCAACATGATCAAACCGATAAACATGATGGTGGCATCCTGGATCAAACCCCAACGACGGCCAATCCTGGAAAGTTGGAATTAGCATTGAGATCACTTCAATTGGGGTTCTCCCGCTCTGCATTGTAGAGGCTTACCAGTCACCAACGAAGCCGACCAAGATCTGGCCAACGATAATACCAATGATTTCCAGATAGTCGACCGCATTCAACCATTGCTTGTCGCAGATCAGGTTGTCTTTCCAGCAATCGGGGAAAGTCTTTTGGAAGAGCGGCTTAATGTTACCGATGGAGAACAGAACGTAACCCTCGAGACCGAGACCGGCACCGGGCAGAACCATGTTGCGGAAGTAGTAGGAGACGGGCGAGAGAGGATCCTCCTTCATCATGTCCCAAATGCCACTCAGCTCGCGACGGGCCTCGCCAGCATCATATGAGCTGACGAACTTGATCTTCTGGCCCAATGGCATATCGGCCCAGTAGACACCTTCGGGGCTGTAGCTGTCCTCGGGACGAATCAAACTGTCAAAAGCACCCTTCTCATTGATATCCATATCCATCAGCGGGTTGTGTGTGCCGGACATATCAGGCCCGTGAGGGGCACGTGGACCGAAGTCAGCCATGGTGAATTGACTTCCGGGGAAGTTGGCTGTGTAGAGGAAGGTCGAGTGAGGATGTTCAAGATCTCACGAGGGAGGAGGGAGGAGGGAGGGAAGGTCGCGAGACCACAAAGGTGTGTGAGGCGTAGCTATCGGAACGAAATGTTGGGGCAGGTGTGCGTGGGACTTTTTTTTTATATGAAGTAGAAAGGAAAGACCGGGAGGACCGGGGCGAGCAAGCACAACCTGCGCCGAGAAAGATCGGTGTTAAGCAGAGTGGCAAGCTCCACCCAGGTCTTCCTTCCTTTTTTATTTTTTCTTTTTTTTCCCGTGGATTTGCCATTTTGCCCAGGTCGAGAGTCGAGAGTCGGGGTCATTAGACGAAAACAGCAGCGGCCAGTGGGGCAGACTGAGGAAAAATGGAAACGAAAAGTTGGATCCGATGGAAATTATGGGGCGCCCGTCAGCCAATCAGTCCCGCACGTGGTGGCAGAATTGTTCGCAGCCTCCCCGAGTCTACGCCGAGTGCCCTGGATGTCCCTGGATTTTCGGGGATTTCCCTGGATTTTCCTCCCGTGGTCTCTCACCGCCTGCACATTGTGGACCGCCCAGATCTGCGGGTGGATCCTCTCGCGCTCGCAAACCTCAACCTGCCCATCTCGCCCATCTCGCCCCCGCTAAATCCCACCTTCACATCCTGCTGTCGCGTGCGCTATAGCCGGTCCGGTCTTAGGTCTTATGTACCTCCTTTGCTTGCCCAGCACTTCGGTGACCACCTATCTGCCGACTGCGTATGCAACTACTGATTCTCGTCTAATTCTCGTCTAATTTAGAGATGCTAAAAAAAAACATGACAGCGCACACTATTCTACTGACACTAGTGTCATCATGCAGATGATTACCCATGGACACATCCCGCCATTCTACCAGTACATTGTCACACCCGCAGTTCTGCCAAGACTTCCCATCATGGATCGCCTTCTGCTTTTTATCCAAATGCGTGGCTATGCTCCGGGGAATCACCGTCTATCAACGTCTTTGCCCAGAGGGTCCAAGCCACGAGTGTCGTGTGTCCCAATCCTAGGTTTGACGTACTACCTTCGGCCCCCGCTATAAGCTACAATCCCAAAGACTATCCCTCCATATGGAAATCATCGCCCTGCGGTGCTAATGCATCCGCTTCTGTCTATCAATGCATGCGAGCAAAGTGGGGGATGACGGTTTAACTCGGCGCTAACCAATATCTGGGGTCAGCGCCCCGATGATTGGACACATTGTATATCACCCTTCGACCAACCAGAGGCCCCGCTGAGAGCACATGGTGCTGTCCGGACCTGACGTCGTCCGCCCCTGTCTACCAAACAGTCCTTGGAACTCCCATCGATCAGTCTGGCTCGCATGGGTCAAACACAAAACACGAGGCCTGTCGGAAGCACGGGTCCATCATATTGGTTCACCCGGTCTTGTCGCATGCTGCGGCTGCAGCATAATCGCTGCATACTTCGGGTGGCTGCCCCGGTTGCCCTATACGAGTAGTCGATGATTCAATGTGATGCTTGCCATTGCTTGTACATTGCTTGACACTGCTTGACACTGCTTGTCAGTGCTTGACACTGCTTGTCAGTGCTTGACACTGCTTGTCAGTGCTTGACACTGCTTGTCAGTGCTTGACACTGCTTGTCAGTGCTTGACACTGCTTGTCAGTGCTTGACACTGCTTGTCAGTGCTTGACACTGCTTGTCAGTGCTTGACACTGCTTGTCAGTGCTTGTCAGTGCTTGCCTCTCTCATTTGGAACCCCCAAGACCATCAAGCATTTCCAAGAAAGCATGTGGCTGCGTCCTAGCATCGCCGCAATGCTTGGATTTCGCCAACATTCTCGGCGAGGCGACCAGACTCCGGCAATTGGAATGCCAACACGAAGCTAACAGCAGGATCATCCCATCTCATCTAACCACGGCCGATCCTCAACCTTCGAGACGTCTCGAACGAGCTCTCGTACCCACCGAATGAACTGCTGCAGGGCACCGGCGCATGACACGTCTCCCGCTTGCATTGACTTTGCGCCGTCATTTAAGGGGCCTTCCGTGGAGAGCTAGATCATCAGCCCGAGAGCCACATCTGCGCCTTCCCGATCCTCCGTCGACGGTAGTGCAGCGATCTTCCGGCCAATTGATGCAGTCTAGTCGCGCTATTCCCGGTCTGTTTCGTTCTTGAAACCTGCCAGCTGCGCCCGAGGAATGCGCCACTGCAAAGGCTGGGCCTTCCAGAAGGACACAGTGCTTCTAGAAGGCTGCCTTGTCTGGAATGTCTCAGCTGGACTCATAAATGGTCCGCGTATGACGGAAAGTCTGGACCGTTCGCGATTGAGCCTTGCTTCGCTGACGAGCACGCGGCAAAGGCGGACGATCCTATTAAACCCTCGGCTCCATGTCTAGTTCAAATTTATGCCCATCCCCTACGTAGTATCCTTTGTGTCTAGTGCTTAAGCCGTTTTCGGTTGCTGGTGACTGGTGCCAAAACTTGATTGGCGCGCTATCGAACTGGCTTTCCCGAGGTGGTTGTCCCAACTCCTTTCCAGATGTGATGATGTCGAAGGCTTCTTCTACCCCAGGCTTACGCCCACATATGTAAAGGTCAAGGGTTGGTCGGATCCCTTTCCTGCGATCGAGTCCACTTATTGTAGATAGATAGCTAATAGGTATTTCGGTATTCAGCCAATAGAGACTGGTATCTCATTTCTAAAGGCTGTTCAAGTTCCAAGGTTGAGTATTCAAAAATTTATCTTTAGTTTCGGTTCAAGTTAAGTTCTATATCAATTTTTGTCTTGTGGCCGCCTGGCATGCACCAATGATTTGAATTCGTTCTCAAGCTACTAGTAGTTGTGGTATGTTGGTACTAGCATAATATATACGCCTCATCAATACTCAAGTGCAGTGGTTTCATATCCAGGCCTGTCCACATAGAGAGTGAAAATGGGCAAAGCAGGGGCTGCTTAATGCAGAGAGGACGAGATGGTGGGTAGAAAAAAAGAGGCGAAGAACATACAACAGATATTGTATGTCGGTGGCCACCTAGCCCTTCACTCCCACTTCCAATCACCGGACGAACCAATTTTTATCATTCAGCCACTATGGCGCGAACAGATCAGACTGCACGAAACCCAGATCCATCCATCTACGAAGGAGGTTGCAACAGGAATATGTCGATCATCAAGGGAACACTGTCATTCTGGGGAAGTGGGCCACCGAATTCAACTTCTCTAACCCGGAGGAAGTTGAGGACTACCGAGTTCAAGTGTATAGTACAATTCCTATTCTGACTCAACCGGAGGCTCTCAATAATTTGTACTCATATCTTTACTTTAATGTCCCCATGCCCCCCTTCTTGGAGATCTACTCATACAATCCACCCGATGCACTCGCATGTGTGGAGCATCAGCGCCGTGAAATCGCTCATCGAAAGCGTCTTCACGCCAAACAACATGAACATGATGAGCAGAAATCTCTGCCCCCGTTGATCCCAACAATGCAAGCCCCTTTTTCAGATGGTATGTCTGGCTTCTGTTTCTTCTTCACGTCGAACAGCTACCTACAGGCGACGTTTGCGAAGGACGAGGGTGGAACAGGCCCCTGGTGGATTTATTTCGATCGGAATCTCCCATCTGTAGTCAAGAAGCTGGATATTCTCAAACGCCTTCAAGAACCACCAACTGATTTTGAAACTTTTGTGGATGGCTATGCTTTTGTCAACTCAGATGTCCGCGATATAGATGTCAATATTACGAATAATCAGACCGGGATGAGTATGGGCAATCGATTACGGACTCCACGAACCGCCCCCACCGGCATCGCTCGATGATACTCCCTCTTTACAGCATATTCAAGAGATTTTAGGGCAGCAGCAGCTAGCTCCAGAAGTTCAATCCGTGGACCCAAATGTATTTCATCTTGCTTGAAGATCTGAAAGTCGAATTTTGACTGTTACGAACAACATGTCGGACGGGTAGTATGACTCGGATCTTCAATATGTGATTTACCTCTCGTTTCTCGCGAATATTGCTGAGAACAACACCTTGCCTACGCTGCTAGAGACAGCAGCACGCACATTTACAGCTGGAATTGTCTCCCACCTCCTAAGCTCAAAAAAGGTTTACTTTGAGTTCCGTTTTCCCGAATCCTCATCATTGTCCTGCCTGATATCTGCTCCATCTAACGGGTTCCACGTTGGTGCCATCATGGGCCTGAACAAAGCGAGAGAATACGCGTATTCCCGCAAAGTTTTGGCGACCGTGCTTCGCCCCCAGCGCCTAATCACTTTTTTACAGTGGTTATTGACAAGCCTGGCTTCATCCAAAAACCTGGTGTGAATTTTTATACTCTCTGGGCCGAACATTTTGAGTACATTGTGCCGCAGGCGAGCGATCCCACTGTTATCAAGACTCGCAGAAGCGCTGGTATTCAAGACACTGCAAGAATGCTTGGAATGGTTGGATTTGAAGAAGGTATTCTTAATGGCGCGAGGAAGCTCACGCGAGAAGAACATATGGAATTGTTATCCTTGTCGCCGGAAGAGTACGATGCGAAGTTACAGCCCTTCATAGACGCGGCGCCTGAGAGCGAAGCCGAGTATGAGAGGGTTGGCGCTGAATTTGAAGCTATGTTGGCTGCGGAAGAATGAATGCCCATAATATGTCGGATCAGGCTCCAGGGCTGAGAATATTCGCGTTCGGCCAATTTTATGGGATTTTCTATTCAGGGCCCAGCATAGAGAAGTACGCGGTAGCTAGATTGATGCCAAGTGCTAGATAAAAACTCTCATTGTTACTGCATCTCTTACAAGATGGTTAAGAGTATCTGCGATTGCGCTTGAGTTCGCGTTGCTTTCCACGACGAAAACACTCGTGTTTAAAGTTTTCAGTCTCCTTACGATTCTCGTTTGCTTCTTTCCACTCTCCATACGCACCCTTGATACCCAGCGCGGCGAGACCGATACTCACCGCATAAATCGTGTTGGCTTTAATGCGCTCCTTGCGCGCCTCATCGGCCGTGACCTCGCCATCTTCCAGCTGAGCCACGCGTTGCTTGTGCTTATTAACTGAGCCGTAGACTTTGTGAGCGGCGTGAACGGTTGCCGCAGTGACTAACCCGAAGGTTAACAGCACATCACGCTCCATTTTCTTTTCCATTTTCCTTTTCATCTGAGCTAACTCCGAATCGGAATCGCACGCGGAGCTCGACGAGTCCCCATATCAATGATTATCAGGGTACCTGTTCAAGGAACGTTATCGGGCCAGATCTCGAGAGCCTTGTTTTCGCCCATGATAGTTGTTTTCCATATCCGAGTCCGAGTACCCATCAGAGCTATAATCCCAATTCCTGTAGTCGCGGTCGCGACTAGAATAACGCTCCCAATGGTTGGATTGACCATCCCTGTCTTTGTATCGAGCGCTTTTCTGATCATCGCTTTCTCCATGGTCTGGAGACTCCATACCCCGGTGCCTGTCATCCGAGACGCTCTGACTGCGTTTCTTCGATCCGTAACGGTCATCGTTGTAGTCTCGTGCCCGAGATCGCGAGCGGCCGTATCGGTCATAGAGCTCCTTTCCCGCGAAGGCCACCACACCTGCTACAGCAATTTTCTTAAGATTGCTCGATGTATGGCTTCCGCCAACCCGACGCTGAAGCTCAGCTCTCTCTTCACGGCTAGGGGCACCGTCGTATAAGCCCCGAAATGTAGTATCCATGATGTGGTGTTTCTGAGGCTTGCTTGGATCCTTATTAACCAATCCATTGGTGACAGCTGCCGTCAGAACATGCTTCCCTTTGTCTCCCTTCCATTCTCCAGGTTCCTTGCGCGCTCGTAAGGCCTCTGCAGCACCGGCGGCCATGAGGGGAAGAGCAGCATGCATTAAAAGCTCCCCGCCCCTGCCACGTAAGAAGCCACTGCTGCCTTGATCACGGTTACTGTCAACGGGGCCTTTATCACCACTCTGATGCCGGTCTTGGTAGTCATTGGCTCTCGAGGCCTCGCCCGTGGATTGGCGACGATTTTGATCGCGGGATGAGCGGCTGTGCCTAGATGAAGAACCGCTGGGCCTTTCAGAATCTAGTGGTCTTCCAGTCAGCAGAGTATTCTATGAATCTTGAGCGACGCATAAGAACCTTTGTATGGGCGAGATGAGTTCCGTTGGGACCGATTTCCTAGGTGGTAGGAAGGGTCCCCACCAATTGACGATGCCCGACGTCGAAATTCGGGTCGTGGACGGCGTGCCTGTCGTGAGCCATAGTCGCGCTGTTCATCGTATCGCCGACTCTCGGGGTGTTCATCATAATAATCTGCAGCATATCCACGGTTGCGACCATGGGATTCGCCATAGCGGCGGCCATCGTGGTACGACATTATGTTTTGACGGAGGCGGGGAAGGTGATATCGTTCGTAAAACAGGGATCCACAGGAGGTAAAGTGTCCAATATACTTCGTACTAAGTAGGATAATATAGTAGGCACATAGTCTTTAGATTGATTGTTGCAGGGCCAGCTGTGAAGGTTCAGATGAAAGACTGGGAACAAAAGTCCCGGTAATTAAGGACATAATTAATTTTTATCATCCATAGAGGCTGAAACAGATGACGTCGTGCCAGCCCACATCGTGTGGAGAGGTCATTGCTTCTTCAAATCTACCGAGTTGCTTAGCTAGTGCTTGTGTATGGTGCACGAGCCTGTCACTTCCATTCAAACAACGTCATCCTGCATTGAATAGTTCAAGAAAACAAGGTATTCCCCAACCTCCGTCATATCTGCCTTATGTAATGTCAGATTTTTTATAGACTCTACTTCGTTAGTTATGCTAAATGCACTGACTAAATATTCCCCTGAATATCAGTATGTGTGATGAGCTGGGCAACACCTGTGAACCTTCTAGCAGTACTATCATCCGCATGGGCGGAATCAGTCATACCAAGCAGCCTACCACCATTCTCTTCATTGTAATAATCTAATACGTATATATGAATTCCAAGGCTATATCTATTAGTCCTCCAAGCGGATCGTGGCGGCCCGCACCCGCGGCGGGGACCGTCCCAGACTGCTACTAATAGTTACCACTTGGATACTAGATGTCGGCACATATTTTTAGAGTGATGAGAAATGACTATGTACATAGTACCTGCTGACCCGGCTCCACCAACTCAAGCAGACAGCTGGAGTGAAGGTTCACTTTTGGGTGTTCTAAAATATACTATCACACTATTAGCTAAAAGCCAAACTCTGCTTATTCTAGCCTACATATCTACAGTATTGTAGCGTCCTTTAGTAGCAAGCATTTGATGTCCAGGAGGTGCCCAGGTGGTTACTGGTAGGCTCATTATGCGACACCCGTGGGTTGTGACTTGTGAGGCATTCAAGGCCATTTTAACCTAGTAAGTAAGTTTAGATTCAAACGATAGTTACCTAGATGACACCAGAACATGATTTCCACAAAGAAGAGGGGAAAAAAGAAAAACATACAACAGCAGGGATTCGCATGTGGTCACCCACCATACTACTAACCTGCCGGCGTGTGGCTTAAGTACGGCTGAGCGGACGGGAAGCCCTGTTCTCCACACCCTATGGTCGTATGTACTAGACACCGCCTTTAAGGGCATTATATAGTAAGTAACGTAATACTATAACTTAGGGTTATTGATCTCGATCTTCTCTCGAGATATAACGCTATGGACCATCTCTAATCTCTAAAAACGTAACCTGGCCAGACTAGTGCCCCATAATCACAACATCGCCCGCAGTCGTGGCGCAGGTTGGCGGATCGTCATCTAGAAGGAGCTGATTGTCTCCTTGATTCTACATAGTATTTTATATATATTTTACTAGTAGTGAGATTCAATATTTCCAAGAAACTGGCCTTTCGAATCGAGGTACGATCCTATTCTGAGATTAAAATCACCTGGGCATGTAATATGGCCTCAAAGGCCGTAATTCAAGTTGGCTGGGGGGAAAGGGAGCGACATTATAGGCAAGTTGAATATGGTCATCACACTAGACTGGGTGGTTTTTTTTTCTTTAAAGACATTATTGGTATTCCTTTCCTTCCTCGGGTGGATATACCTTAACAGAAGTAAAGCTGCAATGACCCACGGGCCCATCGACCGGTATAGATCCCCATTTCACAGGTAATAGTGCCATATCCTCCTCTTCTTGCTCGGACTCTATATCCTCTGTACCTTGTGTCTCTCCCTCCACCCCCGGATCTGCTGAATTCACGTTCAGATTATATGGTGGATGGCACACCGCAGCAATAGCTATGCTGCAGTTCGAAGCCACAGGAATCTCTGACTCAAATCGCCGGAGACTTGTAACTATTAAACCAAGAAACATAGCAGTCGCAATGCACACCCCGCTAAGGATTGCGACTGGAGAGTACCCACAAGCAAATACATCTTTTGCAGATTCCCTCTGTAGTTGTGTGTTATATGCCTCAATTGCAATCACAAAAAGATTCTGTGAAGCAAGTCAATGCAGAATGGAGAGGTCACAATCAGCGGCAACCCGAATCGATACGGAATTGAAAGAAATTAGTTGCTCCGTTGGGCAAGCTTCGGGCTATGGGAGACGCGTAACCCCTTGCAATCGTTACCAAAGCGGCTCCACTAGGTGGAGAGGCACATTGAAGTTAAGAGGCTGTTGTAAGTGACACAGAGGAATGAAAATATCAGCTGTGGCAGATTGGCGATGAGAGAAGTCGTAACGAGGCTTTCACCAGAGTTCTCAACACTGAGAATTGTATCATAGGAGATAGCACCAAGCTGCCCGAAACCGCCACCGGTAATTCCGACTATGGATAGGACTAGAAGGAGGATGTAGATCATGATAGCAAGTATCCAACTAGTAAGATTTGTAGGTTTATGCTTGATAAATAACATTGCTTGTAAAGAAACGACTGCCAAACTTACAAGAAAATGAAGAAGCCCCAACGACTGGAGACAGCGGACCCCCAGCGATTTCGGTTTTTAGTGAAGGCCACAGGTTGGCGAAACTGAGTGTCATGAAGCGAAGGGGGCGTGGGCATGAGTAGCGGGTATATATATTGCGGTTCCAGTGGTTGGAAAACACATACCCTTGGAATAGGGATCCTGGCGGCGAAGGAAGGATGCGATGGCATCGCCAACAGTTTATAGAGAAGCCTTTTTTTTATCCCGAGCCAGATATAAAGTAAAACGAATGTCTTCACAATATTACAGACAACTGTTGCCACTGTTAGGGGTACAGAATACTGCAGACTGCAATTTTGTGTAGGTTCTGCCAGACAGTATCGGACCCTAGATTGAACATTGGATAAATCGGACAAGTGATCGCTGTAGGTATATCCATCGGGCGAATAAATATCCCCTTGATACCCAGTAGTCACCTTCCAGTTATTCTCTGTCGCCAACTTGATGGTATTTTTGCCTCGACACTAGCTCATCTACTAATAAGATCTACTAATGATACCACTGGAATATTCTAGATGGAGTGAGTCACCCAGCTGGATTCTTTGTTTTAGAAATTTACTAGTATTGATATTAGTAGTTGCCGCGGATTGCAATGTGGGGGTATGTTGGCTGTATTCGAGGAAATAATGCACACGAATTATGTATTGTGGGTACCAGCCAGCGGAATCAATTACCATGTCATCTCAGCAAGGCCTGCATGTGTCCACATGCCATCGTTGAATAGTCCACAATCTCTTTGACCTCATCAACATGCTTCAGACTGATGTTCATTATTTTGCCGTTGTTCAATATTCTCGTAACCTCATAATTCGTGAGGATAGCCGCTTCCCTTTGTCCTCGATTTTTTGATTGTTCGGTTATGAAGTGCAGCCAGCGTCCCCCAGAGCACGGAATCCAATAACACCATTTTACTTCAATGCTGTTGTCCGGGAATGCTGAACTCCCATGAGGTAGTGAACCCCCGCGAGGTAGATGTATGAGATCAATGCCTTCTTCTGAGTCGTGCTCAGGCTGCGCAGAAAGCTGCCTCGTGGAAAGTGCTCGGGCGGCGGGTATCGATATGATTCCGTTGGAGGTATTCAGGACAATAATACAAGTGTCATAAAAGTCGAATCCGCCTTCCTTGCACCCGAAAACCCATGATGCACTAGAAAGGACAGTGTCGGGGATGACCCCATGAATCGACAGAGTAACATTCTTGTCTTCAGGGAACGCAGGATATTCAGATTGGATATTTTCAAGTTTTTCGGGCGCGACTATATCATCCTCGTAACTGAGTGGTGACCTGGGGTGCTGTTGTATTTGATATCTTGATAGCGTATACACAAGGCGGCGTATTCGGCTTCTGTCCTGTACGTTGATCTTCCTCCATGGTCTCCCTTCTAACCCGACGTGATAGTGGCCCTCTCTGTTACTAAGGAAGTAATAGACTGCGGACCTTATACTGAGCCAGAGGACCTGAAATCCAGCCCAGATCAAGAATCCTTCGTTGCTGGTCGACTGAATGAGAGAGACATAGGTTGCTACGACGGTAGAAACGCCGATGATAGCAGCAATACCCCAAATTATCCTCCAAATCGAGTGAACTCGCGCGCTTTTGGGTATCCCAAGAATAATCTTGCGATCGACGCCAACTGAAGAACAAGTTGGGAGAGTACCTGTTAAAATGTCAATCTCAGACTTCTGGGAATTCCCCCCAGAGGCCATGTAGTCGCAAGATAACGGCGGCAGTGAAATAAAACACCCAAGTTGCGAGGGTAACCCAAGCAAGTGTGCAGGCATCATATTTCCAAAGGAGAGTGAACTCGCCCAGCTTTCCTATCACAGACGCGGCGAGAAGCATCCAGTCAACATGAGAAAACCACAAAGCATATCTCTTGTCTCGCCACGGATCCTCGACGAAAGAGTAAATCTTTATCTCATCTCCGGGAAAGCTAGAAGGAATGCAGCTCAGAATATTGATCGTGTGCTGATTAAAAACATATACGAATCGGCGTTGAGAAATTATCGGTGAATCTTCCTTCATCCTCGATCCTCGAGCGCTCTACTTAAAATTAGCATATAAATTCTAAGATCAGGAAGTAAAGTACTCATCACCTTAATTTCACTTTCCACGGCTATCGCGGGCTCTTTGCGATCTTGAAACATGAAATTCTTGTCCGCATCCTGGAACAGCCCGACAACAGCGTCCGATTTCGCATTGCTGACACCCATGCTTTCGCGCAACCAACCGGGAGTTGATGTCGCAATGAATAGTCTGACAACAGATATAGCTCCAAATACAGTCATCATCGCCCATACGAGGCCAGCTGGCCCCTTTTCACCTAATGCTAACGACTCCGCGGCGGTTGATCCGATCAACGATGTCAGGGCGGTTATCTCGACCAGACTACCACCAAAGTTGAAGGATGACAACGCGCCTTTGATTTTGGTAAGCTCCGTTGAATTTGATACCGTAGACTTGTCCATCTTGTCTAGTTGGCTAGAAAAATCCGGAAGAGGTTGAGGGTCAAGTCGCTGATGACTGAACAAAAAAGCCCGAAGGACTCTGGCGGAGGCATTGGGCTTTTGTGACTGATTAATTTCAACGAATTTAGCTTGAAATGGTTTTGCATACGCCACAGGTGCTAACCCGGGTGGAACCTGGGGTATAAAATCTGACATTTTACATATCTTACTTCCCAAGTGGTTCCCTGCGTTCCCTGCCCCTATCTTTCTACGAGATATCGTATGTAAATTTGACAATAAAACACAAAATAAAATAGATTTATCAATTTAGGAGCCTCAGAACCTTTCAAATTGGCATCTACTTTCTCTGAATGAGAATGCAGAGATTGCTGCTTAGCAATGCGGTATTGGTAAACAAATGGGTGGTTAAGCATAAGCGACACACCAGATGATTGGTCTGTTTTGATGACAGCTGATATCGCAAAGGGGCTGGGAAAGCCTTGTATCCCGTTTACCAATTGCCTTGAATGTGGCGTCCGTATCGTCGCTTATTTCTTCCTTAGAAGTGGCCCTGCATCAAGGCCCCTGCGAGTAAAACTGGACGAAATTTGTGCTACTAGTGCTATCATCCATATAACTATCTATCCTACCAATGATCGACATTAGCGTGGGCCAGAGGAGTGTCAATGCCATGCTCCGTTTTCCCGGGTATAAATTTGATGAGAGTTGACGCTGCAGATGAATGCCGACAAGGAGGAAAACAATACCCTAAGTCTAAAGTCGAAGGGAAAAGATATCCTGTGTACGTCACTCAATAAAATTCATAAATATTAGAGACAGATTCCTCGCCTTTTTCACCAGTTGCTCTGGCTTTAAATCATAACTCTGAACCTCGAGCCTAATGGTGGGTTTACTATATAATCCTTGAACCTATTTTGGGGGATGATGGTAATTACCCAACGGTAGTAGTTTATCTTATGTAGTACAATGATACTTGCTGAGGCCCTAGGGCCTCAGCCCTGCGGCTTTGTCAGCCCACACTGCTCTGTGGCCTTTATGGCTTTCATGTTGCGTTTGTCCTTTATAGTAGTAGTATTTAGTGGTAGCTGTTGCTCTGAGGGCTTTCCCCTCCATCATCATCCAGTCTCATATCATTTTGGTCCGCTCCTGCCACGAACACTTTTGCAAGCTGAGCATGAAATCATGAGGAGGGGTGATGTTGCAATGTTGTAATGTCGTTAGTGTTAGTAAGAAATTTCAGGCCGAAATTTCCAATGACTTGCTACTAACTAGTACTAGTATACTAATCATACCTGCCTAATTGGATCTCATGTCGGTAATTCCGGGGCGTGCCTTCCTCGTTAGAGAAAACCCTTTCCGCGACCAGTATACAACCTCATTCTTTGAAAGACTGCACCGCAACGGTTACACCCTCGGATCTCTTTCTGAACAGCTGCGGATGATCGGCCAGGTCGCCGGTATGACATGTGATATCTTCTACGACGGCTCCTTGCGTAGCAAATACCATTTGAGTGATCGGCAAGTAGCCAGGAAGTTGCATGCGCTGGTCAATAAGACAGTTCTCCATACGAAGGAGGCTATCTTTTTCATCAGCACCGAGGGATCGATGCCGGATGAAGAGAATCACTCTCGGAGGAACACTCTGTTCATGAAAGTCGGGATCGCCTTGTGTCGTCTACTACTGTTGAACAAAGCCGTCAAGCCGTCTCAAGCTGCAATCTTCGCTCCATACGAATATCAGCGATACAACTGATCCAAAAAGAGAATTTCCTCTGAAAAGGACTGTTCTTGCGCATGGCAGGGAAATGGACCCCTACGGCCCTGGTTTCTTCAACCTCGATATGCGCCAGCACTCATGTCTTTAACACTTTTCAACGGACTCTGGTCCTGGTGGAGAACAAAGCAAACTACTAAACCGAGCCAGACACAGCAAAAGGAAATTTACAGCCTTAAGGCACAACTCCTAGATAGCGAAAATGAGGTTCATGACGCGTAGATAGCAATTGAAAAGCATTTACTCCGTATTGGAGAGGTCGAAAATGAACTATACAATACGCGAGAGGAACTTACCAACCGAGCCAACCTGTATCAGCAGCTAGAGGGGAAGTTTTCCAGGCACGATGTCAAATGGAAACCCACGTCTGTACTACTGGAGGAAATCACCACTGTTTCTACCGACTTCGTTGCGGGTATCTCGAGGAGCTACTAGAGGAGAACGATATTGACTTTTAGAGCTGGATTTATGTTGTAAAATTAGTGAAAAACTCACCCTAGTGGTTAAATTCAATCAAAAATCAATCTCAATGGAGGATTGTATCAGTATAGCTAAGCCTATACTAGAGAGCACAATAGCTACTAAACAGAGCTTTCAAAGCTACTTCAGGATTATCCAGAACTAAGGTTTTATACATCGACAAGTGCTCATGAGATTGAGGGATTTGCCGGGCTATGTATGTACTTAAACTAGACTGTATACTACTAGTACTAGTAGCTACTAGTAGTTATATTACATTGGCAACGCTACTCATTCCCTAGAATGGCCAGCAAAAATACTAGCCATGCGGCATTCGACTACCATGCGCCCTTTTAATCGCACAACATATTCCAAGCCAGACAATACTAAGGGGGCATGCCAGAACATATCAATATTCTAGAAGTTAAATGAAACCTAAGACCAATGTTCTGCCCTCAGGTGCTGCCGACCGGCTCCAGCAACCAAAATTAGGGCAAACTATGTACCTGTGCCTAATATCAAGTACAATCAAACTCGACAAACTCAGCCATCATTCCATCTATCAAGCTACGAAGAAATTTTCTTTGATTTTGGAAGATGGCGAACATCCACTCCAATTCCCGAGCTTGGCCCGCGAAATCAAGCGTGGCTGGGCCAGCATTCCAAAGAGCGGCGGGTAAGAGGTCGACACGCCCAAGCATCCGATCTTCCCTAAAACGGGTATTGAACAGTGCCGATCATTACAAAATAGGCAAGATATGGCCTTTGACTCTCGATTTAGATATTTTGCTCAGGTGTTCGTACATGCCATCGGGGATTTTCCCCTCGTGACAGGCTCGGTCGAGATGCGCGCCTGGATGCCGCCCTTTCCAGTGAGTTCCGACAGCCCTCGATCGGAATGATAGATTCAGCGCAACAAATCTCCGTTCTTTTGCTGGCGTGTATAAGTAATTAGGCTGGGAAGCAGAGATCGGCTCTCGGAATTGGCTATGTGGATAAGTTTCTCGATCATAATCTGGTGAGGATCTGAGCTTTATTTCATTTCACTTTGCTATTACGATGATCATGGATTTCAAGACTAATCGTTTTTTCTAATATTTAGATCCTTCGGTTCTGGAATCGACCTGATCGATCCGTTGGCTGTATACGACCAATCAACTGTGGATAACGTCCTGATTGCTTCGACTACCCGACGAAACGTCGGATATACTAGCCGCCATGAAGGTCGACTTCAAGAAGATCTTCCCCGCATTGACGGCATTCATCGCATTCATCCTCACACTATGCTGTCTATTTGCCGGGACACAGCAGAACCTCCTCGATGGCGCCGACCTTCTCACGGTATGTCCACCGGCTCATCGGAAGATTTTGTGTAGTGCTAATCTTTCAATTCGTATTGTAGCTTTATACCCCCGAAGGCGGTACTGATAGCAAAACCAATGCCTTCTATTCCATTCACGTCATGTCATATTGCCACGGCACCCTAGAGACACTCGGGCCGGGTAGCTCTGGCAGCGCACGCAACGTGACGGAATGCTCGAACCGCAAGCTCTTGTTCGCCTTTGATCCCACGGAAGAATGGGACCAGGGAGTTTCCCATGGCCCGAATCTGGAATGGCCCCGAGTGATCAGCGATGACTTCCACGCTTTCCGTATGACGACTCGTTCGATGGCGGTGATGTATATGATTGGCGTGGGGGCTATTGGGTCCGCACTTGTCGCGCGAGTGGTCTCACTCATTGCCCCGAGGAGGCAACAAGGACTATTTGAATTCGGGTTCCTGTTGGTAAGTACATACGTATAGTTCCGAGTCGTGGTTCACCCGCCGATCCTTCCCTTCTACTGGGAAGAATAAGCACAACCACAAGCAAATAAGCAATCAGGAATTCGCTAACACCCTGTCGATCAGTTTGGGGCTCTAAGTCTCAGTATCGCCTCGATCATTGCGACGGTGATCGCATTTGAATTCGTCGACCTCATCAACGCTCACGGCGATGGTTCCAACGTGTCGGCCAAATATGGTGACAAATTCCTTGGCATGACTTGGGCATCAGCCGGGTTGCTTTTGGTTGGAAGTATTAGCAGTTTCATTAATGTATTTGTCCGAGGCATGCAACATGAGCCGGCGCCTGCTCCTCCGAAGGATGAGGAAGAGGGGGATTCGGACTAGAAAGCTAGAGGCAAACGGAGAGAGGAGGGGCACGGAGGGGCACGGAGGGGCAGACTCGGGATTGAACAGATTCGGATTGAACAAAGGAGGGGTTGAGGACGCGCTGGGCTCAAAGACGCTTGAGCGCGGCACGGACAGACATCGGGGAAACCCGTGCCACCCAGTGATTTTAATCTTATAGTATACGACCGGCAATGCCACCTGAATGAACTACATACCTACCAATAAGGCCAGATGCATGTGGAGCAAGAACCAAGACCCCTAGCGTAATGGTTGTCCGAGCGTGATTTTGCGCACCCCGACCGAGTTTAGAAAGGCTGGGGTCGGCGCAGGGACCAATCGAATGACGGACCGACGCTGAGCGGGTGCACAGATTAGGCAGTCTAGGGGTGTCCCAAGAGAAGGCAAAGGAGGGGAATGGAACCATTCAGAAAGAGGGCGTTGGGCACGTTGGAAAGGGATGGAAGATAATGGATGAGATAGGAATACTGGTAAACCTCGGCAGTTCGATATCGAAGCAGCAACTAAACGGAAGAAAACTGGGTCTGGCCGCTGTCCGTTCATCCGACGTCACCAATAGTGGAGAAGAGAACGGTCGATCACGTAGGTTGTCTGGACGCTGCGATTATCGCGTATCAGATGCGCCATCTTGGCTCAGCCGTGGCTATGGCTATGGCTATGGCCTATGACTAGTATGACTTGTCAGCGTCAGCCGTGAGTCGTCAGCCCTTCAACTAGGAACACTGTACTCCGGATGGCTTAACTTCTCCGGGGTGTCGGCTGGCTTTCCCGCCCACGATACCAATTCTGGTCAAGGGAGTTGCATTCTTTCTGTCTTCCGTTGAAACTCCGGGCTGGGGATTATACGGGTGATACCGGAGACCGATTTGCAGAACTACCCCGGTGAGATGTTTCAGGGGGGTGGCAATGTCCATATGAAGATTGGACTATCAAATGAAAATGAATGCCCGACGAAAAGGAAGAAGGGGGTTTAATGAGCGAAAAGGGTTTAGAGGGTAGGCAGGTCAGAAAGGGGCCTAGTTCCCGGCGCAATTTCATTCTACGAGACTAAGAGACTAAGAGACTTAGGGAGTAGTACGGAGTAGTCTATGCTCACTTGTCATTGCTTTCGACCGGGGTTTGCTAGTTATAGAGAGGGTTACAGGTTGCACGGCAAAGCGGGGGGGGTTACACTGGGTAGACCATCTTGAATGGAATTGTAATTTTGAATTGATAGAATCAACCTTGTTTGAATTCCGGGGCAGAGAGAAAAAGAGAGAAAGAGAGAGAAAACCAACCTCATGATGCCCTCATCAGCAGGAAACAAGGCGGAGCCCAGTTCCGGCGCCGCCTCCCGAAAATCGATGAAGTCATTCACAGATACCACCACCAACAAAACCAAAACCAAAAAAGAGCACGAACCTGCCAGAAAGTATAAACTGGGCCAGGCCACGATGCAAACCGCATAACCATTTAAACCCCTCTCATTCCTCATTCTTGTCTTCCCACTGGCATACAGTGACTCTTATAAATACTCCCATCCATCCCCACATCTACCTCGCTCTTTCCCTCCGAATCAGCCACCCGCACTTCCTTCTTTCCCTTAACCTTCTTTTTAAACCTCAACTCTTCACTCCTCTCTTCTTTTTCCTCTTCCTCTTACTCACTTCTCCACTTCTCCACTTATCTTCTTGCCTCACTTCCACCATGACGAAAAAGGCTGTTCACTTCGGCGGTGGTAACATCGGCCGCGGCTTTGTCGCCGAGTTCCTCCATACTGCAGGCTATGAGGTCGTCTTCGTAGATGTCATGGAGAGCATCATCACCTCCCTCCAGAATACCAAGTCCTATCAGGTCACCGAAGTCAGCGGAGAAGGTGAAAGCACCAAGACGATCACCAATTATCGCGCTATCAACTCCAAGACCCACGAACAAGATGTTGTGCAGGAGATCTCCACTGCCGATGTCGTCACCTGTGCCGTCGGTCCAAACATCCTCAAATTTATTGCTCCAGTCATCGCCAAGGGCATCAACGCCCGCACCGCTTCTGTTCCACTGGCTGTCATTGCTTGTGAGAACATGATTGGCGGAACTGACGCCCTGCACGGATTCATCAAGGACAACACTGACAACTCACGACTGGAGACCCTCGGCGAGCGTGCGTCCTTTGCCAACTCTGCCATTGACCGCATTGTCCCAGCTCAAGCCCCGGATGCCGGTCTGAATGTCCGCATCGAGAAGTTCTACGAGTGGGTGGTTGAGAAGCTCCCCTTCGGCAAGTTTGGTCACCCCGATATTCCCGCAATCCACTGGGTCGAGCATCTCGAGCCCTACATCGAGCGCAAACTGTTCACCGTCAATACGAGCCATGCTACCGCTGCTTACTACGGCAAGTTTGCCGGTAAGAAGACTATTGCCGAAGCAATGAAGGACGAGTACATTCGCAACACTGTCCGAGATGTGCTTCAAGAAACTTCCTCGCTCATCGTGGATAAGCACGAGATCGCTGCCCAGGAACAACAGGATTACGTCGAGACCATCATCAGCCGAATCTCGAACCCTTACCTGGAAGATAGCGTGGAGCGTGTTGGCCGTGCCCCGATCCGCAAACTGGGCCGCAAGGAACGGTTCATTGGTCCTGCCGCGCAACTTGCTGAGCGAAACGCCAAGTACGACTCATTATTGGGCTCTGTGGAGATGACCATGCGATTCCAGAATGTGGAAGGAGACGAGGAAAGCGTGGAGCTAGCCAAGATTCTGAAGGAGAACTCACCGGGTGATGCCACTGTTCAACTGACCAGCCTGGAGCGAGACCACCCGCTGTTCTCTGCCGTGGTGAAGGTGGTAGAACGTGTGCAATCTGACTCCAAGTATGATATCCCCAATACAATCTCCCTTCTCTGTTGTCCACGCTAATCATTTTACAGGGAGGCGGGCCAACCGCGCATCTAGCTGAATTCCTTTCACTCTGAGCAACTTCAAACCGCATGGGAATGGGCGAACACACGGCGTGCCTGGGAAACGGATTTTTTGATATGACTTTACGACTTGTAGTATCCAATGTGTAGTATGATTAGCTACGAAATGACACAATATGATTATCCACTGAAATGCTACTTCCTTTGTATTCCTTCTTTGTACTTCCCAAGCGGACCTAGTAGCTACTAGATTGGCCAATCTATTCCATCTTAGGTAGCTACTAGTCTGCCAATAGAAGACGGTCAATAGTAATGGTGGGCAGTGGGGGATTTCAAACTTTTGCAAAACCACTGTACAGTAGTATCCCTCAAGTACTAACTAGTAAGTAAAGACACAATCAAAAGAAAAGACCTTGGTCTACAACTTGCTATCCTTCCAAACAGGCGCTCTCTTCTCCACAAACGCCTGCAATCCTTCCTTAATATTCTCACCCTCATAAAGTCTCTTAACCCAAGTCTCACTCAACATCCCCGTAGCCTCATCCGCCCCAATCCCCTCCCAACCCAACTTAACCCCCTCCCGACTAACCAGCACCGCATCAGGACTATTCCCCGCAATATCAGCCGCAAACCCCAAAGCCCTCGCAACAATAATCCTCGAAACCTCCTCATTCTCCCGCTCATCCTTACCCCGACCAGAATCAGGAACCTCAACCACTTCATTCACCAATCCCCACCGCTCAGCCTCCACAGCTGACAACGTCCGCCCCGTAAGAACCATCTCCATAGCACGCTGTTTCCCTACAGTCCGCACGAGACGAGGCAAAGCCCCCGCCATAGCAACGACGCCTCGCTTTACCTCTGGTAAACCGATTACCGCCCGAGATGCGGCGATTACGATGTCCGCGTTGATGATCATTTCGGCACCCCCGCCGAAACAGAGACCGTTTATGGCACAGATGAGTGGCTTTTTGCCTTTTCGGCGTGCTACGCCGCCGAAGCCCGAGGGGGGTTGGGGGGGCTTTTTTGCCGGTGTTGTTGGCTTGAGTGTTCCATTCTGGGTGGGTTAGCCTTTTTGACTTTTCTTTTTCTTTTCGGGGATGTGTAGGGTTATTTTCTTTTGTATGGATGATAGGGGGAGGAGAAAGAGAAGAGAAAAGGAATCTCCTAATCAAATCTGACTATCGGTAGATAAATCTACAATCACCACTTCTCGTATCAATCACTGTAAGAAAGAAAAAGAAGTTTACCTTTCAAATCAGCGCCAGCGCAGAATGCTCTCCCTTTCCCAGTCAGAATGCCAACGCGCAGGCTAGGCTCTTCGTCCATCCACTCCCACACATCATGCAGATCAGCATGACCCTGCGCATTGATGCAGTTGAGGTCGCGTGGTCTGTTCAGCGTGACGAGGAGGACGTGCGGTGCCGGAAAGGAGAGGACGGCGTGTTGAGGGTTTGGGGGAGGAGTTGCGAAATCGGGCATTGCGTTGATGACGGGGGGAAACTTGAATTCAATATGCTTTGATGTAGGTTTTGGTTTTGAATAAAGATAAATCTCAAGAGATGATTGTTTGGGTTTGGGTGGGTTTGGGCCCGGTTGTTAAATGCGGAGAGTAGAGCGATGGAGATGCCGAGGGCCGATGCGGGGGAAGGTCGAGATGGAGCTCGGCAGCGGTACTACTAGTAATCAGATATTCAATTCCACCGTGACGCCAGGCGGATATCTCTGGGTAATAGAGTACCTATAGGTCTATACTACTACGTTGATAATATATGGAGGAGTATTATGATCAAACCCTATTTCTACATAGAATGATATTCGAATAAAAAGGGTATTGTGGATTACCGCCCGATAACCTCTCGGTATATGAACAACGTCAGGTCAACACCCCGTCTTTCCCATTGTGAACGCCAGAAACCAAACGCTCCCAGAGCAAATTGCAGAATAGATATCAAGTCGAATACAGACAACGCAAGCATGATCACCACCAGGACTCTACCCCTTATTGATCCATCCACTGTGCACCATAAAATCGTAAATGCGGCTGGTTTTGGTGCCCTCGATCTATAGAATAACGTTAGCAATTCGTCGTGTCATCAAAAGGACATGAATGGAAGAACTGACCTTGCAGATCGTTCGTGCATCCTTCTTCTTCAGAGTACCGCCTTGTTTCATTGCTTCCTTCAACAGTGTCTCTTTGACGACCAGATAGGGCTTCGGCATAAGATGGAGTGCATTGCATAGTTCTACCTCCTCGGTTGTCAAAAGATGAAGATCGGCAGCACCTTCATTGTCCAATTTCCATGCAGACACTCCACTCAGCGGCTGGACCACAAATTTGGTCTTGGCTGGCTGTGATGGTGCGGAATCGCCGTCAATGGCGAACATCCGGTCGAAGTCATTCTCGGGCTCCGGCTCGGATGGTTTGCTAGGCTTCTGGAACCGCAGCGGAAGTTCAGGCGTCGTCAGTTGAATTGCTCCGGTCGACGTCTCGGGCGGTTGTGTTTGCTTAGGACGGGCACTGGCGAAGCGGTCAAAGGAGCCTTGCGGTAGCATCTTCTGTACCCGGTTTTGTTTATCCTGCTCGTATTTCTCGCCTGCTTTCAGGTCACCGATACCCATCTGTCGCCACTCCTGGAGTTGTGAGATGGCGAGGCGCAGATTATGCTCGTATTCTAATCCCTTATTCAGATCGTCGAAGTCTTTCCGGTTCATCATCCGAGCAAGGGGTTTGGCCTTGTTCAACAATTCGCGTTCTTCCTTCGAACGCTTCTTCTCGTGGGCGGTGTTTTTCCGATATTCTAGAAGATTGTGTTCGAAGAGAATCTTCTTGCGCTCTGTGCGCGCAGTGAGGCGTGAGTTGTAGATATCTACCACGGTCATCTTCAGCTCTGTTTCCGCATCTACCTCGCCATTGGGACCGATGCCCGCCCCAGGCTCAAACGCCATGTGCTGAACGGCTTCCTCGGCCTCATTGAGGAATTCAGTTTCGAACTCCAATCGACCAGGCATGTAACCTTGAACCTCATGGCATGCGGGTACACTGGCAGTTGGCTTTTGCTTGGGGGTTGTAGGGGGAGCAGCCTTGGCAGCATCCTTGCGCTCCTCGATCCGACGCTTCTTGCGCGTATGGAACTCTTCCTTGGAGATGGATTTCTGAAGGCTGCTATCCTCTGGGTCGGCGCGATCGGGGAGAGGGAAGTGACTTCCATATACGAATGTCTCGATGTAGTGATCGCGCACCTCATCCTTGGAGCGGTAACCACCGATGTGGTCGGCGATGTCGGCCCATGAGCCCAGGCCGTAGATTTCGGCGCCCTCGAGCAGCAGCAGTTCCTCATCAGCACCCCAATCTTCCTGGAAGATCGGGACGGAGTTTTGCTCGATGACTTGGAAGGGGTGGGTGGCTGGGTCGTGGTTCTTTGATAGCTCCCCGGCGCCGAAGCAGGGGACACAGAGGTCGTATTCAGGGCAGGAGGGGTGTGCACAGGAGATGCGGACCTAACGGGGTGAAAGAGAAGGATTGGTCAGTGTATGCTACATGGATTTTGTTGGTGCATTCCATCGTTCGGTGTTCGGAGGACTCACAGTTGAAGTCACGTCGACGGAGCAGACATCGCAGTGGAACTTTGTGCCTGCCTCGGTGCCGCGCGAGGCGGTCTTCTTGCGTATTACACCCATCGGTTTTTGGTCCCGTTCATCCTCCACAGAATCCAACGTTGTCGTGAGGTCCCAACCTTACCCTCGAGAGGTCTCCGAGGGCAATACGAAGTGTCGAGATGGGTGGAGAGGGGAGGGGAGGGGAGGGGATGCAGGTGGGAGGTGTGCCAAGTTAAGGTGAGATCCTGGGGAAGGATCTCCGCAGATGGGATCGGGAAATAAAGGGCCGAGTGCTAGCTGCAGGATGTAGGCGCAGCTGGAAGAGTTCGCGTTGTCGAATGGACCCTGGAAATGTTGGATTGTCGGGGATATGATTTGATAGACGAGATGAATTGACTGGAAGCTGGGCGACGCGTGTGGTAGTTCCCGGTTCCCACTGTTAAGTGACTGGCAGTGACTGCCTTGAGATTGTGGCTGACTCTCCTTCCTGCCCTGGCTTGCACTGCCCCAATTTGTGGCTGACTCTCCCGCTTACCTCAGCACCCTGAATCTTAAAGATACGGTAAGTACGGTACAGCCTTATGATACCCACACAGCCAACCTCCATCCCCGGAGTGTAAATTACGTATGACCAATACTTCTAGGCACGCTGGCTTCCCCTCCCCGCCACAGCCCATGCCTCGCCCGTGCCTCGCCCGCGCCTTTGATCTTTCTCTCTCTCTATCTTCCAGTTGTGCTTCAGTCTTCAATCTCCTCTGGTGTTGAGAAGGTAAGCCGTGCTAACTCTGTGTCTGGGATTCAATCACGATTCCCATTTCCCCCTCCCCCGAAGATCTGATCGGGCGGCGTGGCGCTGATCTTGTGTGGTCCCCGGCTTTATTTTGGGAACTTCGATGTTGACTCCCCTTGATCGTTCAGGCAGTTTGCACAACGTATCGTGGTCGGTTTCTTTTGGACACTCGACTCTTTCTTCCTCTCTCCCCTCTTGATACCCCGGCCTTGAGACCGCCATCATGTCCTGGAAGCTCACCAAAAGTATGTTCAGTTGGTCTCCCTATCTCCTCTTCCCTCCCCCTCTTCGTCTCCCCCCCCCCCCTCTCTCAAATTTAAGCCGTCGCCCCTCCGCGGCGCATGAGAGGGGCTGACTGTCTCGGTCCAAATTGCTAATTGACCGTTCCGATAGAACTGAAGGAGACGCATCTGGCTCCCCTCACCCAAGGGTTTGGCCGATCGTCTTCCACCTCCACAATCAAGGGCGATTCCAACGGCGGTGGCGGTGATGAAACACCCGTTACCCCCCAAGCCCCCAGCATCGCCGCTGCTCCCAGCAATACTGCAAGTGGCATTGGTATGTTATGCCGTGATCTTATGATCTACATTGAAATTCCCAGACGAAATTTCGTCCACTAACTCCGTGCCTGGTGCTGCAACTATAGCCAATTCAGAGTTCCTCGTCTCTCCCCCTGTGAACCCGGTCAACCCGGGTATTCTGATTGTCACCCTCCACGAAGGCCGAGGGTTCGCTTTGTCTCCTCATTTCCAGCAGATTTTTAACTCTCATTTCCAAAACAACTCCTACGCCCCCTCTTCTTTGCGTCCGAGCACCTCTTCCTCGTCACACTCTACACACGGACAAGCTGGTTCTTTCGTGCAAAACAACCGTCCACAGTCCACTAGTGGTGGCATGAACTCTGCCCCTACAGTCCACGGCCGTTATTCGACTAAATACCTCCCCTATGCTCTTCTCGATTTCGAAAAGAATCAGGTTTTCGTGGATGCTGTGTCGGGGTCTCCCGAAACCCCACTGTGGGCTGGTGATAACACTGCTTTCAAGTTCGATGTGTCTCGGAAGACAGAGTTGAATATCCAGCTTTATCTGCGCAATCCTGCCGCCCGTCCTGGTGCCGGTCGCAGTGAGGATATCTTCCTTGGCGCTACGAAGGTTACACCACGCTTCGAGGAGGCAACTCAACCTTATGTGGAGGACCCAAAACTCAGCAAGAAGGACAACCAAAAGGCCGCCGCTGCTCATGCCGAGCAAGAACGGGCCTCCGGTCAGCGGGGTGTCGAGTGGCTGGATCTCCAGTTCGGCAATGGTTCGATCAAGATCGGCGTCTCGTTCGTTGAGAATAGACAGCGCAGTCTGAAGATGGAGGACTTCGACTTGTTGAAGGTCGTTGGTAAGGGAAGTTTCGGCAAGGTCATGCAGGTCATGTAAGTTGAGCATCAAAATCGGGATTTTCGTCCATCGGACGCTTACCAAGGTTGGAAAACAGGAAGAAAGATACCGGTCGAATTTACGCCCTGAAGACGATCCGCAAGGCTCACATTATTTCCCGATCGGAGGTCACACATACCTTGGCAGAGCGATCGGTCCTCGCGCAAATCAACAATCCTTTCATCGTTCCTCTGAAGTTCTCTTTCCAGTCGCCCGAAAAGTTATATTTCGTTCTCGCATTCGTCAATGGTGGAGAGCTCTTCCACCACCTTCAAAGAGAGCAACGATTTGATATCAACAGGGCTCGCTTTTACACTGCCGAACTTCTGTGTGCCCTTGAGTGCCTTCACGGATTCAAGGTCATCTACCGCGATCTCAAACCTGAGAATATTTTGCTTGATTACACTGGCCATATTGCGCTGTGCGATTTCGGTCTTTGCAAGCTGGACATGAAGGATGAGGACCGAACCAACAGTAAGATTGCACTTTTTTCCCCCCCACAATTTCCACCCCATCTCTTTCTAATCAAATCACAGCATTCTGCGGAACTCCCGAATATCTTGCACCCGAATTGCTTCTTGGCAATGGATATAGCAAGACTGTTGATTGGTGGACTCTAGGTGTCTTGCTTTACGAGATGTTGACTGGTCTCCCGCCATTCTACGACGAGAACACCAACGAGATGTACCGCAAGATTTTGCAAGAGCCCTTGACTTTCCCAAGCAGTGACATCGTGCCTCCAGCTGCTCGAGATCTTCTCACCCGCCTGCTGGATCGCGATCCTCAGCGCCGTCTTGGTGCCAACGGTGCTGTTGAAATCAAGTCTCACCACTTCTTCGCCAACATTGACTGGCGCAAGCTTCTTCAGCGGAAGTATGAGCCCAGCTTCCGCCCTAACGTGGTATGTCATGATTTCTCCTACCCTTTTCTTTTGATCTTACTAATTCTAATCCGCACTCGTTTTTACAGCTGGATGCTCGTGATACTGATAACTTTGATCGCGAGTTCACTGAGGAGGCCCCAAAGGACTCCTATGTTGACGGTCCTGCGTTGTCATCGACTGTGCAACAGCAGTTTGCCGGCTGGTCCTATAACCGGCCCGTGGCCGGACTCGGCGACGGCGGCGGTAGTGTCAAGGACCCGTCCTTCGGCAGCATTCCGGAGTAAGGGCCAGATTAACGCTGGGCTTCATACAAGGTCAATTATTAGGTGAAGAAAGACCGGTGTGCGAAAACAGGTTCATAGACATGATTCTTCATTTGTACTGTCCCATGCTTTTCGTCTTGATCCACATATCACTCACCCATCTTGATCCATCCAATTTCCCTTGTCTCGTGCTTGTCTTTATCTTATCTCTTGTTTCATTTTCTCTTCAAGGAGTCCGTGGCATCTTGATCTCGGAGTACTCTCTCCACGTCCCGAGATAACATTTTACCCCCTTTTTCATTGTGTCTTATTTCTTCTCGTCATCTTTTCGTATCCCAACCCCCTCCTCCCATTGAGCGCTCTGGTTTGTTTCTGGTCATCCCATCTCAGCGTCATCCACACCCTCACACACTCTTCCCAGGCAGGTCCCTTTTTCCAAACCCTTGTTTTCGTCTGATGGTCTCAAGTGGTCATTACCTGTCATTTTTTTGTTGTCTCCTTGTATCCTACCTTTCGGGTACGAGATTTTCTTTTCTCTGTATTCTTCACAGAATTGCAATGGACAATGCCGAACCACTGAACCTAGATTTTGTGTCTCGATCGTCGTAGTTTCCATCCATGAATGAAGTCCGATTCGGATGTCCTAGGTATACTTTGAGGCTACCCACGCATGTCCTAGTAGGTACAACGATGAACACCTGTGCAAGTCCTTTATATTCATATCAATCAGTTCAATACATTATCTATATTCGCAAACATTCAGATTTATGAATAATCATAGTATTACTTTCGGGCCCCTGGTTGAAGGCATCCCTGTCAGAATATGAATTAAATTCATTCCATGGACCACCTCTACTCAATATTGGAGAAAACGTTTATTCCAAGGTTGTCATACCTAGGTAAGTGTGCTTATAATATTTCCCTTTACCAGTTAAACTCCTGCCCAAAAGCTTCTCACTCAGTACCCATAATCTCGCTGCATCAACCTTGTTTATCGCCCAAGGGTATAACTCCTCCTGCGATTGATCTGCAACATGGCAATCACTCAAAAAGGCACCATTATTGCCTACAATGCTGGGATCAAAGGCAGCAAAAACGTGGGTGGCAGCTCCCTGATCCAAACCCTTGAATTTCGTCTCATCTATGCCATGAGCTCACTTATTCCCATAGATATTGTCCATCTCCGTAAGGCCGGCCGCAAAAGAAACATAGTTGTCAGCCCCATGTGCCGAGAGATTCGTATAACAAGTTCCAGGACACAACGGGAAGGCGAGAAGGCCACGGGAACCGAGTTTCTCAGCAAGTGAAAGAGCCATTAGAGCATTGGCTGTCTTGGAATGACCATACGCCAGCCACCTCTGGTAGCTCTTCCCATCATTGAAGTTGCAATCCGACCATCGGATATGGCCCACGCGGTGTATGCTGCTTGAGACAACGACAACGCGTGGAGTCCTCGAGGCTAACGCTTTTTCCATGATGAGGTTTGTGAATAGAAATGGCTCAGATGATTGGTTTGGAACTGGCCTTCGAATCCGTCTTCGGTCTTTTGGTATGGCGTGGCCATGATGCCGGCATTGTCGACCAGACTGTCGATGAACCCTTTCCCATTTTACGAAGACCGTGAAACTACTCAGCTTCAGCATTACCCCTTTGTCATTGAGACCCTCCTCACTGTTGCAACCAAAATGAACTTTCCACAACCCAAAGTTTCTTCTCTGCCCCCGAACATCGATCTCCATGGCAAAACAGCTTTGATGACTGGAGTTACTGCAGGGATTGGCTTAGAAACAGCTCGACAACTACTCAAGCTCCATGTCTCCCACCTCGTTCTAGCTGTGAGAAATGTGTCGAAAGGCAAAGCTTGCAAACAGGAGCTTCAGCCATTCAACACCCAAGCAAAAATCACCGTGATTGAGCTCGTTATGAACAGTTACAGAAGTGTTCAGGGCTTCGCGAAGGTGTTACAACAAGAAGTTCCTGCGGTCGACATCCTGCTCCTCAACGCCTGCATTGGACTTCTCAAGCTCGAACGTAGCCCAGATGAACATGACTGCGTCACTCAAGTGAATTATCTGTCAAATATTATCTTGATTGCTGAATTATTACCATATCTCAAAGCAAACGCGGAGAAAACTGGCCGGCCTTCTCGGATCACCTGGGTCGGTAGTCGAATGTACTTTACCACGAGCCTCGAAAGAAAAGCGCCCGTGAAAGCCGATGGATTGATCCTTGAGCATATGGACTCGGAGAAATTCTTCTTTTCCAAAGAGAGATACAACGACACCAAGCTTCTGTGTGCCATGTTCATGTACAGTCTTGCTCAGCGTCTTGACAAAAGCAAGGTGATCCTGAATATGGTTTGTCCGGGTTTGATCAACACCAACATGACCGATGTTTTGCCGATGCACATGCGCATGGTCATGGGCGTTGTCAAGTTTTTTCTAACACGCCCGGTTGAGGTCGATGGGCGGCTTTTTGTCAATGCGGCTGTGGTGGCAGGGCCAGAATCACATGGGGCATTCTTCGGGGACAAGGAAATAATCCAGTACGAATAACTTCCCCATTCGCTCCAAATTTATCAAGAAAAAGAATTGCCTGTGACTAATTTTTTTTTCACTGAACAGGCCTTCTCCATATCTTCAGTCTCCTGCAGGGCAAGCCGTACAAAAGAAGCTGTGGGCGGAAACTGTTGAAGAAATGGGCAAGCTGATCAAGCTACCGACGGAGTTTGCTTGAAAAGGTTGGAATAAGTCCCTGAGTTTGTCATGTTTTGTGGGCCCGATTTTACGAAAAGAAACCAATTGCCGAGTTCCGGCGATGTTCTGTTGATGGGTAGGCAGTACTTGAAGTATCTAGGATTTCCCGGACACTTTTTATTGATTCTGGACTGCGATACCACTGGAATCTTCGACCCTTAAATAATCTCTTTGTATGTCTATTATGTTTTCCTAATTATGATAATTTTTGAAAATTTACCATACACCTACCTATACTACCGTCCTACCTGAGTCACATATCTTCTCTATATATCAATTCTTGACAGCCCCAACGTTTATATTATGGCGAATGGACCTTACCAATAGAAGCATACCAAAGCTCCTGTCCTTCCATATCATGAATAGCATTGACCCATGGAAATCCAACCAGAATTTTCCTGACTTCTCCCCAACTTTCAATCTTCAGGGCCTGCAAGGTGTCTTGTGTTTTGGAAACCCATATAGAATGCCTCGAAAGGAATGAAGAACCTGCTCCTATGAATAGCAGCAAAAGAAGCGTCTCCTTTTGATGCTGTCCAGGACTTGGAGGGTTTTGAACTTCTGCAAGAAGTAATTGTGACAAAAGCTCATTCTGGGCAACTCGACCATCCCACCCTTGCAGGAAGGACACCAAAAAGGCAGTAAGCCCTAAATGTACCTTATTTTGAAGCGATGAAGCACCAAGCAGCAAGCCTAGGGGGGTAAAGTCTGACTAGACGATACCCAAGCAGGATGATATTTTGATGAAGCTCAATGGCGTTCATTTTCGGTAAATCACCAGCAATCGCGCTGTTGAGAAGCGAAGCAAGAAACATGAAGTCACCAAATAAATGTCGATAATTGGTTGACTGCGCCTTGAACAAGGATTGTCCAGGGACTAGAGATTGTACCTCGTGATTCGACTGTAGGTACACACTGGGAAATTGCGTCTCGGTCTTGCATCCGAGTTCAGCCTCTTTTAAAGCTGAACAATGTTGATGAGCCCAATTGGAACGAATATTCAAGATCGACCCTAATCGTGTAAATATAAACACGACTAGTTGTGCTTCAATATTCGGTGTCTAGTCTTACCGCAACATCTTCTGTCCCAAACCAGAGGGGCTTCTGATTAGATTTGATACCCGCCTCGCAACTGAGCTATCTGCCACAAACCTTGCATATGGATAGACCCTTGTTGAAATTGACTTTTGTGATGCTCATATTGGGCCATATTTATTACAGCCGCGATGGTGAAGTCAGTGATCGCACTCTGACCATGAAGGTGTTGTTTCACCAGGCGTAACATATGCGATACATGACGCATTCTCTACAACTTATTTTCCAGCTCGATAACAAGGTTGTCAAGGCAATGGAGAGCAGTAGCAATTGAGCTATGAAAGCCTGTGACGAAATCAGTAAGAGTTTCGTATTAAAATTGGTTGAGCAAGAGCATCCCTTACAGGCCTCATCGGAAAACATGTACTTGACACATATCGGGGGGGCCAAGGTCTCCATAGTCGAGACCGATGTTCAGTTCAGAAGAGAATCGTATAGAGTTCATAAACGAGATAGCTAGATATTCCCCGTGGGTCAAGACCAAACCAGTATTCTTTGAGAGATTCCACACATACCATTCTTGACAAGCCCTTTGGATTCACCAGGTAGGAGGCCAGGAAATAAAAGTCCGTCATCAATAGGCCGCTCAATATCATAGATTTTCTCTTTTGCTTCAAGTTGGCCACGCATTATCAGTGGGACGCGAAATGATGTTGTCGTCGGCGCCAGCGCGTCTTTCCTAGATTGTCGTGAGATTTCATTGCTTTTATTTTTCCCATGGGCTGCGTGGCTTCGGATCCGTGTTCTCGTGGCATCATTACTGAGACCATTATTGCTGATGAACTCAAATGGCATGCTGACAGATTGACCGTTGTGAGCTGCTTAGCTGATGGAATAAAGCCGGAACACGAACTTGGTGGCGAGACAATACTGTTCATCGACCTGTCACCTCGTTCACATGCGTGTTCTGCTCAGAGAGCAAAAAGCGGCAACGAGCACTAAAACGGAAGGGGAACCTTCAAGTTGGAATGCCAAAAAGTAGCAGGAGAAATCTAGTAGATAGGCAGTCTTCTAGTACTACTTCCTCCCGACAGAAGCTCAGAGCTATTGAAGTGGTGATGTATGCGAGATGACTAGATGAGTAGGAGGGAGCGGCAGGAATGCATAATTGCTGCCTGAGACATCTCAGCCTCAACACCTTGGAGGCAATTTTTATTATGCTACCACAGGACAAGAATTTCTGGAAAGGGCCTTTGTCATTGTATCTATCCATGCGGTCTCAAGCAGCCCGCTGAGACCGTAACATATTGCAGCGGAATTACAGCAATAGGAAAACAAAAGCGAACAAATAAAATAATAGAAAACACAAAGTAAAAGAAGTCGGACACACGTTAAGACGCCGCTCGCAGTTCAAAATAATCCGACTCAATAGTATCGGGAATGGAAAATATGCTCTCTATCAACGTATCTCTCGAGCCAGAATGAAACACTACCCAACATCGAGCCTTTTTTTACTCTGACTTCTCCTCATCGGCATCAGCCTCAGCCTCAGCCTCGACCTCGACTTCGGCTTCAGCTTCAGCCTCTGGGGTGCCGTTAGTTGCGGCCACGGGCTCCGTTTCGTCATCACCATTGATGTCAATGAGTGACTCGGAAACAGGCTCTGGGGCGATACCCTCTTTCTCGAGGCGGATGTATTGATCCCACTCAGGGAAGAGGTCATCATCAGTCGAGACATCCGGAGCGCCGGGAGGAACACCGATGAGGCGGGCAGTCTTAGTCTTATTCGATTGCTCGAGGGACTCCTTCCACTGGACTACGAGAGCAGCGGCGCGGCTAGGCTTGTAGGTCTGGGCAAAGAGGACTGCTTCACCGATGCGGTTTGTCTGGACAAGGAGTTCGATGCAACCATCGATATCACCCAGAGACCAGAGGGTTGAGAAGGCGACGTTGTGAAGACCTGACTCGGAAGCCTGGGTAGCCAGTTTACGAAGCTCGGTTCGGTTGTTGCTAGCTGTGTGTAGCAGCAGGAGGGAGCCAACGTCCTTGGCGTGAGTAAAGCATTCTTGGGCGAGAGAGAGGTTCCAAGCGGCAAGGGCGGCATCACCAACCAGCTTGTATCTGTGGTCGGTGTTGGTCTGGCGGGCGATCTCAAGAGCAGTCTGGAGGTCGTTGAGGGCCAAAGCCAGGTCGAAACGGTGTTCTGGGTCTGTTGCAACCTCAAGAGCCATCTCCTTGTAGCCTTGACCTTCAAGGAATCGTGCAACCTTGTTCATCTGATCTTGAGGGATATCACTCAGAATATCGGCTGCAGCGTCCATCTCGTTACGCAGGACGAGAGTCTGGTACTCGACCATGCTGAGAGACAAGCTGAAAGAGACAACATTGACATCCTTATCCGCCAGGTATAGCTTGGAATCTCTGGCGAGGTATCCAAGCAGGTACATAGGCTGGTCAAAGTGCGAGATGGTGTATGTTTGATCACCAACCAGATAGTTAAGGCGGTTGGTAGAGTTGGTGTAGATAAAAGAATCGCCAACCCATTCTCCAGTACGGACAGTCTCGTTAATGGTAGCGACGTGCTCAATAGCAGCCTCAACTCCATCCTCATCAGCCTCGCCATTGTTCATGCCGTTAATGTACTCCTCCCGTGAGTAGCGAAGGACAAAGAAAGAGTCCTCGCAAGCAAGGACGACAAGATCACCATTCTCAGACCAGTAGACCTAAAACAAAGTCAATAGATGTCACAAAATGTACTCGGAATGAAACTCACACTAGTGGGGTCAACTTCGATTCTGCGGACCAGGTTGCCGCTTTCCCAGTCGAAGAGGCCGATACCACCTTGTCCCTTGACACCGAGCAAAACACCGCTTGCGAGACCCTCGGCCTGGAAACCGACATCGAGACCACCGCTTTGCTCCTTAAAGTTCTTGAAGATCTTCACACTAGTCGTGGATTCGCGAACAGCAAAATCGTTGCTGTTGTCTTTAGATCCCCACGCGAAGTCGAGAGCAGAGCCGAATGCCTTGTTGCGCCACGCCAGAGCAGTCTAAAATAAAAATGAAGGGTTAGTCCACCGATATCAATTTTTCCGCAGTAAAAGGGCACCCACGTAAATAATCCCTATAAGTCAAAAATTAGCATCGTGTCAAGATATCTTCAAGGAAGGGGTTCTCAAAACTAACATTCACCGTCTCCACAGCATGCGACAAACCTCCCATTCGGAGAGTGAGAGAGGATCTGAGGGTAGATCTCGCTCGAGCCCAGATCCTTCGTAGGCAGCGACAGAGGCTCGCCATCCTTTATGCTTAAATCGCCACCCTTGATCACAGCAGAAACAACCTCGTTCTGTCGGGCCCAGATCAGCTTGCCAGAGCCATCCATAGAAACAGCAGGCTCTTCCCGACCCATCTTGACGACAACCGCACCGTCGTCGAAACCCATAGCTAACGCATTGCCGCTTTTTTGTGTGCTCACACACCACGCTCGCTCCAGTCCATAGCTTAGCGACTGCTCGAGGCGATAGGTATTGGCGTGCCAAATCTTGACGGTTCCATCTTCAGAACCTGAGACAATGACAGGCAATTGGGGATGGTAGCAAGCGAAGGAAACATTGCTAGTGTGGCCCTCTAGGGTAGCAATGAGCGCCTTGGTTGTATAATCCCAGATCTTCACCGTCTTGTCGTCCGAGGTTGTGAGAAGGTATGGCTTGTCGGAACCGGGGTAATAATCGACGTGGTTGACACCCTTGGTCTCGTGGGCTTCCAGGGTGAAGTTGGCATGGGGGGGAGCCGAGGTTCCAGATCTTCACAGTACGATCTAAACAGGCAGAGGCGAACGTGTTGGTATCCTTCGGGTTGATGGACATGCCCATCACATAGTGGCTGTGGCCCTCAAAGACCTGAATACATTTCCAACCCTTCTCCCAATCCCAAGCGCGAATTGTCATGTCATCTGACGCAGTAAGGACGATAGGTAGTGTTGGGTGAACGGAGATCGAGCGAATATAATCGGGGTGGGCTTCGAAGGAGGTGATCTTCTCGGAGGTATTGTAGTTGTAGACACGGAGTTGGAAGTCGTCAGAGCCGCAAACAATCCAGTTCTTGCGCGCAATGAATCGACCGGCACGAACAGGGACATCGGTAAGCTCGAATGTTTTGATGATGGACTAGGAGACGGAGGGTCAGCCGCGCTTTTGCGGGATACATTGGGCGTTTGGACCTACCTGCGTCTCGTACGACCAAACGTAGACATGGCCGCTGTAGAGAGAGGTCAAAATCTAAGACAGTGTCAGTACAACCGAAGCTCTTCGACTGTCGTCGTTCGAACTCACCCAGGGCTCCGTGGGGTGGAAATCAATGCCTTTCACCCGCTCCGAGCGGGCAAAGAGCTGCCTCTGTACAATACCAATCCCGTTAGCAAACTTGTCAATTCCACTCTTCTATATCTCCGGGTGTATCTCGATTCCTAGCGCGAGCAGCTATCTCCTCGATATTCAGTTTTGCGTACCTTAACGTCGAGCCGCATGTTGTGTGGGGGATGGACGAATGTTTGTGTGAAGCGGCGTTAGGGCGTGCGAGAGGGGCAATTCCACGAGCCGCTCAGACAGCCCAAGGGGTGCAAGAGAATCGATCCTCGGGATAATCTTTCAAAAACCAGCAAGATATCCCGGCTGGAGGAGAGCTGAAGGTCGTTCAGGGACAATGTATGTGTCCACAAGGAGGATTCCCGCCGGACTCACCGCCTTCCGTGGGCGGGTCCAGCAAACGCAGCATGTAACTACAGGGTGGACTACATACGAGCAAGCAATCGTCTATGTGGCAGACTATCCCAATTAATTCTATAGAAATTACGATGTATCGATCGTGCATGCTTATTCTAGTTTGGCTAGAGATTGATGGAAATAAAAAGCGAACCACAGCCTCTCAAGGCTCCGTAATAGCCAGAACCGGATCTCTGCTATCATCAAAAAACACCTTATAAATGCATTCCATTGCAGTCGAGGTAGTAGATATTGTAGAGGTACTTTCCCTGTAATTTCTGGTGCTGATTATAAGTTTGCCTGCGGGAAATCCCTCTCAGGTGATCACGCCGTGCGATTGTAGGCCGAGAATTGAAATCGTGAAACAAATGTATTCGAACAACCCCTCTAATAAATACAGGAACCGTGCGTGCTCTAACGTCTTCTTCCAATATTGCCTTAATGACGTTCGAAGTAGGTCCACTGGCCCGCGGCGGGCTTCTCCTCGAGTTCCTCCCAACTAGAATCGTGTAAGTAGTCTGGTCAGGGAACCACGGATATAGTTCGGGCTTTACTTACACCTTCGCCTCGTGCAGCTCGCTAGCAAGCTTCAACTCAGCCTGGGCAACCTCAATAATCTCCTCAAGGAGGCCGTGGCCGATTTCCTTCTCAATCTGGGAGATTCTGTAACGCGCATTAGCATCCTGGAACACCTCCATGTAAAGTCAATTGGCATACTGGTCAGCCTCAAGAGCGGGTTCGTTCTCCCACTTCATCTCCTCGATATAGTGGTCGGCATTTTTGGTTCTTTTGATGCCCTCTTCGAGCAGCTTATCGAGTTCGGCCTCTTCCTCCGCGGTGCGGGTTGATCCCTCGGTGCAAGCTTCAGAGAAAGTCTCACCATCCCAGGCCAGACCATGGGGGTTGTCGGAGCCGTCTTTCTTCTGGACACCAACATAGCCAAAGGGACCCGCAGACTTCTTGAGAGCAGCGAAACGCTCGGGCTCGGCGGCGATGACCTTGTCGACGCGCGCCTTCCAGGCCTCGAATCCGGGAGGAATCTTCGACTCAATAACCTTCAGGCGGTGGCGAGTGGTCGCCTCTGCGGATTGACGGTATGCGGACGACTCAGGGAAGGACTGGAGCTTCTGCAGGGTCTGGAAATAAAGGTAGATCAAAGTCGGGCGGGGGTTCGGGTGGGTGGACAGGCCGGTCAATCCGGTTGGAGCGAAAGCCTCCAGATACCGGGGCTTGACATTGGCCAACAGCCGGAGTGTAGCCCTCATTTTGGTGAGTGTGAAATGAGGAATGGAGTGGTTGCGGGCGCACTTTGATGTGACGGGGTGACGGGAAGTTCAGTCGGGCCGGAACGGATAAACTTGGCCTTCCACTCTCTCTAAACGGGCAGGGGGCCAGAGCCACCTTTTCTTTCCGCTATCTACAACACACACGCGCGCAGGGCCTCGATATTTTCCGAGTGCTGTCTTTTTTGACTCTTCACGGCTTGGGGTTTGGTCGTTAAAACCCTGTTCTTGCCTCGACGACTGAAGGCTAGCGCCCTCTAAGCCAGTTTTTGCCGCCCCCATATCCAATGTGCCACCTGTGACATCTGTCAAATTCCCCCCCTTTCGACCAACGTCCCTCGTTTCAACCCACCTAAGCCTTAAGAGGGGCTTGCGAATACTCTCCCTCTGCGTCCCGTTATTGAGGTCACTTCGTCCCGTTTCCCAAAATGAAGACTTCGTGGTTGGGGTGGTCCCTCCTCTCTTTGTTGACCGGCTCGACAGTGGCCGCGTCTGCGAAACTAGAAAAGAGAGCAAACCGTGGACTCGACTCTGATCAACCTACAGTCTTCAATGGACTGGATGTTCCCCCATTGACCCAACTTACTCCTGATAACTTCGATGAGCTCATCAAAGATGGCCAGTGGTGAGTACTTCGGACATCCTGTTACTATAACAACGAACAATCTTAGATCCTAACAATCAACAGGCTCATTAAACATTATTCGCCCTCATGCGGCCACTGTCGAAAGGCTGCACCGCCGTACCAGACGATTTATGAATACTACTATGTGAGATGCACCATGATGCTAAATTTAGAATTCCAGGGCTAATCATGGCATCTGACATTAGACCTCCAACCCCGTCTCTCCAGCCTCAGGGAAGTCGCCCGATCCCAAGTCTCTCAACGGCTTCACCAACTACTTCAACTTCCATTTCGGCTCCATGAATTGTCTAGCCCACGGAGACCTTTGCGAGAAGCTTGGAATTTCGGCCTGGCCCACCTTTGCATTCTATGACCAGGGTGAGCAAAAGGACAAGCACATTGTTAAAAATGTGATCAAGGATCTCAGCCCCCTTATTGAAGAGAAACTCGAGGCGGCCAAGCCTGGGTCTCGCCCTCCCCAGGGCATCAAGTTGCCTGAGGTTGGTGCCTCTAGCGTGGATTCGAGTGCGGAACCCGATTCACCCTTGGCCAAGGACAAAGACCCTGCGGCTGGTGTACAGGCCGGTGAGAAGCAAAACGAGCTGGCTTCGCAGAAAGAATCTGGTACTTCTTCAGACTCTAAGGCAGTTGACACGATCGAGACCAAGAGAAAACCTGAATCGGCGCCTCCCAATCCTCAGGGACTCTCTGTTCCTCTCACCGCTGAGAGCTTCCAGAAGCTGGTCACTTCTACCCAGGATCCCTGGTTTATCAAGTTTTACGCCCCTTGGTGCGGTCACTGCCAGGCCTTGGCTCCCAACTGGCAGGCGATGGCCAAAGAAATGAAGGATGTCCTGAACGTGGGTGAGGTGAACTGCGACGTGGAATCTCGATTGTGTGAAGATGCTCGCGTCAGCTCTTTCCCCACCATGTATTTCTTCCGGGGTGGTCAGCGCGTGGAATACACGGGTCTTCGTGGTCTTGGTGACCTGCTTTCCTATACAAAGAAGGCCGTTGGACCCGGCTCTAGTATCGAGGACGTCGATGGGGCTACTTTCAAGGAGCTCGAGGAGACTGAAGAAGTCTTGTTCCTCTATTTCTACGATGACGCCACTACGTCTGAGGACTTCCGCGCTATGGACCGTCTGACTCTTAGCCTCGTGGGACATGCTCGCATTGTCAAGACTAACAGTGCTGCCTTGGCAGCGCGCTTCAAGATCTCGACTTGGCCTCGTCTATTGGTGGTCCGTGATGAACGGGCTAGCTACTACAATGCTCTTGCCCCCAAGGATATGAGAGACTTCCGTGCAGTTCTAGCCTGGATGCAAACCGTCTGGCTGCCCATTGTTCCCGAGCTGACGGCATCCAATGCCCGTGAGATTATGGATGGGAAGTACGTCGTGCTTGGTATTCTTAGCCGCCGTCGTTCCGACGATTTCAAGCAGTCCAAGCGGGAACTGAAGGAAGCCGCTCTTGAGTGGATGGATAAACAAGTGCAGCTTTTCCGACTTGAAAGGTCAGAGCTTCGTGACTCCAAACAACTGCGTATCGAAGAAGCCGATGATCGTGATGACCAGCGTGCCCTACGGGCTGCTAAGAACATGCGCATCACTATTCGCGAGGATGACAAGAAGGCAGTTGCCTTTGCCTGGGTTGATGGCGATTTCTGGGAGCGCTGGATTCGCACCACCTACGGCATCGATATCGAAAGTAGTGACCGTGTCATTGTGAATGACGAAGATGTAAGTTTCGAGTTTTGACTCTCCTTCCGAACGTTCTAAGCTAACTTCTGATAGAATCGCCGATACTGGGATACTGCTTCCAGCGGTGCTCCGGTCATGGCCTCTCGTACTTCGATCCTCGAGACCATTCCCCTCGTTATCTCCTCTCCTCCCAAGCTAGCCGCCAAGTCCACCATTGGCACCTTTGAGACCTTCTTCTTCTACACCCGCTCCTTCCTCAGCAGCCACCCCATTCTCTTTTTCATTCTGTTGGGTATCACGGTTGCGGTTGCCACCATCTTCGGTCGCGGACGCCTGCTACGCCGTAGCGGACTTGGCCGTGGTGGCATTATTGGCAACTCCAATGGCGGCGGTTTCTTCCACCTGGACGGCAAGGAGGGTATCTTGAACGGAGGTTCGACAGGAAAAGTCGACTAATGAGACGCATGTACAGTACCGGTGTTTGGTAGCACGGTTCAATTTTTCTTATCTATAATTTCCTTTTCAACTGTGACTTCATTGATTGCAGACCGTCTGGTTCTTGATTTCCAATTTTTGCATGTTCGAATACAGGTGTTGAAGCACACATTTCCTCGTTTTTTTTAAAAATCTTGTTTCTAATCTTCCAGTCTGGATCACTAAAACTCAAGAAAGATATTGTTTTAATTCTTCCAAAATCCCTGTATTTAATTCACAAAAGTGTAGGTCTAGAGAAGGAATAACCTGCTCCGGTCACCGCAGACCAAAACCACCTTAAAATGGAATCAATTGTGAATATTATATGGCTATATATGCGGCTACTTCTTCTAAAATCAACAACATCACTAATCATGGCCTCGGACGTTCTGGCCAAGTAGATGTTCAATTTATCCAAGGGGGTTGCATAAATACAACGGCTCAGACTAATTAGCTATCTTCTGATTGGTGTTAGGTTGCCATCACGTGATTATCCGGTTTTCGTCGAAGGTCGTTCCGAGCTCATCTCCTTCTTTTGATTGTCCCACGACCTGCACAGCCTCACAACAATGGTACGTTCGCCTTAAATCCGACACCAGATACAATTCCAAAATGTCAACCGTGTCGTTCGGATCTTGATCCGCCGGCACCGGCCGTGTCAACGGGGTGACCGCATCACGATGCACCCACTACGGACCCATGCGGGATGACTGCGGGCTGTATTCAGCTATTCTGCAAGCAATTGATGGCTAACTTGTACTCTTTTTTGCCTAATAGGTTTTCGCTCCCACTCTCCGCCGCGCTGCGGCCGCCGCCCCATCCTCCGCTTTTGCATCCAAGTGAGACTCCCCCCCGAACCGCGATCTTCAATTTGGGACAACTGGCATGTGTGCATGCGCGCGAATCACCCAGGTTGATTCCCTGCTTTACATATTTGTGCATATGGAGTCGGCCTGTCATGGTGATATACTCCGTGGATCTGCGTGCCTTAAAGCTCCAGCGCGGCTTGACATGCGGCAACTGTGGATTCCGCGGAGTACACCTTCGCAATAAATATCACCAATCGCCTGTCGTCGAATTATGATCTACGTGCACTTGGCAGCTCGAATATAAGCTAACGAACATTTACAGCTTCGCCACTCAGCGTACCGTTGCCGGCTTCACCCTGCCCAGTGCCATCAAGGCGTAAGTCTACACTACCACATGGATTTGAGCTTTGCTGGACTAAGGCTTTTTTTAACTCGAAATATGCTGACTTTTGGAATCAGTGGTACCGTTGCCGGTAGCTTCGGTGTCTTCGCTGGCGCTGCTGCTCTCTTCTTCCTCGGCGAGGTCCCCCGTGTCCGCCGCGATATCCTCCAGCAGTTCCCCTTCCTGGACACCTACTATGACCGTCCCATTGCCCCCGAGGACAACGTAAGTTTCGCACCACTCTTGCTTGTCTTTGGCACTAATACTAACATGGTTTTAGCCCTTCTAAATTATTTCGCTATGGTTCCGGGAGTGCCGGTGATGCACTTAGAATAGTATGGATGTGCAGGTCAGGGGCAGCGGCCTTCGTGTAGAATAGCGATGAAAGTCTTTTATGTTTCGAATAGCACATAGAGGCAGCCATTATCAAACCCGTCAGGGTGATCTCTTTTGTCCAGCTCAACTCATGGGACTCCTTGTGTACCCGCGTTCCTTTGCACCCTTCTCTCGAAGTGAGGAAGGATCTAAAGCATATATGGTCTATTTCCCGTAAGGGCAAGTCCAAGCAGTCGTTTGATAAGCTGTGGCTTTTAAGGCTGACCTGTGGCAGCGCACGTTCAAATAGTACTAGTAGGGTACTTTGTCATGACTAGGGTCATGAAGTGACTTATCTCCCCCCTCCTATCTCCCACTGATAACAATGCTTTCCAGATCTACAAGACAAAACATCGCCGCCCCCGACGCCTAGAGCTTCCCTCTTTGGGTTTAAATCTTTTGCCAAGCTAACCGGGGTAGCACTGTTCGCGTTTGATCAAATGGTATGGCATCCACGCTTCGCTGGAAGGCGAATCACAGGACCTGTGTGCGGAGAAACTGAGAGGGAAGAGCCCAAGCGTCCTAATTGAACCATCGAATGAGAGCAGCTGATCATACAAATAACATTGTCCATAGGCTAGTATCGGGAACTCTCGTGCTCATTAAATTCCGTTATCAAGCATTTATTGCGGAGAAAAGCGTATCACTTCTTCCATGTAGGCCTGGGACAGCCCGCCTCTTAGAGCTCCCCTCCTCTGGCGTTCTTCTAGCGGCAATCGGCAGGCCCACTACATCTGATAGAACCAATGCTTGTTGAGCTTGGGTCTATCTGAATGTTAGCGATGGCGCCAACGAATCGTCATGGGCGCGGGGGCAAGCCTGCATAGATAACCATAGCCGACCCCTGCCCCCTAGATTTGTAGGTTCGACCGCGGCTCATTTAAGACCAACGAATCTCCCTCGCAGTCGTTCAGACTCTACTCGTGCATAATAGAGCGAGTCTCTACTCACGGCAATACACACCGATTATAACACCGTGACGCCTAAACGTTACGGCTTTCGATATCAGTTTTCGCTTCTTCCGATAGTCAACCCCCCCCCCCTAGCTCCCTCTATATCCGCGAATGGGTGTTAGACCAGAATGATAGATATCAAAAAGTCCTCTTCGGGCACCTCCAAGGCTCACCCGGTCTATAATGATACCAATCATGCACAGGTTACGTCCGTGTTGCCGGATGGCGATGTGCCATATACGGACCACGAGATGGATGCCGATGAGCGCGTGATTATGGCCCTTGGCTACAAGCAGGAATTCAAGCGCGAATTCTCCCTGTGGACGACGTTTTGTGTCAGTTTTGCCGTTTTAGGTCTCCTGCCTTCGTTTGCAAGTACCCTCTACTATGGTATCTAATGCACCCCATTATCTCACTGAGAGCCATTGCTGACTCGGTCCAAGGAATGGGATATGCAGGAACAGCCGGCATGGTGTGGGGATGGATCATCGCCATGATATTCATCCAATGCATTGCGATGTCAATGGCAGAGCTTTGCTCAGCTATGCCAACAAGGTAAGATAACATCCATCTGCTATTGTCTTGGAAGACTTCGAGCTAATGCAGTATATCTCAATCTAGTGGCGGTCTCTACTATGCAGCAGCGGTTCTCGCACCTCCCGGGTATGGACCTCTAGCTGCATGGATTACTGGATGGTCCAACTGGATCGGACAGATCACAGCAGCACCATCAGTCGACTACGCGCTGTCCGCGATGATTCTCGCCGCAGTCTCCATCACCAACCCAGACTACGTCCCAACAGACTGGCAAACCTTCCTCCTTACAACTTTCATAATGATCATCCACGCAGGCATCAGCAGTATGCCAACCAAACGAGTTGCCCAATTCAACTCCTGGGGCTCAACTTTCAATTTCCTCGCACTCATAGCCGTCCTCATCGCCATCCCAGCCGGAACAAGCAACAGCCCGAAATTCACACCCTCCAAAAAAGTCTGGGGCGACATCACGAACCAGACAGACTTTCCAGATGGCGTCGCCGTTCTGATGACTTTCGTCGGGGTCATTTGGACCATGTCCGGCTACGACTCCCCGTTCCACCTGAGCGAGGAGTGTTCGAACGCCAGCGTTGCCTCTCCACGCGCTATCGTCCTTACATCCGGTGTCGGTGGGCTGATGGGCTGGTTCTTGCAACTTGTCGTCGCATATACAGTACTTGACATCGAAGCCGTCATCGATTCGGATCTGGGCCAACCCTGGGCCTCGTACCTACTGCAGGTGATGCCGCAGAAAGCAGCCCTCGGCATCCTGGGCTTGACCATTATTTGCGGTTTCTCTATGGGCCAGGGTTGTATGGTTGCCGCGTCACGGGTGACATATGCCTATGCACGCGATGACTGTTTCCCCTTCTCGAATATCTGGAAGAAGGTCAACCCCCACACGCACACCCCAGTCAACGCGGTGATTCTGAACGCAGTCCTGGGCATCCTCATGTGCCTGCTCATTCTGGCCGGAAGCGTGGCTATCGGTGCATTATTCTCCATTGGTGCTATTGCTCAATTTGTTGCCTTCGCTATCCCGATCTTCATCCGAGTGTTCTTCGTTGGAAATCGCTTTCGAAAGGGTCCCTGGAATCTGGGTCCGTACGGTCCGTATATTGGTGGAGTGGGCGTTTCCTTTGTCGTTCTCATGGTTCCGATCTTGTGTTTGCCGAGTGCGACAAATGCGGACTTGGCGCTCGATCTGATGAACTGGACTTGCCTGGTTTATGGGGGTCCAATGCTAGCAGTGATCATCTGGTGGGTGGTTGATGCTCGTCGCTGGTTCATCGGTCCTGTGGTAAATGTCGAGCATGCCATTCACCATATTGAGCAGGAGCCTGAAGTCAGCGAGGGTATTGAGCCTGATAATCATGAACCGGATGAGACGGTCGTTCCAGGCAAGTCGGTTGATGGTGTGTTATAATAATGGCCTACTGCGTCTTGGTGTAGAATTTCAGTCTAGTCTGGGTGTCCTATACTTGCAGAGACACTCTACCATGTGTACTGGTTCTTTATACGCAATAATTCCCTCGCCGGAGTATAATATTCTATCTGTCTGTTCAATGATTGTTACTACCATCCGTATTGGTTTATGATAATATCTAGAGTCTTGGGGTGACAAGCACCGGGGGGCATTGGGGTCGAACGAACGCTCAACTACTAGTACACAGCCCATAATATTGTCTTGGATTATCTGGGGTAATCGCACTTTTTTTTGAAATGGGCCACTTTTCTACGGTCTGGGACCCAGCGACCCATCTAAGCACATTTTTGGGTTGTGGTGGGATGTGGCTCCCCGCGATGGAGTTGTGGGCTTGCTCCACGCTCCACAGCCCCAGGTGCTTAACCTTGTACTTTAGCAAAGTGGAGAGAAAAGATGGTGGATTTGACAGATCACAAAGGTAATTTAAGTTCGTTGATGGTGTAATTTGTAGTTAATTAAGATACTAGTGGATTGTTGTAATTGTAATCGCTTCTCATTCATGCAATCGCATGCTCCGAGTCGCCCGGGCGGTTGTATAGTAGTAAACGGCCAAATGGTAGTAGTAACTGCCTGTGGATATATATAGAGTAGGTAGATAGAGGCATACTATCAATACAACTTTGACGAAGAAAATCGACATAAGAATTGATCTATACCTATCATCATTTCATAGACTACTACTCATCAATACCTCACCAAAGATCTCGCCTACAAAAGACAGTTTCTCTCGATCTCCCCTGCGCGAGTCCAAAGTGGTTGATCACTAGTAACTGACCTTGTATGTACCAGGTACCTTGCTACTACCGTAATGCGGACAGCATCTCCCAAAATAATATTATTTGTCGACCGTCAAAAGCTCCCAGGTACAGAGAGATACTCATAGAGACAATTAGACTCTCCCCCAAGGCAAAATATGCACCCTCGTCCACCTTATCAAAATGCCGACCTTCCTCGACACCCTCCTCCACCCGTACCTGTACATTGCGCTGGGATCCCCGGAGGAATCCTGCAAATAGATCCACCCCTGGAAGGTCCCCACCGGCGGTGCGGTGGGCACTGGACATGGATGCAACGGAGAAATAAGTTCGATGGGACACACAGATATGCTTAATCTGACTCCAGATGAGGGGGCATCCACCCTTCCCACATCAGATCTCTCCCCCCCCCTGACACGAGGCGTGCAAAATGAGGATCCACCTGGAGGTGAACTACATATCTACGCGAAAAGTACGATGTAAACACGAAAGATGCGATGATTTCCCGCCTCTGATTTCTAAGTTCAAATTAAACGTGTCTCGTGTCTGCGTCTCACATCGTGCACGGCTCAAGGAGGCTTGCTGGCCACAACGCCCTGCCCTCCATATCTCTCTCTCTCTCCAAATTGGCCAAATTTAATACCCCAAAACGAGGGAATTCCCAACACACCGGGCCGGCTTTAGAAACTACCAAAGTCAAACCCCCAAAAGTGCCGTGTAATAATCCCAGAAAGAAGGATTTGTTCGTGTACACTGCCTAGATGAGGGACGATACAGGTCTCGGGCGCAGAACCGCATGGGGAATGTCGGCCCCAACCCTTTCTTTCTCTTTCTCTCTCTTTTCTCTTGCGCGCTCTCTCCCTTTCTCCGGGATCCTTTTTCCACTCCCCCTTAACACTACGCTTCGCCCGCTTCCGTCCGTCGGCGCAGATTCATTCCCGATCGACACTGTCAGGGGTGGCTGCAACTGGTTCTGCCGAGGATGATGCATCGGTTCCTGGGAACATCGACTTCGCCACTGACGCTGGTTCCTGACTTTCTGTTCTTGGCCTGGACACGTCCACTCCCTGTAATGTAGACATTCCCTGTTGAAGAGATTTTGCAAAATTACAACCTAAGCGATCCCCTGAACTATGTTACGGGGTATGGGGCAACATCAAATCAAATGAACCACAAATTCTTA